GGATGACAGCTTTCAACCTGACTCGACAAGCCCATCTAAAGGTCTCGATACTTTGGATAACATGGTTCTTACTTTCTTAGCCTCTGAGGCGGATTCGTTTGCTCATACAGACTCTCTATTCCAGTTCGATGCACCGAAAACTCCCATCAATGATAGCTGGGCAAACTGGGATCCGAATGACTGCATCCCTCAGAACGGCCAAACGTCTAATCTGCCTCAGAAAGACGTTACTTGTACCCCTAAGTCGAGGGACAAGGCTAAATCAGGGAATAACAATCCCGAGACTCCGAGACGCGCTCGCAGTGTCCCGCCCATCTCACCTTTTAAGTCTTTACTTGATAGCGAAATCAATGAGATTTCAAACCTTCCAGAGTCTGAAATATTTGATCCTGGCTCTCTTTTTGATTCGCATTTAACGAATTCATGGTCGAAGGATAACACTAATGCTTCCCCTCGGGCTAATGGCACCATGGAAGGCCTTGACCCAGCGGTCTTCGCGGCAATGATTCAAGAAATTCGGGATTCTGCTAGAAGTCAATAAATTATTGCATTAGAATGCGGAACTCCCTATCTCCATCCCACCATTCCCTCTTTCACTCCTTTTCCTCCTTTCTTAAAAAACACAAATGATGACCACTACGGACCAGTGTCATTTGGATGGCGCCGTTCTAGCCGTGCACCCTTTTGCGGTAAAGGTCTATTTTATTGGATTGTCTTTATTGTTTTCCTGCTTTCCCGACCCTTTATGTTTATGATGATACCTTGTAGAATATTAACGACTCCATGTTACTAGCGATGCATAACTTTGAGAAGAGCGTTGGTTGGGTCGACTGTACTTGCTACCAGTGATTAGGACCACGCGCTTCCTTCTATGATACTGCTTCCGTTCAATAAATGTCAATTATATCTATTTCTGTCTGAAGGATCCATTAAGTAACAATCGGTATTTAATTTTATGTTAGATTAAACGACGGTGATCAACTGCCGGATCTTGTTATAAAGGTTTCCTCCATCGTACGATATATACTTTATTTAATTACTCGAGGTTCATCTATTAATATTGGCAAATCTTAACACCAGATGGAAGTTGACTTTAATATTCATTATCATGACTCGAGAGCACCCAATAAATCCTAGGATAACTATCGAGTACTATGATGTTCACCACCTAGACAAGGCAGTCAAGGGACCACATGTATATCTGTACGTCCATATATTTTTTTCTTTTTTCAAAAATATTCCAGCAAATACACATCAAGACTAAGCTGGTGTGCTGTCCTTTTTGGCTAGTAAAAAAGAAATGCCATTTTACTTTTTACGCCATAAGTTGTCCATCATGCACCTCAAATTACCTCAACCCGAGTCGTAAAAAATAGTCTTGAACCTATGAGTATTTTCCACAACTTGCTCATAGATCTTATAGTCTGTTATATTGGTACGATCAGTTAATTGTGTTTGATTCCCAGGGAGGGGAGAACCACGGTGAATAAACCCACCAACTTCATGCGGGCTGCCAGAGTCTGTAGCTCCAAATACTCTGAGACCAAGACTCTACATCAAGATTAGCCACGATGCTAGTTTCCGGGTAATCCATGAAGCCTCGCGTTTTCATTCTAGGGAAATGCTTACACCTTCGACTTCGACGACTTTTCCAACCACATCGACCATTCGATCCATCTGTAGATGGGAATCTCTGTTTAATATGAGGGTGATGTCGCCGTGATCACCACAAGTAATAGTAGCATATTCTCCGCGTAATGAGGATACTTTGCCTAGTATCCGTACTGCACTCGGCATTCGACCGCTTGTTGGGCCAGAAGAATAAAACTGTTGAAGATATTCGGGGAGAATGCGGGGGGTCACGAGAGACATTATTTTGCGATTGAACAGCCAACGCTGATTTATTTCGGGTAGAATAGAGCGCACACGGGTATCTCAATGTCTTGCTCAGCTTTATAATCCGTCCTGTGTCTCGGTTCTTGAATCTTCGTTGTCATTGATATCAACATCCCGCTTCCAGCCAGCAGAGCAGGCAGTTGTTCATTTGACAATGCATACGAACGAGACGCGTCGGACGCGTTGATGACTAAGATTAGTCATCATGGAATAGGATTATATTTAAGCCGAGATTGGATGAGGCTGAACCTTAAGGCGACGGGAGGGAAAGCCAACGGAAACGGCAACAACAGGAACTCTTCCCAAACGCTCACAAAAAAGGCACATCCTTGAGACAGTTGAGTGGTCATTGAGAAGGTCTTTGAAATAGTATTAAACAAGTTATTTGCTATACACAGGCCCCCTTCCATTATGCAAGCATTACGCTTTCATAATCGTGCTCAGAAAAGAAGTAACCAACAATATATTCACCAAAGCAATCTTGTGGCATGGACCAAAACTCGATCGAGGGGCACTCCGCAACAAACAGGACCAAGAAATACAGGAGAAAATAGAGGTTCAAAATACTCGAGAAAGGCGAGGTAGGAGGGACTCGGAAGTGGGGGGATAATGTTGTCCGCACTACGGAGTAATAGTGCAGAGATGGGCGGAACACGTATATGACAGTTGGGAGTTTTGGACCAGCCAAATAGGGGATCGTGTGGGAATTGAAAGCCAGCAATTTGAGAAGGTGTAGAATGGCTTATCAACTACCGACCGGCTTATATTTGTGGTTCCACTGAGTCCTCATGGCCATGACGTTGTTTTGGTCTTCAACAAACTTGCTGTTTTCCATGGAGAACTCTCGTCGTCCAGCTCTGCGTTGCTTGACGCAGCAGAATGCTATGATCGCCATACCCAGAATGACTAGTCCACCAATTGAAGCAAAAATAGCGATTTTGGCCGCGGTAGGTAGTTCTCGCCATCTCTGCGCCAGAGACTTAGGTGGGGGCTTGTTAATCTCATTTGCGATGTCGGAAACACCACTAGACAGAATCATTAGTATTGACCATGCAAAAACATGACCACTGTCATCGAGGCAACTGGGGCGAAGAAACAGCAACTTACTCTATCACTTTAATGCTCTGCCAGTCGCCTGACCTGTCGGAATATGAATATTCCTTCCCTTTATGTGCGTCAACAACCTTCAACTCCTTGACGCTCATGATATACGGCGTTTTCTCATAGTCGATTTCGCCTCCTGCCCACTCAATAACTCCTTTCTTGTTCTGCGGATCTCCACCAGGCCAGATACCCAGTCGCACAGTGGAGGGAGTTTGAGGAAAGTTTTTCCCTCCAAGAGCTTCTTCGTACTTCAAGGTTCGGACAAGAACGGTATCGATATACCATTCGATCTTCTCTGGTGTCCAGTTGACGGTATAGTTATGGAAGTCGTCCATGGCTCCTTTAATGTCGAAGGTCTTACCGCGATCATAGGAAGTAGTGTTTCCCTTGCCGAAGTAGTTGGTTTGAACTTTGTCTGGCTCCGAGCCAACCCATTCCCAATCAATTTCATCCAACACTTCTGATTGAATGACAATACTACTAACAACTCCTCGTCCAGTTGCAGCCTTCATATGGACTTCGACGGTACCGAAAAATATATAGAAGAATGACTGAATAGTTGGCGAATCGAGCGCCTTGTGGATTGTGAAGTTGGAACCAGCATCGGAGATTTCGACAAGGCCGCTGGTAGCATTCCATACATCAGGATTCAGTGAGCTGTTGAGGTAGGTGGTATAGTTCTGGCCCAAAGCCGGGGCATTGGGGCAATCATCTTTTTCCAGGGGATTGCAGTACGTGAATGTCTGGGCGACCACGGGAGATAGGAGACAGGCGAAAAGCCCCAACGACGATAGGACGGAAATTCTTCGAGAAGCCATCATTGTGAGACGTTATACGACGTTCGTGAGAATAATGGCAGCAGAGAGATGCACAAAAGAATGAAAAGACGTCTGCGGATTTGCCGTGGAGGCTCCTTTTTTTTCTTTTTAAAGAGAGGACGCTATCATGAATCAGTGCGACCGAAAGGACATGAATGAGAGACAATAGGCCACGCCCCTCGGGGGGGGAAAGACTGATAGCAGCTGGTGGTTATGGTGAATATGAGAGAAGGAATTCGATGTCAACCGATCGAACTTCGATGGCACCCCCTTCTCATCGTTATTATTATATGACGGGGGCTTTCGGACCATGAAACAGCACCCGACTGCCTCATGCTGGTTGGTCTATGGTGGATCCACTTGGCATTAGTTTGCGACTGGGACCTGACCACTAAGCCCTCTGCAGCTTAGTACCCCCAGAAGTGGTTGAGATTCAAGGAAGAAAGATAGGCTATTATTGGAGAGCAAAAAAGGGGGGCAGGCCTTATTTTCTGCAGAGACCCCCTGAGATCGTCTGCGAGATGGATGTTGAAGAAATGGAGCAATCACGTCCAGGGCTCTCAGAAATGCTCAAAGTCACACAGCTCATCACAGGGCATCCGGAGTAATCGATAATCCACGCATAGATCGTCATGAATTCCTGGCTCCATCCCTTGACTTACTTTCCTTTACCCCCTTGCTGCCTCTCGTCAAACAGGCGAAGGACTGGCAAATTTCGGCTGAAACTCTTTTGCCTGAGGCCGCCCATTCCGCCACAAGGCAGGCTTTCCCGCTCGCTTCACTTGGCAACCTCATCAGTGGCCAAAGAGAAAAAGCCTTCTCCTCTCTCGCCCGTATAGACACTTAATCACACTTTATCGGCTGCAAATCACTGAAACTATAAAAAGGCGTATCACGTGAAGATGTCTTATTTAGTGGTTGGGCGGTAACCGAATCCGGATCATAGATAATGTTAATCCGGGCACAAGGATGGAATGGATGGAGGCTTACCTAATCTAGTGAATATATGGTTACTAATCATGCGATTATCGATAAACTAGTTACGTGGTCCAAGCTTCAGCTTTCTGATACGAAGAAAAAGACCCCTAGTCAGTTCGAAAAGACACACCCACCACAGCTATCTCTTTTTCACTACCATGTTTATTGTCATATAGCTATATATATATATCTATATCAATAAGCATGGCTCCTCCTTCGTTTCCGAGTTTTGGCCGTGGCACAGCCGCGAAGCGCATGCAACCAGCAAAGCGGTATAGACCCGGCAAGCCTATCGCAGATGAAGTTGAATCGTCCGAAGAGGAAGAAGAGGAGGAAGAAGAGGAGCAACCAGAACAAGTACCGCAAAGTCGGCCTCCTCCAAGCTCTAGGAACATTACCTCTGGCGTTCGGCAAGTCAAATTGGAGGAGGAAGAGGAGGCAGAAGATGAAGAAGGGTTTGTAACTGAAGAGGAGGAAAATGTTGACGATATCCCTTCTAAGCCCCAAGCACACGCTACTTCCGATAGACCTCCCGCTAGTTCAGTGCTGGTAAAGAAAGAAGAAGCGGAAAAATCAGAAATCGAGGATGAGTCAGAGGAGGAATCAGGTTCAGAGGAGGAATCAGAAGAAGAGTCCAGTTCGGAGGACGAAGGTCCAAAGAGGCTGCTACTTCGCCCGACATTTATAAAAAAAGGCGACCGTAAAGCCGCAGCAGCTTTAAACAATGGTGGTCATATTGCGACCTCCTCATCTGCCCTAGACCCCGATGCGGAAGCTGAAGAACTCAAACGGCGGAAAGACAAAGCAGACTTGCTGATTCGTGATCAATTAGAAAGGGATGCTGCCGCTCGGATAGCTGGTAGAAAGACGTGGGACGATGACATTGACGAATCCGGTGCAGGGGTTGATGAGAACAATATTGACGATACAGACGGCATTGACCCAGCTGCCGAATTAGCCGCCTGGAAACTCCGCGAGCTCAAGCGTGTTAAGCGCGAACGGGAAGCCATTGAGATTGCCGAAAAGGAACGAGAAGAGATCGAACGCCGTCGTAACCTAACTACTGAGGAACGAGAGCGTGAGGATCGTGAATTCATTGACAAGCAAAAGGAGGAACGCGACGCCGGAAGAGGAAAGGCTGGGTTCATGCAACGATATTTCCACAAGGGTGCATTCTTTCAGCCTGACTCGGAGAAACATGGTCTCACTGAACGCGACCTTATGGGTGGCCATTACGTGGATGAAATTAAGAATCGCGAGGCTTTGCCAGAGTACCTCCAAGTAAGGGATGCAACCAAGATTGGACGCAAAGGCCGAACAAAGTATCGTGACTTGAAGACAGAAGATACTGGACGATGGGGCGTCGAAAACTATTATCGGTCAAATGCGCCTGCAAGCAGTGCTGCTCGATTTGGTATTAAAGACGAACGATTCCTTCCCGATAATAGGGATGGAGGCTTCAGGAGGTCATCCGGGCCATCCGGAGCAAATGCAAGTGTAGTTAAAGAACGCCGCCGTCCTCGCTCTAGATCTCATTCTCCTCCCCGTCGACGAGACCACTCAAGGTCAAGATCAAGATCTCCTTCGCGAAGAGATCGGCACCGTGATGATAATGACAGAAGCCGAAGGAAACGCAGCCCTTCACCATACCACGATCGTGATAAGAGACGGAGAGTAGACTCCGTATCATAGCATATACCTTTTCAATTATTTCTTTCACGGCACTAATTTCATTTTATGCATTGTTGGGAGCCTGGGTCTAAAATGTATTTTTAGCATGGTTTTACGGAAATGTCCTCAAAATGGATATCATTTGGCATCGACATTCAATCACCCGTCTTGACTACAGACCAATGCCCAACATCGTCTCATTATACGCTGAAACCGAAATGTGAGCCCGTACGTGTAATAGGTTGAACTTCAAGAGCTCTGTATATTTGAATAAGCAACCTACCTCCCAAAGTTGACCCTCCCCCTTTCTAAAGGTAGATTCCCTAACCGTGAACGCCACGCTCTGAAAGAAAAGATAACACATAAATGCCTCAGAAATGCATGATCCGAAAGAAATCTACTTTCGATCAATAGCTGAAATGGAATCCTTATGGCAATAAATTGAGGAACGATCATTTAATCCCAGCACGCTCCAAAGTCTTTTCTCTTTCCATAACAGAGTCTCCAAATTTCACTAGAAACACAGTTCGACTTGGCCAAATATCATTTCCTTGATTGTGAGCGGTCACAGAAGCTTCAAACCCGCAGCCGTCGCATACGCCCTCAATAATACCGGCCACAAAGGCCGCACAATTCAACATATTCATTTCTTTTGGCACAGATATGTATGTATTCGTTAATGGGTCGTTGTCCGTAATCATGTATTCGTTAGGTGTGTTTGGAGAGACAGAATGTTCAAGAGCATCCGCTGGACGTGAAAACAGGAGCTTCCATAGGGGTCCATGAATGAGCTGGAGGAGTGGAAGGATGCGGAGCGGCCTGACAGGTTGGTTGCTTGAGGACGACTGGGACGTCAACGTACTCGTTGTCGACGAGCCAGTCAAGGATCGATATAGAAGAAGGTCTAGTAGACGGAGCCCAAGAGGGTAGCCTTGTTCGTTAAGCCTGTGTAGTGGATTATTAGTAAAAGGTAACCTCGATGGATTTCTAGCAAGATGCAATAGCTTTACCGTCTTTCTAGGTCTTGAATTCCTGTAACTCTTCTTTGAGCATATACCACCATCTCAGAAAAGATATAACCAAAGCTGGCCTTGCTAAGCTCCGCATTTCGCGTACGGTTCAAATTCCGGTCATATATAGTCTTGCGATTGGAGGGAACCCGTAGTCCTGTTGAGGGTTGGCTCTGCGACGGCTGCGGCGAACGGGGGGGGGCTGCTTGTGCTCCTTGTCCACTTAACCCAGCACCCGCAATCGCACTTGCAGAGGAGGCGTGCCCATGGGCCTTTGGAGGCGCGCTCATCGTAGCTTATTGTGAGGGGATGATGTCCAGATTCCGTCAACAGGGTGGGATAACCGAGCCCTGTCAGTTACGCGGACAAACCTGGGGGTTCGGCCGCAGCGTCGTGAGTGTAATAGACCCTCGTGGCCACTGATCTAGCAGGTAGGGAACGGTTGCTCAAAGCCAGGACGTATTCTTCAGTCAATTGGTTGTTATTTGAACCTTTGCGATGTTTGTTGTGGAAGACGTTTCAGTTGGTTTAACTAGTTAGTTGAGGAAAGCTCTTGTGAACATCGCCAAGCCGAGATCAAGCGTATGCTTATACAAGTAGCTTGTTGCGCACCACGCCATGAACTGCAGCAAGCCAGCCGTTGGCAGTTTTGATTTGACTATTTATTGTGTTATATAAGTATCAAGGCCCTTGGATTGCAATCTATTTTTAGTCTGACGCGTTGGGTTAGGATATATTCCATGTTATCCATAGATTCGTTGAGTTCTTATACCAACTTGGATTCTTCCAGTTGCCTCCCCATGCTTTTTCAAAGAAATTGGTACCGATACAGAGAAACATCTATACCGCAATGCAACCAACTATATAGTATAATCCTATTCATAGCTAGGCCGATTCAAACCACAGCCAAAAAGACACTAAGAGGCCTTGGCCTGCTCCAAGTACTTGCTGTCATATGGCTTCTGTTGCCTATGCCTACTATTCCAGTTCAACGTGCGGGAAATATTTTGGATCCATTCATAGCTGCGGTGGCCAGAAGGTATCACGTTGGCAAATGGGAACCTGGATGCAGAAATTGTAACATAGTCTCCAGGGTGTAGTTCAATTCTACAAGCACGAACTGTTAGCCGGGATGCAGTTTGAATGCTGGAAAGCCAAGTACGTACCTCTCACGACCATCGAAACTAGCCCAGGAGCTTGTTCGGGCATCATAAGGAACCCCTATACGTAGAACTATAGTATCTGGAAGTATTATGGGCCGGAAGTTGAGTGTATGGGCACAAATTGCTGTAAGAAGGATGACGGGGTTTTCAGGGTGTGATAAGGAGCCGCCAGCGGCAAGGTTATATGCTGTAGATCCCGTTGGAGTGGCAACGCAGACACCGTCAGCCTGGACAGATGTAAAATGCTCATCATCTCCAAATATCTCGAGGGAAGACATTGCTAGAAAGCCTGGGAGTTAGACCACATATATTGACCAAAAAGCGGATAAAAGGGCAGTAAATTATGACATACTTGGATTTGGACCACGATCAACGACAATCTCATTAAGAATTTGGAACATTTTGTCAGGAGAATGCGTAACGTTGTCATCTGATTCCTCCCCGATCAGCTCTTCGGCAAGATCTCTCTCTATTTGAGATTGATCAGAGGACCTCCGCCTGCTCCGCATCACGGTACATTCAAATCGTAGCCGTAAGCTGACAGTGACACCTTCAGTAAAGGCTCGCTGCAGTGTTTCCTTGTAGTCATCGAAATCGAATTTCGTTAAAAACCCCAGTGACCCAAGAGAGAATGATAAAACCGGGGGTACAACACGCTGGAAGAGCCAGCTCGCATATAATACTGTCCCATCTCCGCCAAGGGTGATAACGAAATCGACCAGGTGATGGTGATCTTCGATGAGACAGTTGTCCCAATACTTTAGCCTCTGTTTTGCGGTCGGTTCCTCCTTGCATATGCTCTGTGCATCGAATTGAGAATCGTTTTCCAGTCTCTTTTCTACGTAGACTGTGTAAGGAACTCTCTGCTCTGGTCCGAGAAGCCAGCTTGTAACCTCTTTGGTTAACCGAGCCAGGCTCTGATCTTGAGGCTTCGTCAAAATGAATATGCTGTGGACATTGAGCTTCAGCTTCAGGCTGCCCAGTTTTTTCGACAATGCACGCACATTCCAAGCCATGTCAGAGAGCTCTCTCTTCGTTAGGAGCCGTGACGGCCCAGAGGTATTGTCGCCACCATCTTCAAACTGCTGGCCAACCGACGGCGTCACAGCTTTGCCGTGCTCGTCGATATGGTCGAGCTGGACAGCCCGAGGTTGCCCTAGCAGGGAATGCACGAAGCAAGCTGCCTGGTCTGAAGTCTGCGTTTCATGTCGACGGGCAAGGCGCGGGGTATCGGGAGAGACAAACGAGGATTTGCGGCGATGACCACTGTCAGACTCAAACACTACCTGCAAGAAGGGGGTTGCGTTAGCAGTTCCGCATTGCATATCGAACAGGATAGGTCAAGTCCAGCCTGCAGCAGACGGGAAATGGCAGATGTAGCGCTTTTTTCTTTTATGTTAGTGCCTGCGGGGAGCATAGCACAGACATAGTACCTACCTCCAAGTGATGGCGAATCTCGGCATGATCCTCCATGAGATTCCGCGGGCGTTGTGATACTATCTAGAGCAGGAAGACTGTACAGCTTGCATCTTGAGAGCTTCGGGGGACCTAGTTGGTGTATCTGAGCTGGTTCTCTCAGCTTATGACAGCATTTCTTGGATGGTTGGACTAGCTAGAGACCAAGGAAGTCCAAAGAAGGTTTTTAGCCTCGGCCTTATTTCGATGACCACAACAAACATACAAGTTAACGACGACGACGATTAATATTATTAGATGTTGATGGCAAACAAGGACAACACAGCACCAGCGATCAGCAGCTTGATCCCCGAACAAAGGCTACTTTAGTCCCTGCGGAATATACGGACACGATTCCCGTCGGGAACGGACGGGTGGGTATATCGAAAGAGACAGGCAGATCAAAGCCAGCAAGGCCGGGTCTATATACTTACGTACAACACCGAGCATCGCGATTTAGCGCAAGTAAGAAGCACAAAGACAACCCTGGCGAGGGGTGTTATGATAGATAATATGCGTCTGAATGGATAGGAGATGCTGTGTCGCCATAAACCTTGTCGACATGCTGTGGAATCTACAACGTTTGCGGGTTTGGAGTACAAAAACACCACAGGGCGCAGGATAGCCTACAGCCTCATCCTCAAATCCTCCATAGCAAGGCAGGCCTAGTTATACGAATACAGCACCAAGCTCCAGTGTTGCAACAACTGCCTGGTCAAGCCACTTGGACACAGCTCGTAAGAGCATGGATGTGTTCAATGCACTGTCTCTCAGCGGCATATCCTGGCACGGGATCGATGGAGTCAAACAAGCACTGGCAATGAAAGCCAACAGAGACTCACGGAGTCAAGGGAATGGAAGCACGCATATCAACCTGTAGCTGGTATTCCTCGCTTCTGTATTCATCCGAGATCTTCACATACTCGGCAGGAGGATTACACAATACTGGTTGCACCCCCAGATTTCCAAGTTGGCACCCGTGCCTGCTCAGCCCTCTCCTATATGACAAATGTGCCATCTAATTCATTCACTTCCTGTGGGTGTAAAGGTCCCTGTGTGTCCCATTCAAGCGAGATGCCCAGTCAGATCAGCTCCCTTGTGGCAGCAGCAAGATATATTAATCTGGGCTGGCAAACTCGATGTCAAGTATACTCCGTATGTGTGTGTGTGGTATCATTATCGCCTCCATCACCGAATCACTCCATATGCTCGAAAGCGTCATGCTCCTGGGAAGCATCCACATAAGTGCAACGGTTTTAATGGAAAGAAAGCATTATGACGAATAAATCTTGCAGTATGGCGGGCCGTGTTTTTATTTTATTTTATTTTCTTTTCTTTTCTCACCTTTTTGGCCTAGCAAAAGAAAAAAGAGACAAGGAAAAAGGAAAGGAAGAAAGAAAAGCGGGAAAAAGGAGACGATGATCTGACCAGAAATATCTATCTAGGCCGCATCGCAGCGCAAGCATGTCGGGTAAAATGAAGCCCAAAGTCCCTTACGTGGTGACTGCATGGAAGTTTAACGTGATGACTGGAATCTGCATTCCCTCCGAGGGCTGACCACATTCATTATGTTATATTAAAAATTCGTCTGTTTGTTTTCCCCCCTCTTGTTGACTTCAAAGGGTCCTCGACTCGGTCAGGTTGCACATGATGGCCATTTCCTTGGGCCACGATGGTGGATTATGAATCAACCTGGCATCACGTTGAACACACTCCAGCCTGCCTCTCCCATACTGGTACAGTACTAGGCCAGAAATCATTGAACATCCAGCATACTTAGTATATTGGCGTGGAGCCGGCCAATGATTTCTGGCAAGGGGCTGTCTCAACAAAGGCACCTTGGGCCAGACGACGAGGATTCACGCAAGGACATAACGATACTTTTATGTGTCCTGTATGGATAGACTTACGTGCATGGAAACACTCAAAAATTACCCAGCCAAACCTTGCTGAGCTGGATGACTGGTGGAGTTGGTGTATCAACAGCGTTCAAGCTGTGAGATGACCGTGGAGACCCCATGGGAAATAATAATGAAGGTTTCATCGCAAGAAGGAAAAAAAAAAAAAAAAAAGTTGACTCGTGAGGAAGCAGGCAGGGATCGAGGGAGGGGGGTTGCCAGATGAGTATCCAGGTGCCCAACGTGTTGGCGGAGTTACACTTGCAACAGAGAGGCGAGGAACGAAACAACACAGATCGAAGCGAGAGTCAAAGAGGAAAAAGGAAAGAAAAAAGAAAGTGGTAAAGCAACGAAAAAACAGAGTAGTCAGCTGTGTGTGTGTGAGCCCTGAAATTGGCCGTTTGTCTCTGATCCGCCTTCTTCACTACCAGCCAAAAAGGCCGAAAGGAGGGACAAGGGAAGGAAGCAAAAAAAAACATGCGGTGAACAAGAAAGCGAAAAGGAAAAAAAGGGACTACCTCAGATCTTGCGGTCCGTGGGGTTTTAAACTTCCGAGACTCAGAAGGTGTGGCCTTGTGCGGCATCGGTTTGCTCCAAATTGTCTGTCACGGAGAATCCTGGTGCGTGGTAAAGGATGCAGAGAGTTGGTGTTGGGTACTGGCCATGGTGCTGGATGCCTGGACAAGCCAGGATAATCTCCACTGCAAACAGAGAAACAAGGCTCCTCCTGAAGGGTATTATTATTATTATTGGATATGGACGAGAATGAAGGGAGTCTCTGGCGATGAAACGTCCGCGGGACCTGGGCAAAGCGGACGGGCAGTCATTAATACTTTACCGCTATGCTAAGATGCGTGGAGGAGAAAGATCTTCAGTCGACATTAGAGTTCCTTCACAGGACAAGCAATAGCAGGAAAGGTATATACTTATATATACTCCATATAAGTGTATAAAAGTCACCGGCAGCTCCGTCAAAGCCAATCAGGCGGCTTGCTTAACTCCTTGACCGAGGAAATTCGATATCTTGCTTGTCCGCCAGGGTAGCCGTCTTATCCATCCACGCCCAGGACTAAGGAGGGGTGAGAGAGATGGGGATGCGATTTTCTCCCTTCGAATGTGTTGAGCCAAATGCCAGGAGGTTCTCGGATGAAAACACCAGAGTGGGACTAAAATGGTGTCGAGCTCGTGTATACACAGACACAAAATACTTATATTACGCTGGGCTATTATGTTGACCCTTTGGGTAGGGGATAACTAGTCATTGATTGGTTGTCTTCGACTCTTTTTCTGCTAATGGAGCTAATTTCGCCACCCAAGGGAGCTGCGTGAAGGGCAAGGGGATAAACTATCATCTGATTGCATACAGACACACTGTGCTTGCAAGGTATATGTATGAACAATGTGCCTCCAACTGGTGTATGCACATCTTTTATGATCATATACGGAATACGTATGTGTCGACATAAAAAGGGTTGCATGTATATGCTCAGGCTAGCAATACAAGACGACAAAAAAGAAAACAAAGCAGCTTGCATGATGTCTCAAGGGAAGAGACGCAAGCAGAGCGAAAGGTGAGTCACAACTCCATGACGACTATCTTAAACTAGCCCGTGATATCACCATCGATGGGAGTGCATATCAAAAGACTAAGTTGGAATTGAAATGTCGCTCGCTCCCTCGCTCCCTCGCTCATAAAGACCAAACAGAAAGCCTGCTTGCCTGGTTCTCTCACAAAAGGGCGCAACAAGAAAGCAACAAAGCCACTGCGCCTTAACCCAAAAACCCCAGGCGCACACAGGGAAGATGTCCTCCGTTTACACGAGGCAGCGAGGGAATATCCAACAAGAAATTGCCATGCTTCAGTAGGCAAGTTAAATTTAGATTGGCTGATGCGTCAGACCAGGAATGAGAACTCCCGGATGGCAAGTTACATGTAAGAATGGCTTCCATCATCAAGGTATGGTTAGGCATTATTACTGAGAAGGCTCAAAATCCCCGCCAAGGTAACTGGGGAGGGAAGAACCGAACATCCATCTGAACCCTAGGCAGCGGCTATGGACATGGCGAATTGACCACTAAAATTTGGGTATGCAGCTCTCAGGGTTTGGCTGGAATCCCAGCTTTGGAATCCTAGCTTCAGGATCAATTTTGCAAAAAAGGTGGGAAAAAAAGGCAGCAAGGGAGAAAAAAAAAGCAAGGTTGTTGTAAAAATAAATGCTGCAGGCTCACGATATGATCCATGGAACGGAAAGGGGATACCTATACGCAGGTGGATTCGACGCAGTGGGCCATATAGGGATGACAAACGAAACGTTTTTCGATTTACGTTATTACACTTCGATGTGGAGGTTCTAGAGAAATGAAAAAACCGTGCCGGCCGCGTGACAGATGGATAGAACGGAAAGATGGAGAGACGATAGATATATTTGAAATAATACTAATGCTACGACAATGAAATTATCTCTGTGATCTACCCCGTAACTCAGTAGTGGTGCGCACGGTGAAGAAAGGCGGAAACAGAAAAACAAAGCGGACGGGGGAAGAGGGATCAATCAACCGCTACTTCGTACTCAGGCAGTTTCATCACTTTGTCCTTCAGCGGTTGGAACCGAGGTTAGCGAGTAAATATATCATTTTTTTTTGGACGCTGACGATGCCTTCATGTATTACTGCATTTGGAAGTGGGAAGCGGCCAGCCGTGTTCAGGATACATTTGAGAGCAATAATCCAAGTCGAGAGATGGGCTGCATATAAGCAGGGCTGGGGCGTCGAAGGTTGAAGGGCGGCGATGTCAGCCAGCATGCCAGACTCCGTAATCAACTAGCCCTGTCAGAGTTGAGTTGTATACTTAATAATAGTGTTGCATAACATCGATGCATCTGGTGGACGGAAGTAAAAGGATGCCATCATCAACCAGAATGAGGAGGAAGCTAGTATGATATGTAAGTAAGTTGGAGGGTAAAGAAGAGAGGAGGAAGACGAAAAAAAAGCAAAGGGGGTTACTCCGTAGAGAGACCAGCCATGCGCGTGGAACTCTTCCCAAAAGGAACCTGCGGGCCTTTTTCAACTCTGTTTTTTTGGACAAGCCATGTTCTTCGAGCGCTTCGATTCGTGAAAAGAGATCATTTATTGGCACTTGGGGGCGGCTCCTTTTGAGTCGGATGGAGGCACCCGAACTTGCCACACAAGCGGTAACTTGTCCACGTCCGTGGACCCAGGAGGGCTAATCAAGTGCCTCTTCCCCTTTCCCGTATTATTCCAGAGGGAAGACAGGCTCGAGGCGAGGGCTTGGGGGCTTTTCTTGACTCCCTCGGTTATTAGTTACCCTCCTGCCACAATGAACCGTTGTTGGCAAGGGAAGTAGTGGACGCGTGGATGAAACCGTTCACTCCGTCGTAAGAATGTGCTTACTCCGTATACTAAGCAGTAAGTACCCCTATACAGTAGACGGGACTCCGTATAGCCTCAGTCAAGGTAGCAGCAGTTACGGATACTCCGTCGGCCTGTCGATACTTAATGTCTTCCTGCCTTGCTCCGGGATATATAACCCCATGTCAGTCCTGGGTCGAGGTCCCTGGATCAACCCTGGCAGCCCTCGTCAGGGCTGAAATAAGTAAGTCGGACATGGCAGGATACCTGTAAAATAATAGTAATATCATCGGGGCGGGCCCTGGATCGTATATCCTCCATCACCATCTCCGTCCTCCATCGACTGGCCGCTGCTTGTTCATGCGTTGCATGCGAAGGAGGAAGAAGCAAAGAAGAGCGACGGGCAGCACATCCCAAAGCGGCAACTGGGGCTGCACATCTCCTTTTATGCCGTTAGTCAGCCGTCACGCCGTGGTAATACCGTGTACTGAAACCCAACACGACAGCCAAGATGGGTGAAAATACCACGTATATATATTACGTGGATGTGACGAGTTTCGCCCCTTTATCCCCTTATCCAGAGCAATATCCCATCCCCATTATCAGCTAGCCCAAGAGCCCAGGAGTTGAGCAGCAGTCGTACTTAGACTCCGCAGCCAGATGCAAGTACAGTGATTCAGTCAACCCTTACTCCGTATATCCCTGCCTGTGGCCGTGTAAAATACCCATGATGCTTTTGATACCGGCGGCAGCAGGGGGGGGCATCTGGCTGCGAAGATCGTTAATACCAGCCAGTTCGAAAGCGTATGCTCCGTATACTGAGTTAGGAACATCCTCTCTTATGCTCCGTCTGGCGTCCTTCCCTGGGCGAGAGAGAATAATGCTCCGTATTCGGCAATATGTATCCTCTTTTCTCAGCCCCATTTCTCGTTGGCTTCGAGAAGGACAGGCATTCGAAGCATCTTCTTCTCCCAGTTACCGGGATCTGGTGCGGACATGCCGTGTCCTGGCCACAGGCAGCTGCATTCCTTACCACTTAGAATTAGTTGAGTGAAATATCGAAAGAGTAACTCTGTACTCCGTAGAGTAGAGATCTTAAAATGTAAAGGGAGGATGCAGGTTACTGGCGGCTGGGTCTATCAGTTACCAGTTTGAGGGGAGCTGATGATGCTTGGATGCCTTGCTCCTGTGAGAGTCATTGCCTGGCTTGCATATCACATTTCATTCATCTGCCTTCCTTCCTTTGACCCGCTGGCCCGGTCCCATAGTTACTGCCCTCACCACAGACTCGAGCTCAGAAGGGGAGGTGGCAGGAAGAGAGAAATAATAATATTCATTAATAAAAGAGGAAGAAAAGAAAAATGTTGCTGCCTGAGCGACCTGTCGATAAGTTACTCGGTAGGGTTTTTATCTTCCGTTAAAATATGTATGCAGCCTGCATCTTGCATTCCCCATGTGCGACGCAGTCGGTGCAACTATTAATATAGGAGCCAGCCCATCCGTATCTGAGTTGTGATTGCGACATTCGCTTCGGCGAGAGTTCCGCTGTGCTGCTGCGTGCCACTGCGCATCATTTCGACTGGTATTTTTGATATCCAGCTGCTCAGTCCCGCTGTTTTGCTGGTACATGCACACGGAGAACCAACTCTTTCGACAAAGCTGTTAAGGGGTGATCTGAGCGTGTTGGCGGGCGCTTAGGTTTGTTTTTTCTTGCCCTTTTCATATGGAGGTCCCGATTTCTGTCCTTTATTCCTCGTCATCGTTGGAGACCCTCCCCCTCCCCCCGTAAAAGACATAATTAGTATCCGAGATCGTTTGTTCCACTTCTGTTCCGCCTCTGCCTTGTTGTTTCATGCTACCCGCCTTTTTCTCTGTCCTGTGAAAATCATACACGGAGAGTGATGTGGAAGCGTGAGTATACCGACATGGAGTATCACAGTTAGTGTGTCCTGTGGGTCGTGGCATGTTTCTCCGTTGATGGAAAAGAGCGAGAGTCAGAGTCGCTCTCCTGCTTCTTGCCTGCTGATCGCGCCTGACAGGAATAACTCTGTACTCCATAAGTAGCCCCAAATGGCGATAAAATCGGCAGCCTATACGTACTCATTCCGTAACACGAGAGGAAGAGCATGCAGCTTGGCCGCAAGGTTCGCTCTATTTACCTCTCCATCAAGTAGCTTGACGAGCGTGGCGTAGGGGGAAGCCAATAGCCCAGGAGACGAGCGATCTGACGCTGTTGGCTGAACTGCTGCAGGCTTGGGGACTGAACTTGCATGCATCCATCGCCATCCATGAGAGGCAGAGCAGCCCAGCCGGGTACCCCAGGGAGCTGATAGTGTGCAAGCCAACAGTTTGACCACCACCACCACAGAGAGAGAGAGAGAGAGAGACATACTCTTGGTCGTTGGTACCCTTTCTTCTTCTTCTTCCTTTTTTTTTTTTTTTTTTTTTTTTTTTTTTTAATATATATTTTTTCATTTTCAACGCTTTGGCGCTTTTGATACGGACGTGCGATGTTTGTTCCCCATTACTCTGGGAGCCGGGATGCACCTTGGTCCGTTCATCCACGCTCCCGTCCAGCTGCTGTTTTGTCCCTCTCTCTTCCGTGGGGAGCGAACAGGTCAGGCTAAATCAACAAGAGAGATTGTCCGAAGCCAGCGTGTGATTTGATCCCTGAAACAAGAGCCTGTCCTGACCCCCTCCGCCTACTCTCTGAGTTTTCGGCTTTGGTCCAGCAACCTGTCTCTTAGCGTGATACCGCTAATGTAAGACACTCCACGGGCAAATATTAAGTCGACAGGCAGTGTTCAGACGAGACTTTCCCAAGCGTCTTCCTGGTGGTGGTACTGGTGGTGGTGCTGCTGCTGCCACCCCCTTAAGCCGTATAGCCCGATGCTGGCTCTGTACCACAACCACCCATCGAAACCGCTGCGTCCACATCGAAGGAGCCCAAGAAACCCTAGATAGACCCACGCTCTCTCGCGATCTGGATCCAAGCACTGGATTGGCGTCTCCGAGAGATTAAAATACGGCGGCGCGCATCACGTCACAACCGTGGATGGCGGGCGGTTCGGTGGGCGTCTTTGTCGTTTCTTCTTCTTTCTTCTGGGCCTTCTTTCGGATCAGACTACTCTGATATTTCTCTCTGTAACGCTATGGGGAGTGCGGAGACCTCCGTACGATCCGGAGGTGTATGTATTGCTTCTTCTTCGTCGTCTTCTTCTTCTTCTTCCCCTTTCTCCTGCTGCCTCCTGGTTCATCCTCATCTTGAGTCGGAGAGGTGACCGACGCTCCTCCGCTCTGGCTTGACGCTGAGCTTCTTCCAGCAACCCTGAACTGCACTGAACTATCAAGGATCCCCATCGCCTGGTCAAACACAAACAGGCCCGGGTGCATGGCGGCTGCTGGAGCCATGGGTCGTCCTGCCACAGTGCATGACGCTGTTCTTCTGCTTGCTTGCAAAAATGAATTAAGAGTTATCAAAAAGCAAAGAAAAAAATTATATTATTCAATGCCCGGGTGGATGGGCCTGGATACTCCGTCCGTTCCTCCACTCAGGCGTCTTCTCCTTCTTTCTGCTTCCTTTGCATGTTTCTTTTTCTCTCTTTGCTTCTTCTGCTCCTGTCTTTCCTTTCGATGATGTCGTTTTACCTCCATAGTTTTTTATTTTTAATTCTTTCTGCGGTCTCTCTCTTTTTTTTTTTTCATTTTAATTTTCACAAGTAAGTACTCCGTAGATATTCACTACCGCCCGATCTCCACAGGGCCAGCCAGGCTATTATATGAGATCTTCTATATGAAATCAACCAGCCTCTCAACCTCTCTTTAGCCCGTTCAGGAGAACTCTATGTGGGCTCGACATGCTGACAAGCCTGCCGGTCTTAAACGCTTGGTATCCGGGAGAGCTCTGTGTGTGTGATATTATTGCCCAGGGGACCATCCATATCAAAGAGTGGACTTGCTGGCCTGCCTTAATTTTTCATGCCCTTTACAAAGACCGGCTCTCCCCACATCGCAATGGTCCCTGTCCCTCTTGTCACTGCTTGCTCCTTTTTTCTTTGCTTTTTCTCTTGAGCAAGGACTACTTGAACGGTTTTATTTCTCGCTCGTCATATGAGAAAACCGGACTGTCTCAATCAGCATTCATATATATGTATATGGCAACCACATCTCCATCTCCGTTGCTGACTTTCTTCCTCTCTTCTTCCTCTTTCAATACATCAACACAACGCCGGCCCTCGTGATACACTCAAAACAACACACATACACACCACGCAGCCAGACTCAAGATATACAACGGAAAAATGTTTCAGCAAGGCTCAGGTTATCTTGCTGCTGCTGCTGCTGCTGCTGCATACCCTTACTCAGACACCTTTGATCAGGATATCATCGCTTCGAGACAGGCTTTGCAATCTACAGCCAGAACAATCAGTGCCGAGTCCAGCTCCCGTCTTGCCAGCATGGCTCATCACTCTCCAGAACATACTATGTTGGCTCTATCAAACAGGCCTGAAGTCCACCGGAATGCCTCGATAAGCGCTGCTGGGCTGTCTCGCCCTACCTACTCTTCACCAAATACCCCCTTTTATCACCAACAGTGCGCATATCAGCCGGCTTCAGTGCCTGCTACGACCATGGCTGCTTCCTCATATTTCCCAAAATACCAGCAGACCCAGTTCTCTCAAGAGCAAACGGTCTCCTCAAATTACGTTTACTCTTCCGTTGATCAGTCATTGTCATCATACTGCCAGTACCAAATGACACCGGATGGCTATTACGACACTTACTTTCCTACTTCAACCATGTCCATGGCCTACACTCAACAACAAGATGTAGACATGACCTCATCTACCTACGACGCCACGCCACTCTCACATGGCCAGCTCTCTCTACCAGCAATGGAAAGCAATACCGCCTTCTCTACCCCTGATTTGCCCGCCAACCAGCAATTTCCTGAGCCAAAAACCCCGCCTCCACCAACCTCGTCAAACTCTTCCTGCGAAAGTGTCCGAGATGAAGATGATCTGGTCGGTGTTGGACTTTATGACGAACCACTGTCCACGTCTTACTGGGACGAATCGCTATCCAGCTCGGTCGACCCGATCCTGTATCCTTATCCAACTACACGCAAAGGTTTGAAGTTAGAAGAGACTCTCGACCCATCAACTTTAAACTGCAGTGATATGGACGCAGACGGCGACGAAGAGGAGGAAGGAGACGAGCAACCTCAGAAGGAACAACCTGTCAAGGGTTCACCAGAACCCAGCAATGCAAACGATCTGAACACTTCAAAAGAAGGCCAATTGTTCCCAGTGGACGATGATACTTCATATAGTAGTGCCCAGGTGAACTGGACTTCTGCGCCTCCAGTTATGCTCAATAGTTATGCTGCATTCCCTGGATCGTACCAAAACGTCTTTCCTACTATTTATTGAGACCCAAACTTGCGAGACCAATCAGATCGGCTGGGACGCTCTTGTTGGAAAACTTTTATCAACATTTTTAGGTAGATAGATACTTTACGCCATATTAATACTACTATTCTTGGTCTCCATTTCTCTCTTCTGAAAGCAAACCCGCCATCAAGTACCATGAAGTCGATATTTGCAAATTCAAACGATAGCCCTATTGTCGGATTAGTCATATTTTAATTAATTTTCATTGGTCAGCTCTATCAAGCTTTTAAGCTTAAACTAAACTTTATTTTTTCGAAAAAAAAAATTAAGTGATGTCAATTTTTTTATTTTGTATTTCTTCGGCGAACTTCTGGCAAAGGAAGGTGAGTGAGCTGAGAGAAAGGAGGAGGGAGAGAGGCTCCGGTATTCGGAAGGACTGTTGGATATACCCATATTCGCTGTTGTATTTGTCGGCTTTTACATTCCATATCAAAGACCGACGTGTCATGGAGAGGCCAAAAATAACGCCGTGGAAGGACCTTTCCCAGCTTGTCTCAGTTCGAGAGCAGTTCTATCGCAAGTCAGACGATGGCGAAGATTGCCGGGCCAAGGCTTGTTCGTTGGTGAGACGCGACATGTCCTATGTGTAGAAAGCAAAACCAAGCTATGTCATTTGCCATTTCGCTGATAGCGTTTCGATTTTTTGTCCTAGGTCTGGGTATGGAAGCTCAGAGGAAATCTACCACATGCAGTCGAAGCTACCGCACTGCTGACGGACGCGATATTACACGATGACCCAGAAAAGAACTCCATATTTTCGATTCGTGCTGCTTACTCTCTAGCTTTTTGCAGGCAGGTTACCCATCCGTTGAATTGCACTGGCGTATACTAACCATCGCCTTTGCAGATTTGTAACTGGTTTGGTCGACTCAAAGCTCCATGGCCGAAAACAGTCCATGTACCAAAAGGCAATGGCCGTTGGCATACCGGCTTCATTTGTAGAGCTACGCCATGAAGCTACTCATAGGGACTTACCGTCTCTTGTGGTTTTGAGAGATGCTGCTAGACGGTCAATGAACTGGCTCTGGGAATTCTACTGGGCTAAGATTGACGATAGCAGCCGCTGCATATGTGAACCCTCCCCGGGGGATGAGCCAGAACTCAACGATGACCAGAAATCAGACATTTTGCTGCAGAACCTAACCTTCCTGGTTCACCCGCTCATCAACTATATATATACAACAGCCGGAATTCATGGACGCCGGAACCGAAGAAAACAGCAGCCAGGAGTGAAAGAGGGCGCCATTCAAAACATCGTTGCATTATGTCGTAAAGAGAAATTGGCTGGAGCCCAGCTGGTAGAAATATTAATAGATCGGGATCTTGGTCATCTCAGTTCATGCGGTTACGGGTAAGTCGAGCCATGTATCTCTTATTGGAGTTTATCATACTGATTTTACCCCCTCTGAAGGAGGGATGACATGGGAGCCGAGGAGGAAGATGGGCAACTGTTCATTGTTTGGGATGATGTATTGAAGGAGTTATCCCGTTCCTACGAGCCGTTCCTTACTTTGTTGGTGGAAGGAATGACAGCTGTCTTAGTCTCCGCCGATGCAGACACTTTTGTGGATGTTGAGGATTGGGATGACCTAGTAGGAGAGACCTTCGAGGAAGAACTATTCCAGTGGCTGGAACATATCCTTACTGAAGACGCGTGGGTGTCACTACGCAATCGATACCTTGTCCCGACCCATGCTAGAGCTATTTGTCTTGAATCAGGCTCAGCCGAAGGGTTCTGGGCTTCAGAGATAAGCCGTATATTGCCGGGCGCTTATATCCCTCGTGAAAGTGAAAAATACACATCGTCCGGCGCTCCAGGCCCCCCGATTGATCAAAACCCGGACATAGCTGTGTTACAGAACTATGGGTGGGATTTTGGACAGGCGATATCATGCAGGCCGATAGGGGCTAGTATAGACCCCTGACTACTAAATATCACAGCCTGAACAATTATTGCATTTTATATCATTATTAATCACCTCAGCTTCGTTGTACGGAGGTCGGAATTCGGGGCATGCCGCCAGATGGCGGATGGTCCGCTATGTGCGATGAACATCCATGTTTGCATGTTCAGAAATTACTGCAAGCCTGTTGGTCGAAGCTGATGTTGTTAGCTAATTAGTAAGCCACAAACCACCTATCATTTGCTGCGCATTTGTGACTTCTGCTTGATAGTGTGTAATAGCTGGGGTCCTGGTGTATATAGACGGTCTGGTCCTTGGTCCGTTGTGATGGAGGTCTGAGTAAGCACATTTTCTTCTACGTAGGACGCCTGTCGAGATCTCAAGCCTGCCACATCCCCTCACCAACGTCATCTTCCTCTGGCCTCCGTCTCTCTCATGAACGTAGGAAAAGCCTTTTTCTCGCGGCGGTTGATATCAACAATAACCAAACGCAAGATGCATATCGAGTCGATTCCCATGTGTGAGTAACCCAACCAAAAACCCAAACTGCTGGCTGTAGGTTGTTGTTGACCATCTCACCATGCAGGGACCGGTACCGGTAACAATTATGCATATCTCATCTCAGATGATGCATCCAAAGATGCCATGGTGGTAGATCCGGCGCATCCACCAGAGTGAGCACCATCAGAAGCTGAGAGATGCAAGATGATCGCAGCCTTCTAATATCTGTACAGGGTGATTCCAGTCCTCACATCCCACATCAATGATGGGAAGATTAATCTAAAAGCAATCATAAACACTCACCAGTAAGTTTGTCGCCTCTTTGCAGTTTCTATGGGTACAACACCCAAGGCTGACCGTCCAAATAGCCACCATGATCATGCTGGCGGTAATGAAGGGATTGTATGCGACCCCCCATTCTGCGTGCCACAGCCAACTTTTCACATTTGGAATAACACTCCGATGTAGCACTTGTGGACGACCCGCTGACAAGAATTGCCTTGATATCTTTATAGCTCAAACAATTTGGCAAACTTTCGGTGATTGGCGGGAAAGACTGTGCCCATGTCACCCAAACACCCGAGCACGGTGAGAAGTTCAAGATTGGGGAGCGGATCACTGTTACCGCTTTACACACCCCTTGTCATACTCAAGACAGCATTTGCTATTTTGCCGAAGATGGGAACGAGCGCGTCGTATTTACCGGCGATACTCTATTCATTGGAGGTAAGTTATTCCAATAAAGCAACTTGCTTTTTACGAGAACCGGCAGTGAGGAATCCTGTTTAACACCTAACAACAATTGGCACGTATGCATGATGTAGGATGCGGAAGATTCTTTGAAGGCAATGCAACAGAAATGCACAAGGCACTCAATGAAGTGCTTGCCTCGCTCCCGGACGATACCAGAGTATATGTGAGTCGCCTGATCTCCGCTTGGTAATTTTCGCAGTGTGTGACTGATATTTATGACAGCCTGGACATGAATATACCAAGTCAAATGTGAAATTCTGCTCCACGGTTTCCCAGTCAGAAGCTGTTAAGAAACTGGAGGAGTTTGCCAATAACAACCAGCAAACCCAAGGAAAATTCACTATCGGTGATGAGAAGGTATGTTCTTTGTGTTGCAGCCATCGTACCGAAGCCTGTTTGTGGTTGGTGCCATTGTCTATTTGCAAATGATGCTAACGGCTCTCCATAGCTCCATAACGTCTTTCTGCGTGTCACGGTAAGGATACGGCTACCCCCAATCCCTACCTTATTAACCCTATTGATTATATGTCACTGGTAAATTAACATTGCATATAGGACCCTAAAATTCAAAAGGTAGTAGGGGCAACTGAACCGGTTGAGGTCATGAACCGTTTACGAGAGATGAAGAACAAGATGTAGTTCAAGGTATCTCCTGTGGCTAGCTGGCAAACAGCGATGTGTATGCCCAACAGTAACTATGAGTATCAAATGCATTAACATACCAACACAACCGGTATACTCCTTCTAGACTTAATTACATCTGCCCCAATCTTGAAATATTATATTTGTCTCAAATCCTGTCCCGGTATCTGCTCATCAACCGGCATTATATCCAACTCCGGCCAATACTAACGGGTCTGTCTGGCGTTGGCTACCACACGAGTGGGAAGGTAATCATTACAAACCAACAACAAAGTAAACTTAAGCGTTGCCCTCCCTTGGGCAACCTATCCCCTACCAAAGAGACCGCGAAAAGGCTCGCCCAAAGAGATTGTGATGGGACCGGTAACAGGAAACACTAACGTCAGCCTTGTTTAACCTCGTCCTACTTTGACGGTTAGACTCACGGGACACAACATCACCGCTATATGGGAAGCCGGAATCGCCAGGCACGCCATTCTCAGATTGCTTTTGTGTCAAGGCGATAACTAATAAGGTCGTGGACTGCAGCTGACTCGTGTGTGTGTGTGTGTGCGTGTACAGAGTATGCCTGAGATATATATAAATCGATCAAACCTTGGTAAAGAGAATGACCTGTTCTATTTCCAAGTTGAAAGAGGCAAGGAACAAGGGGTAACGAACCCGTACTACAGGGGAACCGGAAGAGCACTCTTGTCCTACTAGTGTAGTTTGCCCTATCTAGGTATCTCACACGGGATCATAGGGGGATTTAAGATATTAAACGGGAGTGAACCGGTTGAGAAAATTTTTAATATTGGTACCAACACCCGTATGCCCGTTGGTGACTAGAACGACTATGAACAATAAGTCAGGTTGACATGTCTCCCACACAGCCACTTATCTTCTCATAACCCATACTTAAATAGATGTTAGAAGTTAAGACCGGCCACCGGGGTGAGTCTAGCCCAATGGTAGAAGAAGATTGGTGGCTGAGACCCGTCAGGATAATATTGCTTCAGTGTCCACACCTGCTCGTCCTGGAAGGTCGAAAACGGCAAGTTCTAGCATTGTAAGAAGCGAGGGCTGGTTCAACTGGTTGGAAAGAATAAGGATACTAGGTCTTGATGGGTTAGCATTCTTTTGTTCAGGTACTTGGGTAAGGCAGATCCAAGGTCAGCTTCGTTGCATAAGCTGCCTCTCATCATCGTAGCAAGCTATCATTAGCCATTCAGGCCAGGAAATAACTGTTGTCATCTTCAATTTCGACAGGTTGATTCAGAGTGCGAAAATTTGTAGTCGAAAATGGATGGACCTGACGGTTAGCATTAGGTAGGCCCAGCGCCGAGGACCTAACCTAAAAGGGAACGGAACGGAGAATCTATTAAGGTTACCATGTGATTACATAATATTTGTTAGATTTCTGGCTCGTCATGATGGGAAAAGTCGTTGATATAGACATGAAGATGCAACGAAGTTGGCAGCAGATATCCGAATGACCAGCCGTGTGTTCGGGTTTGGTGCGCTGAGCCGGCACAAGCGCGCATTTGTATATACCCTCCACCTCGCAGGCACGTTCTGCTGGTTCAAGATATTCAATGAACATTTCTACGAGCTCAAGGCCTCGGATGGCCCATCTATGTATCCAACCATTCACTTTCAGGGGGACTGGCTATTGATATCAAAACACTACAAGAATGGACGTGACATTGGGCTTGGAGATATAATTGTCTACAAGAAACCACATGATTTCCACTCCGAGGTTGCAAAGCGAGTTGTCGGATTACCTGGGGATTACGTATTGAAGAACCCTCCATTGAACGGGGAAACGGTTGTGGAGCACGATGCACAGATGATACAGGTTCGTTGGATCGACTAACTATTTTTTTACGGATAGCCTAATATATTCCTGACGTGTTCCGCTGAGACGTTTTGCTAATGAATTATCATATGTAACAGGTCCCCGAAGCCCATGTTTGGGTAAGCGGTGACGATGCACCATGGTCGATAGACTCCAAGGACTACGGGCCAGTACCAATGGGCCTCATCATAGGCAGGGCTCTAGGAAGGGTCTGGTATCCGTTTAACTACGAGCGATTTCAAAACACGTTGAAGCCAGTCACGACAGCTGAACCATAGATACCGTCGTTGGAAATATAAATTTACAGGGCAAAGCTATATAGCAAGTTCTACTCCTAGTTCTAGAGAGGTTTGCGTATGGCATTCAAATGCTAGTGTACAATACTATAAGGACAAGCAAAATATCTTAATACATGAATCCTGAACCAGGAATTATCTGAAGGAAGCTGGATTTCTCCTCTTATACGGAAGCGGCTCAACGCGTTTCCTCTTCAGCTCAAGATCGGCTCCCTCGATTCCAAGCTCCTCCATGACAGATGCCATGTTGTCATCCCACTGGGTTCTGAATAGGGTTGCGCCAAGTGGCTTCAATTGGTGCCTCGTTTCTAAGCTTCGAAGGCGGGAGTCACGGTTGGCCTTCTCCGCGACAACATTTCGATCCAATGGCTTTTGATCCTTCTGCTCCATCACAAATATTGAGATTCTGTGGTAAGGACTGCCCTTTAAAGAATAAGGAGCTGTCCAAGGGAGGATAACTTGAGACTCAGAAAGGCCTTCTAGAGAAACGGAGGTTGAGGTAGGCGAAATTGGGACATTAACAGCTAGGAATATAGCCTTGTTGTCAAAGCTGTCTGATTCCAAATTGGGTATGTCTGGATCAACAACGGCAATAGTGACCAGTTTTTCACCTTTATCGAAGGACTGGATATTGAGGGAGGGAGGCACCATGCTGACACGGGAGTCAACGAACACGCCTGGCTGAATTTGTTTCTTTCCGAAAAAGAGCTGGACATCCACGATAGGATCAATATGGGGAAGAACATCGGGAATGACTTTCATCTGTGTCAGTCGCTGAATGAGGATCAATCGTCGGTATTCCCTCCACTTCTGGTTGGCCAGATGCCGGTAGATGGGCTTTGACATATCACCTAGAAATCGTGAGATTAGCTTCTGGTCCGCCCTGGGAACGTGCAATGATAATAAGAGCGAAGACATGTATTACCCATTCCATCCTCGAATCGCTTCTTAACCAAAGGATCATTGATGTCTGCCAGAATCTTCAATTTCTCCAGGTGCTTTTCCATACTCTTGATCCTCGTTTGCTGTTGTGCTTCTCCCCCAACTGTTGCTGGATCTGCTTCACGTAGCCTAGCCAGCCGCGCCCTCTCTTTCTCAATCTGCTGTAGTTTCTCTTCGCGGTCCTCCTGGAGGACTTTTCGGGCCTCTTGGAAGCATTGGAAGGGTAATTGTTCGAATGGGTAGTTCGGTGATCCTTGGAGCGCAGCACGACGTCGACGAGAACCGACTGGGAACTTTCCCGCCCTTATAAGCCTTCTTTCGAGGCGAGGGCTCGATACTAATTCCGGGTCAATGGCCTTGTAGAACGACTCTTTGGGGGCTGCTGCTTCTGTTTCAGCACTGGTCGAAATAGCTGCGGTTGACGAGAATGAACGGTCCAGCCGCAATTGCGACGCAGCGAGACGGCCTCTATACGCCTGTCGAAGGCATTGCAATATCGGCTTAGAAGCCGCTTCGCAGTGTGCCATTGCTGCTATGCCTCGAACAACCCGGGTTATGGTGGTGTTCAATTTGCGGTTTTTGCTTGTTCTTCTGGCCGTTTTTTTTGCTTTCGCTTTTTCCTTGAGAGCTTTTTTCAAGAAAATCCGCGCTAGTGCCGAAAAGGGCATCCAGCCAAAAATCTCAAAAAACTGCGACTTCATATTCTCAACTTCTTCGAAGCACCGACAAGACGCTCCTTGACTGACTTTTCCGTTTTGTTCGCTTTCGGGATGGCTGCAAGCAAGCCCATTGGAAGCCTGAGATGGCTGTTACGAGGGAGTAAAGGCGTTTTTGGCAGTCAACTCAAGGCCTCAAAGGTAATGATATATGTCTTCCTGTTGAAAGGACTCTGTGCATCATAAAGATCAAGGGCTAACGGAGATTGATTACAGCAATGTATGGCTAGCCAGCAGACTCGGGCGATGGCCACCGAAGCGAATCCGCGAAGCGGTTCGATATCTACAGCCCAGTCACCTATAATCACCAACCTCCGGGACGACATTCCAAAGCCAGTGTGGAATCCCGCCCCTGCCATTGTCACGCTCTACGATTTCCCCTCAATGGAACCAATCCAGTACCTCGAATATAAGCCTGAGCATCTTCTCCTTCCTCTGCGCCGTGACATATTACACCGTGCTGTCATCTACGAAGGTGACAAGACCCGACAAGGTACCGCGAGCACAAAATGGAGAGACGACGTACGGGGTAGCGGACGCAAGATCAGACCGCAAAAGGGCACTGGACGAGCTCGTCTGGGCGATAAGAAGTCACCGATGCTAAGAGGAGGCGGTGTTGCCCATGGACCCCATCCACGAGACTTTTCGACCGATCTGCCACGAAAAATTTACGATAAGGCCTGGCGAACAGCGTTAAGCTATAGATACCAACGAGGGCAGCTCATTGTTGTCAACGACAACATCTCCCTAGAGCGCGGTGCCTCCGTTCACTTACTTCACGATATCTTCCAAACACACGGTTGGGGCAGAGAGTTCGGCAGGTCTTCTCTCATTACCGAGGTCAAGAAGGAGAGGCTTTTCCGAGCTGTCGCAGAGATTGGTCAAGAGGCAAGGGCTTTGGATCGTGCAGATGTTGATGTGAAGGATCTACTCGAGACCGGACGATTGATCATTGAGAAGCAGGCCTTGGACAAGATGCTCGCCCTTCACTCGAGTGACCTTGGCCGCCCACTGGGTAACATGTGAAAGGGCTATCTATGGGCATATAATGGCGTACTGTGTAATATATATTTTGACTTCATTATGTACCAGTAGATTTTTCATGTTTTCATCCTACAGCTTCAGCTGGAGTTATAAGTTATGGCCATTGCAACAAGCAAATTCTCAGACCAACAGGAAGAGTACATATCAATTAGAATAACCATATATCATATATATACCTCTTCTTGTCTGATACCTTTTGAATGTATGTGCTGTTAACCCGGTTTATACCTATCTTCGTCATCCGCACCGAAGCTCCGCCGAGGGAACGAAACCGAACTTTTTTTCCCCGTAACTAAACTCCAACGCTGGCTTTCGGCAACCAGAAGCCGTTTAACATCCATCGCTCGTACCGTTGAGAAAAACCCAGGAATCCTTTCGGTTACAGCGCCTTTGCAATGTCACTCCTTTTCCTCAGGTCCAGCTGTGTCCGATCCTCTACACCGTCGAGCTGGTTCTCGCGGAATCTATCGCCTCAGATGCCACTACGAGCCAAACTCGAGAGCTCTGCATTCAGCGGAAAGGCGAGGGTGAGTGAATCGCAATGAGTCTCCGTGATTTTTATTCATCGTCCAGCTATAACTGATGAATCATGTCGCTCGTGATAGATGTCCTCAGCCGCTTCTCCTACCGGTGCGAAAGAGCTCCCTGGCGACGATCCCGACGATGTCCTCTTTTCAAAGCTCTACGGCGTCAGATTGATTGAGCTCAACCGACCAAAGAAACTGAACTCGCTCAATGGTTCCATGGTGCGGAAGATTCTTCCTAGACTCCAGGTATAGCGCCCCCGGCTTCGATCATATCCTCTAAATTCGGTTCTAGAGCGGGTTGCTAAGGCATGTAATACTGGATTTAGGAATGGGAAAAATCACAACTTGCCAACATTGTGATGATCTCCGGCGCCGGAACGAAGGCATTCTGTGCTGGCGGAGATGTAGCCGAACTTGCAAAGCAGAATACGGAGGGGGTTAGCGGCCAGCAAAAATCCAGGGAATTTTTCGGGCAGGAATACCAGCTTGATCACTATATTGCGACCTACAGCAAGCCCTATGTTGCAATCCTGGATGGAATCACAATGGGCGGCGGAGTTGGGCTCAGTGTGCATGCGCCGTTCAGAATAGCTACTGAACGTACCATGTTTGCCATGCCTGAGACCACCATCGGCTTTTTCCCGGATGTTGGCGGCTCTTTCTTTCTCCCACGCCTCGATGGAGAGATTGGTACATACCTGGCCCTTACATCTGAGCGTCTAAGTGGTGTCCAGGCCTTCTACGCTGGTATTGCAACCCATTACCTTCCATCCAGTGCGTTGGGAAACCTTACTACTCGACTCTCCGAGTTGGTATTTAGCGATACTGCATCGTTACGCACCCGTCTTGACCTCATCAACAAGACAATCTCCGAATATACGGTTTATCTCCCGCCCCTGAAAGAAGAGCCAATGCTGCTCTCCGGCAGCCTCCGTAAGTCAATAGATCGATGCTTTTCCGAGACAACTGTCGAGAATATCATATCTGCGCTGGAAAAGGAGACGGAGAACCCCGAGTGGGCACAGAAGACTCTCAAAACGCTGGCTCAACGCTCCCCTATTGCCCTTAAGGTCACGCTCCGTCAACTTCGTGTGGGCAAGTCATGGTCCATCGCCGAAACATTCCAGCGAGAGGACCAGATTGCCGGACATTTCATGGCTCATCCGGACTTTGTTGAGGGCGTCTCGGCCAGGCTTGTTAACAAACCGCCAACCAAACCAGTCTGGAAACACGGGTCACTTGCTGAAGTCACTGATGCTGAGGTAGACGAGTTCTTCCGTATCCCTGAAGGCGAGAACCGCCTACCATTATTGAACACCAGTACGGATTACATGGAATACCCACATGCCAAGTTTGCCCTTCCTACAGAAGGAGATATCATGAAATTTGTCAGAGACAATGCTCCGGTTCGTGCGAGCCAAGTCATCAAGGAGTTCATGGTACGAACCGATGCGAAACTTGGGGTAAAGGAAAAGGTCCACGAAGTCTTGAGCCGAAACACGAAAGAGACGGAAGAGGGCTTGGTTTTGAATTAACGGATGTGCTGTGGACATCTGAACTCCTGTTGTATTTTTTTTGCATTCTTCCGTTCCAGCTAATAAATAGAACAGGTCATTCGCCCGTATATATACAACACCGCGTTGCATTTTAGTTGGTACAATACTTATGTTGCGAAAGAGGTCGTGAATTCTCCTTGCTGCCTTGATCGTATTAAAGGACATGAAGAAGAGGCATCGAGCTTTTATTGTAGGAACGTAGGAAGTTCAATTTGGTTGCTTTGGATGAGAGTAATACTACTGAGATAAGATTTAATTATCTAGCCGGCGAGATGACTTGGTTGCACTCCAGCTTCACTGCGAGGTTTTTGGGCTGTGCTGACCCTGGCAGGAGTAGATACAGGAGAATACTTCTAGTACCTTAACTTGCGTGCCGGATGGGTATATCGTATATCTGTGGCTCTCAATCTGTGGCAGATATCCATTAGATATCACCTTCGAATATGAGGAGAATATGAGGTTCGCCTTGCGGGTGTGCTGGGCAGTGCCGGTGAAAACCCCACTCGCCGCCCCGTCTTGCATCAAGCAAGCTTCCATGGTGTAGTTGGTTATCACGTCAGTCTCATATTACTAAGTATGAGGAGCAGCTCAAACTGTTCTGACATCTGAAGGTCGCCAGTTCGAACCTGGCTGGGAGCATTTTCTTTTTTGTCTTTTTTTTTATTTATTTTTTTTTTTTTTTTTATTTTTTTTCCTTCGCCGACAGATGCTTCAGGGATTATCATTGTGTTTTATTTTTTATAGGAAGGTGTTTCCTCATATCATGATTCGCCGTTTGTTAATCAACTAAGGATGCACAGAAAAGGGGGAAACCGATTGCGACTATCACCACCACCACAAACAACTACGGCTCAGCAGAACAAAACAGAGATAACGACAACATCATTCATTCTCAAGGACCTCCCATCTGCGGAGCTGTGTAGAGATATGCTTCCATAACTCAATCAGCATTGTCGCCACGTCCGCTGACTGTGTCCCCTCCGCCAGCTTAAACTGGACCGTCGGTTGAAGCTCGCGCACATTCTTCACATCGTATAAAAAGGAGCCGAACACTCGTCCCAGAGTGCGCGGCGTCGGAAGTGTCATGCAGAAATCACACGATCCCGTCCCTGGAGGGTGAAGATACTGGTGCGAGACCTTCCGGTCTGCGCACTCGTCTGCAGTCAATGCCAGGAGGCCAAAGATCGCGCAGATTAGCTCCAACTGCATGTCCGTCGTCAGCGCCAGCAATGCCAGAGTGATCATCCGGACCTTTGCCGCTACGGGCACTGCTACGCCCTTGATGTATTCCCTCCGGCCAGGATCTCGCAGGTCTCTCATCTCTGTGAAGTTCTTGTCGTGGATCTGCGCTAGAACGCTGTACAGGGAGGACGAACCGAGGATACCACCAGGCAGCTCGCAGAGGAAGTGCCTAAGCACTGTGGATATGTCCTGGACGTGGGCATCGCCCTTCGTTCGAGCACATTTATACACATAACCCGATGGAAGGCGAATCGACCTCGTAGTTCGGTTGATCGTGTCCTTTGATCGTTCGGCTCTTACTATTTGATTTGCGTAATGGCTGTAGAGCGCGAGAACAACCGACTCGTCGCATGCGCTGCCGTAGCCGTATGGTGCAGAAGTGCCTGGTTGAAAAGGAAGAACCATCTTTCATCAGCTGTCAAATACCCTTTTGAAGAAGAGGCTCGGTTGCACGGGGACCTACCATGTTGCAGCAGAAAATGGATTGGAGCTGCTATGCAAGTGGGAAGACGGAGTATTCCTGGCTCATATTCCCTTGGGAAGGTGATATTACTCTCCCCTCCCAGTCGTGCAAGATCTTCAATTGCCCTTCCTTCGAGCATGCCAAATTCAGCATGGGCGTTTATATTCGCCATGGTTTTGATACGTCGCAAGCTGTGTTTACTGCCATCCTTACGTTTAACCGTCAGGTTAGACTTGACCTTACGCAGCCGGTTAAGCAGCGAGCTTTGCCTTGCGGGTGTATCGTTTTCTGTGACCACATGAAGTTAGTGTCTATTCGGCCATAAGATGCTTTCATCATGGAATGTTCTGCCCTACCTATACCAGGCATTGGTGATACCTCCTTCGAGATAATTACATCCAGCCCTAGATACCGAGCAGAGCCATTGAATTTGAGAAGTGACTGTGCTTTAATCAAGCCCCTTCGCTCTTCTATGCTACCATCCATCAGCCGCGGGCGCGCTGAAGCAGAGGAAGCACTGCTACCGCTCCTTCGTACGGAGTGCGTCCTACCACCTCTCCCGAGTGCCTGGTCTCGATCACAGTTATCATAGCTGTTGTTCGAGTTTTCCATTTCATGAGCAAAACATTGAGAAGACCCCAAGGGAACAAGGACATTCCGTGACCCTGCCCACGGCTCACTCATTGTTTTACTGTCGGAAAATGGGTTTGAATAAGCTTCAGATGGTGTCACCGGGACTGCTGGTTCAAACGGACTGAAAGCTCGCTTTGACGGATCATGGTTCACGGTCATGTTCGATTGTTCCGACAGGGCTGTGTAGCTGCTGGTCTTGCTTGATATCCCCATGCCATTGTATACATCTTCCCCCGTGGTGAGGGCGAGGTTCGTTGTCTTGGTATCCCGATAGGCCGTAGTCTGCGCGTCAGGATTATTGTATCCGTGTGGCAGCTTGGGCCTATTTGGAGAGCGATCAGGTATAGCCGGCGGCTTATCTGCAGGCTTGTCCATAAGGCTATCCCCTTCTGACAGGTGAGATTGCAACTGGGCCACCAGGTTTACGGCACTGGTACTTCGCAACTCGACCATAGGAGGATGGTCGCTGTGTGCCTCGGTTGTTCTTGTTGATATCTGCGTAGATTCTCCTCTGTTATCGGTGGGTATGCCTGAATCCCGGACCTTTTTTGGCGACAGCACGGCCGAATGAAAGACTTCCTGGGAAGAGGACGACCTAAGGCTGTCGCCTGAGGTGTTAGCCCTCCTCCGCTGTCGCCTTGCATTCCGTCTTGCTTTGGTATAGAAACTTGTCAAATAGTTATATGCTTCGGAGAGGCCCATTTTCTCCTTTATCCTTCGTCAAATCTGTATGGTTTTGCTATTTCGTTACTATTATTTACATCTTCTTATATATATATCATTTCTAGAGATAGGGGAAGTTGTTACCCAGGAGTGAGGGTGAGATCCTTCCTCCCCTGAAGACTCACAGCAAGGGAGAAGGCAAGATCTGCAGTGAATAGAAAATAGATACATATATTAAAAAATGGACAGCACCGAATGGTTCAGGTACAAGAGGCAAAAGACAAAACAGAAAACTTATTTCCATACAGCCTCCATAATTCGGTCTTCTATTCATGCATCATCAACGCCGAAAATCTCCGTTTTACCCAATGCCTTATTATTCGGGCTCTTTTGCCCACCCCAAAACATTAGACATGTGTGTTTTGGAGCTTTCCTTGAAGCCAAAATCACATATATATGCGGGCCATTAAAGGTGGAAATGAAACCGTTGGTAAACGAAGACAGTGCACATATGACGTTGTAATGCATTAATCCCAACCCAACGCCGCCATGGTCAATTGAGGAGTAAGGTAAAAGGAAGAAGAGAAGTAAGAAAATGAACGAGTCCATAAGAACAGGAACAAGAAACGCCAAATTATATGCACATGCACATGGTTCCTTTTCTTTTTTCTTTTTTCTTTTTTCTTTTTTTTCTTTTTTTTACATCATTTATCATGGCTCGTCCTGTTCACCATCTAGCAGTAGGTAATGAAGGATATCACTTAAAGCAAGGACTCCTCGGAGACGGAACTGGTCATCGACAACTACCAGGCGATGCACCCTAGATCTCCGGATGGTGTCAAGAATGGTATCCAGCCCATCATCGACTGAACAGGTATAAATTCCAGGGAAGTCCTGTCCATCCCTTAGTTAGGAATATGCTAAACAAGTTCGGAAGGGTAAGGTTTGGTACTCACGGGGGAGCGTTTTTTCAGTACTTCCCCTACCTCTAAATTGAGGTCATCATATACCCCTCCCTTGATTAACGTAATCACATCGACAGCTTCGAATACGTTGTATACAACACCTTTCCAAGACATGGTTAGCGATGTGCCGCTACTATGGGGTTTCAAAATGGTACATACCTTCGCTGTTAACAATTGGCACACTTGATATGCTCCTTTCAACCAACTTATGTATAACATCAATCACAGGGGTATCCATGGAAGCTGTAACTATGTCGGTATAAGTTCCGAGATTGATTTCCTTTAGCGGCTTCCGTAGCTTTTGTGTCTCTGCCACATTCACCGCAACAAACTTAAGAAGGCGATATTGCGTAAGTACGCTGACCACCAATGGCCTTTCAGTTTGACTGTCATATGAAACCAGGGGTACACGGCGTGCCCTGGATGATAACATGCTGCGACACGCCTCGTATAATGGGCGCTCTGGACCAATAGATATGGTTTCTGGGGGCGCTACGCCGAGCGCTCGTTCAACTTCTGTGAATACATTAGTAACGAGTCTCATAGGTAGAAGTGCAGATGGGGTCCCAATACATACCTCGGAGACTATTCAGCCGAAACTGGTCTATCTTTGCCAAAGCCTCCTGGTGCTGGAAGTAATACTGAATTACATTAATATAGTCGGACGTTGTCAAAATACCTGCGAACCTCGATGTTGTAGAATCCCAAAGAGGTGCAGACACAATTCCTATATGCCAATAATGAATTTGGTATTATTGGTTAGCCAATGACTTTTGCCGGGTGATAACAGGGCATGAGGCTCGAGTGAGAAAAGCGAACAGCCGAATAACATACCATTTTGAATCAGAATATTCAAACTCTCTTTCACTGATAATGAGGTGTCGAATACAATAAGTCGGAAACTGAGCGGCAGCACGTCATAACTTGTGCGGACTTTTAAGAAATTTCGAATGGCACGCTACAAGTAACGACGAATGAGTTAAACCAGGCAGAGAAGACGCAGCGTGAACGAGCACGAATATGTTCGGTTGAAAACGGATTATATTCTTGTTATAACTTTTAAACAAGGGATGAGGATGGGTGTCTTGTATCTTCGAATCTGGGGATTGGCCGGGGTATATATAAGTTGGACATGTACTGTCTCCTCATCACTTTTTTTCTTGTCCTAGGCCAGAAAGTATAGATGTATATAACCCAGTAGAGAGCATCCAGGGAGAACTGAAATCTAGGGAGGGTTGTAGCCCGCTGGACATAGGAACAGTCCATGCCACAGCTGGAAGCTGGGTTGGATAGAGGTAGGAAAGATGGTGTAAAGGTTGAACAAGGGAGAGACAAAGAATAAAAACATAAAACGGATATAACAGGAAATAGATACGGGGGCATAGGAGCTTACCAATGCCTGTCGTTCATCGTCATCAAATACTCTTTCCTGCTGTGTGGGGGTCGTTGGTCGCGAGTAACCTTGGGGTCGTAGATAGGAAGATGGCTGTACAAAGGGGGCTTCATGACTGCCCTTGGACCTACTATGAGCATGCGAGCTCCCTGCATTGGAAATCGGGGAGTCGGAGTGCCGGGTCGGGCTGGAATATTGCCGGGATAGTGAATCTTCCATACTCGAGTTATTCCACGGAACTAGGTAGCCGTCCGTTTACCAAACAAAGAGAGAAAGGCTAGCTTTGCCACACTGGAAGCTTTAGCATAGGCACTCTTTAAAGCCCCGCGGCTATTCAATTATTCGAAAAATTGGGTAGGTAGGAGGAAGATAAGAGGGGGGTTTGCGGTCGGTAGAGGTACAGCTCTACAGGCACTTGGTACGTGGGCGGCTGTGCTACTGAGTCTGAGGATGATGTGAAGGAGCCGATGTTGGGGTTCCGATCGAAGACAAGGGTAGCAGAGAAGCTGTATCTGGAGTCACCACAGCCATGCACTAAATTGAGATGTAGGATGCTCTGTGTTTGGGGGAAGGGAAAGAGGTGGAACAGCACGATCGATAAGCTGTTGTTGCTTGGTGGGGAGATATTGCTTTCCTTTGGAACAGCCAAGGTTACAGGCTAGCTTGCGCCCCGGATCCTGGGGGAATTGAGACGCTATCGGCCTTGCGCAGATATCCAGTTGCTCGGCAGCAGGGGAAATACTGAGGAGACACCGGAAGCAGGGAGTTTGTGATACTTGATATAAGGCAAAAGTTGCAGCGTCAAGAAGATGCGAGCCGGCGTCCCGTCTGTTCGGGTTTCCATTTTTGGATGGGGCAGACGCGCGGCCCGAACAATGTTCCGAATATGCTGATTCAGCAACCTACGTTGGATTGAGTTCCAATCTATAGACAACATAGAGCTTGAAAACGGAAAGAGACTATGGAAGGGACACTGTCAAATGAAAATGCTATTAAGAAACTATATCTTGGTCTAGAGGATAATGCAATCAGATGAGCAAAAAAACGCCTTTTAAACCTGCAAGCAAAGGAATGCAACAACGGAAGATGCAATGGGCCAGATCCAGTGTCAGGCATGCTCAAGCTATAATGCACGTTTCTAGGTTCAGAGAATAAAACAAGGGCCTAATATATATCATAGGAAGAGAGAGGTTTAGGAAATCGTCGCAGTGGTCGCGGGCTGGGACTTATCCGAATTGCCAACAGCCAAGTTCACCATTTTCTCCTCAAGCTCGGCCTCGGCCGCTGTGGGAGGTGTTTCTCGAAGACACTTTCCGGATCCCCCCTTGAGGTAGTCTTCGTGTTCACCTATAAATTTGCCTGCCTGAATCCACCTCTCACGGTAGGCCTGCCGTTTCTGAGCAGCTAGGGCATTCAAAGCTGGCCAGTAGACAGAATGGTCATACTCGAACTCAACATCTCCACCGGTTGCTTTGAGGAGTTGAGAAGGCGGAACATGCTGGCGCATGTCTTCGTTAAACTTCAACTTCTCCCTCGTCAGCGGGTCGATAAAAGGAGTGATCAGCTTGAAGAAGCCAAGAATGAAGAAGGACACTACAACGGATTATAGATTAGACGACAGATCCTGTAAAACAGCAAGAAGGCGTTTTATAAAAGCACTTACTATTAATAACTAGAGCCCTGCCGAGGCGCTCTGGGTAATGGTTTTGTAGGATGCTCAGAGTTTGTCTTCCCTGAGACAAAGTCGCATTCTGTCCAGAGCTGGTCTCCTTAAAATTCACGAGCAGTGCAAGAGACTCTTGGCCAGGGCCCATGAGATCGATGACACGTTCAATCATGAAGACGAGATGTTCGATCTGACGGGGACTGTGTTCGGTGTTCTGCTTGCTAGGATTAAGGTACAAACAGGGCCTAGCATGAATGTCATAACCCAGGATCACCTGTTTGCCGGTCTCATTCTCAATTGAAATGTATTCCGGAGTATGCTCCTTCACGCCGTACTCGCGACGCCATGTCAAGGTCGCCTGCAGTCGGGTCTCTGCACTAGCAACGTTCCACTTTGTAGCACGAAGGTATCGGAGTAAGCATTCTCGTGTGAGGAACATGCATTCGTCATCACTGAGTGGCTCACGAGGTGCATTCTTTGCTGACGTAGTCGGTATCGTGGTCCACCCTCTCACCAACGCTAGGAGGCTGTCGTACTTAGATTTCTGTTCGGCAGTTAGCTCTGCTGGCGGGGTAGGCTTGCAAGAGTCAAGTGGTCCGCGAAAGAGAGTTTTAATCAGTCCGTCAGCTGCGGATAACGGAAGGTCGGAGATATCAACGGTCTTTTCTGCGGGTTCGGGCTTTTCATTCTTATTCGCTTCCGTTTGCATGGTTCCTTCTGGCTTAACATTCTCCTTTGCAAGGTCTTGTGGCGGTGCAGCCGTGCCTTCAGAGGCCATATTGCCTTTCCCAGACCGAAGCAGAGCGTCTTGACCAAGCGCAGCAGAAATAACAGACCCAGGCTGCTCTTCTCTTTAGCCGTCGTCTTGGTTGTCGGTTGCTCGTCGTCTGTTGTGTTATTATTACGATATTCTTACTTGCTTCAGGAGAAAAGGGCGCCAAGACCTCGTTTCCAGGGGAGCTACGAGTGGCAGAATCTCACCGCCTTCGTTAATTGAGGCGCGTCTTTTTAAACGCGTCGAGAATGCCAAAATAGGCAACTTTTGACATCTTCGATTCTTTTGTATGATGCCGGCGGTTTCTTTATATTAAGCACTACATACCCATATAAGAATAGTTCAGTCGATAATGGCTGAACCAACGGAGCAACTGAACGAGCTCTTTGGCGGTTCTTTTCCCGATGGCCTTCCCCAGGACGTGTTGGGCGAGTTGTTGTCCATTCTGCAACTCCACGCAATTGAACCTCAGGAGCTCTTTTACAAGTGGGAATCTTACTGCCTGAAAATGGCCGGTGAAGAAACGGTTTTGAATCTGGACACTGTTCGCTCCTTCAAGCGCAGCCTTCATGATGCTATAGAGAGAGAATCGCGAGCAAAGACCCAAATGCGGGGGACAGAGAAACGAACTACGGGGCCAGCAGCACCTCGTCCTGTTGCTGGAGCGAACCAGGGGATATTTGATATGTAATTACTGCAAGAGAAAACATGTTGGCTTATGAGATGCTGATATCATTTAAGGTTAGATGATTTTGCACCCAATACACCGAAAAGGAACGCAAGTGGCTCGACAGGAAGCGCCGTAAAACGAAAGGCATTTGACACTCCTACAAACTCAAGATTTAATAAAGGCACGAAGCTAGACTCGCCAGGAAGCGTGAGCACGCCATTACGCACTGCCGATAGTGCCACTAACGGAAATTCGTATGGAATCTTTTTCACACACCATTAGAAGCCGCTAACAATTGGAACAGATCTACCCCATTCTCCGCACGCCAAAACAGTGGACAAGTTATCGAGACGCTTAACCCTAATATGAGCATGCCATCTGCCCCTCTGGCACCCTACTCGGACTCCCGCATTAGGCTGACAGCCAATACCGACATCAAGAAGTTTTCGTATAAACCCATGGCGATGAAGTTGTCGGAGGCTTCCGAAATTCTTGATGACCGAATAGACGAGTTCATGATGGTAGTTCAGAGCCACCACAAACTGGATGATTCAGCTTTTGGCAATGCCGCTCAGCAAAGCACACGGGAGGTTGTTGCCGTGGGAAGAATAGCATCAGATAGCCCTGAAGGGAAGCTGAATACTGCTTCTATTGTCCTCGAAACTTCTAGGCGAACAGGGGCCGGTTTACGGGTACCACTGAAGATCGATAAACTCCAACATATAAACTTCTTCCCTGGCCAGATTGTGGCTCTCCGAGGTATAAATGCTTCTGGAGAGTACTTCACAGTATTCGACGTGTTGACTATTCCACTACTACCACTGCCTGTGTCACTTCCATCAGAGGTGGAAGCCACAAACGAAAAGCTTGACAGCTTTGGTGATCAGCCATTGAACTATATGTTCGCAGCTGGCCCTTATACAACAGATGATAACTTAGCGTTTGAAGCTCTAAATGCCCTCTGTGAGAAAGCTGCGGAAGAATGTGTTGATGCGCTCATATTAACGGGGCCGTTCATAGACTTGGAGCACCCTCTTATTGCGGCAGGTGATTTTGACCTTCCGGAGTTGAAGGGCTTAGATCCGGATACTGCAACCCTCACCACCCTTTTTAAACACTGCATCTCGCGACCATTAACTCAGCTTGCTTCAAAGGTACCGAATATATACATAATACTGATACCTTCGGTCAGAGATGCTGTTAGCAAACATGTTTCATGGCCACAGGAAATCCTTCCTAAAAAAGAATTGGGCCTGCCTCCTAAACAGGCGAAAGTCGTCACAAACCCTGTTGCTATTTCATTAAACGAAATCATGGTGGGCCTGTGTGCTTCTGACTCATTGTATGAGCTGAGACGAGAGGAGGTAGTGGGCGGGCGGCCAAGTGAAAGCGATCTATTGAGCCGTCTGCCAAGGTATCTAATTGAGCAGAGACATTTTTCTCCAGTTTTCCCTCCAACAGCCCGGGAAAACCTCCCGAAATCTGGCGTTGAAGAAAATCTCCAAATAGGATCTATGCTTGATACTAGATATCTTAAGCTTGGGGATTGGTGGAAGGCAAGGCCTGATATCCTAGTAACCCCCAGCGTTTTGCCGGGGTTTGTCAAGGTTAGTATAGTCCATCCTCACATATTCCTATGTTTTGTCTAACGGGTCAACGTAGGTTGTTGAAAGTGTGCTTGTCATTAATCCCGGGAAATTATCCAAGCGGCGAGGTCCTGGAACTTATGCACAAGTTGCTGTTCATCCTCAAAGGCTCACTGAAGAAGAACGGGAGTCGAAATTTGTAGGGCACAAAGTATACGAGAGGGCAAGGGTTGATATAATTCGCATCTAAACGCATTTTGCACATGATTTTGGCGTTTTACTGTTTATTACTTCAGAGTCTGGTCTCTGTGATGAGATATTGATGAGAACATGTAATAATGTATGAATCCTAAACATACCCAGGGTATCTATCCTACTCCATAAACAATGAAAACCGCTAGGGCTGAAAATTCAATGACAGGCGGATGTAATATTATCATCTTAAACAAACCATCCGCTTCCTCCTCCTTGCGTTACTTCCCGGAAGTGCTGCTGTGCCGCCCCTTGCGCCTAGTCCAATATTATTCCCTCTTCGAGCAGGCCTGGTTTCGCCTCTCTCCCCCTGCACCAGCCGCATACCACTCATCAACTCTTCTAGTCCCAAATCCCGCCACGAAACCTGCCTCCTTGAGTCCATGGCTCTGGTAATGCCAAATGCAGCATGCTGGTCCGGAACTACATCGTCTTCATCTTCGGGGTTAACTGGTTGGAACTGTGGCTGTACGAATATATCCTCTATAGGGAGAAATGAGGGGATATTGGCGGGAGATGAAAGGTCATTCATCGCATTTATTTGCTGTTGTTGCTGGGAATCAGATGTTTTCATGGACGAAGGAGTGAATAACGAGGTATGTGGGCGGTTGAAGTCTTCAAACACATCCGCCAGACGCGGATGGTGGAGATGGAGGTGTGTCGCGGAAGAATCTTTGGACTATTTGAGTAGTTTAGCCATTGCTTCTATAAATAAAGAGATTAGGAGGATTACTATGTACCATCTTCTTGTTTTATCAGGGCTATCTTAGTATATTCTTGTACTTTCGTACTTCGCAGACTCATGTTGTTGTTGATATCAAGCTATTTTAAAGTTGAGCCTCACTGTTTTAACTTTACAATCACGTGGTAAAATCACCGCGCTTCCCGACGCAAGGGCCACAGAGTTAATAAATACATTCAAGCGAAATAATATAAAGAATCTGTTATTCGTATTTGCTTTTAGAAAAACCCGGCAAAACCCCCTATTATCTTATTGACCGTTATCATCTTTATTCCATGACGCCACATACCCGCAGATTGTATGCTTCATACCCTTGTAAATCAATGCAAAGAAGGACACTGGAACGTATAAAATACAGACACGACACAGGATCCTCATTGCCAACAGAATAAAACCGCGAAAAGATAATAGAAAACTGATATTGGCTCCTTCGCGATCATCAACCTGGTCAACTTGGTGCTCATTTGCGTTGAATTGATAAAAGCTGCCATTTAGAGCCCTGGAATGCACAGGACCTCACAGCTAACTAGTTGCTAACAGTTTAGTTCTGATTTTCGGTGCTCATTCGGTGGACAACCGGGACAGCGCTGGGTGGTAAACTTCCCATCTCTGTGACAACCATGTCAACGTATTCCGCAGGGGTAAGATCGTGCATAATATTCAAGAGCTGCAGGTTAGGCATCTCGCGCCAATTTTCGAGGGGAAGCTTGGGATTTTTCAAATGTGCTGGTATTTCAATAGCAGAAGATGAAGAGCCCTTGGATGTTTCGGGCTTGACATTTGTGACTGGTGGAGGGAGGTCGGTAAGTGTTGTACATGGTTCGGCAGCCACCAGTTCATCGGCCTCGGCTATCTCATTGACAACTATGCTGTCCAGTGCAACACGGTCGGTGAATTTGATAGTTTCACAGCATACAATGACAGGAATATTCATGCCTCCTGATTTTTCCTTGGCCGACATAGCTACTAGAGCAGTGCCGACCCTGGAGAATAAACCGCCATTACTGGTCATGGCATGCGCACCGAGGAAAACTTTCGTCGCATCTTTGACAGCCTGGCTTATTCCATTGATTAGAGAATATTGAACCCTTAGTCCAGCCTTAGCTAGGGTTTGGGCAAGATTTCTCCCTTCGAACAAAGGACGGGTGTCAATGATTGAGACACGGAATTTTTTCCCTTGTTTATGTGCAGTGAGCAACGTCCTCTGGACCACACTGCTGCCGGAAAAGCAGAGTATAACGTCACCATCATCAATCTTCCCGGCAGCACTATTGGCGATGACCTGGCCTGCAACGGTGATTTTTTCACGAATAAAATTGTCGATGAAATCATAAATTTCTTGTTTAGCATCTGGTTCGGGAACAGAAGGGTCAATAGACGAGACAATCAGCTTTAGAGCACGGATTGCATTTCCCTGACTGATTGCAAGGGGTCGGCAACTTGCCAAAAAGGCGATTTGGTGGCCTAGATGAGTTGTCAAGTGTCTGGTTAAGGATGTTCCTGGAGGTGTAATGTACGATTGAACAACCTTGACAGGAAACAATCAGTAATTAGTTCACCCTGTGCGGAAATATTGACAGCTAAAGGTTGACGTACCCGTTTGAACGCTAAGAGTGTAGCAACGCATCGGGCACTACTCCCACAAACAACATAGTCCTTAATCTGCATTCCAAGCGACAGCACCGCAGGATGAACATCCTTGTTTGCGCCCGCGATTCCAGTCCTCCTCGTATACCAGGGCAAATGGCCAAACACAGCAACGACCTTCTCATCAACGACTTCTCTTCTTTTCTTCTTAGATGATGTTGACTCTACCGGCGCAGGCGGGGTAGGTAACGTATGTACTGAGCCATGTCTTGTTATTGACGACTTGCTCGACGACTTTGAAGTATCTGATTTAATAGAAGCAGCCTTCTTTGGCGTCAACGGGCCTTGCGGTGTCGAAGTAGCTGAAGAAACGGTTGAACCAGTAGAAGCAGCGTAAGGAGCAGTATCGTCTTCTTGGTCTTCGCTTGTGGGACGAGGACGCTCCTGTTTCTCCTTCGCGCGCCTCGCAGCCTTCTCGGCTTTTGCTCGTTTCTTCAGTTCAGCGCCGGAGAGCTTCTCTGTGCCCTCCGGAGCAGCTGGTTTCTCCTTTGCCTGTTTTTGAGCGCTGGCGGGCTTTGGAGTTTTTGATGGTGCTGTGTCGACTGGTGGAGTAGATTGCGCACCTGGTTGTGTCGCGGCCGCGGGCGGAGTGGGAGCGCTTGCTTGGTCTTGCGGGGTTGCCATTGTACTAGCTGTGTCTGATATCGGGATGGCAAGCTGCTCGCTGCTGCAGTCACTGGCCGTAGCCCTCGAGTCTTCTTCTCTTGCGAAGGCGTTTGCGGTGGTGGTTGAGGTTATGGTGATTGTGGTGGTGTGCGGGTTTTGTGCTGGCGCCGGAGGTTGAGTCATGGTGGACACTCGTAACTAGAGCTATCAGACACAACAACTGCAGCCAAGACGCAGACAGGACAGGGCAGATGGTACAGAAACCACAGCAGAGATCGAGTTATATATATGTACGTGAGTGACTATCGTTACAGTGAAGAGCAGTCAGGTTCAATAATTAATATTAGGACCCAGTGACAGCCCTTGTTCATTTATTTATTCACAGGCTATCTTGCCAATTCCACCAGTCGACAAGGAAATATCACAAAAGGGGGGGGAATAGAAAAAGAGGGCAAAAAGGAAAAGAAAGGTGGTGTATCAAAAGGGGGGAGAAGAAGAAGAAGAAGAAGAAGAAGGAAAAGAACAGCTCGAATATTTCAACATGCAAGTACTCCACGCCCGTCCTGCCTTGCGGCCTTGAAAACACCACTAGCATAACCAAAAAGCCTCAGGCTCCCCCTAGGAAAGAAAGGATCGTATCTGTTTGAAGTAGAAAAGTGAGGTCAGGTCAGAGGTCTCGTTTCTCGTCATATAGGTTTGTCGTTCATCGTCAGTTGTCAGTTGTTGTTGGCTTCAAGTTCACCGAGTACCTTTCTGGCAGCATGGCTAGGCCGGGCAGGTCTCTTCTTGACGCCAAATCGTTCACAGTCGTCAGCAAGTTTTTTGCGGAACATGTTCAGGTCGGAAAGAAGGTCTTCCATCTCAGCTTGGACTTCAAGGGCTTCCAGGTCGAAACGGCTAAGTCCAGGTTTGCTGTCTCCTATCTGGTCATCAAAGCCCGGAGGGGCAGTGTTTTCCTTCTCTGCATCTTCCTCCAGTATTTCGATGTTACCCTCATCCTTTGCGAGCAAGGACCGGACACTACTCTGCCTGTTTCTCTGTTTGGGTACTTGTACCGGAGGTATAGGGTTCTTCAAGCTCTCTAATGCCAGCTTAAGGTGAAGACGGAGAGCCTCGTTTTCGGTCTGAAGTTGTCTGATCTTGGTTTCACTGACCATTTTCATTTCTTCCATCAACTGCTGCATCCTGGTCACCTGTTTTTGGTACTCTTCTAGTTTTTCAGTTTGCAATTCGCTTTCTCGCTTCGTTACTGCTTGCTGGCTAACACTGAGCTGCAGCGTACGAATCATTTCGGCCATCTCTGCGATTTCAGCGTCTCGTTGTGCAGCAGAAATATGGTCCTGATTGACAACAGCACGGTTACGGATGCGTTTGGCCTGGTTGGCGTAGCGAAGTGTCGAGAGTGTCTCGTCATAGTCCCCTGGGGCAATGCATGCTATCATCGCAGTCTTTGAATTCCCACCTAAACTGTCCTTGAGGAGCCAGGTGAGAATGGAGTCTCGGTAGGGGACAATATCCCTGGCCTTGCGTCCATTTTGGCGCTGTTTAGTGTCTGCCAAAGCCGCAATTACGCGGCCCAATGTAGTCAATGACTTGTTGATATTTGAACCCTCTCGCAGTCTCTTTCCAGTTGCCTCCGTGGATTTGGCCCGTTCGGAACCAGCAAGATCTACCAGCCGGATACGGGCAACTCGCTCCGTAGTTTCATCGGAAGATAAGTCGTGGTGAATCTGCTTAAGCATAATGGTGAAAACAGCATGTGATCTTGAGCTGGTATCGTTCATTTTCGTACTGGCAATTGTGCGAGATGCGTCACCTTTCCGCATGTAACGCATAATCTCATCAATATTGCGAACTGGTACGTCCGTTAGATCCTTCACATATGGTCCGTCTGTGGGGGACTCTCGGATTTTAAGATAATATGGAGGGTCTGTTCGAGGAACTAGCAAGTCACGGACATGTTCGTTGTATACCTCAAAATGGGAAACACGGACATTGTAAGTAATATCCGGCGAGTTTGAGTTCTCGATGCGCTGGAATAGATCCTCACATGTTCGAGGAATCAGTCCAGGCTGCTCCGGAGTACCCATCATTGTATAACTCTTCCCTGATCCCGTCTGTCCATATGCAAATATACATGTGTGGTATCCTTCAAAGTTGTGGTCCAAAAACTCTTCACCCAGACAATTATAAACATCTTCCTGTTCGGCATAGTGTGGATCTGCCCTGTTGTGTGACCAGAAGGAGTTGTCAAATGTGAAGCTCTTGTCTTCAACGGCTTTACTTCTGCTCTGGGCTCTTGCATTAGCGACATTCGCATTAGCAGACGCTGGTGCAGACAACGTCGTCGATTGTGTCCGAGGGTTCATCGAAACCAAACATTCCGTCCCATTACTTATTTCTACCCAATTACGTTAGAATTAAGCTTGAAAAAGTAGAATATCTGTATCCAAACGGGGGACATGTAGGGGGTCAAACCTCTCGGTAAAAAAGCTCTGACACGCACAACGACCTTGACGTTTCCTCCGCTGCTTATTGGCGCGTCGACCTTAGGTGCGGGTGCCATGACGCTTTCTCTCGATCGAAATGAAGGTGTGGACGCGGTCGATCTCAACGCAGCCGATGATGCGGACGTAAAGGAGGCCATGCTTGGTGTCGCGCCGGGATAATAATATTGTGCCGGAGACTCGACGGGCGGAGTGCAAACTCTGCCCTGGGAAGCAAACTGATCAGATTGGCCTCCAATGTTGCTGTAGAAGCGTGGATCCAGGGCCATATTCCTACTGTCGGACTTTAATATATGGGCAAATTCGGAGAGAATGTCATGAAGTCGAGAAAGGTGGTTATGAAACATGTAGAGTGAGGAGAAGGGTAAGAAGAAAAGAAAGAAAGAGAGCTGTGATGTGGAAGAGGTGTAGAGGAATGGGTGTAAGCGGAAGAGACCTGGCCTCGCTCGGCGTCTCCCGTGTGGATGTTGATATAAGTTGATATAATAAATGATGTAGGGTTACCTTTGTATCTTGGGGGTGTGGGAGGTGGTCACAGAGGCAATCGCATTATAACAATGGGCAAACGAGGAGCGCTGAGGGGGGATATCGATGCTAATACAGCTTTTCTCGCGGACAAGGACTTCTTCGTGAGCTCCCTAAAAACACCAGGTGTTAGCCCCTTGGAATCCTGTGACAGGCGGTTCCCCTGTAGAAGAAAAAGCTGGGGAAGTTCCGTTGCTGTTTCTTTGTGTTCTGGTGGCGGAGAAGACGAAAAACAGAGGAACTCACGGCTCAGAATCGCGGCGGGTGCAGAGACAGCAGGAATCGGTCTGACCTTCTGGCGGACAGCCTGAGAAAAGCGCCTGTTTTATGGCGGGCTTTGAGGATGTTGATCTGCTCCGTCTCACAGGCTTTGCTGGATTATCTAGTTCGCGGCTTTGCTTACTGTGAGAGCGGCCGGCGTTGCCAGGGTAACAGTCACGTGATCGGGTGTTTTAGGGTTTACATGCAAGTATCTGGGGATGGGATGGTTATACGATAGCTACACGATGCATGCATGAAACGATGGGTAGAGGTGGGACAAAGATGGATAAAGACCAGCTAGTTCAGGCTGAGGCCTTTACCAATGAGCTCCTGGCCGATCTCCTGCAACAGGGCCTTCTCCTTCTTGAAAGCATCGAGTGCTGTCTTCTCCGATATTACCGACTCAACCTCCAGCGCCATGCATAGCTCTACCACCTCACCCCCAGCCGGTGCATGGTGTACTAGGAGGCCTAGTGATAGAAGCAAGCCGTGCAGAGTTTCGGGACTCTCCTGCTCAGCCCGGATAGCCTCGACTACTGACGCAACTAGCTCAAACTGGTCAGCTTCTGGTAGAATTTCCGCCTCTGGTGGATCAAGCAATCTTTTATTGTGATTAGCCGCGGCAAGGTTGAAGATAAGAGAAGTGCCCGTTGCCCTGAGACTGCTGCGGTGGTCTAGTAGGGCATTTGTTGCAAGCTTGATGCAGGTGTGGCGGAGGGCGTCATGGCTTGAAAGCTGAGTTAGGTAGAGGTGAGATGTAAACAGGTTGCATGCTAGATGTGTCATAACAAGCTGCTGGTTGTATGGGGTGTCTGCAAGGTCATTTGCCCGGGACAGGAGAGTCAATATGGTTCCATGGCCGTGTTCCTCAGCAAAGTATCCGCTAACTCTCGGGTCGGCAAATGCGACTCGAAAGAGGTCCAGAATGGCAAAATGTGTTTCTGCCGGAAGGGAGACGAACTTTGTCTTCACAAAGAAGGTAAGTTGGCTGAGATCCGGCAATGGAGGTTTTGGCTGGTCGGTATTCGATGGTTTGATAAAGTTGACCAAGGCAACGATGTTGGAATCGCTAGCAGCAGCACCGACCTTTGACAATAGTTTATCTAAGGGGGGAACCTTCCTGTAGGAAATATATTGATCGATATGACGCTCTAAGCTGGGAAGTTTGAGGCTGGAGTGAGGGTGCGGCGGCCAGGCCATCCGTAGAAGCAGCTGTACGTTTCCTCGAAGTTCTGCTGGATTTGCGCCAGACCACTGGTTCTCTTTTTTGCCCTTTAGATAGGTGATAAAAGTTGGGGTTGCCCTCACTTGGTAATGAGAAGACACATCATATGCTCGGCCGATATCCACCTTAATTAGGACGGCTTTGCTGCCAGCTTCTTCTGCGAGTTCGTCGTACGTTGGGTATACTATTTTGCAAGGAGGACAGGTGGAGGAAGTGAAGAATATTACAGCACATGAGGATTTTGCCGATGCAAGTAGACTTTCGACCTCCCCAAGCGTTGAGGCATTCTGGACCTGACCTCTCGGAGGCTGTTGGGCTAGGTTGGTCCCCGCTACCGCTGTTCTTGCCGGTACTGATACAGGTGTAGGTTGAATATCAGGCCCCTGGGTAGCCCCGCGGAGCATACCATCGATATAAGGTTTCATCATCTGGCCGAAGGGGGTATTAAGAAAGGTCTCCGGGAGATTTCTGATGTGATCTGGAATCCCTTTGCCAACCAGAAACGTGGCTAGGTCGTGGGTGAAATTGTTACAGTTCCGAAGGAACAGGTCGTATGACTGAGACGAATATATGTTAGAGCTCCGCCTCACATTTATGTACGAAGGTGGATGGGTATATCATACACTCTCATGGTAAGTCTCAGTCAATGACTCCATGTACTCTGATATCACGTCCAAGGGCAGATCAGTACGTCCCAGGTTAATCGTCTCCATCGGCTGGCCATGATGAGTTGAGCCAGGAGCCGCTTGCTGGATACCTCTGCCAAAGAAGTATTCTGTCCCGTCCAGAACTATGGATGTATGGTATATTGCATCTATCTGCACGCCTGTCAATGGGAGAGAGAGCTAGAAGGATCTCTGTTAGCTGTGTATTCGGCCAGAAAATGAGGGAAAAGACCAAATTCCCGGCGTACATCTCTGGCAAGTCCCTATATGACGGTTAGCAGGTGTGGAGGCATCGCAGGGATGGGACGTTAGGTCACCTTGGAAAGGTCATAAACGTATAGTATAACATCCATCTCGAACTGGATATTGGGCGTAAATGATATTAGCTAGACAAATATCAGGCATGTAAAGATATTTATGCCCCGCTGGAGAGTAGACAGACAGGCAGCAAGAGGCCGCGCCTCTTCGGTGGCTTTTAGTTAAAGAAGGCCGCCAAGACGTTCTCATATGTTTTCTTTTAGTTAAAGGCCGGCCCCTAAGAGTCCGCTTGGGCTAGTTAAAGCAAGGCCCAGAGGCGGCGCCTAAGGAGTACGAAAGCTGACGTCGTGACAACGCCGGGCCAAGCTTTGGAGGCTTGAGGATCAACTAACTGCGACTCTCTTCAGACGGATGAAGATGGCATGAAGCATGGTACGTCAACCCCCTATCTACACTGTATTACATATGTTACGTCCAATAGAAGACTAACTGATGCGATCCGCAGCCTTCGAAACGTCGAGGTGCAGCAGCCTCGTCTGCAGGGCCGAAGGAGAAGAAACCGCGGCTCTCGAAACTTGCGAAAGAGAATAATATCACCAGTGAAGAAGAAGCAGAGATCAGAGAAGCTTTTCATCTATTCGCGGTAACCGATAACGAGGAGTATGCTTCGGAGAAAGAGGGCGTTATTGCGACCCGGGATGTGCGTCGGGCGTTAATGTGAGACGATCGAAGGGACAAACACTACCTACATATTCAAAATAGTCACTGATATGCCTTGGATGCCACAGAGCCTTGGGCCTCGCGCCAACAGACAACGCCGAGTTGAGATCTATTATCTCTGCTGTAGATCCGGCGGGCGAAGGGTTCGTGATATACGAGCATTTCCTGTCCGTGGCGGCGCTGAAACTACATAATCGGAGCGAAGACTCGATATCCGCCGAGGTTGAGCATGCGTATAGCCTGTTTACGCATGGGACGGAGGGGCCTATACTTATGTCTCATCTAAGGGCTGTTGCAAAGAGTTTGAAGGAGGACGTGAGTGAGGAGTTGATGAAGGATATGATTCGAGAAGCCAATGGAGGGGATGGGATACAGTCGGGTGTCACCATCGAACAGTTCAAGGATGTCATGAAGAGGGCCGGCGTGTTCTGAGCTATACCTATGCAATACCTGGTTAAGAAGAGACAAGGCATTTACGTATAAAAAAGGATCGGTGGCGCTGAAGAGATAACGTTTACTTGAAGCGTCACTTTGGTTACACATTCTGTGGATGGCAAGCTGTCTTTGATTCGTAACTAGAAATCAAACGTCGTCTCCCAAGAACATTATATACTGCTTTTGAACGAATAGAAACTGTTGGCCAAACAGCTCGGTCTCAGCTGTTACTCCTTGCCTGATCATGCAGAGCAGCGCATATTATACAAGCAAAACGCCATGCCAGAAAGTGCACCAGAAGAACATGAAATAGCAAATAAGGAGTCAACGAACGCCGTTATCATGATGATCCTGGGTATCATTAGATAGAAGAGAGACACTTCACCGACATATACCAGAAAGGTCGGCATATGTCTTCGAGTCTTGATTCCACTACAGGGCTTTTATCATCTGTGGTACCGAGGAGGCACTTGGATTCTCATGCGAGCCAATATTTGACCCGTTCGATGTTTTCATAGGCGTGGCCGGTTTCTGTGGTCTGTTGTCGATGACCGGCTCCTCGTTTCCAATAGAAGACTGACTGCTGTTTTCAGAAAGGTTCGAAGAGTGTGATGATACGGAATCGGTGTTGGTTCTCCTAGACCAGTCGGTCTCGTCTGCTCGAGACTCTGCGACACTTCCGGGCCCGCGTGGTACTTCTCCAAGTGGTATCCCATCTTCAACCACCTGCGATCCACTAATGGACTTGGTATCTCTACCAGGAACCGCCTGGGAGATACCCCTACTAATTTCAGGCGATGACCCTGCCAGTTCATAGCAGAGCATGAACACGCCTCCTTGAGCGAGAACACTGCTCTCGCTAACCAAGGTGACGTCCTCGTCACTCAGCCTGAACCAGTGTTCCTTCTTTTCCTTGATCCCATCAGCCTCAATGACGGGCTGGGGAACTTCAATAGGGAACGACTCCACAGGATATTTTCGGTAACAAATGTAGTGGCCGTTCTCATGACGTCCGTGATGCGTGATTACAGCTCGTAGCTCATATCTTCTATCGAAGCCATTGATTTCGCTTTCTGGCCGAGGAAGCATCGACTCAGAGGGATTTATACCCCAAGTTTCGACAACCTCGTCCTTGGAATCGCCGTTTGTTGGCATGGTACCCAAACACCATTCATCTAAATCCAAAGATTTTGGAAACCTCACATCCGCATAGTTCTTCCTTAGTGTACCCGTCATTTCGTCAAAGACGCTGCGGTTGATATGTATAATTAGAGATTTGGGTGGCCTTGCAATTACCGCCTGCTTCGACTTTGTTGAGGCGACATGATTGCGCGAAGAGATGTGGCATTTCTCCTTCAATGTCTTTTCGCTAAAATCGTCATTCTGAAGTGATTCAAGAACTGCATTCAACCTCGATTCGGCATTTCTTCTCAACGCTTCATTGAGTTTGCCCGAGTCTGTTTCCTCCTGTGATTCTTCCACTGGGTCGATTTTGCCTAGTAGCTGTTCGAGCTGCGCCTGTGTCCGTTGCAAGGTACATTTGGCGCATTCCACACCCTCGATGGTTTCTAAGCTGGTATAATCGTCAAGGCACTCCCTGATATCATATTCCCATTTTTTGCCCAGAGAAACCGTCAGGCAGTTAAATGGAATAAGTGAGAGGCCATCGGTCCAGCCGCATTCCATGCACCCCACTCTCTGGGCCAGAAGCCCCTCCAACGGGCTACAATAAGGTACACAGCTCCGATCTGTATCTGGCTCATCGGGGGTTGCCTGACCATCTTCGGTCAAAGGAGGACTTGGTAAAGTCGCTTCGGCGCGGTGACCATCTTGCCGAACTGTTTTGAGGCCGATATCACTGGTAATCCCCTTTGATGCTCCACGAATCTCTTTATCCACTTGGTCTGCGATGATGGAAAAATATTCCTGGGCGTCCTGTTGCTGCCAACTGCACATAGACTTGAGTTCCGCAGGTAACCACAACTTCTGGCCAGCATTTTCGGGATCGTTAAGCTTGTCTATGATCACTCTCAGAGCAATGTGTGTTGAAAGTGGGTGGCGGTGCCCCAGGTTTTGGATGTTCAATCCCAGGAACTCTCGCAACGAACGAAGGGAGGCAAGGCCTTGAATTATGGAATTCTGGTAGCAGGAATTATCCCAGTTCCCGAGCCCCGCAGGATAGACATCGTTGGACCCCAGTAGCACACTGCTGAGGCTGGTGTACGCTCTTGACCGCGGAAGCAACGGAATAATGGAAGTTGTGGTGTGACCGATGATTCTCTGCATTGCCTGTCCCTTTTCATACAAATTTCGGTAACCAGTATAAGACTCGTCCGAAGCCGAACTGTTCCGTGTTTTGTCCTTATCCAAAGCAGCCACAAGCCGCGACGGGGTCCAGTAGACGACGATTTTCCAGATCAGCCGAGGAAAAAAGTATGGCGAGATACCGAAGGTGTAGAGAAGGAAGTAGACGGACGCCAGAGAAACAAGAGCGTATACTAAGGAAGTCCTGTCGCCAGCGTGTCTGGAAGGAGGATCATGGTGGTTTCCGCGTATGCTGGCTCGCTGTCTGGGAGGGTAGTGGTAACCCGGGTAGGAGTTCATAGCTGGATGTCACAGAATGCGTGGTCGGCGGGCTTAGGGAGATGCGCAGGCGCGACTGTCACTAGCCGGCATATCTTGACGTCTCAGACGGTGCCCTGGATCTCGCATCAAGCATCTTTCCGCAGGTCGGTGAGGTAGTGAGCTGCTGTTGGCACGGAGAGTCTTCTGCGACGTCTTGATGTTTGAGGGTCACTCAGAAGGCGCAAGTTGTTGAAATTCAACTAGTTAAAAAGTTGCGTCACTGGTCTTTCTGCCTAGCCGGGTATTTTTTTTTTTTTTTCCCTATTTTTCCCTACTTTCTTTTCATTTCTCCCCCACAACGGAATAATGTAAGAAAGATAATCAAGAAATGTGAATTAGTACATTCAAACACGGGAGGTTCAAAAGGAATTATTTTGTTATACCACGAAGAAATAGGTAGATCCAGGATGGCGAAAACACCTAAATTGAAGTCCAATGGAAGATGTGGGTGATTTTACTGCTTAAGAACCGTTGTTGTTATTCATGAAGACACCAGCTAACAAGTGCCAATAGCAAAATCAGTACATTCCCGAGCAGCAAGACGAGAGGTTTCTCCATCTGTAAACGTTGACAAGTCATTGACTTCGCTTCCCCGGGCAGAGAGGACTAGCACCTCGGTTCCAGCCGTCCTTGGAACCCAGCATAACTCTGGGGTGTCAAAGAAGAGCAAAAAACCAAAATCAAGAGCCCAACGACTCCGGCAGGAAAAGGGCTTGGAACGAGCAGAGGTAGTCCTTGATAAACGAGAGAAAAAAGTTACCAAGAGCGTTCGCAAGTTTTCTGGCGTCAAAGCCCGAAAGGTGAGAAATGGCAAAAACACTATATTATGGAGGGGAATCTAACCCGAGTGCTTACGGCAGGCAACATGGGACGAATTAAACAAGAAGATAAACCGTGCGCCAGAAAAAGTAAAAGAAGAGGCTAAGGATGTAGATATTGACGACATGGACGAGATGGAGGCTGAGGCAACGATTCCTGCGCCTCAAGCCTCGACACATGTCCCGACGGAGACAGCGGAGCAGCCGGGACTCGAGCTCGACGAAGACATCACCTAATTGCTAGGCCGACAACACGCACTCAATAATACTTCATCTTTTTGGCCTTAATTGGTTGATCATGCGGTCAATTTCTAGCACAGAATTGCCGGTAACGCGGACTCTAAGGTTCTCGAGAGCCTTCAGGTCTTTTGCCTTCAGAGCCTCTTCGCCCGCCCTCGTCACCATTCCACACTTCATCCACATCTCGATCCGTTCAGACACTGTCAACGAAACGCACTTGGGGATGAACACGGATGCAAGCTTCGTGTTTCCTGCCCCAAGAATTTCATTATAAAAGGGCTATCATTGTGATAAAGTTAGCTTCTAGGCGGAGAAAGTTTGACAAAGGAGTGACAATTAAAACAAATAAGGGGGGATATCTGCTTCTAGAGGATAGTTAGCTTACCTCCCATCCGATTGGGGACTTCCTGGTCCTGCTCAAATCCTCTAGTTCACCCCAATCTCTTTTCGCAACAAGACCTCTCAAGCGCAACCACCAGTATGTCTTTTCCGGCACCTTGAAATCGTTTTGGATTTTAATGGCTCGTTTTCCATATCCAGAACGTATTAATCTGTAGATGGTTTCGTTAACACTCAAACCCGTGAACAAATCATTATTATCCGCAAGTTCTTTATCCAACCCATCCTGGATTTTTAGGAGGTATGCAGCATCATTTAATGATTTGAGTTGTGCCTGGACGGCTGTGTCTTTGGAATCTGATAGCAGCCTTGCGGCAACCCGTAGTTTGTCAGTTTTATTGTGTAGATCCGTTTGTTTCAACGCATCTTTGAGATGGATGTTCGACCCATCAATCACCCTGTCATCTTGATAATACAAATCTTTTAATAGCTCTTCGTCTTGATGCCTTGCAGATGCCTCAACCAACGCTGAAGCAATCGGTCGGTTATTTAATGTCCGGAAAAAGGTAGCTAGAGGCAGTTTGCGTTTAAGCTGAAGAAGGACAAACAAGATAAGGTCTGTGTCTCCGCTCTCAGTTGCCTTGTCGAGTGCGAGAGTGTCTTCTTCCATACTGAGAAGCAATGGAACTTGTTTCCCAGCACGCGGTTCATGGTTTAGCAGCTGCGTTGCCAAATGGGACCTGCCTTCCTCATGAGCTGACCGAGCAATGGATTCAAAGGATATTCCTTGTTTTCCTTGAAGTCTCTGTACAACTATCTGGCAAATTGAGTCATCATCTTCAGTAGATGACCTGACTTTCTGAATCGCCCAGTGAACGAAGATCTTGTCGGCAGGAAGGTGTAGATACTCTGAGACACGAATAGCCAGAAGATATTCACGGCGGTTTATCAGGCGTTCGATGAGCTTTTCGGGAGTAAGCCGCATGTACTGCTCGTACGAAATTGGTAGGCCAATCTTATAATCACGGACAGCATTTAAGACCCGGAGTTTCTCACACATATCGACGAATTCGTCGCTGTTGTAAAGTTCTAGGATGGATTTCCCAAAGGAAGCTGCCTTGAGTAATTGCTTTTGCCAATAAGTGTTAAATTCGTACCCGGCAGCGCATACGCACGTATCCACAGCCTCGACAAGGTTAGCACGGATTCTCTGGATATTTTCGTCCGCAGCGGATGATTTCTTCTCAAGCTGCTCAACAGAATCAAGTAAAACCGAAGCTGGCGCACTTGACCCAAGCCGGAAGACTTCCTCGGTGGCATCTGATTCATGTTAGCATACTTAGATAAACTAGAGTAACTTTGAAAACCTACCCGGTACTTTATGCAAAAACTCGCACACATCATTTGTTAAAATCCTGATTCCATCAATATCTGGAATTATGTGGACTTGACCATCATAAAAGTGTCTTTAATATATCGTCCGGTTAGAGTTGATCGTAAAATAGATACGAATAGGGAGTAATACTTCACCGAAGCACCATTAGGCCCAACCACATGAACTTCATCTTCCCAGGCAAGAACAACAGCATCATTCCCACACCATGTCACGGAACCAGGAGGCGTTCTAGCATGAGAATCGTATTCACTAAACTTGTTCTGGAAATCGCTGCTGACGACCCATAGTTTTCCATCCCCGGTAAACAAGGCCACAAAAAGTCCATTTGGCGACACACTAACGTGCTTGAAAGGCCCATTTTGTAGCATGCGGTCCTCACAGTCTGCGGCATCCACAACATATATAGTCTTGTCTATTGCAAGCAAGACCTCAACTGACCTGGAAAGGGTATACGTAGGCGGAATCAATGACCATGAGTTAATCTCGCCTTCTGGAGATTGAGCTAGCAACTTCGGGCGTGGCTCATCATAGTGCGATACCGCAACAAGTTGGTTATTTGATAGCAAAGCAACAAACCCAGTAGACCAAAATCGGCACCCAACTACGCCATACTCCTCCGCTACCTGGAAACCAGTTAATATGACGCAAGCAGAAGAAAATATGCATCATTTACTCACGGATCCTAATGAGAACGGAGTGAAGTCTCCGCTGAGGCCATAGTAGCAACGGACCGTACCGTCTTCAGTGATGGCCAACAGTCTCTCGTCGTCGGACCATCCCAGGCCACGAATGGACCCATGATCCCACTGCGCAAGTGTCAGTTTACTTTGAGAAATGTGTGAACTAATGAAATGGTATAACAGCTTACATTTATTCGACATATACGTTGTCCCGAGCATGAATAGATGTCAATGCTTGACTTCGATGTTTGAGCATCTCTGTATCGTTGCAGCCTTCGTTCGTCCCGATGGAGAGCTATATATTCGGTGAGAATAAGTTTTCATTAAGAATATTAACAGTGAGGATACCTATAGCGCCACCGTAAGGAGCACCCACGGCTATATAATTCTCTAGCTCAACATCTTCATCAAACACGGCGTCATAGATCCGGGACTTTCTATAGAACTGGTCTCCAACTCTTTCCCAGTCAACAAGGGGATTCGGTGGCGTCATCTTTCAACTGCATTCATAGCTTTATCAATGTCAGACAGCACGCTTGAAAGTAAATGAACAGCTGCACAGCAGGAGCGTTCTGTTTCAAGCGTCCGAGCTGATCTCCGCGCTTGACAGATGTTTTGTCTCCCTACAGAGTACGTTCGACGTCGAAATAACGAGAGGACGTGATTTATTTTACTAGTGGTAATTAATAGCTAGTTAGCTATGGTATCGCTTACGTTATAAAATACACTACTCCTCACAAGTTTCACCTTCAACTCCCTCGTCAACGCTTGCCTACAAGGCCGGAAATATAATTTAATCGATATCGCTTACTATATAACGTGCCAACACATACAAACAGGTATATTCAACATGCTTAACGCTATGCTCGGAATACTTCATAAAATTTTTGGTCATTTGAGCGAGCAGTTCACGTAGCATATTTCTCACGATACTGGCTTTTCAACTTCGCCAGAAATGCTATGTCTGACATCGGTGCTCGACTTGGAGCTATGGTCAATGATGCATCTCTGTTAGATATCGACGATATCCGCATCTTTCCAAAAATAAAAAAAATAAAAATAAAATAAAAATAAAATAAAAAATATTTTGAAATTAATGCTACGCTGGAAATATCCAGCTTCTTCATTCTTTACATGGCCATGCACCCAGAGCCTGGCTATGAGCAACGCACTCTATCACCAAGTTAAACCTCAGGGAACATTGTAGGGGAAATATACCAATATGGACGAAGTCAATCTCGCAGAAGAGGAGTGTTATCCAGGTCATCCGAAAATCCACCTGCTTATCGTGATATACAACTTCTACCATACTCCAGGACTATGATGCGGAATATCCAGATAGAGGAGTTACTTACCTCTGAAACATACTAAAGGGAATCTTGATACCTTAAACCTGGCTAAACAGGCCCATGAGATTATTGACCCTATACTTTCCTTCCGTTTAATGATAGGATATCAACTCTGAGCCTAAAAGACGAGATAGACAATAGAAAGACAATACTGGACAGGCACGTATTACTAACACCTAGGATGACATTGTGATTACCAAGGTCGACTTTGCTGAGATATGTGATCGGGTCTGGGTATGACAAGAGCTATGTTACGTATTTTTAAGAGTATCAGAATTCTTGGTACACATAAAATACAAAAAGGTGCGTACCAGCCATTAATTCGTGGAACGTTCAATAACCACTTGTTAATCAATATTGAAAAGATGCAGGTATGCTGGTTTCCAATAATAAACTGTCCTGGATGATGGAAGGAGGACTATCTAGTAATTATTGTTTCTGTGACTTGTTCCGTATAGCTAGTTGAAAGTGCATGGATAACCAGAAATTATCTTCCGGAGGGTAATAGTATAGGTCAATTCGACGGAATGGAGGTTATACTTACGCAATCAAAGCAAGAGGGTTAGCTCATAGGGGGTTCAAATGGTGACGGAGCAATTTGGTAGTGGAATAAAAGATCTCTTTTATTAGCGGTGACAGAGCAATGGTATATAGTAGGTATAGGTTCCATTTTAAGCACATTCTAAGCTTTGAAAGCTTCTTCTTATCTCATACATATAATGGAGAAACGTGCCAAACTGGAGAGCAATATATTTACAGTGTAGCATTCCGCAACCAGCTACGATGGAGTCTCCGCTTGTCAGAACTGTATTCTCCCCTGCCTATTTACCTTTAGACCTGCCAAGGTGGTCCAAGCTCCACGGGTGGGAATATGTTTATTCCAGCCACGTGGCCTGTAAGAATGGACCTCACGGGACCCACCGGGAGTTTATTGTTTATTACAAATCATATTCATATTATCACGTGCCAGATTGTGTTGAGAAACCGACGTCCGTCAAGGAAGGCCAAACCAGCAAGCTAATTGTTTACTTAAGTATTCATCCCAATGTTGTTCTCTGAAGGATGAATCCACTTTTTGAGCAAAATGGATACCCGTGCCGATATAGTTAAGAAGATAGAGGACCTTACGGATCTTGAATTTGCTGTTTTACTTTGCTTAATTGCCAAAGAGAGTTGCATGATTGATACCCCATCCAACACGTTGGATGACCTTGTCAAAGAATTAACATTAGTACGTGCCCTATATAGTGTGGCATGCGATAGACATTCTTACCGAGAGTAATAGATTTCTCGAGAAATATTTGGCCTGTCTTATGCTGTTATTGACTGCACTGCCGACACATCTCTTGAGGAGTTCAATACTACCATATTAGAACGTCGACGACGACCATCCGAACTCCTTCAAAGAGAAGAAAATATTTTAAAGGCAAGATTTGATAAATTCTACCCCTACCCTGAAGACATACTGTATTCCCTTTTTCATCTCCATTTTACTGCCGTTACTTTTGGGGCCAGTTGGTTGACTAATTTAGCCTTAATATAGACTAATGGAGCTTCCCAGCGCAACTACACCGATGTTTCTACAAGGGGCCATGACAGAAATGAAACAGTTAACGTTATCATTGCCAAAAATTATGACCACATCTCCCAGAGTATACAAGTACAGACACTGGAGGTATAATATTTCCCCTTTTTAGATACGTTGTTATTATCGTTCAAAGCTAATTATAAACGACATCCTAGATGCTACGTACCCGGAGAATTCGTACCAAAACCGCTACATATAGTGTTCCCAACAATTTTATCTTTATACCCATTCTTTCTTCTGAGACGCGACAGCTGTCTTCCCGGTTAAACAACCACTTAGTACGTTACTTCCCCTCCCCCCCTATTTTTTTTTTTTTTTTTAAAAAAAATAATAATAATAGGATACTGCTCACACGGTACCTAAGAACGAACATATATCTATCTCTCACTATCATGATCCATCCGCTGGCCTTGTAAACCTGGAAGGTGACGGTAGTTCCCTAGTTGACGAAAGAGGCTCTCCATCTTCCACTGCTTGGAACTCATCCTACACGGGAAAGCTGACTGAAAAAACTGCGGTAATTTCAGAAGAGGTCCGTTAACAACGACCATAGAGCTTGAGAAGTCATGCTAACTCCCTTTCGATATAGGACATTGATTATTTAAGAGGCCTAATTCCGAGCGTGACAGTATCTACTGAAGTATACTGCTATACCGAAAATATTATCAACTTTCTTCGCTTCAATCGAGCCGTATTCTGCGGAATAACAGCCCCGGCTACACGCCAGTTTCACAAGATAGTCAAGTATGGCAATTGAAATTCTACCCTAGTCTTTCCTGGATGCTCACAATTGAGATAGATGCCTGGCGTCGCTACATGGAGTTGACTACGTCCCGCCTTCCCTTGTGGCTTTGGCAGCGAAGAAGATTTACCGTCACCGTATCACCGTTGCAAAGCCTCAGGAAGACCGCAGTATGATGTATGGCAGTGATATTAATGCTGTCGAGAAGATTCTATTATCTGCAACTCCAGAAAGCATAGTGGAAGACGTGTTGGCTGAAGTCGAAGCGCCCTTATGAATTCTATCCCCTTTGTTACTGCATCCTATATTTATACCTTCCTGACAAGGATGCAACTAGTCTGCGGCTGCAACTTCCGATAAAAACGCGCCCCAGTTTAGAAAGTGTCATCGTGGTGTTGTTCTATACAACACTAACTGCTGTCTAAGCGGGCTAATTTTTCGCGACCACTATATATGTCACTCACACGTGTTTGTTTCCAGCCACAGATTGATATTTTATTCTATTACCAAGGTGTACCGCGGCATATTATTTGGCTTGGGGTTCTCATAGACCAACGATATTTTCTGCAGACTGCCCCCGTTTTCTCACTCCGAGTCAATAACCCCTAGACTTGCAAACAGGAGATTATTGAAATCTCGTGCGCTAGCTGTTCTTTTCAGGGCCACAGCCTCACACTCCCACTCAGGCCCATTGCCACGGAAACGGAAAGCTAGTGAAAGTTCCTACCAAAATATGGCAGCGGCCGGGGCTTCACATCTACAATGGTTGAAGGACGCTATAGAGGAGTTGGATGAGGCTGCATTAGATCGGCCTCTAATATTCAATTCGATAGGCGATATTAGTAGCTGTGAAATGTCTGTTTTTGGCCCCGCGAGATTTGACGAGGAGGGTAATCCAGCTTTTTACGTGAGTACCTATGTTGTTTCCCCCGCTGGTTCTTTTGGCGGTTTATAAATACATATTTCGACATTTTATGCTCACAAGACATTGATACATACAGTTCCCCGATATTTGTTTTGATAACTGTTTCAGCAACTTACCTAGTGGGCTTCACCCGGACAACGTGGTTCGATATAAATTCCAACTTACACGAATGATGCTTCTTATGCACATATGGCTTGTCCAGCTCGGGAATGTAGGACTGAGAACACTTGAAAATCTCCAACGAGCGCACGCATTTTGGAATTCGATGAATCTAAAAACCGTTGACGGACGGATGTATGCCTACTACCAGAACTGGATACCTGATGCTATTTGGAGACTGAGATGTGATATCCTTCGAATATGTGGCCATGGAAAACCGAAAACTGAATCGCGCCCAGGTCCAGTAAAAGGGGTCGAATTCCCCTTATTGTCAGAAGGCAGAAAAAAGTGTGAAGCACGGCACGAAGCGTTTCTCAAAAGAGGGGAGGAGGAAAAGAACGAGTGCAAGAAGGCCACAGAACACCAGTCGATGAAAACCTTGTGCTCTCAGGTAGTAGGTGAGTTAATCGACGACGGTCCTTCTAAGCCAAAATGCCAACGAAATAAGGCGGAGAATTCCGGAAATGAAACTGAAAATAAGCCATGTATTGCCTACTCCGGTAGAATTACTCGGTCAAGACACGCAATGATGGAGGCGCAACGACGGAGATCACCCTCATACTCACCATCAACTGATAGTGGTGATACTTCGGAGTCCTGGCAATCATATCAGAAACTCCCGGTTGTTGATCTATTTGGCCATGCAATACAAGCGGGTGAAGATATCATGCCGCGCGCAATTAGAAGCAAGGCAGCACGCTCGCCCAATAAGTAGTCTGCACGCGTATCTCGTCACCGCTACACTGGCATGTTGTCTCCAAAATTTCAGCAAGTTGTACGGTCTGTTGCTCTAAGAGATCGGTCCCCTCTTTTTCTTTGGTTTTGAGTTAGATGGGACATGGGAGCGTATTGTTCCATGTCTATATAGATATTATTCATCATTCTGTTTTTTACGTTTTTTTTTTTTTTTTTTTTTTTTTTTTTTTTTTTTTTTTTTTTTTTTTTTTTTTTTTTTTTTTTCATGAATATGCTTGGATATGTCGCGTATGCGGGTTGAACTGGAAGACATAAGCAAGAGTCTGGGAGCCTAATTGATTATAGTAGCTGTTCAGATCCTTGGAAGGATATCGAGGTTGTCTTGTAAAACAAAGTTGTGTACAGAAAAACGAATGAAAGATATAAAAGCAGAGGACAAGTAGCAACGACAAGCTAACCACCAACTGAGTCTGAGACACTGACAGATGTAAGAGAGAGGGAGAAAGCAGGGCAAGTTCCTCAAGATGAAAGATAGTCTAAAGCCACGGGTATATTAAAACGAGAGAGGCATGCTTAAGGAGCAGAAAGCAAACCAAGAAGCGCAACAACGCTAAAAAGCTAAGATCTGATAAACATTTCTCGAGGAGCAACATTTCCATTGGTGACCCCGTTATGGGTGCCGTTGTGAGTTCCATTGCGAGTGCCGTTGCTAGTACCGTTGCGGACACCATTTCTGGCACCGTTGGTAGCTGAATCGTCGCCGTCGATAGGTAGGTCATTCAACTTCTTCCACTCATTGAGGATAGCTTCGATTTCGACCCTTTCGTCTTCGACAATGGCATCCATCTTGATGTCGTTCTTGTCGTAGCCAAAGGGATCTTCGAGTTGAGAACCAATGCCTTCGATACCGTAAAGAGTAAAGATGACGAGACAGACAATGGGTACAGCCCACCAGCCCATATCATCTACCATTGCAAATGGAAGCACACAGCCGAACAAGGCCAGGACTTGCTTTTGGTGAATCCTAATAAATCCGAGTTAGCAGTTTTGGGGTATTACATCCGCGCCTATGGAGCCAGCGAGAGGCTAAAACAAAACTTACAAGTGAGCAACGGGGATGGGGGTCAACTTGATCGTTTCCATCTTCCCGTATGCATCGATCATGGCGCTGACCTGGTTGCCCATCTGGTTGGCCATAGGGGGGTCGTACCAGCCTCTGTCGGCGCCTCGCTGGATGAACGCATCGATGGGGAAGGTCAATTGCAGCGGCAGGCCCAGGCCGTCGGCCTCGTGAGCCTGGAACCCAGCAGGCAGTAGGCTAAGGAACTCCTGCTTGGGGCCGCCGGCTTCCTGTCGACGAACGACGTCTGCAATCATGTTTGGATTGGAGACGGCGCCCCATTCGGTGCTCCATTCAGCGCGCAGATAGCACTTGACGGCATACGGAAAGGCGATAAGCAGACGGATCGTCCGCTCGATATCCTGCTTCTCAGCGTCCGAGAGCGGGCCATTGGGATTTCGAGAAGAAACCAGGATCGTTCGGGTGAGGTTACGAAGCGCGGTGGTGATGGTCGTCAGACAGTTGCGGCCGTCCCAGAAGCGATTGTAGGAGGTCTGGTTGCGGAAGACGAGGATGAGACCGACGACGATGGACAGCGAAGGGATCTAGGTCGAGTGATTAGAATCCAGGCTGGCTGCAGGGAAGAAGCAAGCAGAAGCAAAAGCGAGGCATCGATCTCAACGTACGATCGTCGGTGGGAACGCCCACGGTATCGAATACATGCTTGTCGAGTATGACCACTATGACGGTGAAGATGGCATGGCCGAGCACAGGCAGCAGGATGGCTCCGTGGATGGCGCCCTTGATGAATCGGAGAACCAGCGGCCATCTGCATTCCATTCATTCATCTATGCATTAGAACTGGGTGTCTAGGGGGAAGCAAAAAGGGGGCGATGGCAGCTATGGTCGGTACCTCCGCGGTTTGGTGCGATGGGACAGCCTGAAGGGATAGGTAGGCCGTCGGTCATGGTGCCTGGCGCCGGCCTCCTGGGCGGAGCTGGCTACGGTCTCTATCGGCATGATTGAGGGATGGCTGCCTCTGCAGAGAATCAAGATACTTCGACGGACGGGCAAGACGGGCGGAGGAGCGAAGTCACTACTTCGCTGCTAGGACGGCCTTCTCTGCGCTCAGCCCCTGACTCCAAGCCTGGCCGAGGGATGCAAGCAAAAAAGAAACGAGATATGACAGGACTCGGACTCGACCAGCGGAAGAGGATTGACTAGTTACTGCTCGGGCTGGTCGAGATAAATAAATAAATATATATATAAAGGGACTCTCTCCCCTGTCTCGGCTTCATCCTTTCACTGCGCGGTTCCATGTGGGGGACGGGTCCAAGGGCTGCCTTAGGGGCTGTTTCAGGTGGGCCCTTGATGGGCCATGTCTAGATAGTCGAGCAGTAGCCAAATCACCAGCCGGCTAGTAGTAAGTAGGTTAGCAGCTATGGGGAAGCAATTACGTTGACGATGGCGACGTTCGAGAGTTAAGAGAGTACGAGGAGGGGGCCCGTTCCTTGCTGCAGGGCATGTATAAAAGCATCACCCCCTTGAGAGCAGTTCATTGGTGATTTGGCTTACTCCAGAGTTATGTATTTTATCCAAGAATAGTGAAGAGAGACAGAAGAAAAAAAGCAATAATAAAGATATGACATGATGTAATCGCAGGGAATCTTTTGAGCTGCGGCGGGGAATCAAAAGAAGGATAGTATGGACAGGAGAAGCAGACGAAGGACAAAGGAGAAGTGAGCAAAGAATGGGAGTTGATAGCGAAGATATCATGGTGTAAGAAGTCGCTCAAAACGCCGATGGGGGGAATAAGCAGTAAGTTGATAAGATAGTAGCAGGCAAAATCGTGCAACAGGGATAGATGGACAAATGCCGACCAAACAAGAGAGATGGATAATGCAAAAAGAGAAAGGAGGTAGGAAAGCTCGGGGTTAGAGCCGCCCGGCACGGCCGTCGAGGGCGAGGAGTCCTGTATCGTTTCGTGGTGTTAGGGGATCTTCGACATATATGGTGTCTCGGTTTGCTCTGTCTGGTACCCGCCTTCTACCCATGCCTGCTCTGCTAGTTGAATTCGGAGATAATATGTCGATGTTCTGGCTGCGGTGGACGTCGTTTGCATGAGAGACTGATGGCGCCTCTACAGCCGGGTGAAAGACTTCTCCGTCTGGACCGTCTGATGGCTCGTGTTCAGGTTCCGGTTCCGGTTCCGGGTCAGACTCTAGGGTCATGTTACCAGTAGCAGTAGCAAGGGTTCCGTCTGTTTCTGTGTGGGTATAGACAATAGGTGGAGCTGAATTTGAGTTGTTGGCGGTATGTGTTCTAGAAGTGTTGGTATCGGATGTGTTGTTTTCGGGGGCCTGAGGCGGGAGATGTTGCGGTTGCGGTTGCGGTTGCGGTTGTGGTTGTGGTTGTTGCTGTGGTTGCGGCTGCGGTTGCGGTTGTTGAGGTTGTTGTTGTTGCTGCTGCTGTGTATTAGGGGAAGGATGGATTTTATCTTCGTATGGGTCGTTTGAGTCGTCTACTTCAGCGTTTAAATCGGTGTACGCCCGACAGTTTGGACATTGGAACATGGGGTATTCAGGGGAATGTATCAGCCGACGGATGCATTTGTAGTGCCAGACATGAGCACAGGCAGCCATGAACAGGCATTGGTATGGACGCTGTAAACTGGTTAGATGGAATGTTGGTATAAAAAAAGGCCAAATATAAACAGGTAAACTCACCAAGACAGATCCGAGACATATGGAGCATTCCCTGCAACCTTCATAGTCTGTAGCATCCATAGAGCCCTTTCCAAGATTGGTTATAAGAGCTTCGGTGTTTTTACTGTACGTCTTGTTAGCAAGTTCACTCCTCCACTAGGAAAACAGATGAAGATGAGAAATGAACAACATACTTAAACTGGTTCGCTCTCTGCTGCCACATCCGGTTGCACTCTATACGAATGCGCACGCATCTGAAAATGAGCTCTTCACCGCCTCTAAAATCAATCCCTAGCTGTACGATATCACCATCCCGCACGGCGTACTGTCTCGACGGCACATTAGGCTGGCTGAGACGCATGTGGTTGAGAAATGTGCCCGAGGAGCTCCCAACATCCTTGATGTGCCACTGGCCGCCGATGAAGGAGAACTCGCAGTGTTTCCGGCTGACAACCTTGGACTTGAAACCAACAGGGGCCGAGGATGACCCCGCGGCACCTTCAGGGGGTATACCTTCACGCTCGGAGTACCGACCTACTTTTATAATCGTGGATTCGTCTGTGATGGTCCGTGTCATGGGAGCGAAGGGGAGTGAGGGCCGGGAGTTCTGGTGGGGGTCTTGATAGGCGAAGAAGCGGATGATGGACTGCTGCTCCTGGTGTTGCTGCTGGCTGGGCGAGTTTGCTTCAGGCGTAGACATCTCTGTTGACTCTCCTGCTGCCGGCGAAGAGAGACCGTTCTGGGACGTAGGATGGGTCGTAGAAGCAGTCGGCTGGCCTGGAGCTCTGCCGGTCTCTACAGCAGCGACGGCAGCGGTGGGAGAGACGGGCGAAGAAGTGGCCGCGCCAACGGCGACGGAGGCCATGTTCAGGGCCTGGGCCATGGTGTAGCTTGTGGTATCCTGCGAGGCAGAGGCCTGCTGTCTGCGAGACCGTAAGCCAGCGTCCGCGAGCTGCTCTGGCCGGTCTTCCGACGTCGAGGACTCGCTGCTCTCGGCGTCGGAGCGACTGAAGACGCTGTACCGCTGCGACGACGACTCGAGCTCTGCCGAGGCACTGCGGTCGAGCTCCGCGTGTAGCAGGTCGGAGTTTTCTTGCGGCTGGCCGTTGCTGTGGCTGTTGTTACGGTCGTGGCCGTGGTCGTGGTCGTGGTCGTTATCGTGGTCGACGTCGGTGAGGTTGAGGTGTTGGTGTTGGTCGTCGTGGTGATGGTGTGGTGCGCCGTCCTCCTCTCCTTCTGGGGCTGCGGGAAGATGCGAAGAGCCCCGGCCGACGACCCAGCTAAGCCGCTTGCGATACGAACGGTGGTTGCTGGACGCTGAAGGGCCTGGGACGGTGCTGGGGGCGTGTGTCTGCGGCCGTCGCTGGCTCAGACGGCGCAGTCTGCTTCCAAACGACGGCGTGGAGGTCGACGGGCAGGCCGGCGGCGCGGTGGTGGTCATGGATGGACTGGAGGTCAGTGGCAGCCGGTCAGCGACAGAGGACTCACGGACTGACAGTCAGCTTTCTGTGTCTAGGGACGATGCCATGCTTACCCGTTGGACGCTGCCTGGGACAAGGAGGTGAGGAAGAAGAGGCAAATATAAGATGCCCAAGGGGTGCTGCCCGTTGATGCCGATATAAAATATAACTAGAGGATATATTATATTCGTTATATATATCAAGCGGAGCCGGTGCCGGGCAGTCTACCGTCAGGCCGTCTAGATATATAACTTGCGGCTTGCTTGCTTGCTTGTTATGGTCTATCGTGTTTGTTCAGGATGGATGGGCTGTTCTATAGCCTGGCCGTGGTGGAGGGACGACATGCAACGGGGAGACAAGCGGCAAAGATGGAGACGACAAGACGAAGACTGGGAGGAAAGGAAGAAGAAGAAGAAGACGAAGAAGAAGATGAGAAAGACGAGAAAGAAGCGATATCGACTTCGCCTCCAAGCCGTCCGTCAACAAGACTTTCCTCCTACCTACGCCCAACTACGCCGCCGCTGGTGGCACGACCAAAAAAGCACCTCCCAGCCGCTAGTTAGCTGCATCAGGACGACTAAACTCGAGGCTAACGGCGCAAGGAGGAGGTCCCGTGTGCCCTTGCTTGCTATTAATTATTTCCCTTGAGAGGCTGACGGACTAGTTGGAAGAGACCGCAACAACAGTGTCTGTGACCGCTGCTAGCTCTTCGTACTTGGGTTTCAAGTTTCATGTTTGTCCAGGGGGTGGCTATCCAGCAGCGCAGCAAGGAGCCAGCGGAAGAAAGAACTAAAAAGCCGGGGGTAAGGAAGGCTACCTTAACACCTCCTGGCCCAGAGAGCAAAAAGGAAGAGGCAGGCCAAAAAAAAAAAAGGCGCAGACTTCCTCCAAGTGAGCATGAGATGCCCAATTGCTCTTCTCCCAGTCGGTGGGCCTCTCGGGGGGTGATGGAATCAGATATTGCTTTTTCAACTCTTTGATCTTCGCTGCATCATTACGAGGGCGACAGGCTGATGGATGTACGATGGAGATATGGAGGCGATGCAGCCGTGGCCGATGTACGGAGCACCTGGCTATTGGACGGGGGCCAGTGTTGAGTGCTGAAATCTACAAAACTATCAGCTCGACGGAGTAGCGACGGAGTATATATGACCATCAAAGCCGGCACCGACGCTCGAGAACGCCTGGAGATACAGTTTGGTGGCAGCCGGAGGAACAACTAACTCAAATAATCGCTGTCCTGCAGTGCATCGGGTCTGCATATCGCTGCACATCGGTGTCCGTTCAGCTGAAATGCCAATGATGATGCCCTTTCGAGCTACCCTGGCCTGGCTGACTCGGGCTGTCAAAGACTATCCGCAGTCGTTCGTCCGCCCGTAACCCGGAGCACCCCGAAGCTACTAGTTATATACAATAATCTATAGTTACGGAGTACGGCAAGCCTCTGTGAACGAGAGGGAAGGACAGGCCGAGACAGACAAAGAGCCAGCCAGCCTTGCTCCAGTTGCACTCTGACGCGGATCTCCCTACGGAACACATATCCAGGGCGATCATATCGACCAGCATTGCTCGTTTCTTTTTCACATTGTGCGTGCTCTGTGGGAGCATGCGGTGAGAGACAACCATCTCGGGCCAGTTGACTGTGTGAGCATATGAAATAATGCAATAAAAACAGGTCGTTGCTGTCGGATAGGGGGCTGTTTCAGCCTTATGGGCCTTGCTGGAAACATCCGTATGACCCTCATGTTGGAAGGAAGAGCAAACAGGAAAGGGGGGATTGAGAGAAGAAATAAAATGAATCTGACACCCAGGGCAGAGGGACCGGACCAGGACGCAGGTACGGAGAATTTAATCGGTGGCTTATGAGAGGGAGATCTCGTCCTCGGTGGGATTCAAGGGACCAAGAAGGTTATTGAAATAAGGCGCTCTCCCGGTCAGGATCGAGTTACGATATATCTGCTTTTTAAAACAATAACTATACGACCTGCTGCTATAGTTTGCATATCTATCGAACATCCAACGTCTGCCAACATCAACTCAACGTGCAACTAACCGACCCGACACAACGTCTCTGCATGTTATGCCTGTATGTCTATATCGTTATGCATGAAGTATGCGAACGCGGCCAGGGCATACGCCATCAGAATCATCTGACCAACTCACGCTGACCCTCGGCGTTCTTCATATGCTGCCGATGCTGCTTGTTGTGCCTCATCCCGGCCAGCGCCACCCTGCAGACCTGTTGCATCCACCAGGCCTACGATTGGTCTGCCATGACGAGCTCTGCAAGAGAGCAAAGAGAGAGATGCATCTTGGCCGTCCAGCTGCATGATCGATAATATGCTTAAATCGGCCGTTTCCCATCAGATTTACTCCAGACAAGCATCAGGGGATCTCGAAACTTTCCAACTTTTGAACAGAGCACAGAGTATGGGGTTATATCGACACTTGGACCCGTCAAGTCATGATACCTGCACTACAGAGTATGAGCTGTCGAAGATATCTGAGCCCGAGCAAGGAGACGACCACGGAGCTCCCTCCAATGAAGAAGAAGGTAAAGCGGCCTGACATATCTCTACAAGGGCATTGGCGAGACGAGAGCTCCGGCTTGACTTAAACTGACACCGACTCACTCGATACTAAGTAGTTACTACTGACTTACTTGCAGCGAGTGATGCTGATCTTCGGCGCATGCTTAAAACTAGAGCAAGCCCGAAAGAGCGTGGAAGCGAAAGCGTGGAAGCGTGGGAGCTGTCATCTCTTGGTTGCTTGCATCTCGTAGATCGACTTTTCATCCTCCATGACTCTCTCTTCTTCTCTTCTTTGCTATCGTTTATTCGTTCTCTTCTGCCCTCTTCGACGGTCTATATATTCGTTTTTATATACGGAGTAGCTTTGTCGTCGAACCATACCTGTAATTACCATTGTTACCACATCCCGAAGAGTAAACCATGTAACATCCCGGTATTTCTGATACATTTCCCAGCCACAGAAATAGAGAAACACGCGGGAAAGGAGAAGAAAAGCCGAAGATATTCGAGCAAGAACGGGAAGAAATAATAATAATAAAGAAGAGGAAGAAGAAGAGTAAGAAGAGGCCGACTGTATAGAAGAGAGCCTGCCCAGCGAGGACTGCACCGCCGCAGCAGCAGCAGAGACAAAACGCCGGCTTCGTCCCCTTCGCCTGTGGCTTTCAGCATCACAAGATCTGTTTTGCTTCTTCGTCTTCGCCTTCGCTATTTATCCCAGTTGCCATCGCCGTCGCCGTCTTCTGCTCTGCCTGGGGATGACCTCGTCTGCTGCGTCGCCGTCGTCCTCGCCATAGCCAATCGAGCTCTCGCTGTCCCTGCGTCTGGCGACTCCGTACGCTCTTCGTCCAACCTGCCGAGCTGCTTCGTCTTGAACGCAGGACGAGGAAAAGAGAAGGAAATTAAAAAAAAAAAAAAAAAAAAAAAGGAAGAAGACGACGACGAAGAGGACGAAGAAGAAGCCCCTTCGTCCTCCCCGTTGCTGTCGCTGTCTGCCCAGGAGGCAGCTGGCTAGCTCGCTGTCGCAGAGCTAAGACTCCAGGAGCGAGCAGCACTAGCCTAGTTAACCTACCTTAAAGCTGCCCGTCAACGACGTCAAACCCTCGACACCACAAACAACAACACCAAACAACATCGCCAGCCAACAACCCGCCCACCGACAACCACGCACTTCTACGACTGCTGCAGGCTAACGACACAGAGCGAGTCGCGGGAAGAATGGGAAATGCGTGTCTTTCCTGCCTCACAGGTACTGTCGGCCTCCTTCTGCTCACCCCCCGTTGGTGCCACCGCCCGTCCGTTTGCTGACCTGGCGGCTCCCTGTCGAAACGCTTGAACAGGTCGATCGAGGGACAGCCTCTACGAACCAATCATCGCAGACAGTGAACGCGAAGCTGTAGCAGACCTCTTACAGTATCTAGAGAACGTACGTCTTCCTCTGCTCCCGCTCCTCGGCGAGCTGTCGGGCCCGTGTTGCTGAAACCTGCTGTTTTTCTCGCAGCGAAATGAGACAGACTTCTTTACCGGCGAGCCACTTCGGGCTCTCAGTACCCTTGTCTACTCGGATAACGTCGACCTCCAGCGAAGTGCCAGTCTGACCTTTGCAGAGATAACCGAGCGAGGTGAGCTACAGGGCACTGGATGATAGAAACAGAAAGACAGAGAGAGAGGGGCCCCGCTTTGGCTAATAGCTCGGTGTTTCGATAGATGTCCGTGAAGTCGACCGGGATACGCTGGAACCCATATTATTCCTGCTCGAGAGCCCTGACATCGAGGTCCAGCGGGCTGCCAGTGCTGCTCTGGGTAATCTTGCTGTCAACAGTATGCCTTTTCTTCTTCTCCTTTTTTTTTTCTTTGGTTTTCTTTGTTTCATCTACAGAGACCTTGGAAGCTGACCAGATATTACTCCTAGCCGAGAACAAGGTGTCGATAGTCATGTTGGGAGGCCTTGCTCCTCTGATCCGGCAGATGATGTCTACCAACGTCGAGGTGCAGTGCAATGCCGTTGGATGTATCACTAACCTGGCTACCCACGAAGAAAACAAGGCAAAGATAGCTGGCTCTGGAGCTCTCGGGCCGCTCACCAGACTCGCCAGATCCAAGGACATGCGTGTACAGAGGAATGCGACTGGCGCTCTCCTCAACATGACTCACTCAGGTACGTATCCATGTCAGCATCTTCGGGTTTGTTCCCCTACTAACGTCTTATCCTGACAGACGAAAACAGGCAGCAGCTTGTCCTGGCTGGCGCGATACCGATCCTGGTCCAGCTGCTTACCTCACCAGATGTCGACGTCCAGTACTACTGCACCACGGCGCTTAGCAACATTGCTGTTGACGCTCTAAACCGGAAGAAGCTTGCGCAGACAGAGTCACGCCTCGTACAGTCTCTAGTTCAACTAATGGACTCGTCTACCCCCAAAGTACAGTGCCAGGCAGCACTAGCCCTCAGGAACCTAGCTTCAGACGACAAGTATCAACTGGAGATTGTCCGTGCTCGGGGTCTCCCGCCACTGCTTCGGTTACTCCAGTCATCCTACCTCCCCTTAATACTCTCTGCGGTGGCGTGCATCCGCAACATTTCCATACACCCAAACAACGAGTCGCCTATCATAGACGCAGGCTTCCTCAAACCACTAGTCGACCTTCTTGGCTCTATCGACAACGAAGAAATCCAGTGCCACGCTATTTCTACTTTGCGTAATCTTGCTGCAAGCTCCGACAGAAATAAGGAGCTAGTCTTGGAAGCCGGCGCCGTTCAAAAGTGCAAGGAGCTTGTGCTTCAAGTTCCGCTGACCGTGCAGTCGGAGATGACGGCTGCCATAGCCGTCTTGGCGTTAAGCGACGACCTCAAGGGCCGTCTATTGAAACTTGGAGTCTTTGAAGTACTTATTCCTCTAACTGCCTCCGAGAGCATTGAGGTTCAGGGCAATAGTGCGGCCGCCTTGGGCAATCTATCATCGAAAGGTATGTCGCTATGTCACCTATCTTCTATCACATCCGTATATACTAATCTCTTTGTGCACAGTTGGTGATTACTCTATCTTCGTTCGAGATTGGACCGAACCAAATGGCGGACTTCACGGCTATCTAAACAGATTCCTAGCCAGCGGAGATCCCACCTTCCAACATATCGCAATTTGGACTCTTTTGCAACTGATAGAGTCAGAAGACAAACGACTCATTGGCTTTATCACTCGCTCCGAAGATATAATACAGCTAGTACGCGCGATTGCAAACAAGAATCTCGAGTCTGACGACGAAGGCGAAGACGGCGAAGAAGGCACCGCCGAAGTCATCGCCCTCGCACAGAGATCCCTCGAACTTCTCGGCTTCGACTCCAAGCACAGCTGACATGCTTAGCCGATACATACCGAACGTACTGATGCCCACTGCTAACGACCCTATTTCTGATGCCCACGGCGGCCTCCTCTTTATATCATCCGCCTTATCCTCTCACCCTTGATCGGGCGCTCTTATACCTACCTGCTCATTTACATATCGCTCTTCAAACTATATTACAGCTTTATCGTTTCTCCCTTATTCCCTATTGTTTTCGTCCGTTTTTATTTATTTTCTTTTTTTCTTTTGTTGTTACTATTTCTCCTTTGTGGATACTCATTTAATCGTGGCAAGGAGTCCAGGCGTTTCGGTGTCGGCTCTTCAGAAAACAAATTATCTCTCTCATTCCCTTTCCTTTTTCTTTTTTACAGTCTCTTCTATTGATACTGCTCTGCATTGTTTTTATTCTGCTCTTTTTGTCTCCATTATATAAGACTGTTTCCAATATACTTCCTTCCAACACCCTCTCTCTTCCTCTCACCGCGAACCTTATATACACTCTGTCGATTGTTACTCTAGCATTCCTTGTGTGTATTACTTGGCGGCACTTCCTTCCACTTGCTGGTTTGACTCAAGTGTTACATCCAAATACATAAAGTAATGTATTCCTCTACTCGGTGTTATAATTAAAGGGCTTGGTCTTTTTTTTGTCGTTGTTTACATCGTGACGTCATGCAGTCTTGCTGAGTAAGTCGTAACTTTAACGAGCTTTAGGTTTTCGGGTAAAACTTCTTTTTTGCCTTTTCGATATCTCGATCTTTTTGATTTACAGCGTCGTTGCGATCACTTCCACCAGTTGCTCTCTTTCTATTTGCGAGGTAAATCCTGTCAAATAATATACTTCCCTTAAGATATGGCAGCAAGTATACCTTCCATCGCTGTGCCTGGGCTACGTCTCGGCGATAGCTCAACATTCACCTCCGGCCCAGGAACATACGTCCGCGACTCCTCTATTTGCGCCTCCATAGCCGGCCCAGTAATCCTCAAAACCGACGATAATGGAACAGATCCAAAGCGCAAACCCCGCAAAATCCTCACAGTATCCCGCTCTCCGCAAACAGATACCCCCAACCCCACACAAAGACAACAACAAGCCAAATCGCCTCTAAAATTCAACACCCTACCAGCAGTCGACTCGATTGTCCTCGCGCGCGTAACCCGCGTCCAGAAGCGCCAGGCAACAGTCTCAATACTCATGGTCGTAGATGACCAAAACAATGATCTCATAGACACCAACATGCGCACAATCCTCTCTTCGGCACCCATCATCACCACCGCCGGCACAGATAGTACGAGCACAAGCAACACGGCAGACGATCTACGGTTTCAAGCAATTATCCGCAAAGAAGATGTTCGTGCTGTTGAAAAGGACCGCGTAGTAATGGAGGATATGTTCAGGGTGGGAGATATTGTGCGCGCATACGTGATTTCAGTGGGCGATCAGAGCTCATATTATTGTTCGACTGCGCGGAACGAGCTTGGAGTCGTTATGGCGAGGAGCGAGGGAGGAAATATGATGTTCCCCGTTAGTTGGAAAGAGATGAGGGATCCGATTACGGGTGTTGGTGAGGCGAGGAAGGTTGCGAAGCCGTTTTGACAAGCCAATGGAAGTTATTGATAAGATGGTTTAATGACTGATAGGGATGAGCCAGGTAGGCATTTGATATGAACCAGCAGATAAAATGCATATGGTACCCAGGATGCGAAGCGGTATCCTACTACATATACCTGAAATTACAGGTTGAAGATACCCACCCACTATTCTCGCAAGCTCCTGTGAAGGAGATCGAGAGGGCAAGCCAGGCCAGCCGGGCTACAGTTAATAGCCTTCGCACTTCGTAGAAGTACCCGTTAACCAAACAGGAGCAAACTACGGGCGAAATCGAATATTGAGGATAAAAAGCAGTTCAGGACCAATGATAAAATCATGGTAGATCTATTTAACGCTTACTTTTAATGCTCGTGTACATGCAATATCCTTTTTCCTCTTCCCCCTATCTTTTCAATGTTTTCTGCTTCTCAGCGTCTTTAACCAACTTCTTACCAGCCACAACCAATCCCTTTCTACTCCTAACACTATCCATATACCTCTTTGCCACATTCTCTTTGTCCGCCAACTCACCTAAGTCTTCAAGCTCCTCTTCCGTAGCAGGAACCCAGAACGGATCCTGATCAAGCATTTCAAATCCAGTAAATATCAGCTGTGGGGACGCAGCACCAGACGTCCGCTTTCGGATTTCATCTGAGAATCCGAAGGATTCAGCTACTGGCAGAAGGGATAGGATCGTGAAGAAGGACGTTCCTTCTTTCATAGTTTCTGACAGGATTCGTCCACGTCTTCGGGTCACCACGGCGTATACGCGGCCCAACACCTCAGCTAAGAGAAAGTTCGTCAGCTTGTTGCCACCACTTACGAAGTTTTGGGCAGAAATCACTTACTCGTAGCTTGGATCTCGCAGCTGTACATGGCGAGCATTATCCGGGGGCTCCAATCAAGGAAGCCCTGCCATACGGCGTCTCGTACTAGCCTTATCACTTCTCCTGTCAAGCGAGTATGTTCTTCATCTCCAATCTCCTCGAGTGCAACGTCCTCGATAAACACTGCTACGCCCTGAACAGGTTCTCGACAGAGTGGGCCTTGAGATGTAGCAAGTTGGAACGCATAAGATATCTTATCCGAGAACAACGCAGAATCTCGAACAGACTTGTTATTTGAACCGTCCGCAAACCTGGATCGTGTTAGTCCAATTGCACTCTTATAGAGGGTGAAAAGATGCGTACATACAATTTTTCATAGCGTCCAGTAGGGGTAGCATCAAAAAGAATGTTGGCTCCTATTTTCCTAGGGCCAAATTCTAGTATCTTTGCCAGTGCATTTGCCCAAACCTCTTTATCTTCCTTTACCGAGCTGAAGCAAGTTTCTAATTCTTTCTTGAAGTCTTCAGCAGAGAGTGTGTTGCGACTAGAAGTGGCTCCCTCCTCTCTGTCTTCTTCATGTGGACTATCTGTCTCAGGGGTATCATCATCTGATTCTTTCGTAGCATCCGTTGATAAGTGTCTTCGACGTCCATATATCCGTTTAATAGTCTCTGCTTGTTTGAGAAGAAACTCCGAGATAGATTTGGGAAGCGGCCGTACTCGAATTTGGATTTTGAGTTGCTTAGATCCGGATGTAGCTATAACTGTTCCTCGCGGTAGGTCTGGGTTCTTAGGAGGGTTCATTTCAGCAGCACTGATAATTGTTTCCCGGTACGGCACTATGGATTCTCCAGCTTGGATTTCGCATTTGGCGAATCTCTCACGAAGGTCCTTCAGGCACCGTTCGAGATGTAATTCTCCTGCAGTGAGAATGACGTGCTCTCCACTTGGTAGAACTTCATACTGTGCACATGGGTCACTTCGTTCAAGCATCTTTAGTCCATTGATCATCTTATTCAAGTCTGCCGGGTTCACAGGCTCCAGAGCAACTCGGACAATGGGCGGATGGCTTAAAGACACTCCAGCGAGATTCACCGCTCCATCTATCTGGCTGCAGAGGGTGCCAGTTTTCATGATATGTCCTTCAAGTCCCGCAATCCCAAATACCACTCCTGCACTGACACTTTCCAGGTTCTCTAGAGCTCGTCCCATGAGTAGGTACAGTCCCTTGACTGTAACTTTGGTCGGTTCTGGGCTAGCCCGTGGGTTCATTGGTGAGAATTTCGGTGGTAGCACATATATTGAATCTCCCACTGAGAGAGTACCAGAATATAGTCGTGCAAAGCCAATAAGATGCTCCGGATCCACCTTCTCTTCTACTTTGGCATCGTCTAGGTGTGAGTCTGCCAAAGCATTTGTGAGACCAGACACATCTCCATCGTTCGCTTCACTCCGAAGTTTAGCAAATTCTTCTCTCTTTCGTCGAGCAATTTCCCTAGCTTCATCTGCAGACATGGTCCCTCCAGGTGTTTTGCGTGTTTTTGAAGGTAGCTCACTCTCGGGAATGGATACCATCTTGCTGACATATCCAAGGATTGGGTCTTCTTTTCCTGCCTTGGAATTCACCACGGCATCACGGACCTTGGGATCAACATAGCTGGCGTCCGGAGAATCATCAATCATATCAGGCAGTCTAAGCGCTTGGGCATCTATAGGGCTGGGTAGATATTCAATCACCGAGACTAGCACAGCGGTCGAAAGCGGCAGCCATGAAGAAAAAACAGCAGAGAGAATGTTCCTGGAATCGCGAGACCGAAGTATATGCACGGGTATCTTTATTGATAGAGACTTCGTTATCTTTTCTAATAGTGCAGGGTCACTAGGAAGCAAGTCAGATAGAGTGATAGGACACACTATTGTTAAGCAGTTGAAGAAAATTGAACACATACCCCGTAGAGTTGGCCCCTCCTGTGGTTGCATTGTAGACTGCCCAGACCGTCTCCAGTACAAGTTGAACAAACATTGGGCTTAATCTTCTACCCTTCAAATGTTTCGATCCTAGGACTCTCTTGGTTTTAGGGTCTAGGTAATAGTCACCCCAGAGCACTTTCTCCAGGGTAGCTCGTTTGATCCCAAGTTTCTTTTCATAGAGGCCGGCAAATTGTCGAACGGTAAACGCCCAGCCATCAGTAGCACTGCAAAAAATAACATTATTCTTCTCAGGAGCAAAGTATAGATCTTCATCATCACGCTCTTCAAACTCCGCAGTCTCAGCGTCGATTTGACTGCCAGCTTCAGCACTGGCTTTTGACCTATCCTTCTCCTTTATTGCTGCGGCTTTAACTCGTTCTTCAACTTTTTCTCTCCACTGAAGATCTTCTTCCATGCGCTCTCCCTGGTAGAAGCTCCCTATCACGGCATTCACCTGTTCTAGGATCTTGCTAAGATGGGAATATGCCTCGAGGGGAGTCAATTTCAGTTCGGTCACTAGACGATCTATTTTGTTGATAACGAGAATGGGTTTTAGCCGTTCCACCCATGTATGCCGTAGGACAGTAACTGTTTGACTGCACACGCCCTCTACCGCATCAACCAGAACTAGAGCGCCATCACAGAGCCGTGACGCAGTGGATACCTCGCTGCTAAAGTCAATGTGGCCGGGGGAATCGATCAGGTTGATTAGGTACTCCCGCTTGTCAGGGGTGCCTTCAGGAGCAGATCTCCGTAGCATCGAGAAATACAGGGAGATAGCCGAAGACTCCATCGTGATTCCTCGTAGCTGTTCATCTGGCCGGGAATCCAGGTAGCGGATTTTGCCCGCCAGTTTTGGTGATATGATGCCATTTGTGGCGATCAAGCTGTCTGTTAAAGATGTCTTTCCGTGATCCTATAGCAAGCCTGTATCAATATGTGGAGTTTAGGGTATATGATGAATTGAATCAGCTCAGGAAGCATAATGGGGGCACATACAACATGCGCGAGGATACAAATCTACCATGTCCGATTAGTATCATATTTTTCTCCAGAATAGCGGGGGAGGGGCAGTTCATTATACATTTCTGATATCTTCAGCCTTTCGCTGCAGCCGAACGAGATCTTCCAAGTTAACGACAGGCATCTTGGTATATGGCACGAAATTTTCTACCTGTTGCGTCCGCGTGGGAGGAAAGATACGACTCGCTGTCTTCTTGCGGGCCTGGTCAAATCCCCGGTGCGGATTTTGCGGCTCACCGGATGACGTAAATTAGGTATTTAATATCGAAGACCGAAGAGATAGGCACAGCGGTATATTTCTATAGATACAAATGAAAGCTGGTGAAATATTAGGAGCTCAGTTAATTATTTCTTGAGTTGAAATAAGTATGGTTTAATATTATTTGGTTGCGAGACAAAAAAGGTTGCTTATGACTGTTTATGAGAAATAACCATGAATTCTACGACAAAGTTTCAAAGTTACATAGCAACGACGTTTTTTCTTCCTTTTTGGTTGGCCAGTTGGCGCTTAAACATCGGATAAGACGATAGATATTATTCATGATTACGACCGTAGATTGTTTTTTGTATTATATATCCTTGGAGTGGCGGTGGTGAAGTATCCATGGACTCGTGTGACTAGGTCCAGGGACAGCCCCGGACGGCATGAGTCAAGAATAGGTACCCTCACGGGCGTCGACACCTCATTCCTCGTCGTCGAACGAGAGCTTGATCTTCTTCTTTGTGTTCTTCTTCCGCTTCGGCGCTTCGGACTGAGCTTGAGATGTCTCTTGATCTTCCGGAACATCGCCACCTCCTATGACTTTCCCCTGCTTCCTCTTCTTCGAGGCACCTATCTCCGCCATATTCTGCTTTGATTTGGGAGTTCGACTTTCTGTCTCGGCTCCTTCATCTGCGGCAGGCTTCGTGGCTTCGTTTCCTTCAGTGTCCCCCTTTGGTCCAGCTACCATCTCTAGATACTTCTCCTTGGAGATGACCTCGTTGCTATCTTCGTCCACGTAGGTAGGTCCGTCATCTTCGTCTTCAGCATATTTAGATTTGGCAGGGCGTGGATTTGGGCGGCTCCGGTGGTGGTCGCTGCCATCTCCGAATTCATTCCTCAATTTACGGAGGAATGATGGCTCCGGCTTCTCTATAAAAATAATGTTAGCGAAATGAGGTCTCATTCAACAAATGCAAAAAGGTAAAGGCAATGTATTTACTCCGTACCGTAAGAGAGATTGTTTGCCCTGCGGCTCATGATGGCTTGGACTCGCGTGTGTTAACTGCTGGCCGCGCGCAATCGATCACAAGCATTGCGCTACACGATCACCGGGCCATAACTAGTGAGTAGAGCAAGCCCCAAAATTGTAGAAACGAGGACAGCAGCCTCCTCCGAATGGATTTATCAGCCTCCTAGCAGACTGGGTTCTTTGTAGACGACGTCTAAAAGGTTCCAAGTTGACCTGCCTGAACCTCCAGCGGGCTGCTGCTGATGCCGGACGCGGAAATACAAAAGCGCCGAGCTTCCCAGCAGATCGATCCATTTGGATGGAAATCGGAATTTCGTATCAAGTTGAAAACGAATTCGAGAAGCTCCAAAGGCGGTCCAAAGCAACTTCATCAGCCATGCTGTGCGCGAGTAAGCTAGCCTGTGTTTTATATGCTCTTTATATGGAAGCAATTAGCTAACTTTTGGCGAAATAGTTTCTGGCGAGGCTCCCCAGGTGCCGGTGGTGTCGCGCAAGAGTGGTAAGCAGCCGCCTGCTTCGCGAACTGATCTGAGGATGTACACTTATACGATCTGACTAGGAAACGTCTTCGAGAAGCGTCTGGTGGAGGAGTACATTTCCGAGCATGGGAAGGAACCCATCACAGGCGAGGAGCATACCGTGGAGGACCTTGTCGAACTGAAGTCAGCTCGCATTGCGAGACCTCGACCGCCAACCCTTACCTCGATCCCCTCGTTACTCGGAGTTTTCCAGGAAGAATGGGATGCCCTGGCTCTCGAAACATTTACTCTTCGGCAGACACTTGCGCAGACGCGGCAGGAACTTAGTACGGCATTGTACCAGCATGATGCTGCTGTTCGTGTGATTGCTAGGCTGCGAAAGGAGCGAGACGAAGCCAGAGATGCACTTTCAAAAATATCAGTTGGAGCTAGCCGTGCTCCTGCAGCTGGGGATGCGATGCAGGTGGATAGCACAGGTCTTCCAGAAGGTGTCATCTCAAGGATTGAAGAAACCCAAGAGAAGTATGGTTTTGCCCAAAAAATTTGTATGCCGTACCTGCATCTAACAGTCGTTTTTCTGCAGACTTTCAAAGACTCGACGCAAACGGCCTATTCCAGAAGACTGGGCCACCGGTGAAACCATTCAGGAGTTTAAGCCTTCTAGCCCGTCCGAAGCCCTTTACCCTGGTGGACACTCTATATCACTGAACGCCTCTGGCGAACTAGCCCTCGTAGGAGGCACTGACGGTGTTGCCGGCATATATTCCCTTCCAGAGAAACGAGTTGTGGCCTCTCTAAAGGGCGGCAGTGGTTCCATAACAGACTCCGCTTGGGTCGGAGACAAGGCCGTCATTGCAACTTCCACTGGTGCTGTCAAGGTCTTTGAGAATGAATCAGAGGCCGCCAGCTTCAACGTCCATGCTGGTACAGCTGCAGCTCTCGCTGTGCATCCAACGGGTGATATTGTTGCCTCTGTTGGCATTGACAAGAGCTACACTCTCTATGATATCTCTAGCTCTTCCGTCATTACTCAGATATTCACCGACGCCGGTATGTATTCATTCATCATCCGTATTATTTGCCAGCAAAGATGTTCCATAACTAACTGGTGAAACAGCTCTATCCTGCGTCAAATTCCATCCTGATGGTCACCTTCTAGCTGCCGGCAGCGCTGACGGCCAAATCAAAATATTCGATGTCAAGAGCGGCACCAGCGCAGCTACCTTCGACATGTCCGGTCCCATCAAAGCGCTGTACTTCTCTGAAAACGGCACCTGGCTTGCTGCAGTGACGAAGGACTCCTCGGACATATCAGTCTGGGACCTCCGTAAATCGACAGTCGTGAAGGTGCTGGAAACCGGTAGCCGAGTCGACTCCATCAGCTGGGACTACACGGGACAGTTCCTCCTCACCGGTGGACCAAACGGGATTACAGTGCAGCAGTATTCCAAGGCCTCAAAGTCCTGGACAGAGCCGTTGCGGAGTGCGGTGCCTTCCACTGCAGTTGCCTGGGGTCCCTCTGCCCAGAGTATCTTGTCACTTAATGGAGACGGCGTTATTGTGTCAGTTAGTGCTCAGTGATTCTATACTAATGTGATGGGAGTTTCTTGTTTCTCTTTCTTGTGTATTTTACAGTGGATGGATGGCAAGTTCCTGCTGCTACCAACCTGGTCTTAGGCACTGCCACAAATATCCCTTAGTCCTTCCCCTGGCTGCCTTTACACCGGCCATTATCCCTCTCCCAGGCCTCTTTAGGAGCTCAATCCAGCCGTCTCTATGGTCTATATAGCTCTTCTATATTAAGATTATGTCATCGCCAAAAATCCATGAGAATCCCCCTGACCCCCTTTGGTGGTTGATGTTAATATTGGTATTCATCCAAACTTCCACATAAACAAACCATTGCCAGCCTTTCTTCTTGAGCTTCTTCCTGCATCCTGAGGGCCATCATGGTCTAGCATTGCTGGCCTGTTCTACTAGGCTTTCCTGGCTTCATACAGCATCTCACCCGTCTCCATCCCCCCTTGCTCGAGTCTTGCAGGGAGTTGACCCTTAACACACACACAGACGGCCGCTGCCAGGCTCTCGCTGCTCTCTCTCACTGTAATCCCAGAGGCCGATGGCAGCAGATCTTCCCTCTCCCCTGCAGCTGGCCGTCCCTTTGCTCCTTTGGCAGGCCTTGCCTTGTTGCCGCTTGTCCTGTAACCTGCGCCTGGCCACCGCGCGCAGTTTCATATAACTAAACTCTCAACCGCACAAGAACCAAGCGATGTGATTCCCGCAACACAGCATCGCCGCGCTGCCTCCCCCAGCCCATCCTGGCCACGGAGGCGGAAAATAGTTACTAAAGATAAAATAAGCTATCCATAACGCCCCCTCGGTAACTCCTGGGCTTCGCTTGGATCTGACAAAGCGCATGGGGGGAGCCTTTTTCCGCCGTCACTCCCGGCGTCCAGTCTCTCGCTCACCAAACAACCAACCAACTAGTCAACTCCCTTGCTTCTTCTCGCCGTCGCCTTCACCACCGCAGCCAGCAGCCAGCATCCAGCTCCCACCTGCGCTGCCGACGCCGACCTCCCTCCCTACCATGAACAGCGGCCCCAGCAGACAGACGATTCACGCCCGGCAGCCGAGGAAGGTCAGTTCTTGGTCCTTTGCTAGCGGGGTGCTCAAAAGAAAAAAAAATATTATTTATCCTGCTAGTCCAACCAACATCCCGTTGCTAAATATAACCAAGCCCTCTTTTGAGGCGAGCACACCGGCAGCAACCACGCCATATACCTGAGAGTTGACAGCAGGCTGACGATATCTGATTCTTGTTCTAGCGCTACCACGAGGAGACTTCCAGGCCGCATTCTGATGGCGAAAGCCAGGCGCCCCGGAGTCGTCGCGGAGAGTCGTCAAGCTCGGTAGATACACCCGGTGCTCTCAGCAGCAGCAGCACCAGCTCCAGCAGCAACAACGACGTCAGCGGCTCCCGTCCCCGCCTGCCACCGCTTCCGCCGTTCCCTCGCACGAGATATCCTGGCGACGGGTTTGATTTCCGCAGGCCCGTCATGTCGACCGGCGTGCCAACCCGATCACGTACCCTTCGGCCTTCCTCGCAAGAAGATGTTATTGATTTAACCCAGGACTCAGATCCCATAATACAGCCTGCCCTAACGCCGGGGGCGCAAGAAGTAGAACCTGTGCTGAATAGAGCGTCACGCGGTCCTCGGTTCGGACGAAATATCATGGTCGATGTGGTGGATTTGGAAGACGACAGTGCATCTGAGCACCAACCGCAAGAGCAGCAGCAGCAGCAGCAGCAACAGCGGCATCAACAGCGACACCAGCCACGGCAACCATCGAGCCCGGAGGTACAATTTCTTGGATCGTTAGTGAGGTCAGGCGCATCACACACAACAGAGCGGAGTGGTAGCAATACTCCACAGTCGCTGTTTGCAAGGCGCTCTAATATATCGACCGTGTTCAGAGGTATACAGCGGCCACCTCTAAACCGGGACGAAGCGTTTCGCCGTGAATTGTCCGTACGCACAAGAGGCATGTGGGCCGGTCGACCACCAAGCCCTGTATTTCCGGTTTTAGAATGGTTCTCTAACAGCATAGACCTGACATCGGAACTCGATCCCTTTGCCATCCAGCTGGATTATAGCACAACAGGATTCGTTGGCGGCGGCAGTGCTCCTAGAACAGAACCTTCGTATGAGCCACCCCCGCCGCCTCCTGATGGATTCACAAGGACAGTTACAGAGGATAAGGAAGCTATCTGTCCAAATTGTGAGCGTGAGCTCGGGACTGGAGATGAGCTTGGGAAACAGCTATGGGTTTCCAGAGCCTGCGGACATGTGAGTGACCTATGCTATATAGAGATCTCCTACGTATGAACATATACTAATATCCTGTTTTATAGGTTTACTGTGGTACATGTGCCAAAAACAGAGCTCTCTCTTCTCGAGCGAAGAAGCCTGACCCGCCCCCGGATCCAAAAACCAAACCGTTTGCGAAATGCGTTGTGGCCGACTGCGGGAAACCCGTCAGCCAGCCCAAGGCAATGTTACAGATTTATCTTTGAACATCTTCGGTCATTAAAGGCCCTGATCATTTCTTTCCTTTCCTCTTTGTTGATTAGCCTTTTTCGAGGTGACGGCGTTTGGTAGAATATGCATAGGGGGTACGGCCTTTTCATTTCAATACCCAACATCTCATGGTTCAGGTGCATTCATCTTCCGTCATTTTTTTAAAGCGGTATATACATACATTTCCTTCGATATCGCCTCTCGCGGGACTTTCTTTAGTCTGATGTTGCTGCTCTGATCGGCATGTAATTTTATTGCAATATTACCAGAAAAAAGTAACTGGTTGGGATGGAGGTCCTGTATCTAAGAATATATCCCTAGTAATCATATACAACTCCCGAGTATGATGCAATGTACCTCCGAATATCAAAAAAAAAAAATCAAAAAAGTCACTCGAGGAATGAAATCAAACCAGACACGCCATGCCGTAATAATAGTACATTCTCGTCAACCACATGTAGCCCCAACATAGGAGCCAGGTCGAAAATATTATATCTGCTTCATATCTCCATGGTATGGAGACCAGATGCCCCTGACACTCTCGTTCGTGCTGAGAACAGGCTTATTTGTCCGTCGGAGCTTCTCTCCACTAGCTTCCTTCAACAGATTCGCTTTCTGAAGAACTTCATACACTTCGAGATTTCGCACGCAAATTGCTTTCTCGCGGCCATTGATATAGTGTCCCTTGATGACGGGGTGTTTGTGTGGACGGGGAGAAATGCGGATTTCAATTTGAGGGTTTCGTTTGGCGAAATCGGGAAGCATTTCCTTGATGAAGGAGCTGATAAGACACCAATTAGATCCAGCCCATAGGAAGTTGACGACGGTATATAGAGTAAAAATACTCACTTCATGCCCTTGGAACTCCCGGCCCAGTCGCAGTAGTGAAAGTCGAGTCGTTTGCACTGCAAGATGAAAGCTCCTACACCATTCTGCAGCAGTCACCAATTAGCAGAGAATCGCACAATCAGGAAGCGGACCGCTACCTACCCGGCCAGAAGCCAGCGAGACTATTCCTTTGACCGGCATATTTGCGTCTTCCTCCCCGTACAGAATCTGGAAGTTGTCGCTGCTCTTCTGCGTCTTCTGCTTTGCTTGTCGAACTTGCAAAAGTTCGAACTTTTTGATGCGCAGTGAGTTTATGCAATGTGATTGGTCAATAGCTGCTGACTAAGCTTCCCGCGACAAAGGCTGAGAGAAAAAGCCAAAAAAGGCGATGTCGAACGACAGGAAAATACAAACTGCGCGACAGCGAGGAAGGCCTGAATCTCTGCCTGTCGCCCTCGAAAGCCGTCGTTGATGCTTGAGTCTGAGTAGAACGCTCTACATGCTGCTTGTTTGGTTCTGCTTCTTCCAGCCATGACGGATAAACTCCCTCCAAACCTCCTCGCGCTCTTCGCGCCGCGTCCTCCACTCCGTTACCTTCAGCCCATCAGCAGAGCGCCCGACGATGTGAAGCCAAGTACAATATCTGGTGTTGCGGGTTATCTCGATGAGCTGAAGAAGTATGGAGAGGAGGTCCCTTATAATGCGACGGAGAGTTGGCTCCAGCGCAAGGATAGGCTGAAGATGGAGAAACGGGAGCAGACTACGAAACGTCTGGAGGAAGGTCTTGCAGCATGTGCGCATATACCCTACCAAATACTGTTGCTGTTGTCCATAATCTATATGATTTACTAACGTCTTGGTTATAGATAACCCTTCTGAAGATCCACAGATTCGTGGTGACCCTTTTAGAACGTTATTTGTCTCAAGACTGAGCTACGACGTCAAGGAAGCAGATCTAGAACGGGAGTTTGGCCGGTTCGGCCCTATAGAGAGAGTATGTACTATAACAATCCACCTTTCTACTTTGCGTGCCCTGGCTAATTTTTTGGTCTCTGTTAGATTCGAATCGTGAAAGATACGAAGAACCCTAACCCAAAGAAACCACATCGAGGTTATGCTTTTATAGTATACGAACGTGAAAAAGATATGAAGGGTACTGAATCCTGAACAATCCTTCTCCACCCCCTTTCCTATCCCCTACTCAACATATAAATACAGCTATGACAAGGTAATCAAGTACATGACTAATGCCATTGATCGCTCTTGCGTCACAACTACAGCGGCCTACAAGGAAACAGATGGCATTCGCATCAAAGACCGACGTGCTCTTGTGGACGTCGAGCGTGGACGTACGGTCAAGGGATGGAAACCACGTCGATTCGGCGGCGGGCTAGGTGGCCGTGGATATACCAAAGCGATGCCCTCAAGACCCATGGGCCCAGGCGGGTATGGCCCCCCATCTGGCCCCGGTGGCTTCCAAGGCGGTTTCCGAGGACCCAGGGGAGGCTTTCGAGGTGGATTTAGAGGAGGTGATCGGCCCTTTGGTGGCCGTGGAGGAGTTGGCTTCCAGGGTGGGCGTAGTGGATTTGGAGGGTCGGCCAACGGTGCATCGGGCCAGGCTCCTCCCAACGCTCCCTTGGGCCCTGGTGGAAGCCGGGGTGGTGGTGGGTATGGTCAGCAAAACGGTGATGGCTACGGAGACAGACGCTTTGATGATAGAAGCCGAGGTGGCTCCAGGTACGACAGATCCGGTGATCGTGGTGTAACTGGCAGCAACCGAGAACCCGTCAGGCCCAGAGGATATGGAGATCGTGATAGAGACAGGGACAGGGACAGAGATCGTGATCGTGATAGAGACCGAGACAGGGGTGGTCGGAGCGATCGTGACCGTGATAGGCCGCGAGACCGTGATCGTGACAGAGACAGATACAGTCGGCGTGATGATGATCCTCCGAGAAAGAGACACCATGAGGGGGACGCATACGATGATCCTAGGACGAAACGAAGATACTGAGTCCGAAATATCCTAACAATTCAATACTGGTTTGTCGGTGGGTTGCAAATTCATTTTGTCTGCTCTTTTCATAGCCTCAAGGGTAAGATCATGGGTGCTTAGAAGAGAAACGCCCGCTACCTCACTTTTCTTAATGGACTCGACGATCCGATCCCGATTTACAACATATGAGGTAACATATATTTCCGCCTTATAACGACCTATCCCAAGCTACAGACGCCGGAATGTACGCCCTGGATACCCCCATTTGATCCCACTCGGTTTACCGTCTTGTACGGTCTCGCGCTACTAATTCTCGAAGTGATGTCTTACTACTATACCTTTCTAACCTTCGGTCCTTTTGCCACCTCTGAATCTTGCGCCTCCTGCTTTTTCTTTTCTTTCTTTCCCTTTGGAACTGTTTTTACTGGGTGGTAAGTATGTACTTTTATGGCACCGGTGGTGAAGGTGAAATTGTACGTTTATAATCTGTTGTAGGTAAGATCGGGTAAGGCTGTTTAGCATCCTCTAAACATTCTGGCATTGATCATTGCAAATACAGGTAGTGGTCGCTAGTTAATTTTCTCCTTCATTAGTCGTGTATTGTCTATCTCTTAAGTTTAGCAATGAAGACCCAGATAGTATATAAACAGATAACTTTTTCCATTTCATCATGGTAGAAGATAAAAAGCCAAGGAAGATAGATATCCCAAGCAGAAAACCGTCATCAAATATTGACGCCAATCGCCGAACTCCGATAGGAAAAATGTTCACTGGCTTCAAAGATTCATCACCTCATCCATCGAACGATACGAACGCTTGAGAGTGAGAGGATAGGAGAGATTAGGGGGAAAGCCATAACCAGCTTCTACATCCTCCTCATGCATCGACCTCCATTGTTTCCTGTTTCTCCAATACCACAACCTCTCCGCTCTTCTTCTCCCAGCGAGCCTTCATCTCAACCTTAAATTCAGCAACAGCGACGCCAAACATCTTCAGGAGCGTCGACTGTCTGGAATCAAGCTCTTCACCAGCCTTGCAGACCTGATATCCGTCGCCCTCCATTTCTAGCATAACTTTTCCCTTCACCAGTCTCGTAGGGACGTTCAGTTTCCGTAGAGTTGGCTCAATTGTATGGCTGATCGGCTCGTCATCTTCGGCCGGTATCTCGCCAGCTCGGGAATATACAACCCCGCTGGGTATTGTGAAAGACCGAGGAGTTATATTCCCTGCGCGGGCGAAGTCAATAGGATGAAATGATTCGAAAAAGTCGAGGACAGATTGAGGGTCGCGGGATGTAAATAGTAAACCAACTGCGCCAGTGAGATATGGTGAGAGACGGTTGAGGTTTGGTGCATATGCGGTTTCCGGCGTTGTTCCTAAAGCAATTGCCATGACCTTGGTTTTGCCGAAGAAGAGTCTGGATATACAGTTAGCACAAACAATTGCATAGACAGTCTCTTGCAATAGAAGCATAAGTAGAATGGAAGATAAAAACTCACCGACTGTCCGAGAACTCGGTCCGTACATCCTTCAGATAAGTGTTTCTCATATTATCAACAGCGAATACAAAGAGATGGTCATATTCCTCAACGGCAGCCTGGACATTGGCATATAGTCGACGAGTCTGCTCTTTGTGCGATTTTTTTTGAGTCCTGGACTCGTGGATAACCTTCGCTCTTTTTGAGATAGGCATGATGGATTGATTAGACGGAAGGGACTAGGTGCGAGATCAAAATAAAGCCTTGCTATTTGCAGCCTTCAAGATAGGCTGGAAGCAATCTTCGAAGGGTATAATAAACTCGAAGTCTTCTCTATCATAGACGCTTGCTTCCTATCATCGATTCATTAATTTTTTTTTTTTTTTTGGAGGGCGTGTCGGAGACGGAGAAATGTTGATAAGACAGTCCCTGGCACTCCATCCATATCAGTAAAGCTTAGTCATGGATCACATGAAAATATCTCTATTCTCCTCGTTCCCTTGCACCCTGCTATGTTCCTTCTACTTAACCAAGTCCAACGGAAGATGTTTATGCTCTTCCCAGATATCCTAGACTAGATCTTCTTAGCAGTCATCTGTTGTCCGCCCAACATAAATGCCTGTTCTAACAGTCAATTTATGCCAAGCCATTGCTTTAGTCATCAAACTCTATTTGAACTTTAATATCACGTGTCTCACCTTATTCTTACCTCATCCGTGTTGAGTTTAAGCCTCAAACCGTTTCTTATCCTCCTTGATGGATGGCTTTGTATCGACAGATTTATACACATTGTCCCACTTTGCTTCCAACATCTAGGAACATCACTATCCATTCAATTCTTCCTTTACCCAGCTTGCTTTCTACTCAAATGCACTCAACGGTTTTTACTATCCAACTTCCAGTGAAAGAGGTGCTAGCGACATATTGAGAAGGCGCAAATTTAGGCTTTGAATCGATCTACGCTTGAGCTTCAGAGTGCATACCTAGTTAATCTTCTACATATGCGTTCTACAACATTGTTGCTGTCAGCAAAATAGAACTTTGAATCACTCGAGTGTATCAACCCAAATGTGCAACCGCTTTATATATCTTCAACGCCTGCTTGGACAGAGCTGTAACATTTGATAACCAGAGTCCTCTCAGATATTTCCATAAGGAAGTCAACGCTTTCTCTATTGTCTTAAACCCAAGTCTGGAGACCGAATGTAATCAATCTCGGCCCTCCTTTAACATCGGGTCAGTGCGGGGCAAATGATACCCCAGGGTTCCATACTTCCAACTGCATATACGCTTTCAATCGTTCATATATACACAAGACCTGTCCAAGTAGTAGAGTGCCAAACAACGCCCCGGTGGAGAGTTCTGTTGGTCTTTTTGGCTTGCTAATAGTCGATCAGTTAAGTAGACCATTCAATGTCTGTGCTAACCAACTAATCAGCATATGTATACTTGAAAACGAGAGTACGCCACTTTTTTTTATTGTCAAGCTAAGACCGAGTTTCGGGCCGCACTCCCGATACTCCTAATTATATTGTACTTGCGCATCATGGTGAACACTTAATTATAAACTCTTGTTTCTGTTCCAGGTATTGTCAGCGGGGTGAATCTGTCCTATCCCTGACATTTGATCTGGGACGACTGCCAGATCTTCCCGGGGTCAATGGAATAGTGGGCCAGCTTTCCACGCCTTTACAGCTGCCAGTGCGGATTCTAGCCGAGATAAGTATCGATATCTGAAGATCCATGTCAGATAGACGCGCCAGCTTCTTCGTATAGACTTTAAAGAAGAATTTACAGCTTGGTATGCCTTGTCGTTGAAGTTTTTGTAGCTATGTGGGAGATGTTTATATTGAGGAGACGAACCACAGTATGGCAGCAAGATCCGGTTTCTGCCGTGCCCCGCGGCCCCCGCCAAAATATTTAAACGCTCAACCTCTAATTTCTACCAACATCTACAATTATTCGACATCGCCTCTGCCTCAGATACCTAGCTACCGACATAATTCTCCTTGTTTAACCTACAGGAACGCGCAATCAACATTCACCATGGCTCGCAAATTCTTCGTTGGCGGAAACTTCAAGATGTGAGCCACCACCCCACCTCAATTATTACCACGATACATAGGCATGAAGTAATAGCTAACTGGGGCATAACAGGAATGGAACATCTAAATCAATCACCGACATCATTACCAACCTCAACAATGCTAAGCTCGACGCCAACACCGAAGTGGTTATCTCTCCTCCGGCCATCTATCTTCTCCTCGCCCGCAGCAAAGCAGACTCTAAAATCGGAGTTGCTGCACAGAACGTCTTTGATAAGCCAAACGGTGCTTTCACTGGAGAGCTTAGCGTCGATCAATTGAAGGATTCTGAGATCACCTGGACTTTGACTGGACACAGTGAGAGAAGGGTTATTCTTAAGGAGGATGACGACGTAGGGTTACTTCACGCCAGCTATTAGGTATACTGCGGAGCTAACCAACTGCTACTTGTGGCTCTAGTTTGTTGCACGCAAGACGAAGGCCGCCGTGGAGGGTGGATTGAACGTCATTGTCTGCATCGGAGAGTCCCTCGAGGTATGGACTATCATAAAAACCGGAAATTTCAGACCGATGCAGTAAACTGATATTATACCCTCTCAACAGGAGCGAGAGGCCAACAAGACCGTTGAAGTTGTTACCCGACAACTACAAGCTATCGCTGACAAGGTCACTGAACAGCAATGGTCCAACATTGTCATTGCTTATGAACCCATCTGGTATGTTCATTAATCAAATTTGGTAGTAAAAATTCAAAGTTGATCTAATGCATTATCTAGGGCTATCGGAACCGGAAAGGTCGCTACTACTGAGCAAGCTCAAGAAGTCCACGCTTCTATCCGTGAGTGGCTTTGCAAGACCGTTTCTCCCGCTGTCTCTGAGGCTACCCGTGTTATCTATGGAGGAAGTGTCAACGAGAAGAACTGCGCTGAATTGGCTAAGCAGAAGGACGTTGACGGATTCTTGGTTGGAGGCGCCAGCTTGAAGCCTGCCTGTAAGTCACCACATACTATAGCGTCAGAAATAAGCAGCTAACAACAGTAATAGTTGTCGACATTATCAACTCCCGCTTGTAAACATATTGTACAAGAAACAATGGTTTGGATACTGGTAGTACAATAAGTGTCTAGCAGTGATGTCTGCTCGAAAGATGAACAGTGTGGTATCCACCGAGGTGTCCCTAACGTTAAATAGAGACCATTAAATATAGTTAACGTATCAATAGTCTATCATTACCCAAAGACTGGCAATTGATCTAGCATTATTTCAGTAAACCGCAGAGGAGAATGGGCTTGCCCTGATAAAATCGATGGTATATGAAAGGATGGAATGAAACTAAATCGGTGTTGAATCATGATGAGTATAACACGGACACGCCCACACCGGTCCATCCGTAGCCTTTAGACGAAGACCCACCCGAGCATGATATCGATGGGGTATGTGGAGTGGTTGGCCCAAGTGCAACTCCGGCACTGACCAGCAAGTCCTTTATACGGCCTTCCCAAAGTAGCCGTACTTTTAGAGACTGATCAACGCGGAATTTTATGACTGATTCCGAAGACAGAGAGGAGGCTGAAGGCGATGATGACGACTGATCTGTGGGTTCTAACGGTGGCAGGAGACCCAACTTTCGCTTCGCCCAAGCCAGATCATCAATGCTTCCATCGGGATTGTAGCGATGCAAATCTATCTTCTTCTTATTGCGCCATAGTTCGCAACCAGCAACCATTTCACTTTCCCAGCTATATACGTTGAATCCAAAACGAGAACTCAAGGCCAGGTTTGGGGATGCGAGAAGCGAGTAAGTCGTTGACAAAGAACCCGTTAGTGGAGTCAACGTTAGAGTTAGCGTATAGGGAAATGTTGAGATTGGCGAAGGAATTTGGCTGCCACTAGTACTACCTACAGCAGGTAAGGAGCCCGGTCCTGACCGAAGGTCATAAGCACCAGGCAATGTAGTAAAGCGCACACCGGTCGAGAGGCCAATGACACTAGAAGTTGGTGAATAATAAGCCTCTCCGCCTGCAGAGAGGAGTGCCACGGATTGCAAACAAGACGGCTGTTTCCGCTGGTCATTGTGTTTTGTATCGCGACAATCACTCAGCTGCTCTCTTGGATCAGGACCAAAGTTCCATAATCCTCGGAATCCGAATAAGGCGTTGTCTGTACTGAATAGGAATTCAGTGCTGTATTTTCCGGTGTCGTGGAATAATTGAGTTAGTAAGGATGCCTGTGGAGGTGCCGATTTCGATGTATTGGTAGCCTGAGTAGACCATAATGCAACTGATAGCTTGGTTGTTGGTGAAGGACGATGTAGGAAAAGAGCCGTTAAAGTGGTTGGAGGAGGTAAATGTAGCGTTGCATGAAGAAGAGTGGCTTTTCTCTTCCTCTCTGATTCCCTTGCGTCTCCAATATTGTTGCTATCCCCAAAGGTCCATTCCAAACCAGGGTCCAGCGGGACAGCAGGGGGATATATCTGTCTGTAGCCTGGTACAAGGCTGCGCAGGGGTATCAAGACACTTCTACTGGTTGTCTTATCGAGGGGTATGGTGCTGAATAGGTATGAAACTGAGCCATCTATGAGGCCAACCGTTCCGAGCATGTAGGCAGTCGCAAACTGGGGAGTGGACAGAGACGAGAGGTGGACGCGAAGTCGCTCCGGAGTTGAAAAGTCAAGAAGAGCTATACTCATATGTTAGTAATTCATTTCCACTGAAAGGTGGCTAGTATCTAATAGCAATCTCCGGTACCTTTTGCCGTGTCTGTAAGAGTAGAGTATGAGTTATCGCGGTTCCATCCCGAGGCGTCCGAGAAGGCGAGCTGGATGTAGTCCATAAAATCAAGCATTTTATCGAGGCTGCCAGACAACTGAGTAACGCGAACAAGGACCAATTGGCCTTATCGTGGCCTTGCAGTCCTTATGCAGCTGTTCTTGTCGCTATTCAATGGTCCTGTCGTTCTCCTGGTGGTGGTGGTAGAGACACAAGCCGGAGGATGTTTGTCATGTTTGCACCGACGACGAGTCTCGACCTTTTCCCTGACGACGAGAGATCCTGACCGTTGATACCAGAGAGAAAGCCGCTACACTGCCAGGTTTATACGTTTATGCTCCCCGGAATACTCTGCCTTAAAACTAACGGATATGTTTCTCAATCTGATACCTGGATGCTCTTAACTCTCTTAATTCCTTGTCTGCTCAAGGCAAGCCCGTCTCTCGCGTGTGGTCCGATTCCTCCCCTCTCCAGTTTTAATCAACTTTCCCACTACTATCTCTTCCCTTCGTCCGTCTTGGGTCCCCGGATACCATAGCTAATATCACAGCCTGCTATAGACCGTTTCTCACTACCGGTTTACTCGGATTGCCACGGCCAGGTCTCGCCGAACGGAACTGCCGCTATGAAACACAGCAAAGTCATTCGACAGGGAATTGCAGGTAAAGATGGGATGTCACAGGGTGCCAGACGACACTGGCCTGCATCAAGCGACATCAGCGACGCCAGCACTCCCTAAAGCGCGCCCTCCTTCACCCTCATACGCCTGGCCAGCTTCTGCTCCTGCGAAGTCGCTCTCTTTCTCTTGCTTGCTTGCTTGCTTTGTTTGTTTTTGCTTTTTGTTTGCTGCTTATCGATAAACCGTCCACGTGACTGGCTCAGCCTCCATCTCAACTTCCTCACAAGAAAAGAAGAGCAACTTTTGCGCAGGAGACGAAGACGAAGAAGACGAAGAAGAAGAAGAAGCAGCCAGAAGCACTTTCAGCCGGAGGGAGAGCCAGGCTTCATAGGCAACCTTTGCTGTGCGGCGGCATGGGAGATACCTGACGACTACGCCCGCCACTCCACTGCACCTCATTCGCATAGACACAGCCATGGCTTCGGAGTTTATCGGTTGCACTGTGCTTGTGACCCTCAAGAGTCCTCCCAATTGCCGGATCAGAGGTGAAGTCGTTGATGTCGTAGGAACCAGGCTAAGTCTGCAGAATGGTGAGTGTTTTCTTCAGCCCGTCACTTTCTGACCGGCCATGCTGATTGTTCGTCTAGCAATCCTCCTATGGAACGGCCAGCATTTCCCTTTGTATCATATCGATGGTTCGAAAATTGCAGACCTAGAGATATCCAGCGAACCAGCTCCTCAAACACCAGCGCACCATAGAAATGGACACATCGACAATAGTGGATATCATTCCTCCTCCCAGCATGGGCAACTACCACATCCTACAGCTTCAGCCCAATCTGAGTCTGTGTCCCACGGCGCTGGCGCTCCATCTTTCGTGGATCCGGCGATCTTGAGTTTCAAACGCCCATCTGCACAGGATGAACGCCAGAATGCAAACAGCGAGGTAGAGCCAGTGGCCATTCCGTCGCATACAATTTCCACTTCCCCTGTTATGCTGGGGGGCTCGGAGGTGCCGACATCAGCGCATGCGAGCCACATTGGACAGCACGCACGACTTCCGGCCACACTGAACGCACCCTTTAGTGACCTAGAGCTTAACAAGCCAGACCAATCTTCTTCCATTAGGGAAGATATTGTTGAACAACAGGAGCTAGAGCATAACTCCGTACCTCATGACCGAGCTCGCGGAGTTAATGGCTCAGCCGCAGCTCAACTTAAACCCGTGGGGAAGCGGGGCAAGCGAGGTAATAGAGGGAAAATAGACAAGGACGGTGGAGAAACAACTGATATCACTGCGACTGAAATGCATGTCTCTGCCACCGGCCATGGTAGAAAGGGCGGCCCGGGCAAGGGGTGGAGGCAGACTGCCTTCATTGAACCGATTGATACTTCTCCAACCGCCAACAAGTCAAAGCTAAGGGCTAGAAAGTCTCGAGCCCAGAGAGAGAACCTGAATGGATGGGCAACTGAAGAGGCCACTGATATTCAGGAGCTTGGTGACTTTGACTTCCAAAGTAATCTATCCAAGTTCGACAAACGAAGAGTGTTTGATGAAATAAGAAATGACGATATGACCCCCCTTGAAGATCGCCTAGCAAGTTTTAATAGGCGGCCTAAACCTGGGACAAATGGAGGAAAGAACCTTCACTATACAGAAAACGTGTTGGACTCTACAACTCAGCAACATACTTCCCAATGGAATAGTGAAGCTGGAGAAACGGACGATGAGTACACAGGCAATGGCCGGACATCAAGCCGCAACCGTTCTATGCCATCGCGGAAGGGTAGTGGCGTGATAGCGTCCACCCCGTCTTCCGCTCAATTCACCATCCTGGGCCGCCCCCATCTCTCGTCTGCCCGTACTGCAAGCCCGCAGCCAATCAAAGTCATGAAACATTCCGCATCCTCCATGACAGGGTCATCAAGTCCATCAGGCGGCGCACTCCACATGATAACTACCGGAAGAAAATGCCCAAGCATCAGCCCTCTTCAAATGGTGGAGATAGAACAAATAGCCGTCTCAGAGCTCGGTCTTAGTGAAGACATCGTCACAGAAAATGCGGGTAGAGGCATTGCTGAAGGAGCGATCTCCCTCGCAACAGGGCTGCGTGTGCCATCAATAATCGTAGTTTTTGTGGGAAACCATCGCACTGGTGCACGCACCGTCGCTTCTGCTCGCCACCTACGCAACCGTGGTTATCGTGTTTCCCTGTGTGTACTGGGTAATGGTCGTGATGGTGAATTTACCGATGGGTTCCAGAAGCAAATTGACATATTCCAAAAAGCAGGAGGCAATGTCATGCGTTGGGAGGATCTTTCCGCTCGGCTCTCGATGGGCGATTTCAAACCCAAACTTATCATCGATGCGCTTTTTGGTATGCATGTTGCATTCGAAGATTTGCGGACCGATGACCAAGCAACTGCCTTTGAAATTATTTCCTGGGTCAATCGAAGCAAGATTGATGTTCTATCCGTCGATGTTCCTTCTGGCCTATCTGCAACAACGGGTAAGTTGAATACCCCTCTCTCATATACTCTTGCTTATATCGATTCCATACTAATACCATGTAGGGGAAGCAACTGTCTCTCAGGGGTCCCAACTCGCAGTATCTTCCCAATTTGTCATCTGTCTTGGTGCACCTAAGACAGGTTTAGTGACTGCTTTATCTTCACGAGGAGGAGAGTCCTGGCAAATCGCGGTTGCGGATGTGGGAATCAGTCCTGTTGCATGGAGAAAATATGGAACCCGTCGTCGTCACGGAGTCGAGTTTGGCAGCGCCTGGGTAGTACCTCTGAGATTCCAGCTTTCCACTCCTTGACTCACAGGGTGTTATTGTCCCTTTTACCTGCGTCTATTTTTTCTCCTCGCCTTTTTTCTATTTTCCTAGGCATTGTGGGTGGAACGGCTATGGCTTGGTGCTTAAAGGTTTTTATTGTGGTTGGTCACCGGGAATATGGCGTCTTCCTTCTCTTCACAATGCAATCATGGGCCAGAAAAAGCACGTTTGCTTGCGACTGTTTTTCAGTATAACATACGAAACTATCCTTTATTATGTTACCCCTTTTCCGTGACGCCTTTAGTCCATAGCCTTTATCTCATGAGGCTCTTTATTTGGTGTATCATATTGTATTAGCCTTTATCCTCACTGCTTCGAGAATCGGAGAAATTCTGAATATTCAATATACCCAGGTTCTTTCATTTTGGGAGAACTTTGTCTGTTACCAAAGGCTTTGTTGTCTATCGGAACAAGGCCTATTGAGATCATGGTTACTGATTCCAGACAAACTCCACAGTATATAAACATGGCCAGTGGCATATCAAATGGAGTTATGGTTGCTCTCTCCTTAATATTCTCATTCAGCCCATCCATCAAAAAGGCGTAAACAGCCGTTGGATTCCTATACATCCTAAACCTCGAGTGCATATTCAAGCATCTACATACGGGAACCATGGCGGACAACCAGCCTGAACTCGACTTGGACAACTACTATGGCGCTGGAAGGCCCGTAGACGACGCTGGCCGATCTATCAATGTCATGATCAAGGGTCACGTTGGTGAGGAGCTACAAATGATCGTTCTGAGACGGCGCCTTGCTGGACCGTTGGTGCTATCTCAATGCAACGACCTTGAGCGTATCGGTTCTCCTACCTCCCTACGTCCTGCGCAGGAAGGGAGGGCAGATACCTTCAGATACCATCTGCTATCGTCACATACAGACCACTTTCCAATTGACAACCACTACAATCTCGAGCGAGATTACTTCAGGAATATGTGTCCAGATATAGCCAGGCGGTTTACAATCTATGGAAAGATCGGGAGAGGGAGTAAGTGCAGAGGAGTAGCCCGAACTCATTTTTCCATTTATTTAGCTAATTTATTTTCTAGCTTTCGGTCGAATATATGCCGCCAGGGAGATCAATCGACCAGCAGCGGCCACGGGCTTTAGATTCTCGACGGGTTGTGACTGGGATAGTTATGAGTACCAAAGGGCCAGCATGGCTGCGTTGATAGAGCCTAGTGATCCGAGGGCAAGGGCCTATGCACCTAAACCGCCACGTCAATTCGCTATCAAAATGGAACTGCAATGCCCATTATCGATACACGGGTTCGCTAGGGCTCAAACGTGTGAATATCGAGAAGTTTATACTGGTGAGCAACGTTTCCTGCCAGTGGAAGCAGTTGTTCTTGAGCTCCTCACGGAATGCGAAAGATTCCCAAAGATCGATTCTGTGTACATCCATAAGGAGTTTGCGTCAATAGTCATGTCCGCTAACAGCCTGGATGATAATCCTTTACGAGAAACGCTGTTACTTGAGCCGGGGACCATTCCGACCCAACATTTCCCTGGGTATAACGGGGAACAGTTGACACATTTGAAACAGACAAGAGTCACTGAGATCCAAGCTTGTAAGATTGCCTCTAATATCCTCGAGGCACTTGTTTACCTTATGGATATGAAGATGTTGCACGGAGACCTAAGCCATCGAAATTACCTGGTGGATAAGAATCTTAACGTATGTTTGATATCACTCGCTTATCCCCCATTGCCGTTGAATGCTGTGCTAACTCCCTAGTGTAGACCCAGCTTATTGACTTCGGGGCGGTGTACGTGTCTGAAAACAATGGATGGGAAGCGGAACGGTATGGCTATATCGAGGCATTCGAATACTTCGTTAACCCAGAAATAGCCTTGCAGCTTGCAACAGATGATCTCCAGAACCCGATACACACCATTGCAGAACGACATATACCCTTAAGCCACGACCGGCGGGTACAATACCTCTGGAAATTTGGAGTTCTGGTCTATGATCTGCTTCATGGGTATTCTCCCTGGGAAACACCAGACCCTCAAGCAAACAACGGGGACATCAAGACGTTGTATGCGTGGGATGATTATGACGAAGAGAAGTTCCTTTATCTCTACGACAGAAGGTTGCGAATAATGAACGAGGAGTTGCCAATAGACGAACGGCTATCGCAAGATTGCGTGGACGCACTAAGGCATTTGCTAGCGAGGGATGTGTCTGACCGTATGGATATGGCTGAGTTGCAAAGGCTACCTTGGTTCCAGGGGCAATGGGTCGACCGTGCTTCAGAAATGCAGAGACCACCAAGGAAAGAGCCATGAGAGCAGAATAATGTTATAAAGTGGGATATACACCGTTAATTACTACGATGCGCAACCCTCAAGGAAAAATGGGATGGTGCTTGTGATCTGAGAAATTATACCCCAGAAATCCAATGTTGAAACCATCCGTGTGTGGAATTGTATATCCAAGAGTGGGATTTCCGAGGTCGCCGTTCCGAAAGCTTGTTCTGGCCTTGTGTAGATTCCTCTGATAGTTAATCACCAAGAATCGAAATTCCCGAAGCCTCCGCGTCCTGCATTCTTGATCTTCTTACGCGCATGTTCTGACTCGGGTTCATCTTCATCAACAAATCCGACGATCTCATCCTCATTTCCCCTGGAGGCCGCAGCTGAGGCCTTCAAATATTTACCAACTCCAGATACATTGCCCGAAGCGCTGCCGCTCTCGTTTGAGCCATATCCACGTAGTCTCTTGCCGGTCCATGTAACTTGATCATCATCTCCCTTATCCTTGGTATCACTGCTGGCCCCAGATACTGATTGCTGAGCATTTTCCTCTTTTCGCTTCTTATTGAGAAATTCCTCAAATGGGTCCACAAATACCACTACATCAAGCATGGTAATAGCAGGAGTAGGCCTGTTTGTGCTGGAGTCCACGGGTGCTACTTCCATTGCATCTAGTGTTGGCGAGGATGGAGAAGGGTCATCAATTAGATGGCCGAAGATAGTGTGCTTCCCGTTCAGATGAGGGACGGCACGATAAGCGAAGAAACTAATAAATGTTAGTAATTGGAGATATACTCCGGCAAGCTTTATCCTAGGTAGGTAGGATTCACTTACAATTGACTGCTGTTGGTATCCTTTCCTTTATTCGCCATACTGAGCGTTCCTCTAGAATCATGCTTAAAAGGCCCAATAACCTCATCTGCGAAACTTTTTCCCCAAATACTCTCTCCACCTTTGCCAGTTCCAGTTGGATCACCACCTTGAATCATGAAGCCTTTAATGTTCCGGTGAAAGGTAACACCCTTGTAGTAGCCCTTCTTAGCTAACTGAATGAAATTCCACACGGCTTTCGGTGCATGTTCTGTGTGCAGTTCAATGTTAAGATCGCCCAGATTGGTAACTATCCGTGCATAGCCCTTGATCTTTACTCGGCCACGTTTCAGCATGTATTCTTCATCTGTCATTATCGACAAATCCGCAGCGGTATGCGGTGTTAGACCTGTGCTGGTGAAAGAGGCAGCAGCTAAACCAGTAGTGTGCCTTGCTGCATTAAATGGTACAGCTTTTCCACTTTTGCTGGTAGTCGAACTCTTCTTGACCGACAAGTTTTCTTTTTGCCTCTGGCTCAGCGCATCCGATGATGTTGCCTTTTGCTCTCTTTCAGCCCTCGCCTTAGCCACGGCCTCCTTCGCTCGTAGGATCTTTGCTGAACTGCCCATGGCGTTAAGGTTGATGCCCTGGCCATCCTTTCCACTTGTAGTATTGTTTTCTCCGTCATTCAGGTACTTAAAGGTGCTGAGATCTCGGGTGTTCACATTATGTGGATCCTGCAATGTGATTATATCTTTCCTGCCGAATTCTTCGTCATTCACTAGATCTCGCCACATTTTAGGTTTGATGTTGAGCTTTTGCACGGTATCCCAGGCAAATACATTCCCCGTATTTCTTAGCGCGACTATATGTGTGTTGTCCGTGAATACTTTATATGTGACAGGATCAACATATTCGCCCGACTCGTTCTTTGCGAAGTGTAGCTTGATGAGATCCGAGTTCTTCATCGGAGCACCGTTCACGGGGTTGGTGCCGTTCTTCTTGATCCATGGTAGGATGTGTGTCAGATCGAATATAATGCCATCGGATGTGCATACAGGGTGGGAAAATGGCTGGAGTGATAGAGAGCAAAAGTTGAAGGGTAGGCGTTTAAAAGGCGCATGAGATCCGCCAGTTTTCTGTCGCGCAGCACCAGCACCGACACTGGCAGAAAATGCATCCTCTGAGGCCCATTCCGAGTGAGTGATCTATGGGATATTCGCGTCAGTTTCGATTCGGCGCAGGTAAGAGTTGAGCTGATATCCAAGTCACGTACATAGAGCTTATCAGTACCTAGAAGCTAGAGTTAGCGGTTGTCGTCGATCATAACTATTGAGTTATCACATGTTGGACATACCTTTACCCATGTTAGCTTCTGTTCTGACTGTTGCCAGTTAAGTGTTCGAACTTGGGTTGTGATGAGCTTGAAGAGCTTTAGGATCAATTTGGAGCTCGAACGAACTTTCGAGGCAGATGATTTGCGGATTTAAGTAAAATATGGTTGGTTAGCTGAACTGGTAAGTGGAGCTAACTGTGAACCAATAATATTAGATTCCGCTAACAATTCCTTAATTTTCTCAGTAAGCTAGTAGTTATATGAGATTTTATTGGTTTATTTTAATATAACTACCCCCGTGAAACCAACCACAAAAAAGGGTCCTGCGATCGTTTCCTCACAATGTCTGATGGCCAGATTGTGGCCGTTAAATCTAGCCGGCCCTCTCTGTCTAGAGAAAAGGGGATCAGGTGAGTAGCGTTAATTGGCCAGTCTATGTAAGTTCACTTTCTGGGTCGTTGGGCAGGGCTCTGTGTTGGCTGTGATACAGTGGCGGTTCGTTACCCCATATAGCCGACGTTCTATATCTACTTTAATGAAACCTAAAGGTAACGAATATAACCATGAGGTGGGAGGGGTATTGTAGATAAGGGAATCGGCCTTATCTCCTTGCAAGCCTGTACCATACATAGCTCCCGTTTGTGAGCAGAGATAAGAATGGGCCTGATCCAAGTCCCAGTGCCTTTCGTACAAGAAAAAAGAAGAAGAGAAGGAGAGAAATAGTAGGTCCATTATTGGGCCTCAAATATTTTGCCCTACGTTGAACCAGCTTTATACCAGTGAACGCTTAAAGTTAATGAATAAATTAAATGGCTTAATTCACCAATCAGGGCTTTCGGACTCCAGTTTATGACGGCGGCCCCACTAGCTAATTTGGCTTATGTAACGCGCCAAGTGAATATTTTAATGCGGCTGAAAAAGAACACCTTCGGAGTATCAACGGACCTCTTCGGATGCTCTACAGTATTTACATGCTGCTCCTCTATTCTAAACCAATACCACTAACACCCAGAATTGGCCTGTAGGTTTTCATCCCTTTTTAAAAAAAACATGCAGCCAAGGAGAGTAAGCCCCTGCGACCACAAAATACGCTTGTCTCAAAGCTGACCCATCCTTGTACTGCCTGAGCAAGGTTAAGGTTGATATTTAACGATGCAAGGCGCCAACCGGGCAATTTTGAGATGTTTTTGGATGCCTTGCAGGGAGCTCTGGTTATCTTAATGGTGTCATCGAGCGCCCGGCAGCAATCTGACCGAAAGCGCCAATCAAGTCAAGATGCAGGCTGTGCTTCCCCGGACTTGAGAAAGTGTCTGCCTAGAGCCGCGTACGATTGTATACCACTCACCAGGGTCGAGCATGCCGCATGTTACTAACGAGCCACTCAGCTGAGCAAGGATAAACCCATCCCTTGTTGCCAGCCACAGCCTTAAAGCTCAGCCAACATGTCCACCAACATCCGAGGGCTAACATAACCCACCGACCAGAGCCCATAACTCACAGAGACGAAAAAAGTCATTTTTAGAAGACTGCAGACCGTGCACCTCGAAATGTCCAAGACAGTCATGGCTCGGAATAACTAATCATGACTGCGAACAGTTGGTGACAATATTATTATGATCGGCCGTCCCCAGAGGAACTCCCCAATATTAGTGGTCAAGCATGCTTACAAACAGTGCATAACATGCTCCAACCAATTACTATTAATATCAGCACATCCATGGAGGACAACCAAGAGTGTTTGAGAATAGGCGCTTCGACGAGGGGGGGAGGCAACGGTTCCTCGTTATATTAACTAGCTATCACGCCAGACTCTTGCCGTCTTTTCTCTCTCATCAACGCCCGATGGGTGCTTTCTTCCATTTGTTTGCGTTTCTTTTTCCCCGGGCGCCGTCAGCCAACCGTAGGTTCTTTTGACTTTTGGAAGCCTTACGCCTGCATGGATGTTGATGGTGTGAAGGAGCCCCGAAAAGCAAAAGCGAGAGAAGAGGCGCAGAGACGCTCCCTTCACTACAAAGGAACCCTCATATCTCTTGCCCAAGATAAATACCGGCTCGTCTGGACCTATTACGCCGCAATATTTTGATACCCACACCGAACATCAATCAGCGGCATAGCTTTATCTAAAGACGTGGCCAGTTGTGGATTACGCACGGCCCCTGTTGTTGCCTGGCTTGCTCATGAGCATCCCAAACCAAACTCGTCTTTCCCAGACAGCACAGTAGGTCGACGCTGAGGCGGCTACAAGGTATTTTCCCTCTCACTCCCTTGTTCATGTTTTCGGCCTAGAAACTGTGCTGATAGCCAATAGTTTTAGCCTAGCCGGTAGATTATTACACGTCCCCTATTTTACCATGGATATGCATCACGGAATACATAACGGGGGTAATATCTCTCCACACCAGAGCTTGGAAGATATGCCAATGCCTGGTCACTTCCCCGATACCCCAGATATCGACGATTTTGAAGATCTCGACACCCGCTTCAGCAGGATTAGTCTTGATAGTAGCCTTTCCAGAGGGGCCCAGCTTAATGAGAGCACATACGAGGGATGGACACTGTATCGTGGAGAGCCGAAAACGCCCGGTGGTGAGAGAACTTGGGCCACTGCCACCATCTGCAAGATGCCTCTTCCCCAGGCAGAATTGATCGACCTGGTTCATAAACAAAAGCACCAGTCCGTCACAGAAGCGTATAATGAGCTGACCCTGGTCAAGCGGCAACACATTGATAACTTAATCGAGCAGAGGAAACAAGAGTGCAATGACCCAAAGTACGACTGGATCTGCGTTTATATCAATTCCGCCACTCGAGATGTGCGGTCTACTTTTGGTCCTAAGAAGGCTTTGACGATATCAATCGCCATTGTTCTCTGCAAGCAGCTAAAGCCAGAAATACTTAGAGCCCGTCGTGCTGCACAAATTATAAAGGAGAAAAAGGCCAGGGATACTGCTAGGCATGATAAAAACATGGTGCACGCGGAGTTTGCTGATCCACTCCGCAGGTCTTTTCATCCATCTGGTCTTGGATTAAACCTTCCTGATGCCCAACAACTTCCGAATCCTCAGAAACGTCCACCCGCAAACACCCAACATAACCTTCCACTTCACTCGCAGAGCAAACCTACACCTTACCAACACCAGCCTCAAGCCCTACCATATCTTCCACAGCGACATCCTGAGGACCATCCACACCCGCATCATGGGCAGCACTCATTCAACCCTCCTAATCCCCATAACCCTATACCACCACAAGGACAGAGTCATCTTACCCACGCCCCTCCAACAAACCATGAACTTCGAATGATAGGAAAAATTCCTTTCCAAGGAGATTTACATCCTGAACATGGACAGGAAGTTACCCCTGAGGAGTTTGGGCCTCCCCGTCATCCACGCCAGATGACGCAGCAGGACATACCACACGTTACTCCAGGACACCACCAACAAGAACAGAAGATACTTCCTGAAATGATTCAGATTCCACCACCCCCTATTGGACCACATCAATCGCAACCTCGCCTTCTACCAGCTCCACACGATGCTCATCCAGATCCTCGATATCACCAACTTCATTCGGGTGCCCAAGGTTTAAATGAAGCTCATATGCCACCCCGTCAACGCCATCCTGGGTATAGGGAGGAGCCACACAGTACTCAAGCTTATACCCAGGCACTTTTTGACCCAAACCAGCATCATCCTGGTAATGAAAATGTATATAAAAACGCTCGAATGGTGAATCAGGAGCCTCACTCAACTCATCCTCAACGCTCTCGACGTCGAGCTGAAGAAGTACCCAATGTTCAAATGCCAACTCAGGACTACCAGCATCATAGCCAGCGCCATGCTAGACAGGAACAGCCATTAGCGGCTACCCATGAGCTGAAAAAGCCTCAAAACAAACAGCACAAGAAAAAGAAACCCCCTCCAAAGATTGTCAATTCAGAAAGAGCTAGGAAAGAGCAGGAGATTGTGGAGAAATGGCTGGAAGAAGATAGTGATCCTTCGGACTATGATTCGTATCTCTTTGATCCAGAAATTGCAAGCTCCGTCACAGATGACTCTTTCTCTTTTGGAGAATATGATAACTGTGATTATCCTCCTGACGACGATACCCGTCGCCATTGTTCTAATAAGAACCTGAGAAACCAGAGCCGTGAGAAGAGCAAAAGCAGTGACCGTAACGGCCATCGAAAGCATCGTCACTCTCTTGGGTATCGCATTCATGTCCGCCCGTCCGAAAAATCCTCTTATCCTATTGAGCTGCCCAAGCCCAGGAGATCGCAATATCCCTCAGGGTCCGTTGAACTTCAACCATTCAGCAGCACACATAAACGTCCTGGAAAACTAGCTCGGTCTGAGACCGTCTCTTATCCCTCCAGACGTCACAAGGTATACCCTTACGAAAGAGGCCAACGAAAACCTAGCCCTGATCACCTTTCTCCCTCTGAGCTAGCCTGGGAACTGGAACTGCGAGAGAAAGAGCGGGCTCATCAACGATACTTGGAGAGCCAGTTGTCGATTGAGAGAGAAGTTGAGGCTCGCCTTCTGGCTGAAAGCTTAGCTAGGGGTAGTCCCGACCAGGCACAGACTGCTCAGCTTGAAGGATACACTCCCCAACGTGTGCTGGATACGTATGAGAAGTATGATCGAATGAAGCGGCTTGACGGCAATCGGAGGCAGCCATACATGGAACAGCAGCACCCAAGGGATAATCCAAAAGATTACTTATCTCATGAGCGCCCCTTCAGGAGGTAGATAGTGGGAGACCTACGAATCTTCAGATTAGCGCCAGACAGTCTCTCTTAGATATATGCCTATTTTTTTTTTTTCATTTGTATGCTATTATTATCGATCAGTGCGAATCACCAGCGGGTATATTGAATACATTCAGAGATAATCTTATCATTAAAGTCATATCTGGCCTAGACATAGTAATATAGAAAGCATAATGTACATGCTGTACTAAACGTACTGGGCTATTGAATCGAAATCGTCTTCCACATCTGAATGGTTCCCGTCTACAACAAGTCTAGACTTCCTTCCGCTATTAATATCGCTGATACTTGAGAGGTTCTGATAGAACTCTGTCACTTTGGGGTGTACCATGACTTTCTTGGGATCAAAACGGGACACTTGCAATCCATCCTTGGACGTCGCTCGACTGAGAGCAACATAAGCTTGGCCCCTTTCAAACACTCTTCCGAGATCGACCTTGACACGTTGCAAGGTTTGTCCTTGGGCTTTATGTATTGATAACGCCCACGCAAGGATCAATGGAACCTGTAGTCTTTGAGCCTGAACCTCGCCGTTGGGAAGCTCGATCTTCCAGGCTTCAGGCATACACAAAAGTTGCCTTTCTGATCCATCGGGTAAAATAAAGGCAACAAGGGGGTATTGTCGCGATGTATTAACGCTTCCAGTGTTGGTTTTTTGATCAAAAGCCATACTTTTAATTTTTTGCTTTGCTTGGCTTGGCTCATCATCAAAGGCATAGTAGCCATTTTCACGTTTCAGGCCTTCCCTGATATGATTATCAAAACCGGCCTCATCCATGAATGCAATAACCGTTCCTAGGGACCCATTTACCAGCGTTTCGTCTTTGTTCTTGATAAGCATCACCTGGGCCCCCTTTTTGAGATGAATAGTAGCGGGTGCCATGCAATTGCTCAACAGCTTAGCTCGGAATTGTTCATCCTTGATTGCTCCCGAGTCAGCGGCGTGAAATGTCATGACTGATCCCGAAAGGCGGTTCATTCTTTCGGAGTTAGCTCGATCCACCTCAGCCCTCGTAGGAAATCTGTAAATTGTCACTATTAGCTTCCAGCAAATATAGAATAAGGTTCTTTCAATGACATACAATTCCGTTGCCTCGATGTTATCACTACAAGTTAACGGTCGTGAGAGGTCTTTGAATGCTTGAATCGCAGAAGGGCTTAAACGTCCAAGTCGCATTTCGTTCAGCATGTTGGCAAAATCGGGATCTCTTTGTCTGAACACCTGCGTCAAGAGAATTGTGTGTTGAATCGACGTATTCCAAGTCCCTGCGGCAAAGGCAAATTTTGCTTCTTTTCCACCTTCCGGAACTGGGGGGAGCTGAAAGAAATCGCCAGTAGTAACAAGCTGGATGCCACCAAAAGGCCTTCCATTGTTTCTGATCTTACGGGCTAGTTCCTCCAGTTTGTCAAAAAAGTCTCCGTCGACCATTGATATCTCATCTATGATGAGTACCTTGGTTTTTAACCAACGGGTCTTGGCCTTCAGGTTACGTTTTACCTGTGATACGGTTAGTCGGCGGCATCAAAATTGCGTGGGTTTCTTAACATGCCTTTTTGACGAGCTCCTGAGTTGACTCCTTCCCAAGTCCAACACCCGCAAAGCTGTGCAGTGTAACTCCCTCAATATTACAAGCTGCTAGACCTGTTGATGCGGTTACAGCAACGGCGTCAGAGTCGCGTGAATATTTAAGGCGCAATTGCCTTATAATTTCCCGCATGAGTACAGATTTACCAGTTCCTGCGGAACCAGTATAGAAAACACTTTTGCCCTTTTTCACGATGGTCTCAATGACCTGGTTCTGTTCTTCGCTGAAGAATATAGAGGGAACTCGGGTATTGGAGGGTCTCTGAACGTTATTAAGCTTTTTCTCTGATGCAGCGAGAGACTTAGATTTCATTTGTTTCCTCAACTCCTTTTGTTCTTCTTTGACATCGCTAAAAGTCTTATCCCATGGCATGTGCTTCTTTTCTTTCACGGGTATTTGTTCTGTTTTGACGGTTTGGTCGTCAAAAGGGATTGGTTGTGGTGTCGGCTGAACATCATGACTTTTCAGCATGGGCTTCTTGAAGGAGGTATCTCGATTCGTAATCAGATTGCCTGAAGAAGGACCAAATTGCCCTCTGTTACCTTGCATGGCATCATCCCAAGGTAGTGTTCTCTTCTTCGGCTGCTGATGCGGTGGATTGGGACGCTCCTGTTCACGGGGCGGAGAGGACGACCATGGTATTGGAAAGCTGCTCGAAGGCATAGCTTCAGTGGGAGCGCTGCTATCATTTTTTCGTGAATTTGCATCTGCAATGGATGAATTGTGAGATGAGGATTTCGATTGTGTGGGCTTGGAAATTTGGTATGCGATCTCAAGGAATTCCTCATTTTCAGAATCATTTTCGCCAAAGTATACCGCATCATGCAGATCATCCAAAGCGCTCCTGCTGAGTTCTGATGTGAAATCGGCCTTTCGCTGGGAACTTGATTGCAGGCTACGAGACTGTATTGTCGAGTTTAATCGGTCACGGTTTGGCTGCAACGCATTCGGCTTCTTTTGCCGTTCGGGATGCTCTTGAACCGCTCTGGTGAACATTTCCGGCTGCAGCGGTTGGGCGTACGTTGAGAGTCCCGCGAACCTGCGTGGGAGAGCTAAGGTCAAACGTATAGGGGGTGAGAGCGGCCGCGGCTTCTGCAGCAAACGAAGCATGTAAATGAAATTGACGCAACCGTTTAGCCACTAGGTATCAACCCGGAGCAGCCAGGTATCCAAAAAAAGAGATCTCAGCACAGCAAACCCATAGAGCCGCCTGCAATGCTGTGTGTTTTGTATAGAAATTTGCGTTGAACTTGATCTTGCAATTCTCACCTTTTTCTCTCTTCCCGATTTGGAACTTTTGACAGTCGCGAGCGCGTCAATTCACGTGACTGATAAGATAACTCAAGATTAGATAATCATAATCTTAACTCTATTTCGTCATGTTCGCGTTTTCTGTGCAGCGTCAAAAGATAGAGAAGAAGAAAAGCAACTTGCCTGGTTTCGGGAGTTTTTGCAATTTTTTCGACTCTCCAGGGCCTTTCTAACGGCGGCGGAGGATGATTATAAGGGCCTCTGAGGATGAAGAATGGCCCAAGATGCAGAACTCGGTAAGATACCTTGTTTTATTGTCCCTCGAAAGCTATGCTGAAAGCTAACATCGTGAAGCCAAGGAGCTGCCTCTTGCTGGGGTGATTCTTTGCTGCACTTCTATCCTCGCAGAACATCGAGTAAGCCCTGGGAATGACCTCATGTTGTGCTAATAATATGATTACTGACTTTGATGTAGTCCCGATTGACGGACGTTGCTTGCCAGATGGGCGCAATTCACAAGTTTGATCTTACATCCGATGTCACTCATCTTATAGTCGGTGACATAAACACCCCGAAATATAAATATGTGGCCAAAATGCGAACGGATGTCAAAGTCATTAGAGCCGAGTGGGTAGAGGCTGTTAGGTCATCATGGATACAGGGCGGTGACACCGATATCCATGCCCTTGAGGCTGAATACAAACTTCCCACTTTCTTTGGGCTTTCAATTTGTATCACTGGGTTTGAGGATTGTACGTGTTACTTGAATCTAGGCATAACTGCGTAACGGGCGTAGCTGATTGCTGGAAGTGGACTTTAGGAGTCACCTTGAGGAAACCGTCTGTGCACACGGTGCTGAGTTTCGGAGGGATTTGACGAAGGCCGTCACCCATCTAATCGCATTTGCATGTGAAGGCAACAAGTATCAGTTTGCCATTCAGTGGGGAATAAAGGTCGTGAGCCTTAAATGGCTTGAGGATAGCATTGAACGCTCTATGGCGCTCGATGAAACCCTCTATGACCCTCTCCTTCCAATTGAAAAGCAAGGCATTGGCGCATGGAATCGTTCTAAACCTACTGCTGTTGAGAGAATGGCGAAGCCTCAGGACATCCTTCCTCCTCGTCTTCCCCCGCGTACTAGAAAGTTACGCAAGGTTGCGAGTCTCAAGCTAGGTGGTCAGACTGAAGGTATATGGTCTGCCATTGTACCAAATCCTTCTACCACTGCCGAGAGCAATGATAATTCTCAATATGACGGAAGTCAGCATTTGACAGCAGCTTCACACCAAAATTTGCTAGATACCAAGTCGTTTGCAAGTGAAACTACAGTCCCTGGCCGGCGTGATAGTGTATCTCGTGAGAGCAAATCACTAGCTGCTGAAGCTAAAGAAGCACCATCGAAGGGATTTTGGGACAACTGTAGGTTTTATATAACTGGCTTTACGACAGAACAGGTAAGCAATCATACATCACAATCATCTAGCGTAATCGCTACCCTCCAACGTTCCAAAGCTGACCTGCCACTAGACACAGATACTGGAAATCCACCTTATTGCGCAAGATGCTCGCATTTCACCATCACTGGATGACCTTTTGAAGCATAATAATCAATTATTTATGGTTGTTCCGTATGATCTACCCCGGCGAGAGATTCCAAGAATTGATGAAGAATTGGACGAACTTGAAATCGTTACGGATATGTGGGTTGAGCGATGCCTACGCAGCCAGGCATTTGTAGCCCCAGAGGCTCACATAACCAGTACTCCTTTTCCAAGATTTCCTATCCCAGGTTCGTTTCACAGCAATTTGCATTATCAAAACGAATTTTAGTAACATGTTGTAGCATTCCAAGGCATGAGGATATGTTCAACTGGGTTTTCCGGCATTGACTTGCTCCACCTCAGCAAACTTATTAATCTTCTAGGTATGAGTTTTGGCTATTTGAATAAAAATTTGTCGATACTAACCGTAATTAGGGGCGACATATGATGAATATCTCACAGCTAATGCTTCAGTACTCATCTGTAACACGTCGACACCCAGCCCAGAAAAGCTGAGGCATGTATTTGAATGGAATATACCCCCTGTGATTGCGGACTGGTTATGGATATCCGTGCAAACAGGAGAAAAGAAACCATATCAACCATACTTGATTCCCAATAAGCGTTCAATGTCCCAAGAAGCGCAGAGGTTAACGGCAGAAGAAGTGCAAACAGCCCCTCTGGGCCACTACCCTATAGACCAGGAATGCACTCAAGTGTTGCAGAACGGGGGTAGAGATGGCAATGAGTCCGAAGCAGATGATATGGAAACCCAGCCTACAGCTCCCCAAGCAAAAGCCTCCATAACCGTCCCGCCGAAGCCTTCCCGCTCTCCATCTCCCCTGAAAGAAACAAACCAGCTTATTCCCGCAGCTTCTCCTGCCCCTCTTCCGGCGGAGGATTCAACGCCTAAGCCAATGGCTAATTCAGAGACAAAAATATCTCTCAATACCGCAATAAGTGAACTCCTAAAGCAGAAAAGACTACGAACCCAAAACTCTACCGGCGATACAGATGTCCCTGTGCGTTCTCAAAGACGACGCAAGCTATTAGGTAGAGCCAGCTCGTCCTGCTCTGCCCTGACTACGACAGAGGCGCAGCGAGGTCTATCCCGAGCAAGTTCGATAGACACGTTGAACGAAGATGGTTATGGTAGTGTAATCGATGGCCTTGATAGCCCTTCAACAAAAGCGCCGAGCTTCGTTTCGCTAGCCCCTCATAAAGGCGAAATTACTCATCCTGAACAAATGGAGGCACAACAAATGTTACAGCGAAGACTGGCTCTATTTCAGAGTAACTCTGCCAATGGCGAGTTTGCAGAGAAAGCTGCCGGCGAAGATGAGCCTCTACCTTTGACTCAACTCGAGTATGATGATCCAGACGCGGTAGCAATGCGTGAGATGATCAGCAATCAGAGCCCGAGGAACAATGAGGTGGACGAAGGAACTGGACCTGGAAGTTCACGGGCAGGTCGGAAACTAATTATTGGTAAACTACAGGACGGTCGAGGAGGGAGGAAGACGAGATCTCGTAAATCAGAGGGCTGGTAGCATTAAAGGAATTGGATAGAGTAAATGTTCATAGCACTCTAGCCGTTTTATAATGCTCGTCTTCATTATTGAGTGTTCTTGAGTGCTACTTGTTATGCATGTAAATATAGCTGGTTCCCATTGTGCATACTTCAAAAACCCTAAACATTGGACGTCTATAGTGATAACTTCACTACAATCTTCAAGCCGCAAGTACAACTAACAACCGATGAGGCAATCAATACGTTTGATCCATTGCAATTTGTGTTAATCTAGGGTATGCAAAATGAACTAACAAAGCCACTAGCGGAACTAGAAGCAAGAGAAAAGGGGTATGTGATGTTGAAATATTACAAGGCATGAAATGTACGGGGGCCTCGGGGTTATCTTAATTCCTGTTTATCCCAAGACGCCGGCATCACTCCAAAAACACGTGGAAACCAATCATAAAATCATGAAACAAAACTGAGCATGGGGTATGTGCGAATTGAACAAGGGGAAAGTGAAAAGCAAAAGAAATGAAGGGAAAGGAGAGGCAGGGAAAGGAGAGGGTCACAAGATCGTGGGTAAGGCTGGAGGGAGAGGAAGGGAGTAAAGTACTATACAAGAATGAAAAATTTGCTGATAGAAGAGAGGTATAGGCTCCTTATGCAGCAGCTGGAGGAGGAGCCTGTGCGTCAAGATCAATCTGTTCCACAGTCCTCCTATGTTCAGTGCTCTCACGGAAGAGGTTGGAGAAGTACTTCTTCGCAATTTCACTCTCTGCCTTAATTTTCTCAACCTCCTCCTTTCGTCTGAAAAGCTCCTCGGTAGCTATTTGTAGTGTTGACTGCAATCTGGTAGCGGGGACACGAAGCACTCGCCCAACTTCTCCAGATATGCGGGTGGCATTGGAGTGGATATAATCCATCTCCGCAAGTGTTACGGCTATCTTGCGGGACAAACTTGATGGTAGAGCAGTTGGAACCTGGGACAAGATATACGCACCAGCCAATAGTGCTAAAGAGAGAGGTATGTCAGCAATTTGTAAGTACAGAACTAGAAGGGGAAAGAACTTACTTGCACCCAAAAGGCCAGGGATCAAGAGTTTGCGCATAGTGTTTGGACCAAGTATCCTGGCGGCCCCCATTACACCATCAAGCCAGCCAATTCCACCCAATGCTCTGCCCCCAAGTACACCTAGGACAGTCATAGCCATACCGGTACCAGCAACCTTCTCTTGCCGTTCCCAGAAACCAGGGAGGTCAATGAAATCCCAAACATCAAGTTCTGTATGTATCTGTCGTGCCAGTTCGTGACGGTGTTGTTTAAACATGATTTCAGAGCGGAAGTTGAGACTGGGGAACTTATTTTCGCCTACATGAAGCAATCCAAGGCTTTGAATCATATTGACACCTTCCACACATTTCTTGCGTGAATAATCCTCGCACTTGTAAACACAAGCGGTGATCTGATCGAGCATTGCCAGTTTGACATCCTCTGCATAGCGGAAGACCGAAAGCAGGCCAGGATAATCCACGCCCAGATCAGACTGAGCAACCGTTGATATCTTCTCTGCAAGAGATTTGCGGGTATAATTATATACGTCATTGGATGATTCTGTAATGGAGCGTTCCAGCTGCTCGGAAATCTCTGACCGTTGCATTTTGCTCTTCTCAAAAGCAGGCTCAAGTTTACTGAGCTCTGTGGACACGCGTTCAAGTTCAGACGAGGCAACATCGCGGTTGACGGATGCAAGAACGTTGAGATCGGAGAGAATGTTGAGCAAGTATGTTCTGGCTGGAGCAAGCTTGGACCGAGATCGTTTTTCCAAGACAAACCGCCGTAGAGCACCCTCTAAGTTCTCAAAGTCCCGAAGTTTTTCTTTTGCTTTTTCCTTTCCCTTGCCCTTGCCTTTCGAGTCGTCATCATCATCACCATCGTCACCACCATCTCCTCCTCCGCTTCCACTGATAGGCGCAACAGGAATAGCATTGCTAGAAACGAAATGCACAAGTTCTGCGGATTCCTTGTAGGTGTGTGGGCTGAGGGCAGCCACTTGGTTCAGAATTGTTCTCTGGCATCGAGCGGTATCTCTGATATTATCAAATCCGTTGACAACAATAAAAATATAGGCCTTTTCATGGGCAGCATTCCTGATGAACTCGCTTGACGAGAGGGTGAAATGATTCGCGGCTGAAAGAACGAAGACCACCACGTCAATTTCTTCCTGTCGAGCGAATACGGCAGTAGTTTTGACCGAATCAGAATTGAGACCCGGCGCATCGATTAACGCAATATCGACAACTCCATTGTTGAGTAAAGATTCGTCAATTGTTCGGACATCCTTGACGTACACCTTGCACTGCATGTACTTGCTGTTATCCACAACGATGGACTCGAGATCGGTGAGAGAATACACATCGTAAGTGCTCTCATCGTTTCTATTATACTGCTTGTCCTTTGGAATGGCATGCACCTCCTCCACTCCTCCATTCTCCCTAGCATCAAGTACCTCACAGAAGATGCTGGTGCAGGGCTGTTGATCTTCGGGCAGAATCTTTCGACGTAATAGAGCATTGCAGAAGGTTGACTTCCCTGCATTAAGGTCACCGGTGATGAGAACTTTGCTGGATGTGTCCTCTATCCTTCCCCGCAAAGCCAATAGGTGTTTTATGCTTTGGCTGACTTTCCCGTCAAGGAGAGAAGCGATCGAGTTCTTTTCCAGAGAGTGAACGAGTTCAGCAGGGGATAAAGCGCCAAGTTTCAAATCCAACTTCAGGATAGAGAATTCCCGGGCAATTTGTGGTGTTACGAGTCTTGGTTCAGCTTGTGCCCTGGCATCGGCGTCCCGGCTCGCCTCAGCAGTCTGGCTAATCGACGTGGCAGTACGTTTGATTGTGCCGGGCCGTGGATCAGCATCACTTCCCTCTTCTCTGCTTTCCTCGTACGATCGTGTTCGTGAAAGAATGTGTCTGTTCTGTGGGGGTGCATCGGTGTTCTGAATAGAGGGGTAATGCGCCGGCCACTGGCGGTTCATTTCTTGGAGTTCCTTTAGGAGCTCTATAGCTCTGGTAATAGATCGACCGAGTTTCGTTCGGTTGGAGTTACTAGTATATATGTTAGTATATGATTATACGTGAGAGGGAGAAAAAAAGAGGCCCCAAATCGTACTATACGAGCTGATGAACATGGTTCGCAATAACCTGTCTCTCATGTTGTGCTGCATAACACTCTTCTTAGCAAATGGTATAGAGTGAATACCGGGGGGGAAGAACAGCGGAAACACACCTGCATTACTCATGTAGCCTGGTCCAACGGGTGTATGTGATGGCGTAGGGCGGTCCTCCATCAGCCCGGCCTGCCAGGACTCAGAGCCGATATCCGAGTTGCCATCGATAATGCTTCCACCGTACCCCGAGTCCTCATGCAAGGTCGACATCAACGAAGTCGCGTTCCCGGAGGCAGGGCCCGATCCAACTATCATGTATCCGGGGACCTGGCTCGGTGGCCGTTCATCGCCGGGGATGGGAGAGTGTCGTTCGGTTGACCGTGAGGAGCCCTCTCCGGCGGAAGAGCCCGCGTCGGGGGAAAAGTAGTCCTTGCTGCTCATCGCGAAGGTGTGTCTCTAGCATCAACTGTCTCCCACAGCACTCAAACCGTTCACTTCACTGCGAATTCATCTGTCTTCCTTCCTGTCCGCTTCGTCTCGTCCCGTCTGGCGGATATTTTTTTTCTCGTGGCGTGACAAAAGGAATCAAAGAAATAAAAAGTAAATCCAAAAAATCCACCAAAAAAGCGCCTCGGAAGCGGAGAAACAAAGATGCGAGACTCCGACGTCACCAAAAGTCAAAAAGCAGAAGACGACGAGAGGACGAAGAACCAGCGACGGCGAGGATAGAGCAGCAAGGACGACAGCAACGGACGGTTGAACCATGAATGTGAGTCTGGTAGAGAGTGTACTATGTGGTCATATTAAAAAACAAGGAGAAAAAAGCGCATGCTGATACCCGGAGAATAGATCATCGAGTGGGCGTTTGGGAAGCGGATGACCCCCGCGGAGAGGCTGCGCAAACACCAGAGAGCGCTGGAGAGGACGCAGAGAGAGCTGGACAGGGAGCGCGTGAAGCTCGAGAACCAGGAGAAGAAGCTGGTGGCAGACATCAAGAAGAGTGCAAAGAACGGGCAGATAGCGGCATGCAAGATCCAGGCAAAGGACCTTGTCCGGACACGACGGTATGGCCATACGATCCTCTGGGGAACGGCTTGACTGGTAGAGCAATCCAGGTCTAACAAGCCGGACTATAGGTATATACAAAAGTTCTACTCGATGCGGACACAGTTGCAGGCTATATCACTACGGATTCAGGTATGGATGGGCTAGGCTCCAGCCGGTTTCTATACCATATATTTATATTTCTGGATCAAGGTTGATTGATTGCTGACTGGCTGATCCTTTTTTTTTTTTTTTTTTTTTTTTGTTAGACCGTTCGAAGTAATGAGCAGATGGCCCAGTCAATGAAGGGAGCAACGATACTGCTGGGAAGCATGAACAAGCAGATGAACCTGCCTGCTCTGCAGAGGATTGCCATGGAGTTTGAACGAGAGAACGAGATCATGGATCAACGACAGGAGATGATGGACGATGCTGTTGATGAAGCAACTGGTCTCGATGACGAAGAAGAAGGAGAAGAGATTGTCAAGGAGGTATTGGATGAGATTGGTGTTGATCTCGGGCAGGCGGTATGTATTGTTCTGTTCACATCCTGTTCTCATTCTACTTTCAACTGACAGCTGACCTTTCTTCCCCTTCCTTCGCTTTGGCCACAGCTCGGAGAGACACCAAGTGGAATACAAGGCACGGCAGTCAAGGAGGCCCGAGTTGCCCAAGCAGTTGGTGGTGGCGGGAATACGGATGACGAGGACTTGCAAGCCAGATTGGACAGTCTACGCAAGTGAAGTGTACTAATAGATATACATACCACGCACGCGCGCACACACCCAGGCAGATATCTATATATTCTAGCAGCGGAGTTACGGAGTTACGTGGACGACGGACGGGAACGAGCCCATCAGAGCAGAAAACTAACTTAACTTGATTGGCATCCAGGATCCTGCTTTCTTGCTTCTATTTTATTTTATTTTATTTTATTTTATTTTATTTTATTTTTTTATTTTTTTTTTTTCAAAGTGATTCGTGTTGGGGATGCATATACACTTTCGTCTTTTTTGCATTTCTAATTCAAGAAAAGAGAAGAGAAAAGGAACATGTATATGCAAGCAGGTACTAAGAATAATACCTTGCCCTGGAATTACGCATGTTACGAGTTGTCCCCCATGGTGTCCTTGCCCCCTGATCTGCCTATACGGGGCTGGTAGCGGTGATGACTTTTGATACCTGCCTGAACAGAGAGTGAACAAGCGAGAAGCCCCAGAACGACCACCACCCTCATCCTTCAAGAGTTCTCGGGGCTCTTGCCACCGCTTTTTCCTCCTTCATGTGTGTGTACACTGTATATAACCCATTAGCTTAGACTTTTGTGGGGTGAACGTCTTCGTCCAGGGGGGGGGGGACAATCCTGGATATCTTTTCTCCCTGATGCTTTCTCTCCTCTCTTCCCCCCGCGCCCCCAGATATGTCTCCAAATAAGCCCTCGGGGGTATATCCAACCGGCCTGGAGGCAGCGTGACCTCTCCAGCCAGGGCATGGATTGTATCCTTCGGTCTAGTGTTCTTCCAGAAAGATGTAACGTGCCAGGGACCCAGGATCAACCGCTCGGTGTCTTCTAATCCGCGGGTATTTGCAATAGTAATATCTCATGGACCGCAGGGAATTTCTGTTTATTAGCCGCCCGCAGAGACTCTTGCCGGCCCATCCATGGCCTGGTGGGTAAAATCAGGACAACAAATACGGTCTCTGGGGTCTAGGTCGAAGGGCTAGAATATGCTGATCGAGTCTGGAGACGAGCGAGCCGATATCACTGTGATATTCGGCTGCCCAATTACCCCAGCAGAGAGCCAGACAGCGCAGAGATATCTGACAAGAGCAGCACCAAGCGGTCATCTTGGTCCTGTCCATCATGGCCAGCCTGTACGGAGTATTCTGCGGGTTCTTCTGCTTCTCGTCTTCGCCGTCGTCCTTGCTTGCCCCTGAGCGAGCCTGGCTGCGACTGCAACTCCCACCTCCTCGTCCTCAGCACAGCCAAAGACTCAGATAATCATGTCGAGCAGCCAGCCCTCTCTGCAAAGCCCGCCGTGGCAACCTCGGCCAGGCAGCAGGATCTCAGTGTATCAAGTCGTAGTCGAGCTCACTTAGCTAGTTAGTTGGTTTCATCGCAGCAAGAAAAGAAAAGAAAAAAAGTCCGTCTTCCGTCTGACCACAAACAGCACAAAAAACCTCCCACAAACGTCCACTCCCTCCCAGTAGACAAAATAACCAAACCGCAGTAGACCCAAGGCCGCTCTCTACTCCTCCCTCCCGCTACGACTCGCAGCAGCAGCCTCCAGGTACGTCTTCCCTGGCCGTTTCTTCACGTCTTTTTGCCTTTTTGGCGCTGGCGAAGCGCCCGCTGGAGGGGCCGAAACGTCATCTGCGGCACGCCTTATGCGCGGCCCTGGAGTCCAGCAAAGCCAGCCAGCACAGCCAGCCAGCCAGCAGGCAGGCAGACAGACAGGCAGGCCGGCCGACAGCTAGCTAGTGATGCTTCTACCCCAGCCGCTTTCTCTCGTCCTGACTGACCCGTCGTCGCTGCTCTAGCTCGCCCGATTAGCCGCCGGCTGAGATCGAAGAACCGGAGCCCGTCACCTGTTGTCGCTTCTCCCTAGGCCGGCCGCAGCGAAGTCAAGCTGGCAGGAAGGAAGCGAGCGAGTCAGTCGAACGAGGGCGGGATCCTGAACAGAATGTTCGGTGGCTTCTCGAGCCCTAACAAAGAGAAGAAAGCCGATTCCTCCCTTGCTGCCGCGTCCTCGCCGTCGACGGCTCCCAACGCATCATCCACAGGCCCAGCCGCGTCCTACTCGCAGGAGGACAGCGCCAGCTCCGACAAAACGAACGAGAACCCCTCTTCGTCCAGCCGCGAGAAGCGCCATTTCTCGCTGACAGACTCTTCCAAGCGTGCGTGCGAGCGTTGGAACCAGCCCGGGGACAAGAAACGGCGAAACAGCTCCGTTAACAAGGCAGCGGCCCTCTTCGCCAGCGCGAAGAATTCTCTGCACCTCTCCAGCCTCAAGAGCCAGCTCAGAGATTCAACGACGACATCGAACACTACGGCTACGACACAGCAGCAGCAGCAGCAGTCTCAGGCTGCGCAGACGACTCTGCAGATTTTGGGCAAGATGGATCCCGCTCTGATCGTCCCTCAGGGCTCGTTGAACAACTCTGCCGGCGAATCGATGCCCACCTCACGTTCCTCTTTCCAGGTTGGTGTGACCGAAGATAGAAATAGAAAATGCCGAAGAACGATGGAGGACACCCACGCCTATCTCTACAACTTCCTCGGAGCCCCTCTTGCCCCAGCAACAAGGCAGCTTCAGGCCGATACCTCGAAACAGAGCGAGGGCGGGGCAACCGATGATGCTGCCTCCACGGAGATGGTGGAAACTGACAATGGCTACTTCGCCATATTCGACGGCCATGCTGGCTCGTTTGCTGCAGAATGGTGCGGCAAGAAACTACATCTGATTCTTGAAGACACTATACGAAAGAACCCTAGTGCTCCAGTGCCCATGCTCCTTGATCAGACCTTCACCTCTGTAGATCAGCAGCTAGAACAACTGCCGTTAAAAAATAGTGGCTGTACTGCCGTCATTGCAGTGCTAAGATGGGAAGACCGTCTCCCCAGCCCGGCCGCATCAATTGCTGAATCGACGAAGAAAAAGGGCAATGCAGACGACCCTGAAGGTACCAGTGTAGAGGGATCGAAGCCAAGTCTCTCTGAGGATGCGTCTGCCATATCACCGCAGGACGACCACCCCATTCGTTCCAGGGTTCTGTACACTGCCAACGTCGGCGACGCCAGGATCATTCTATGCCGTAATGGCAAGGCATTACGCCTGTCATACGACCACAAGGGTAGCGATGAAAATGAAGGGTTACGAATAACCAATGCCGGAGGATTGATTTTGAATAACCGTGTCAATGGCGTCCTCGCCGTCACTCGCGCTTTGGGAGATACCTACATGAAGGATCTTGTCACCGGACACCCATTCACCACCGAAACTGTCATTCAGCCAGAGATTGACGAGTTTCTAATATTAGCTTGTGATGGGGTAAGATACCTACTTGTAATCCACTTGCCTTTTCACCGAAGAAAATTCTTACTGACTGACTCTCCTTAGCTTTGGGACGTTTGTTCTGACCAGGAGGCTGTGGACTTGGTTCGCAACACCAAAGATCCTCAGGCTGCCTCGAAGATACTCGTCGACTATGCTCTTTCACGCTTCAGTACCGACAATCTTTCCTGCATGATTGTCCGCTTTGATACCAAAGCCACGGCAGAGGAGGCAAACCGTCAAGCCTCCCCTAAAGATCTAAACAATACCGGCGACTCCTCGAAAAGGACCATGAGCGAAGCTGACAGAATCGTCGAGATGGCCAGGAAAAATGCCGCTGACATTGAAAACAAGGCTCGTGCTGAGCAGTCGATGGACGAAGATAAGGATACCACTGAAAAGCCAGCATCTCATGAGACACAGCAGAAATCCGCTAGTGACGATGATAAAGAAAAGATGACCGAACCTGAATAGCCTACCTACGCTGCTGTGACAGTACATGAGAAGCATTCACAACGTATCTATCTCCTTTACGTTGGAATTCCAGATTCATACCGGAGGTCGTCGAAAATCCCATAATGATAGAATTGAGGTTTGTCATGATGCCATACACCCATGAAGTTTATGCCTTCTCCTTGTTATCTCTGCGACTTTTTCTTGCTCTCTTTCCTTTTTTTTTATTTACCCTATTTTCAGGCTGCCTGTCTTTGATGTTGGCTATTCTTCCGATATCTATGTCTACATCCTTTCCCCTATATCCCTATTTTCAGTGTCGTTAACCCCCCAAACCCATGGTATGGCCAGCTGCTCGACAACTGCCTCTGAATCGACGCATCTACTAGTGTACGCGGTGCTGGACTTGATAATACCTCCTTTATTCTCCCTCCCTCCCTCCCTCCTTTCTCTGATCAGACACCTGTATCCTGCCTGTTGCTGCCTCTATTTCCTTTTGTTATTCCCAACATTTCACCCTTTCTAATTTTCCTATTTTCATATGATGGTGAACAGGGGTATGGAGCTGGGGTGAAGCCACCACTGCGCGCATGCTTGGGCATTTGGTAGATAAAGGGCATATTCCTCTTTTCCTTCTTCTCTATGTATGAGTAGAAATCCTACGTCTTTTTCTTTTTCGTCTCCTCGTCCTCCTCTTCTCTCTCTTCTCCTCTCCTCCCTCCAAATGGTCTGTCTGTTCATGAAATCTACGCATGCCCGGGTTGCCAAACCGCCCTGGATCCGACTGCCTTACCCCCGCAAGCCACCCGTCACGGCCAGAAAGCCACGCCGTTTCGGCTTCTTCCATATCTCTCGGGGGCTGAGTTTCAAATCAGCCTAGAGGTATGCCTGCACAGATCCGATTATCATTCTACGTCATGTTGAAGTTATCAAGAATGGCATCAGATGATAAGTGACGGTGGCCAGGTCTTCTCTCCACCATATTCCATATCCCATTCACCATGTTCCCTACAGTTCCATATCATACATATTATGGCTACATCTTCTTTTGGCCCGAAAACCGGTCCTTATCAAACGTATTTTGAGGGTTTGCATGAATCGCCCCCTTCGGACCAGGGGGATGAATTCGCCTTGCTCGATTTTCGAAACTCTGTCTTCTCATCATATGCCTTCATTATTATGACTACCAGGAAGCAGATACTGGAAACAGAGTAAAAACGAATGCCTTTAATCGGTCACGAAACCTAGTCCATACATCATATCCTAACTATTGTAAACGTCTCTCTGACGTAACAGGTTATTTGCCCGCTAAGGAAAAAACAGTTAAACCGCCAGGAGAAGAAGCCCCTTGGTGTATCTGCTCGTTTATTATGCCTCCAACAGAAAGGTGCTCGATCTCCGGTGTCTCGAGACCATGCGAATTTGCAAGACTAGATACAAGATACCTCTCAGTCCGGGCCGGCCGTGATTCTCTATGCATATACGCTATACCATAGTCTATAGTTCTTCAGGGCCGTGTATATCATTGGTAACGAGCTACTTGCATAAGGACCATTAGCCGTATATGAGCAGCGACGAATCACCCACTTAATGGTCCCTGGCCACGCTATGAGGTCTCGAAGGCCTGCTGTTCGGTCCGGTCACCGGTCAGAGCCTATCATCACGATCTGAGTTGGCATCAAATGCACTCTGACAGTCCCACAACCGATACTGCTCACATGTGCGTACATCAAGCATGCTGATGTTCCCGCATCCTGCATCAAGTTGCATAGATAGCACCCGTGTGTGATAATATCAGTTTATTCCCAAGCAATAATACAGCGTGTTCGCCTCGCCGTGCTGGCTGGCATGCAGCAGCAGACACGGGCTGAAACGACCAATGCCAACGAAGCCGGCCGAGACTGAGCTGACTGACAAATCCCGATCAGACTGTATACACAGTTTCGGGGTCCTTTTTTTTTTTTTTCCTTTTGAAAAAGGTGAAGAAGAAGTTTAGGATCCATTCGGTTTTCTTCTTTTCTGGTGATGCCGATATTCCCCCATATCTTCGAACGAGTGAGAAGTGAAGAAAAGTCGACAGTGGAGTTGGACATATTAACTATCGGCCTGGAACCCCAGCTGTGCTTCAAACCTAGAGGCTCGTGTATGTCTGATATTGGGCTCTTGGCTCTGTTAAATCCAGATTGCACCCGCCTGCAGATCGACGCTCCAACCTGGGCCGCCCTGGCAGTTTTGTGACAGCGTTGCTTAGGGCGAGCAAGGGGGATGTAGTACTTAGTAAGTATAAGGCGTCGAAATGCTCGTGGCATGGATTCTGGTAGCAGTTCCGGAGACAGACAGGTAAGCAGGAAAACATGCAGATTGTTTAGCAAAGAGAACAGAGGAAATAGCAAGAAAATGACAAGCGGCCATGCAAGGGAGAAGAACGTCTATACATGAGTTTATATTGTACATGGCATTTTAAGACCTAGGGATACATGAGTGACTAGAAGCATAGGTGTGGCAGCATATAGCATATCAAGGGGTAGAATGACACAGGGAGAAGAAGAAAAACCTTGGAAAGCAATCCCAGCCGTGATTGTAGCAGTACTCCAGGTTTCTTTCTTTGTTGCCAGCGCAGAAATGGCAGAAATGGAGGCAAAAGTATTTCCAAAAGTACACACAAAAGAAAATAACGAGCAGATAATCAAATGAGTAGAAAAGATGACCAATAAGATCATCCTCTATCAATGATCTAGCTCTTCCAAAATCTCAATCCCTTCTTGGCTGGCTCCTCAGCGGGGGCGCTGGTCGAAGCATCTTCTTCGATAAGATTCTCTCCCGAGGATGAGGACGGATGGTCGTTCCCGTATAGTTTCAGAAAAGGGCTGATGATATGTTCCCGACTCGGTTCAAGCTCTCCGTGATGGACAGTACTGGGCCATGAGCGAGCATACTGAGCATCCTGCAGATCGGCCCAGAGAAGTTTGACTTCCCCCTCCCTAACCTTGTAATCTGCCAGCTCACCTTCCACATCAATTTTAGCCTGGAAGCCTTTGGTTGACATGGATTTCTCAAGCGCCTCGATTCGCTGCCTAACAAGTTCTTCATGTGCTTGCTGTCGTTTCTGAGCTCGTATCACACGCCGCCTGGCCTTGTGGGATAATTTCTTCTCCTTTGATTTTCCATCTTCTGTTGATGCTTCCTCTTCTCTCTCCTCCTCCTGCTGTCGTTCCCTTCGTTCACGTTCGGCTTGAATTGCCAAGACGGCAGCGGTATCGGCAACACTGGTGGCTTTCTGGTCCATCAATACCTTTGCCCGGTCCTTCTTCATCATTATTTGGCCAATTCGGCCGCTCATTTCTTTGTCCCATTTCTTAGCTTCATCCAACGCCTGAGGCCGCTTTCTCTCCAGTGATTCCTTGGAATTTGTGATTAACTGCACTGGTGGTTCGAATTGTCGTTGACGAGAAAACTCTCGTAGAAGTTTGTATGCCTCGAGGCCAAGCGATGGATTAGGGAAATGGACTGAGAAGTACGGCACCCACATGTCCTTACGCAGTGCAGCAGGGACAGTTTTCTTGCCATGGTATACAAGCTGTGATTGGACATTTTGCCACTATATTGAATCGAAAATAAGATCGCATTAGCAGACATTCTCCTATGGGTATCGAAAATAATAAGAAGTAAATAGAAAGTCACGGAGAAGCTCATACATCTAGAGACCGTGAAAGTGAGTAAACCACCTGATTTGTGCGGAAGTTGTTGTAGGCGAAGATATTCTTCCCATGTGTGATATGTTGAAGCGCTTTCTTTAACCTAGCGCTCTCCTGCTGCCCGAAGTTTTTGGCCGCCTGGGAATTGGGAAATCGAACTTTTCCCTGAATCTGCTTCCCTTGTGTCCTTGGGAACCGCACAGCATGCGTTGTAACGGCTGTTGTAGGGTCAAATAGACGAACCGTCTTTGCTGCCGCGGCCGTCGTCGCGGAGGCCATTGTGAGCGATCCGGGGGGTAGAATTGGATATTAAATAAAGTAGGCGTCAATTAAAGCTCCGATCTGTCAAGCATTGTCCGTTACGGCCGTGAAAAGCGTCGGTTGGCGGTTCTTGTTGTTGCGTTGGTTGTTCCTTGATGTTGATGAAATTGAAGTTTTTTTTTTTTTCTTGGGCTTTGGAGCTTCGAGGAAAAAAAAGAAAGTTTCTTGATTGGGCAAAAAGCGACGTCGCCAACTCTGGACCAAAGAGAATCCACTCCCAGCAACCGCAACGACAAACAACAGAACAACTACCGCACGGCTACTGAAGAAGAGATGGCTACCTGCTGAGATGCGCGCTATTGCCGGCTGCGACAGATGAGCTCGCTTGTTATTCGGCGCCCGCGGACAAGCTGAGGGCCTCTGTGGGAAGGATGATGCAACACCTAGTACTCTTATGTTCGCAGCGCCGCAGACAACTAGGCGAGCATGTCGACCATCATGGATGAGCAGCCAGGCGACGATGGCTTTGCCGGGAGTAGGCGGCAGGGCCCATGGCTTCTTGCTTCGGTACAGTTATCTCTAGACGGGGCTTTGTGCTTGCTGGTGTTGTAGTCTATCAGTGCTAACATTTGGGGCAAACTCGCATAGAACCGCAAGCTAAGACACCTTCAAGGCATTGCAGTCCGCAATCTCGTGGTTTCTGGTCCTCCGTCAAATAGGATACGTGGGATGACAATAGACGATCAGAGTGTTCCTTATACTCTACAGTCTCCAGCTACAGCCCTCGCGGTGCGAGAAGACCGGACCGTCCAGCACTCGCGATCTACTACCGATCTAAAGCTATCCCGGTCTCCTCCTAGCTTGAATATTACAGCCACCAATGCTGGGAGCGATAGCAAAGAAGAGCTTTATATGAGGCGGAGGAGGAGTACGCTACCATGGGCCGGAGCGAGTCCTGGAATCCGTCAATCCCGGTTGGAACAGATTGCCAGCAGCAAGATGGCTGACACTTGGTTCTCATTACATTGCCAAGGGATCCCGGAGCCTGTTTATATCAGTGAGCTGGTGGAAAATGCTATGAATCCCAGCTTCAGACATTTTGACCTGAATATATGTGGTCCCGTGGTCTCACGATTGGACGAAGCTACTGTCAAGCTCTGGGCACGTACAAAGCAAATGCCAGAGTACTTCTTGCTTTTGGAACTCCGGGTGAAGTTCAGGTCACTTCAATACATCGGGAAACATCTGGATAATTTTCGGCATCCATTTCCACCGAACTGCGTCATCTTTCGTTTTACGGATGGCATATACGCAAGCCTGACAGATGCTCCCCCCCTTGACCGCTCTCTGCCAACTCAGCCACAAACGAGCGAGCCACAGAGGGATGAACAGCAACAGACGTCATCATACGACGCTCTTATGAAGTTGGCAAACTTTGATGACTGTATTCAGGACGCTTTGGTCACTAGGGAAAACCTGGAGGCCCAGATAAACTCCATTCTAGAAGGAAACCAGGCGCAGCTCGACGTTTCAAGCCGGAGTGCAGAGGCTCAAGAGAGACTCGCAGCCGTCAAACGTGCAGTTACCGGAGAGAAGAGCCGTCTTCGCCAATCCCTTGGCCAAAAGGACAGTATGATCAAGAGTTTGAAGGCACGAAGACAAGCTATGGAAGAGGGCCGTCTCAGCCAAGACAATAGCTTAACTTACCTATCTGATGCTCAAGAGGCAAAAGAATCTAGCCAAGCCCTTTTAAAGAAGACAGCTGAGGACTCGATGGGGCAAATCCGCCGTATCTGCGAGGACCTGCTTGCCACTTATCCTATAGAGCCAGTTCCAAATATACCTCTTGGGTTTACTATCAGGGGCCTTGCTCTCCCAAATTCCTGCTTTGACGACATCGACAAGGAAGCGGTTGCGGGGGCACTAGGATATACATCACACGTGGTATATCTCCTCTCGTTTTATCTTTCAGTTCCTCTTCCCTACCCTGTCCGGCCATACCTCTCGACCTCGAGCATCCAGGATCCCATATCAGTTGGCCTTGCCCAGCGGACGTTTCCGCTGTATCCGACAAACACCCAATATAGATTCGAATATGGAGTGTTCCTCCTTAACAAAAATATAGAATACTTGATGAACCGGCTCGGCCTGAGAGTCCTTGATATTCGTCACACGCTTCCCAATCTCAAGTATCTATTGTACATGTTGACTGCAGGGACAAATGAGCTTCCGGCAAGGAAGGCAGGCGGAATTCGCGGCCTGCTCGTTGGACGATTGACACCCAGCTTGTCTCGTCAAGTAAGCCGTGATAGCCTGTCAAGCATCGATACGACGATGACAATTCGCCAGAAAAAACTCCTCCCATCACCAGCTAATAATTACCTTTCTTCTCATCCTCACCATTCCCACCCTCCATCTCACTCAGCGATTTCAACTTCCAAATACAACTTCATCTCCGCCTCTGCTGCCCAGCCAAGCATCGGCCCCATGCAGGAAAACCTGGGGTCAGGACATAACGACCAGGTTGGTGCGTCGATAGCCGTCGCCACACCCGTCGCCTCCAGCAATGAACGATGATAGCGATATTTTTATTAGTCAAAAAAGGTAGGGCGCGCGGAAGGGACATCAACAGACCTGCAACAACCATGCGCTTGCAGACCAAGGTGGGATCCAAACTTCCGTTTAACAGGGAATTTACCAGAGTTCAGTTCTTCCTTTTTTTTTTTTTTTTTTTATTCCACTCGATGTTATATTTTAGTGTATACGATTTTATCGGTTCGTCTGCATTCACAGCTGTTAGCTCGTTTTTATGCCCCTTTGACTTTTTTTGTACCTTATGTGTCGTTGCTTTCTCCTCTTTTCCAGGGACAAGGTCTAGGTTTTATTGATTGGCTGGCAGGCTCTCGATTTTCAGGATTTGGATGGAGGAGCATTGCATTATCTCTCTGAATTACTTTTGCACCAATGCGGCTATCTTGATATACTATGCACATACCTGATTGATGCTCCTTGTTCGTGTATATGTATACTTACTCCCTTGAAAAACTTGCTTCTTCCGATTTTCCAAGGACAAGGCCTGGCTGCATTGCCTCCATGCTTCTACCGACCTTTTCTCTCTTATCCTGTGCCAAACTGACATACACTGCGCCCGGAGAAACAAGCTATGTATATAGCTAAGTCCGGGATTTTGCGGGGGTAAATGCCTGCAATCTGCAATCCATTCCTTAGAAAGCAGGAGTATGTCTATTTATGACTACTTTTTTTTCAACTTGCCAGCTGAAGGAGCAATTATCGGAATGTATGTACCTCAGGCAGGGTTTGAAGGCTGACTACTTACATGCGACTAATGTGATAGATGGACTCCATACTGCTGTTCCTGAAGCAGTGTGTGTGATCGACGACCTTAACTGACTCGCTTATCTCTTGACATCGTCTTGGCTCGTTTCAAACCAGCTGGCGAGTTCCTTCTTTTCAGCCCAGAAATTCTGGCGCTACTGCAAACGGGCTCGCCGATATTGCGAAGACGAGTGGAAATTTGGATGTTATGCAGGTCTCACGAACTCGTTTTCCAGAGATGAGGTGGCTGGGGACAGCAGTTCATGGACTGGGTCTCTGTCGCTTGATTAATACTCTATTATCCTTGGGATTAATACTGCAAGTAATGAACGATGGAGGTAACATGACATACTGAAACCTACGTATGGTTAATTGCCATCCTTTTAAGACGCAAGGTTTCCAGAAGGCGGCTCATGGGCGAATGGTTCTCGCGGGAGGGCGTCATAATGTGGTACCTATGTCTATATAAGGTCGATGCAAGCGTTCTCAAGGTGTTTGAACTATATCTATTTTTTTTTTTTTTTTTTTTTTTTTTTTTTTTTTTTTTTTTTTTTTGTAAACGTCAGAGACGTATCAGAACACCCGCTCGGTGCTCGAGTATCGAAAAAAATCTTATTATCTTGATTTGATTGGTGCAAGCCCTTGATTCGGGGCATCAGAGTATGTTCATCAAACATGGAACATGGAACATGGCTCTTTCTTTTCTCGTTCTATATCAGGATCTCGGGATTATGGGGATCACGTTGAAATTAGTTAACTAGTTGACTAGTTAGCTTTTCGGTGGTGATCGGCATGACGTGCAACGGGCCGTATCTGTACAGAGGTTCTATGTATATCCACACATCCCTCCACCATCGCCTTGAAGAGCCATGCATATCTATGCATAGACACAGATCAGGACGTGAATATCGGCATGGTCCCCTGGATGTGGTTTGTAGGCCACGGGGAGATTCGTGGGTTGATCTCACCGTTGAACGTGTTCAGTGCGCCCTCCGCAAACTTGGATTGGATTGGAAGTACTCCGTAGGAGCTCCTCTTTCAGAGGCGTTCAGGAGGAGGGTTAGTGCTTCGTATGCTCGTTTGATTCGACTAGACTTGAGGAGCACTGGTGTTTCGTTCTGGAATTTGCTTTTTGCTTCCTTTTCTCCTACGTTTTTCTTGAGCATTTGGGTTGGAAGCATCTCGTTTTCTCTTTTACTCTTACTCGTTCGTTTATCCAACTAGAGTAAGAGAGGCTAGGGCGAACACGATTCATACAGGGTTTTGATAACTTGTTTGGGTTTCTGGAGGGTGAATGAAGATGCGGAGGATGCTCCGTAGATGGGTACCTACTACTATAAAATGCGGTATCCGGGAAAAATAATGGTCAGATTTCGGGATCGAAGGTGCATGATCTACCAATGAAGGCGAGTCGATATGCTGTCTGTGGAGGGACGATGCCGATATCTGTCAGGAAATTCGGAGCCGATTAGCCCCTGGGGGCAGGGAAGAGGTATCAATTTCCCCGGACTTTGAACCGAAAGGAGAAGGAGATTGTAACGGGCGAATCCAGGTTAGCAGATAATTCCTGCGGCCAAGCAGGCTATATGATGGAAGCATAGCAGGGTCAGTCTGATCATTCCTTTTCTTTTTCTTCCATTTTCCTTCTTTCTTTCGATTCCTTTCCTTTTTTTTTCTTGCTTATGTCAAAGCGCGGACAGGGACAGGCCTTGTATTGAAAGAGCCATCAAGGGGCAGCCAGTTACGAGGGAACCAAGGGTTCATTCAAGAGATGAACCGTAAATTGTCGGCGAGCCGATTTTGTGTCCCACCAGCTCGTTCCCGCTCCTCCCTCGTTCCTCAGGCGTGGTGTTGATACATGTTTCTTAGGCAGCGGCCTGAGACTCGAATTCGAACTGGAACCCGAAGACCATGGTTCCCAATCCCGCCAAAGTCCTCGAGTTCAGTTGGGAAACGAGAAGGCAAAAAAGCCTATCGCCAGTCCACCTGATATGCACGTACTTATACTCCATCCCGTAATGCTACGCTGTAAGGAGTTAAGCGATTCGAGCAGAGCTTGACTCGCTGGTCGAAGGGAACAAAAATACTTGTTAATGAGCTGGTGTCGAAGTCGATCGATGGACTCCATATTCAGATGGGGCGCTAATATGGGGCGCTAGAATAATATGATTGTCTCCCGCTTTTCCCCTCACCCCTAGCAGGCATCTGCTCCCTTTCTCTGTGTATAGTTTTCTTTTCATTGAGGTAACGGCGGCCTCGTGTTCTCCATCAAATGGAGACTCGAGATGGATCCGGGTGTTTTACCAAAGCCGTCCTTAGTGCGAATCTGCAAGATTCACGTCACAGGAAATGCTTGACATCAATTGGTTGGGGGGCGCGAAGGCCTACCCCAGATGATGCACCCGTTTTTCGAGTTTAATTTCCCCCCTAACTACCGCGGAGGATAGTTGTTAGGGCGAGCCTGAAAATGTGAAAAAAAAGCTGTAGCCAGGCTAGTATTCGAGCTAATGTCAGACAGTCTATTCAAGCGTCCGACCTTAACGCTAACACGAATCATGAATAGTTATGCGTGTGAAATCAGGTCAAGAAGGGGTTCCTTGTAATATGCCATGGTTTTGACGGATGTACCATCTTCTCCACCCAGAAACGCAGGAAAAAGGTCATCACGCAGTCGTAGTTTTTCTGGGCGTGCATCAGGATCGTACATTAGCCTTCAACGGCGGGCCATTCAGCAGGCAGAGAGTCCGGGCAAACCCACCGATTTGTGGAGAGGAGGAAGTCTAAACAAATTTTTCGCCTGTCTTCTTCCTTTTTTTTTTCTAGAAAAAAGGTGCGAGTTGACATTTTTCTCCTCGTTTAAAGTTGTTGAGCTGGTGTGGTATCCCCTGCATCTATTACGCAACAGTAACTCACATCCCGCCAGGGGAGGAGGAAGAGGAGGAGGAGGCAGGAAGACGGGCCAGCGAGCCAGTAGCTGGAGGGACGAAATTGTAGCTCAACAAAGGACGGTCTGGCGGGCGAACGGGGGAAATATCCAGCCGTGAGCGTGAAGTTATGCGTCTCGAACGCAACATATGTGGTTTATGGCACTCCGTACTCGGTCAGATCGCTCTTGATGTTGGCGAGCTCGACTGACTGAGCGCATACGGGGTCATTATAGGCTGGGATCAATGCTGAAGAACAAACAGCAAGAGAGGAAGACCCCCCCCAAAACAAGGCCCCCTCCCCCCTTTCTGATTGCTATATCCATAATTTGATAGCCGCCAGGATGGAGCAAGCAGCTTGCTGGTCCTTCGTCTCTCAGAGTAACTAACTCTAATAATAATGGCATGAAGTTAATCAAATGTCTTAAGAAACGTTGCGGGCATGGATGTTGGCGATAAGCAGCAACGCTCTTCTCCCCTCCAAGGGTCAAATACCGTGTGGATGTCAGTCTATGCACTCTGCCTCTACCAGTGGTCATAATAATGCTTGATGTGCTGTCTGTTGTATATATAGAGACCCGGGGGGGCATCTCGGGGTTTCCCCCGTCCCCCCCCTTGGGCCTCCACCGCTGTCTGTCCAGATAGAGGCTATACATCTATAAGAATATCTGCATAAGTCTCTTCTGGGGTTGGACACTTAGCCCTGGTGGAGTTGTTTAGTCCCCTTCTGCCTGCTCCGCCGTCTGCTTCTCCCTCTCGACCTCGTTGTGGCTCTTTGCTTTTGCCTCGTTTTTATATCTTCATCTTTTTCCACCATTTTTTTTTTTTTTTTTTTTCTGCCGCCCGCCCGCACTTTTCTTCTTCTCTCCGCCTTTTCCTCAACTTCAACTTCAACTTCAACTTCTTCCTCTCAGGCGTGTCTCTTTGCGTGCCCGAGCGAGAGAAAGCAAGCTGAAGGCGAAGCGGAAGCAGTAGACGCAGCCGGAGAGCATCTGAAGAGGCGCTGCTGAGCAGGAGGACGTCCCGTCTGAGCTGCAGGAACACCTTGGATCGCCGCTGTGACGACGGTGGCTGCCAATTGGGTGCGTTCCAGGACGATATCGATATCCCCAGGAGGCACAGGACAGGTAGCACCGTCTCGCGACAAAGAGAGGGCGCAAAGCGCTATGGAAGACATCAGAATGGCCGGTAGACCGGCGCCAATGGCTGCAGTGCCGTCGTCTGTCCCGAATTCCTCGCCTGTCGCTCACAATCCAGCTCCGCAACAGCCGCAGCCGCAGCAGCAACCACAACCGCAACCGCAACCGCAGCCACCACAGCAGCCGCAGGACCTAAATGCCAGGTTTTCTCCCAGACGCTCTATTTCTCCTCCGGCTCAGCATAGACGTGGCTACCAGGCGTGTGATCCATGCAGGAAACGGAAAGTGAAGTGCGATTTGGGGAGTATGTCTTTAATGTGCCCTTGGAAACCCCCATGCAAATAAAATAATAAAATAAAATAAAAATAAAACCGCTTGAATGGAGTAGATTGCTGACTTGATGCAGGTGTTGATAATCCGAGACCACCTCCATGCGTGAGGTGCCGCCGCGAGAGCAAGAGATGCGAGTTCTCTGCCACCAGACGCAAGCGCAAAATCTCAGAGGAGTCGGAAGACAAGGGAGCCAGCGTCTTGCGCCGGGACAAGCGCATGATGGTGGCCGATGGATCTGTCTCCCCCAGCATGGATAGCGATAGCATCTCGAGCCCCATTCCCAACGGGGTGACTTCGCATCCACGGGGCAGCCTACCTCCCTTCGAAAACGACCCTCGACCTAATGGCTCTGCTGCGCAGCGCAAATGGTCCAATGCTACTGCTCCTCCTCACCGTATCTGCATTCCGCCCACCGGTATCTCCGTTCCTGCTCCTACATCTATCCCCATGGACCAGTACCATGCTCACCGCGCGAGCTTTTCTGGTGCTGTGCGGCCAACTTTGCCACCCCATGTCCTCGAGAGCGGCCAGCATATGATGAACAAAACCGCAGCAGAGTTGCTCTCTCCTGCAATTAGCAATACCCATGATGCCCTGCATCTTCTCTCCGAGGCTGCCGGCAGGACAGAAGACCTAAATCGTCAGCAGATGGAATATCAGTACAATGGACGACAGTCCTCTACTTCGACATTCGCATCTGTCTCCCCAGGCCAGCAGAATGGCACACCAGGTAGAGCTAGCAGGTCAAACTCAACAACCCAACAGGGTGCTGGAATGAGCTGGTATAGCCAGAACAAGGGTGGCTCTCCTAGCGTCGAGGTTCTTGTAGAAGGCACAGACGCTGGCCTAAGTCCTCCCAGGGCAACCCAGGATCTCGACTACAGCAAGGCTCGCAGGGCTTGGTCAAGACTACGATTCATTCGCGCTGGCTGGTTTAGTGTGGATGAAGCAATGTCCTATATCGAGTAGTAAGTTTTTGCATACGTTACTGTCGACATGGAAACACTGCTAACAACATTCGTTTCTAGCTACTATGAACACCTTGCGCCATTAACCCCTATTGTCTTGAAAAATTATAGCTCACCATCTACACATCTTACTCTTTTAACGGAAGAGCCAGTGTTGACTGTCACAATGCTCACCATTGCCTCTCGACATATGAAACTCTCTGGCAACGGTGCTAACTCACGAGCGTACTCCATCCATGAAAAGTTGTGGTCATATCTTAGAGGTATGATTGAGCGTCTCTTCTGGGGTCAAGAGAAGTTTGGTGACTGCGGTGGTGCCTCAGCACCTAGGCAGTTTGATGCCTCGAACCCACTATCCGCTGGACAGGGGCAACGGGGTGGTGGCCAACTGAGGTCTATTGGAACCGTCGAAGCCTTGCTGTTGCTCACAGACTGGCATCCGCGCGCCCTTCACTTCCCACCAGGTGACGACGAAAACACTCTGCTCGATGTTGACCCACAGCAGCTCAATTATTTTGATGGAGAGGGTGACGACCATTTCCATGATCATCCAGGCAAGGGTCAAGGTGGACCAGGCGAAGGCCGCCTTGCATTCTACAAGTGGCTTGAGCCTGTATGGCGCTCTGATCGGATGTCGTGGATGCTCTTAAGCACTGCCCAGGCTCTTGCCTTTGAGCTCGGCATCTTCGACCAGAAAAATGACCTCCGAGCATCTACCGAATCATCCTGTGAGATGGCCAGGAAACGCCGCCTACGCCGACTGATCCTTGTCTACGTCTCGCAAAGCAGTGGCCGCTTGGGGATCCCATCCATGCTTCCCCTCCCACAATGGAACCAGAACACTGAACCTCTGCGTGCAGAGGACATGCAGTCGCCCAACTTCCATGAGGATTACATGATTGATATGATGCAAGATTGCTGGATGGATATTTCCAAGATCATGTATAACAGCAACCAGGTTCTTTTCCTGTCCAAGGAACTGACCACCAACTTGATCAAGAGTGGCCAGTACCGAGACCGGATCGATGAGTTTACCCCTTCTCTAAGAGACTTTAAGGCAAAACTCGACAAACTTTCAGGTACACACACACTATAATCTCCTGCAAACCCTATATGGGATGGCATGACTAACTAACTCCTACAGTACCACCTCAAATGCGAAATGTTTTAACGATTGAATACGAATATACCCGTAAGTAGCATCACCTTCATCGTGTTTCTTGTAAATGACTACTGACCATACCGTTAGGACTATATGTCAATTGTTTAGCTCTCCAAGCCGTCGTTGAACGATGGACTACAATGAATGATGCTGGTTCACACACCAACCAGAACCATGCTAACGGAACGACGAACGGAACCACCAATGGGACTGGCCCTGGCGCTGGAACTGTTCCCCTCCAGGTTCTTCTGGAGCAGTATGAAGTCAATGAACCATATATCCAGGAAGTTGTCGATGCTTCTCGCCGGATTTTACAGATTGTGCTCGAAGGGTTTGTTCCAGGGGATATTCTAAAGCATGCACCTGTCAGGACATATTTTAGAATACTCTCTGGAATGATCTTTATTCTAAAGGTTAGTTAATGCAACATCACGTAACTATTTGAAATTCTTGAAATGCTAACAACATTTTAGACCTTCACCCTTGGTGCCAAAGAGGATGATGTTAGAGTATCCCTTGAGTTACAGGATCGAACTATCGAGTGTCTTCGAACCTGCGTCGTGGATGATGTCCACCTCAGTGTTACGATAGCCGATCTCCTCCAGTTGCTCACTTCAAATATTCGAAATCGATTCCTGCGGTTTGCTCCCTTCGATCGTGTAGGCGAGTCCGCCAGCAGGCATCAGTCCCCTGTACCAACATCTGAGCAGGAATCTCGAGATCAACAGCAACATCAGTCCAATGAGCACAATGACTACCGTTGGCAGCAAAACCATACCAACGGAACCCCGAGCACCTCTGGCTTTTCATTCGACAACCACCACCCCACCTCTGCCCCCCCGACGTCTCATCATGACCCCCTAGCCAACATCCCCGTCCAGCCCATCAACTCCTCCAACATCAACGTCTCTTTCATGCCTCCTCCTCCTTCCGTGTACTACAACTACTATGATCCTAGCTCAACCTCACCCAAGATGGAAATGGATGAATCCTCTTCCACCGTTGCACCCTCAGCTATCAACACAAGCGCTCCAAGCGGCAATAACACACAAGCAAACTCAAACAGCATGTCGGACTGGTTTGCCCTCCCACTCGATCAGTTCTTCAACAGCTCTACTGCAGGAGTTGACCAAGGCCTCGGAGGTACTGGCCCAATGGTGGGTGAATTCGACATGTTGGAAGTCCTGCTCAAAGAGCAATATACTGGCGACAACAGTGTAAACGGTACTAGCACCAATGGACAGGCCCCTGTTGCTGCCGTTGCTACAAATGGCGGTGGGATGACGTCTCATTTCCTGTAACGATTTCCCTTGCTGTCTATTTTCTCATTCTTACCCTCCTAGATGTTTACTTCAAGGATTGGTTAGCACGACAGATTTCTTTTTATATTATTTCCACCTCTTCTCATCAGGTGGATGGCCCGGGGAATGGTAGACCCGGGGTTTTTGGTCCTTGATCTTCTTAGCCTCTCCGCCGCTTGGAGGCTCCCTGTTCGATTTATGTCTATATGTCTGCCTGTATATATTGTCGTGTCTGCCCCTTTTACCATCAGTCTATATGAGTTGGCCTTCTGTCCCCTTGCGTCCCGTTCCTTACGGCTGTTTTATATGCAAGCTGATATCAAGTGATAACCTCGCCCTTTTGGAATGCCTTTCCAGATGAGGGTTTGTCTATAGTTTTTTTTAGTCATATATATATGTGATGAATGTTAAACTGTATATCAAATTGTTTTTTTTTTTTTTTTTTTTTTTTTTTACTTTGGCTTCCTTCCCTGACTGTGCTTTATGAAGCGAGCTGTATGTGACCCTGCCTAGCATCCTATCTCCCTTCAACTTCCCATCTCCCCCTTGCAGCAGTAACGTATCAGGTACTCCATACTAGCCCCAGAATCAAGGAATATGACTTCAGGCAAAAAAAGTTTGAGGTATTTTGAAATTAACCAAAACACAAAGTAATTTCTTACAAGTACATGCAGCGTCTATCCATAACTCTTGGTTTCCGCACTAATAAAAATTCAAAATATTTTGGGGGGTATAGAACAAGACATATAGACAATAACAGCAGTGACATAAGTCACAAGGCGAGGAGGTATAACAAGCCAGATTATTACTTCAAATTTCCTGAACATCAAGTCCCCATATCTCCCAATGTTTCAAGACATCCCAACCCACACGTTTGACGTGTCTTTTCCACACAAAAGGTTGGTCTGCATTGCCCCTCACTTGCGTGAAGCAGTCATTCAGGCTCTGCCGCAGGTTTTCGGGTATCTGGGCAAATACTTGCTCATCTAAGAAAGATAGAGAAGGGAAGGCGGACTTCTCATTCCCATTAGTAGTATTCTCGGGGACATTGGAGTGTCCAGAGCTTATATTTGAACCCGCTGAAGGGCGATTTTGTTGCTGCTTTTTCGCTATGGGTTCCATTATTGGGGTATACGCTTCTCCACCAGGGGGTGGAAGGGGAGCCGATGAGTTCTGTTGGCTATTATATTTCCGCTTGCCTAGCGGATTTCGGTTTTCCGGCGGAGAGCTTATAGACTGTGGCTGTTGTGTTGACCAGGCTGGTAAGTTGGAACTATCAGGTCCATAACTTTCTGGCCTCATTAAGGGGGTATTCATCAGATTTGAAGGTATATGGCCATTTGTGTTCGAATTAGACACGCCAACCGGGGCATCTGCTATTGTTCCATTGCCGTTTGATATATCACCAGAAGCTGGTGGAGTTTTACTACGCGTTGGAGCCGATCCTTTGTATAATCCGCCGATTTGCCAGGCCTTCCAGCCTATACCGACTATCTTGATATTGTTGTAAATTGGCTCAGCGAGATGCAGCGAAAGGATTTGTATATGGAAAGAGTCATCAATGTCAACCAGCCTTGCAAGATCCCGTGAATCAGATGGAGGAAGAAGCGATAGGTCGGGCCGCGGAAAACGGTTTGACTTATGGGAGCGGTTGATTATATTGCTGTTAATTCCAGGTTGCCCTCGTCCACATGTGCGAACGTTCCCTGTAGGTGTTGTACTCCTTAGGTCATTATCCTGCAGTGTTGGTATGAGAATCCGGAGCGCTTCAAGTTTCTTCAAGAATGGGAGTACAATCCCCATTACTTCAAGGCTATTCCCATCAACAGCTATTGCAAGCTGCTCTAGGTTCGGGCAAGCATGAACCAGCTTGACAACCAGTGGTACTGGCATATTCATGCGTGCAGGAAGTAGTAGTCGTTTTAGTGTAGCACCATGAACTGAAATAATCGTAGAAACTTGCATTTCTCTTAGAGATGCTCGTGACGTTGATGGTTGTATACCAGGTCCAGGTGGTGTTGGGTGGTTCTGCTGGTATTCGGAGGCCATAGATTGGTTACCACCACTTGGATTAGTTGTAGAAGGGGATGGTTGGTATGAGACGCCCGGCCTTGAATTGTTGACATAGTCTATTGGTTCTCGCAAAGGGTTGACAAAGTATAAATTTTCAAGGGGGCTAAGCTGGTGTAAGAAATCTATGCCTCGTTTCTCTACACGATCAACTCGAAATGTCTTTAGCATCGACATTTCTTCCCGGGGCCCTGGTGCCGGCCAACTAGCCTCGACAAAGGTCATGGCAGCGTTCTCACTGGAATTGGTGAGCATCGTAATCTCTTCAAGGGAACTATGGGTCACTCCGGGTCCTGATTCCCCTGGATGAAGCGCAAAGAAGTTTTGAAATGCTATCTTTTTCAGTCGTAAGGGTGACTTCGCCGAAATACACCTTCGGAAGTAATCAGAGAGAGCCACGCTCGGCTCCTGGGATTCCCGCATTCGAGGAGACCAGTGCATTCTTAGATCACACAGCTTTTTGCTGCCAAACAGTAGTAGAGAAATATCATCTGGGTAACAAAGAGGATCTATGTCTGTGACCTTGAGGACGCGTAGGTTTGGCATGGGAGGAATGATAGTCGTAGGTCTAGGATGTCGACTCGACGGGAACCGAAGAGTCAAGGACTGAAGGTTCTGAAGCTGCGCAAGTCCCTGACATACAGTCTCCAGTGCTTTGGTATTACTTATTTCCCAACTGTGCAATGCGTGAAAGCTATTAGCTAAATGTATTTTTCAAAATGTGTAGCGGGCGTACTCAAGCGTGGAAAACATAAGTTGTTGTGTATAGCAATGACAACAGCATACCTGAAGCTCTCTAACCCAACCATTTTGTCAATAGCAGCTCGAACACAGATATTCAACATCATTGACGAGTCCGGGACTCTTCCAACTCGAGCATGTTCTTCCAACCCGTCTTCTCGCCATTCGCCGCGCAGTGTAATTGATCGAACAAGTGGCGCTACATTACGGGTGACCAGTGCATTCAGTCCCATTGAAAATGGGCTTGCACTTCCGTAGCCCTCGGGCAGGTCATCCTCATTATATCGTATCTGGCCGTAGGAGGTAAGGGTGAGGTTTTTGTAAAGCTGTGGGAGGGCCATATAATTCAGCACACGACAGGTGCGGCAGAGCCGCGCGAGGTCACCAACATCGTCAAGCTAGGAGAGATAACATTAGCCGACAGATCTGAACTAGAGAATAGCTAAATATATGCGAAATAGGCCCTTCAACTCCCCATCCTTCCCTTCACACGGCCATGGGGGGGTACATACGTTAGATACTATCAACGCGATTAGATTTAACGGCAGCCTCATCAGCCCGGGGCCCCTCACGGGCAGCTCATGGCTGACGCCAGCACCAAACATGTGGGGATTGACATTCGACATCGATCGGGGTGTTCATTGAAGGTGATTTATCATTTCTAATAAATGCCGGCGTTGAGTCGACGGTTTTTGAAGCGCAGCCGGAAAAGGTGTTGAAGCTTTCGAGGTTTGGCTAACGTCAGCGAACGTTCATTCGGATATGCTTTTCCTTGCATGCGTTTTATGCAAGGCTATATGATTATACTAGTTAAGGATAACGTGGGTTTTTCTGGGCATAAACGAGGCGCCGCATCGCTGCAGCCGTTCTGCAAAGAAGAACGTCGCTAGTTACTGGCATGTGCAAGCTTCTGGGGACTCGATTTAGTTGATATTTGCATGGATTGGTGAGGGTCCTGCATCTAGAGATTACTGTAGGAGAGAACGAACGTAGGAATGAATGTACACGAAGGTGGTCATAATGAAGATAGGCCGTCAAGTTTTCTCTTTTGAACGCATCCCAAAAAAGACGAAGGAGAAAAACGAAGGGGAAAACAGCAAGATAAAAAGGAATGGTAACATAGATATCCAGAAATTACTCCGCGCTAAAATGAACAGGTTATATGTTTCAAGTAAGTCGACATCCTATCTGATGTCGAGGTCTGATGATGAGTGTTGCCGTGTTGTTGACGCCGCTGCTCCGGTATGTGACCGGGAATCGGGCGGCTCCGGCGGTTGCTGGCTTGAATGAGAGCTGGATGTGCTTTCAGTCGTTTCAGAATGGTCATGTTGCTCCCGGTCATCTTGACATCGTGGAGAATCTGATATAACGTCCTGTTCATCTTCCTCATCTTCTTCAAACATTATGTGTTGGACATGCCTTGGATCCGAGTGGGTGGCATTTTTCTCCGGGTCCCGTGAATTCGCACCCTGTGGCGGAGATGAAATCATCGAAGACGGTGACCCTTGGTCGGTAAGAGCGTGCGGATTAGGACTTGAGTTTGTTGGGCTGCTAAAAAAGGGACGGCCAGGCTCGTCCAGACCTGGAGTCGACCACGTAATGGCTGATCGTGACCGGGCTGGTATCACCATGACAGGTAGCGGCGTTTCTATCCCTTTCCGTTCGCCGGGCGAGTCACCCCATCTGAAGCGTGAATTAGGGGTGGTGGAATCTTCCCTCGGGTTTGTTTGCGCTCGTTCCCGCTTGCTCTTTGCCGGTATAACGGTGACAGGGAGAATTGGAGGCTCCGTATCACGCTTCTCAGACGAGCCTATCCAGTCCCGGTGAAGATGTGATGCTACCATGCTCAGTGCTGGGGGGAATTTCCATCGACTCTCACGCTCTTCGGAGAGGCCTGTAGCTAAAGTAGCAGTGGCAGCCATTCCTTCTTCTGCTTGTGCTGTTGCAACCTCCTGTGGTGGCGATCCACGTCTTCGTTTAAAAGGATTGACAGCGTTAAGCCAGCCTATGCCTATTTTCCGGGAAGGAACTGGGGTAATTAAGTCACTCTGACCCATTGGAAGTGTGCTCTGTTTGGTTAAATCTGCGGAGCCCCTCCTTTCAACTTGTCCTGTCCGTGTTAGATCAGAATTAGACGCTAACGGTGTGCCCACGGAGTGGTATCGGACGCAATAGAGCGTGCTTGTAGCGCTAGTTGAGTTCTCCCGGCTAACTGGGCTGGCCACAGCTGGAGGCGGAGCCGTCTCAACAACCTGAGATGCCTCGATATCTGAAGGGGTAATTTCTGTCTTGCGTCGTTTTCGTTCATGAATATGAGGAGACCGGGGCCGCTGTCTATTTCGCGGCCGAAATGGGTTGTGTGATAGTATTCCTAGGCGCCCCCAGGCTGGACCGCGTCTAAAGCCTCCATCATTTCCACCACGACGAGATGATCCAGCCACTTCTGATGGAGTTACGTCAAGCATTTCATCTCCATCAAAAACCTCGCGGCCCAAGATACCATCCTTCCGTTCTTCACGCTCCAGCGCCTCAATTCTTTCAACCCATTCCCAAACCACCACGCTCGCTGCTGCAGCACCTACCCAGCGAATGTATTCACCCCAGCCAGCAATATTAGGCTGGGAAACGTCCAAAATAAAGAAAGCAACGGGTATCAAAAGTGCAAGCAAAGACAACAATGCAACCAGGCAGATATTCTGCATCTTGGGATGAAAGAAAGCAAACCTATGCTTGGAGAGTGAGTAGAAAACGACCCAAGCTGCATAGAGCATGCTAAGGGCCAATTCGAATAGATAGTTGAGAGCAGGGACCGCATCCCGAAGTTTTCCGGGATGGACTATTGTGGTCCCCGGATGTACAAAGTTGTTAAGGATGCTGAAAATGGTGTCAAGCACAATAAGTGCAAATCCCACCCATTTGATGACGACTTTTTCTTTGTGTCGTGGGAACAGCCGGATTAATGTCTGGACCTGCGCGAGCCAGAGAAACGTGCTTGATATAACACGTATAATGCGCAATTCAAGACCGTTGACAACCTCATTTGTGAGAGCTGTGGAGTCCATGTATCCCATTTCATACTGTTTTTTCGCAACCGCAAATGAGTCCGCGGTAGCAATCGTAAGTGATATTGCAACTGTCAATGCTGCTATCTTCTGCAGCCATGGCCTCCCACCTACACCGATAACTGAACTACTGCCATACGACCCACTGATCATGCCATGCCGACCGAGGAAGCCTCCTCCACGGCCTCCTATAAAAAAAGTACGGGGAGTGATGAAAAGTATGATGGAGAGGACGTATGCTAGCACCGTCGCGGTTGCAATAGCATACATCTGCGGTGAGGTCGAGGCGTAGAAATGCTCGCGGACATCCACGATCGTTGACGGGTCGTATGTTTCTGGTTCGATGACGGTGGTACAGGACGGCTCAAAGACGGCATCTTGACTCAGAACGACGGAAAATGTATCATTGAAGACAAGAGTGCCTAGAATTTTTTATCAAAGAGAGACAACCCCGGATTAGTACTGATGTGTCCTCTCCTCGCTGTCTAGAGGAACGCGTGTGTGTGCCGCTCCACTTCACCATGGCATGATATGAAACGAGATAGAGGGTATATCTTACCTCCTTTCCCCAGGGTCAACGAGCTACATGGGTGCCTTGAGCCGTTGAACTTCCCTTGCTGGGTCTGCCAGCCATAATTCAAAGGCATGGTGCCCGGGTACCTGGGCTATCCGAAGAGCTATTCGTGAAGGCTGCCATTCAAACAACGGTTGTTCCTCCCAACATGACAGCCGTGAAACACGCAAAGGGCCGGGGCGAAGAGGTTGAGCGGAACCTCGCCGGTCAGCAGCGAGTCGAAGGGGTCAAACTGTTCGAGGTGAAAACCGTTAGCGGTCGCTCCGTCGGTCGGTCGTGCGCCGGTACAGGGGCGTCGTCTGCTCCAGGAGATCAGCGGGTGCGATAGCGAGAAGTGCAGAGCCCGACAGCGGCCGTCGTGATCGTCTTTCTGGTCGGTTTGTCTCGCCGCCGCTGCTGCGTGAAGGCCGGAGCGAGTCTTCTAAGGTTGTTGGCTTCCCTTTTCGGCCTCGTCGCCCGCCGCTTTCTCTGATTGGCCAAGCAACGCCAATAAAAGCCAAGTTTAAAGAAGCACGTGCAAAGTGGATCTGCTTAGTCATTTATCTATTAAGATTTTTATGCCAAGACGAGCCTATTTTTGGTGAAGCGACGCAGACGAGACGAAAAGGGGCCCAAGGGAGGCTGTTTGTTTATAACTATTATTCTGGAGGCTACGGCGCGCGCTAGCCATGGAGTAAGCAGTACTCTGTTGAGGCGCCCGAGACGCGTAAGTTGGGCCTGGCTAAACGGCCCACACAAAACATTACTGTACATAGTAAAAATAGGTATATATATGTGTGTGTATGCTCAAGAGTATCACCACTCTGTTGAACGAAGGAAAGGAAACGGGGAAAAAAAGAAAGTAAAAAAGGGGTATATAAAGGGCTGGGATAGGGAGGGAATCATATGAAACATTATTAACTTTTATCGTGGGGGTGGGCTGAATGTCATCTGCCCGGGAGCGACGTAAGGTGCGCTGACAGTGTTGCCGCCAGTGCGAGAAGATTCCTCACGGGTTTTGATTTCTCGCTCGTCTTGTATGAGAGTGCAACAAGTACAGCACGAAGCTCGGACACAGTCGGACATGATTCCGCCAGGGATACCATATGCCCGTCTTATCCGTGTATGCTGTATGGTTGCCAGTAGCCCTATTTACGTTAGACCATATACCTACAGCGAACGGGGGTGCAAGAGGAGGAGTAACCTACATTGGCATCCACATAATAGAGCCATGACAGTGCATGACGCATTGCAGGACTCATATCCAAGCATATTAGTCGGGTCCTGCCGTTTTGATTTTCTTGAAAGGCGGTGCTGCGTTCGTCCATATAGAATGCATGGGCACCACAGACCTAAGCAACAGACACCTATATCTGAGCATTCGCAAAGTCCAGTTGACCAGCTTCCACCCTTGACGCTTTGTTGGGGGTGGAAGGCTTGGCCGGGGGTATGGCATTGTATGTCTGGAACGGCCGATATACTTCTGCCATTCATCCTCTGATGCCCTGAATGTGAGGCATAAGTTGGGGCGGGTGACTGCGGTGCTAAAGGGTTGCTGTCAGGGGCAATTGTGGTCTCCTCTGCTTGTCGCTCCCGAGTTTCTGCTTCCGGATTTTGCTTTACCGGCAATGGGCCGGGAGACTTAGGAATTGCCATAGGGGAATGAGGGACTACTCCATGGTGTTGCTGTTGTAGCTGTTGATGCTGTTGTAGGAAATGTTGCTGGTGTTGGTACTCTTGTTCTCTCTGGTATTGTTCTCCCTGTTGCCGTGGCTGCTGTTGTTGAAGGTATTCTTGCTCTTGGGCTTGGTGTATCTGGCTTGGGTTTGGGGGTGGAGTGGTACTATCGGCAAATGGGGCGAATTGGGCAGGGTGTTCAGAAAGTGGAGGTGGAGATACGTGAGTGTAGAGGTTATTCACATAATCGGCATCGTTCCTGTTATTCGAAACCGTCGATAATGGTTCATCCACTATCTTATCGGCATCGGGCGACACATACGAAAACGGACGGTGGTTACCCGGCTGGTTGGGTTGTGAATGAGATTGTTGGTTTGTCTGTTCAGAGGGAGCAGTGTGACGGGGGTTATCAGGCGAGGAGAATGTTGGCCCTTGTAGAGCGACTGGAGTGTGAAGGTACGAGTAAGGCCTTTGCTCCGGCTGTTGTAGATGTTGCTGCTCATGTTGCTGGGGGTATAGATGGGGAGGATAATGTGGCGCATTGCCATAGTGCGGCGGATGGTTCGACATTGTTGGTAGTGTGTCGAACTAGTTCCGGCGAGAGATAGAAAACGAGTCACTCATGAGCATCTAGATAATGCCACCTGTGGCCCTAAGCTTGCAACAAAAGGGGCGGGGAGGGGAGTCCTTCGATGGAGGTTGCGCAAGCGGATGATCTGGTGATTTCTGCGCTGGCGTTGCGTTGCCTTGGGATGCACGAACCCGTTCAGCTCGTCAGTGGCAGCCTGATGCGGGTGTAAATAGTTAGATATCCGAAGGATCAAAGTCGTGGATTAGGCTGCTCTGCGATGTTGTGTCGGTAAACGCTTGTCTTCCCAGGCGCCGGGTAATATGGTGAAAAATGAGCATCGCCAGGAGCAGTGAGATTATATTCAAATCCATCATGAACATGAACGGGGGCGGCGCTTAGCCCTGCTCGTATTGGACGAAAACATCTCTCAATAGCAGAACAAGGGGCCCCGGGAGCTTCGGAGGAGAAATGGGGGTGACGGAGGCTGTGCTGTGCTTATACACCGCAGGTAGGAAGCCTGGACGAATAGCCTGGCGCCTCAGACGAAAAAGCGACCCGACTGCTCGGTTGAAGCCCCCCTATGCCCTGCGGTTCGAGTGTGATACCGTGGTGATCGGGCCTGTGATGCTGCCCCTTGGCTCTGTGGGCAAATAATATCGAGCGATTCGCCATGGCGCTGCAACCGGGATGCGGCCAGCCTCCGCCCAACGCCTCGAGCCTTGGAAATGCGGTCTTGACTGGCTGCTGGCGAGATGAGGAACTGCCAGTTTCAGACTAGTTTGAAGAGACTCTGTTGTTCATTGGCAGTTGTATGAAGACATGCACAACAAGGGCAGGGCGCAATGCCGTTGTACAGATCGGTTTCGTCGGGCTGTTGCATGTTTTGACCTCAGCGGGTGTTCTAACACATCCACCGCTTCAACAGGCAATACAACCAAGGAGTAGCTAGTCCTATCGGCTCGTGAGCGGGTTACCTACATGTCTTGTCTCTCCACGCGGGCGCTTCGAGAGTCGAGAGACCCGGCTAAAATGGCTAGAGGACGGCATGGAGATGCCCTGGCCTCCCTTTGGCGCCATGGTGGGACCCTTGATCATCGATATCAAGACATAACATGGTTATAAATGTTAGTATCCAATCTTATGAAGGCCTGGACAGCCCGTTCTAATCACCGTCCTTGTTTGGCTGAATTTGCTTCCTGTTCAAGATGATGTTAGCTGCCATCTTGGAGAGAAGTGGCCTGGGACAAACAGCGTAGTGAGCGTAGCTATCCAGAAGCATTCCGCTGGCTAAGTGACAGCCACGATATGATCAATCGACCTCGAATGCAGAATCTGTAGAACGGCCCCCTAGCTGAACGGACCGATGCTGACCTAACCATGGAACCGCCAGGGGGCGACTGGCCGTCATCGCGAGGATCCATGGTTGATGTCTCGGTCCACTGGTAAACTAAGGAGTAGATATCTTCAAGTAGAAGCAAACAGTTTGATGACACCCATCCAGTCCTATCAATGGCCACTTGGACTCCATCACATGCTCTCTGCTGTGTTAACGCGGACAGCAGGTAACTCGAGGTAGCACCAGGTCCCATGGCATCATCGTACATGTATCGCCAGGCCGGATGCAAACGCATAACGGAAGGCGGGGAAGTGATCCTGGTGTTTTTAGTTTGGACCCTGCTGTGAATGTACGCCAGGCCTTACAAGGTAGTTATGGGTATATACCTAGCTCGGGGGCTCGCTCAGGGTCTGAACCCTTGCATTAACTAGTTATCGTTGGATGCAGGTGAAGATGTTGGGGGCCCCTAGGCTTATGAATTACGCGGATCGCTTTGGGGCCATTTCTTTTCATGCTCATTTCAGATGCAATTTTTCAGGTACTGAGTCGGCTAGTTATCTATGAAAAGCATACATTCGCCCGACCAAGTACATAACCCATAACCATCGTGACGTTCTTCTACTCCTTGGGACACCACTTCTTTTTTAGAGAGAAAAATTCCTCAACCGGAGTACGAAGTGCCGAGTCAACTGCCCATGTCAAATGTTATTTGGGGTTTGGGGGTGATATTAATCGATGGAGCGTAGAAGCTGCATAAAATCCTTTGAAATCCACTCCACATAGCTCTTCCAGGAGTGGTGGTCATTAGACGCCTCTGCAGCAGGGAATGCCATCTGTAACTCCCGGCTGACCTTCAGTACGCCAATAGATGCCTCCTGCGCCTTCTCCAGCTCCTGTTTAACAGCTGATTCTTTGGGTTTGACGGACAATACGACCCGGAATGAGTTACTGAAAGCATCGAGTCGAGCAAGAGTTTCTTCCGGCGCCAGCGTCATCAACTTGGAAATCATGAGTGTGCAAAGAGTTCTGATGTCCTGTTCGTCTTCAATACCGGCAATAATCCTATCGTAGACCTCGGGAAGGTTGACGGCAGAAAATGCGACATCAAGGCATGTGTAAAGTGTTTCGTATGCGCTCTGTAGTCATTAATTAGTAAAACTAAAAGTATGTATAGAGATGAACTACTTCACGGTCCTCACCTTACGAAGTTCCAGGCCGTCGTCAACCTTATGTTTAAAGGGGCCCATCTGTACTTCTCGAACAAGCTCCGGCTTCAAATTCGTGTCTCCCATAACTGCGGGTAGCAACTGAGGAAGATGTGGTAAAACAAGAGCTGTCTTGTTGTGAATTGCAGAGTTCAGGGTTGTCAGAGCCAGGCGGTGGTTGGCCAAGTCGCTATCATTAAGTATTGTGACCAAAACAGGGACTATGAGCGGACGGAGTGTCTCGTTATAAGTGCTGCTAGAATCAGCAAGAGTGTAACGGAATGCAGAAATAACTGTGCCCCTGATAGTAGCATTTGGATGGGACAAGTATTCCTATTCAGAGATATTAGCGTTGTGCGTTATCGACAACATAAATAAGGGCGAAGGGATATACCTGTAGCTGTGGAATGTAAGTTGCGGGATCAATCAAGGATAGACGCCCGATACATTCAGCCCCAACGGTGCGGTTGTCTTCATCGTCAGAAGCTGACAATAGTATCTGCCACAGTCGAGTTGCGAATGGCGCAACATGGGTCTTGACATCTTCAGGGTGTTGAAGAATCTCTTTAAGTGAGTGTAACAGTAGATATTTATAAGACTTAGACTTCTCTAGTCCTTCCAGAATAACACGTAAGTAAGCGTCCACGTTGCTAGCTCCCGCATTTCCAAGGGCAACGGCCGCAGAGAGCCGGACTTTGTCTGACGGAGAACTGAAGTTTGTAATGAACAGCTGAGGGTCAAGGGGCGATTTATCTCCCATTCTAAGGCCAATTTCACCCAAGATGGCTAAAGCAAGACACTTGCGCTGGTTGTCTTGGGCTGTCTTAAGCTCGGTTAGGAAATCTTCGGTTGTGACGCCAACTTTTGGTCCACTGTAGACGAGGAGAGTTCCAATTGCCTTTCCGACAACGGCCGAATCTCCATTAACGCCGACGGTTTGTAACAACGCTTTCATGAGCTTTGCACCTGCTCCCTGTTCACCAATGACACGGACGAGAAGGATATATGCCTTCAATGCCGTCCCCGTTAGAGTGCCTTGAACGGCGGCACAAAGCTGAGCAATAATATTGTCATTGACAAGATCTGGACCGTAATGGGGTAGAAGTTTTGCGAAGATAACTAGTGCAGGTGTCAACAGATGCAAATCGTCTGCAGAAATAAGGGGCGAAATGGCGACGCGTAGGCCTTCCGTCGTGTGTTTGTCGAGATACTGCCTGGTCTGAGAGTTCATAGCGATACTCTTCAGAGCTCCTAGACAGACGTCGCGCAAGGTGCGGTCAACCTTCCTGAGCTGGGCCGCGAGCTCAAGGGTCACATATCCAAGCCAGGATGCCTCAACATCATCGCTTTGGCGAGCAAGTAATGCAACATCGTCTATGGCACGAGCAGCGGCGACTCGCGTAGTCTCGTTCTTTAGGCGTTCGAGGAGAACTAAAAGTGCCTTTCGTCTCTGCTCGAGAGTAATAAACCTGCGCCCTTCTGATCCAGATGTGCGACTTAACATTACTCCAAGGACATGAATACCACGCTGCCGAACTCCCAAGTCCGTGCTGTTGTCGGTCACCTTTTCCACCACGATATCATACAGTTTCTCCAGCTGTAATCCCAAATCACGGTCATCTACGGAGACTCGTGGGGGGGTTAGAGCGACCACAATCTGTTCAATTGCGCCTAGTGCTTCGCTAGATACCTTGAAGTCTCTGTTATTCACACAAGCGACAACTCCTGGTATCAGGGCAATTAAAAAGGGAGAGAGAGAGCCTGAGGGGTGAGTCTCAGAAATTGCAGCAATTAACCCCAATGCCTCAACCTGAAGGTTTCCTGCACTGACTGAGTTTGACCCAGCAGAAACTGTTACACCACCACAGAGGCCAGAAGTCTTCAAGGCGTCAGCGATAGGGTCTTCAATTCTCTGTAAATAGTCTGCTAGGCCGCCATAACGAACTAGAGCAAGAGCTTTTAACAAGAGAATAGCGCCTTGTTTGAGAGGTATTGGTGCGCCTTTCCATAATTTTGTCAACGCTTGAACGATACCCGGAGTGAGATCTGCAAGGTCAGTCTGCGGGCCGGGCTGAGGAGTTGACGGTTTGGCAATTGGGGTATCTGAAGTAGATGGCGGTGGGAAATCCGATTCGAGATCAATCACGGTAGCATTGCTATCTTGCCGTCTTCTCTTTCGAGATGAACGAGCTTGAGAGAATGGATCAGCGTAAAACAGGTTAGGTCCGGTAGCCAGGTCACTCGTCTTTCGGACCAAGCCAGTCATTGTCGCGATAACCTCAACCTTGACACTCTCTTCTCTTTCTTTCGTGAATCTAGAAAGAAGTGCGGGTGCTATTTTCTGATATATTGAGCCGTCTTCGACAGCTTTGGTGTTTCGTCCCTGAGTTGACACAATGGTGTATAAAACTTTGGCAGCGCATCTGCGAACTTTCCAGCTCAGATCATCAATGTCACTGTATCCTTCTTCTTCCTCAAAGTCATCAAATGCATCATTATCGTCATCGGGCTCTTCAGTAGCTCCATCATCACTGCTTTCGTCCTGGGTACCACCCATTTCTTCATCTTCCTCCAGTTCTGCAACGTTCGGATCATACTTGAGATATCTCAAAGCAGCCGCAATACAATCATTAAGGTATGGCTGCATTTCGGATCCACAATATCCCAGTAGGGTATCAAGGGACACCAGTGCAGTCTCACGCAACTCATCCTGCTTGGGATCATGCTCTCCATCGTCGGACATGTCATCATCCATCTCATTCATCTCCTTCTCACTAACAGCTGAAAGCACAAAAGGAGCTAATGGTTTTAGATATGGGCCAAACTTTGCGGGTGTAGATCTAGCCATGGCAGAAATGGCGGCGATCAAATGACGGCGACGGTTGATAGTAAGATGCGGAGATTTGAAGCTTTCAATAAGGCCAGATACGAAGCCACTTAATTGAGCATCAGACAAGTGGATTGATAGCATTGAGATTGCTGTCAGGGCACGCTTGGTAACTACCGTTCCAGCATGATCGTTCTCAATGACACGTAGAACGGTCTGGAGGAGCTCGAACAACTCTTCGTCGTTTAGCATGGGTCCATAAGACCGCACTACATCGATCAACACATCGATGGCATCGCTGCTAAAACCCTTTGCTGGGTCATTCACTATCATTCCTGGTGCCGCGGTTGGCAGATTTCCTCTCGTCGGTGTACCAATCAAGCGTGGAATCAGGACCATAGACACCGCCTCATAACTTGTCTGTACCTCTCTGGAATTGATAAGGTTGATATTAGGTCTTGGAAGGGCCGCGAGAATCATCCGAAGAGCGGTGTTTGGCACAGATGTGTCGATGGTTTGAGAGCTCGTGAGAAGGGCAAGCTTGTCGATAAAAGGAGAGAGAACATCAGGTGGTAGACGCGTAGCCAGAGGCCCAATACTGTTCCCTTAGAGTCAGAACAGGCTTATTCGTTGCAGTGACTGAGAAATAGGATGTCTATCTTACCACTTCAGAGCTACATTCTGTACCTCTCCATTCTGATCCTCCAGAGACTTAAGCAGTCCCTGGACCATTCGGTTGCATGACGAAACGTCTTGTGAGAAGTAGGATGGACTACAGCCTTCAATAAGAGACAGTAGATCGTTCAGGGACATGTAGCGGATATCTGGGTCCGGATCAGTGAGCTTGACCATCAGCGGGCCTAGGGCCTGCTGGATAGACTGCTTATGGAACGCCATCTCTGCGAGCCTGGAACCACACAGGGGAAGAAGCAGCTCAAGAAGAGCTTCTCTTTAGAAGGACCACAGGGCTACAGAAGTAGCAGAAATAGCAAGATGGTCAGGATGTGATGGTTAAGAGGGTAGGGTGTTCAATATCAAGACAGAGACTGAGGGGACTCAGAAGGACATGGCGGGGTTGCTTTATAGGCAGCAACCGGAAGATGCAGCTAAGGAAGACACTCAGAGGACAAGAAGACCAACTGAGAGTGAAACCCTTGTCGACTCAGGATGTCCTTCAGAGTGGCTGGAGAAGTCCTGGCCTCCTGGTCTGGCGTTGTTTGTGTCATGTAGTAGTTAAACAACAATAACTTAGAGAGGAAGCGGAGGGAGACGTAGTGAGCTTAACCAGCGTTGGCTCTACACAGATAGTGCATCCCAACAAAACGTCACTACGCCTGCTATCTACTATATAAACAGCCCTATCTATATCGCAATGCCCCTTCTATGCATCTATTTAACCACTCTGAACATGTTATTAGCCTCCAAGATGCATCTCAAGTGCTGCTTGCTGTCCAGAGTGAGGATGGCCTGTTACCAGATCACGTGGCCACTGCTTGTTCCAACCTCTTTTCTTCTTTTCTGCTTCTTCGCTTCTTCTCAGTCTTGCATCTCACTCAGCCCATCAACTGCCACCTTCTACACCCGCTCGAGGAGTCCGATTCCAGCCCAATTGCGCTTATTCACTGCAATTGACCAGATAACATCATGGTTCTCTCACGATCGCCCGCTCTTCGGTCACTCTGGGCCCAGTCCAGACGGATCTCGGCTCCCAGAGTACCGACAACTCGAGCATGGCAGCGAGTTTCTCGACGAGGCTATGCCGACCAGGCTCACGGTTCTCATGAGGCTGGAAGCGATATGCCATGGTAAGTCTGTCTTGTCGGGTGTCGGGCGATGTATATTGTCAAAGACGTTTTCCGGATCAGCCCACTACCTCGACTAGTGACTATGACGGCTTGTAGTACAGCAGCAGTTCTATACATTGCCGCGGGTATTCTGATCATTGACTGATGCAATTGCTCTGTTTGTTGATTCTAGGCTGCTTGGTTCCGTCGCATTCACTCTCCCAGCCGCATACTACCTCTACCAGTCCGGCCCTGCGGGAAAGTCTGGCCATGATGCCCACCCACACGTTGAACACGCCGTTGAGAAGGTGAAGGAGGTCGTTAGCGAACCAGTCAAGGAAGAGGCCAAGCCAGAGCCAGCCGCCGAGCCAAAGGCTGACCCTGAGGAGACTAAGACTGAGGAACCCAAGGCTGAGGAGCCAAAGTCCGAGGAGCCAAAGACAGAGGAAGCTCCAAAGGCTGAGAGCGAGGCTGAGGAAAAGCCAAAGGAGGAAGAGAAGCCTGCTGAGGCTCCTGCTGAGAAGGCCGAGGAGGAGAAGCCAAAGGTGAGTGTAAGATGAGTCCCTTGAAGCTCGGGTGGGACTGGCAATTAACAATGTGGTTTGTTACTAGGAGGAGAAAAAGGAAGAACCTGCTACTGCCGAGGACAAGACTCCTAACCCCAGGGCGCCTACCAAGGAACCTCCTACCAAGTCCAGCTAAGCTACCTCTTCTTGAGTTTTAAGTGTGGGATTCTGAGCAGCAAAGAGACAAACCGCCCGTTGAATGTCTATTCTCTACAACAGTTCATTTTCCTTACAATTCCTGCTACCCTTGTGCTGTAACATAGTGAATGACATGATCATAAAACCGATATAAAAGAGCATGTACAGAACCCAAACCCTTCCTTCTTACAATTCACCCAAACTTCTCTTTTTTTCATTTTAGGTCATTAGAATAGATGCAGATAGTATACATTGACTTGTTTCCTTAGATTGATATCATCACTTCTTCCATTGAGGTTGGGCCTGTATTACATTAATTAGAAAGCATAGATAATGATAATAATCATCATCACAGGAACATGTTCAATCAGCATTGAGCATTCAAAGGAAAAGCAGAGCATATTGAAACTACCAAGGGATGATAGCCAGTCTGCAGTCTGCTATCCCTAGAGGTGCATTCAACCTGAAAAGGGGGAAGGGGGAAAGACGACGTAATATGTATAAGAAAATCAAATCTAACCGTACGCCAATGCTATAGCCGATCTCGTAGGTGAGACTTCGAGCCCATGCCCCCCCATATATATATATATATATCGCGAGCTTCGATTTTTCAAATGCCCACTGACAAAGAGAATATAACAAGGAAAGGAAAAAAGGAGGATGGATAAACATGATTAGAGGTATGTATATGGAGGGAAAGGGTAAAAACCTTGACCTGCCGAGGCTATGCAATTCAAGGGTATAAGAATGGAAAAGAAGGCTCAGGTCATCCGGTAAGTTCTCATGGTTTTAAAGGATGGTAATGGAGAATGGAGAAGAGAAGAAAAAAACAGAAAGAAATAATTATCTTCATTCATTTGCGTTTCGTGGCGGCACCGTTTGAATTTCCGTTAGTCAATAGTCCTGTAGATGATCCGTTCTCAATTGGATCGAGGTTCTCCTTCGTAGCATGGCCGTTGACGAGGAGGGTTGGAATGGGAACTCCATTCGCTTCGCCGGTCGTACTTGATTCTTCAATCTCGTCGTCTTCTTCTTCGTTGTCACTTCGCTCGTCCTGCAGTGCGTTGCCAAAGACATAGGTCTTGGCAATGCGGATGATAAGGTAGAGCCAGAATAGATTGATAGCCTGAAGAGAACCCAGGAGACCAAATGTGATGTACTGGCTAACCCAGAACTTGTACTGTTCGGTCTCCCAGTTGAGTTCGAAAGGCCCAACGGTTCGGAACTCTGTCAGGACGGCCCAGAGAATGTGGAGGTTAAGGTAGTGCCTCATGTAAACCCAGACGGCAACGAAAAGGGCGAAGAATGGGGTTATGATCGGCGAGTCCAGGTAATTGAGCGTTTTCGACGTCTGTAGGCCGTTAGTTGCAAATTCAAAGCCAAAAAAAAAAAAAAAATAAAAATAAAATAAAAAAAAAGCATATAAAAAAAGGGGGAATCGGTGGAGTAGGAAACTCACAGCAAGGAAAAAATCAGAGATGTCATGTGTGATGTAGACGGCGAGACCGATATAAGTGAAGTGGAACCGGTAGCTCAGCGCAATGAGTGCGAGAGTGATGATATGATGCCCAACCAACTCCTTGAAGTCTCTCCTAGGCTTCTCTAGTTTAAGCAACAGCACAATTCCTTGCTGAGCCCAATATGCGGCTTCGAGGAGGTAATATGCCTTGAAGTCCGCTGTATGCGATTTATGCGGGAAATTCTCAAACATGGCCGTAGTGTTGAAGTACCAGATATTCGTCTGCTTCATGACATACAACCCATACGGCCCGAAGACACTGAAGTACATGGCCGTATACACCTGTTCCATAAACCGGGTGATCTTCGAACGGCCCTTGATCCCGGCATATAGAGCCCACGGCCGAATAACGCATTGCATCAAGAACTCACGAGTAAACGAGAGCGCAATGGTGTAGAATGCCACAAAGGCGATATCGAGCTTCCCCTTGCCGTACAGTACTGGGCCGCCCGGTGTCTCCGGAGGCAACGGATAGGAGAGGAATATGCCATAGTGTATCGGGTTGGATTCTGTCGGGTTGACGGCGTATGCGGCGAGGAGAATGGCGAGGAGAGCGAGAGGCAGGACCCAGGTATGTTTTAAGCAGACGTCTTTGACCCGTCGAAGCCACGACCTGGCTCTCTTTCGCTTCGAGTGCGGCTTGCTAGACAGTCCGTTGCCGTTCTGGAGTCGCATCTGCAAGGGATCGCAAAAAAGCAGTGTCAGCGAGATTATCTCACGTATCTTTAGTCAACAAACCAAACGGGACCCGAGCCGTTAGCTACCTTCTGCTGGGTGAGCTCTGCATGACCGCCAGCCATGAGAGGCGTCTTCGAGTCGTCCTTCATGGTGCAAGTGTCTGGCGAGGGCCTGTCTCTTTGCGAGGGAACGGGAGAAGGCTGGAGGAGGTTTTTTTTTCTCTCGCTGCTCAGGAAGCCCGCGGAAGGACGATAAAAGGGAGGACGTCGATCTCGGCGCCAGCACGATGATTTTATTCTTTTCTTTTCTTTTTTCTTTTTTCTTTCTTCTTCTTTTTTTTTTTTTTTTTAATTAATCTTGAAAATAAAATGCTTCCTCTGCTTCTTCTTCCTCTTCCATAAAATCTCGGGCCCTTTCTTGCGGGTTCAAAGGAAAATTTACTCTTACTTAACCATTTTTATTTTAATCCTCCTTTTTTTTGTTCCTCGGCTGGGGCCTTTTCTTCTTCCCCTTGCCTTGTCGCGTGTGCTTGTATCACTTTCTTATCCAGTCACTACCTACAGCATTGAGGCATGAGAAAGGATTGCCAGAGGCGAGAATGGAAGAAAGAGAGGCTGCTATGACATAATTAACCAGCCATAAGTGACCCAGCGGGTTATTCATTTCGCTTACCCCCTGGGTGTAGGGCTTTCTTCTCCTTTCGCCCCTCAGCAGTTCAATAGCTATCAATCCAGTTCGGCACAGCAGGGTTTCCCCCTTGGCTAGCTCTGCTGTATACATGGGCTGCAGTACTAGTTCTAGTACTCCGTACCTGCAGAGGAACCATTGGGGCCGCCAGAGGTTCGCTCGGCATACTCAACTACATCATGGCCTGGATGGCGACTTTTTAATTAAAGGGGCAGAGGGGGTATTCTCCATAGTGCAGCTTAAGAGGTCGGCGATTCCCAACAATTAATGGGACCTTTTACACGAAATAGCGATTGAACAGCACCATGTGAATGACCAGAGTATACTTTTTACTCTTTAGAATCACTTCGATGCTCTCAAATGAACCCCTATCAACTTCACTGCTGGCGGATTTTCGACTCTCGCCTTGAGGCGTTGATTATGTAATGTGAACATGGGCAAGGGTTATGGAGCAACCGAGGATTTGATATCTGATATTGGACATATATAATTTCTGATATTAGGTTGATATGTAGAGTGATAGCTGAAGATTTTGAGTGAAGATAGCAACAATAATGGGATTATAGACTGTTTGTTACCCAATTCCACCAGCTCAGTTATTACGGGTATATACAATTTGTCCACAAAGACTCCGGCTCCCGCTCCCAGTTCCACCGTAGTTATTACTGCTCACTCGATTGCTCCTATGTCCATAGTGATGTGGCGATAGCCAGCCAGATTACACATGGTGGGAATTCAGCTTTTCTTCTCCACCAGTCCTCTCCAGCCTGGCGGCATGCTGGAAGCTGCTCCTCGTTTTCCAGGCTGGGATACCGATGTATTTAACACCATTGGGGTCTGTGAACATATATTCGACCTCCTCCAGTGTCTTGCCTGCAGTGTCAGGGAACATTACAAAGACGTGGATAAACATAGCAGCGCAGAAGATTCCGAAGAGCAAATATGTCTTCCACTGGATGTTGACAAAGGCCGGAGGAACGAAGTAGCCGAGTGCAAAGTTGAAAGCCCAGTTGGACGAGGTCGCAAGGGCAACAGCTTTTCCACGGACACGCAGAGGGAAGAGCTCAGGAGGATAAATCCAGGAAACGGGTCCCCAGGTGGGCGCAAAGGAGGCAACGAAGAGATAGGAGCATGCAATGACCGCCTTGCTGGGGGCACCGGTGATCTCCCAGGACTCGGCCTCGATGCCATTGAGACCACCTGGTGGAGCAGGGCGTCCACGGGCAGCCAGCAGGCCGGCGTTCACGAAGAGGAAGGTCATCATAAAGAAAGCTCCGACAAGAAGAGGCAGACGTCGACCCCAGCGGTCGATCCAGAGAAGCGCTGGGACTGTCATGGCGACGTTGATCACATACTGGATACTGCTGGAAACAAGAAGGGTGTTTCCGGTCAAGCCAGCCATTCCAAAGACATATCTATCGTCCCTTTGTTAGATTCCCACAATCGCTGGTGAAGTGTACCCCCCAATATACATGAAAAGAATGGATTGAACTTACGTGATGTAGTACATCATGACGTTCATACCGGTCAATTGACTCCAGATCTGGGTAAAGACACCGATATGGGTACGGTTGATCATGTTAGGCTTGAAGAGCTCGAGATAGGAGACATCGGCATTAGCTCGTTCAAACTCGCAGATATCCTTGATCTCCTGCAGTTCACGCTGGACGAAAGGCGAGTCTGGGTCACCGTGGCCGTGGACCAGGGTGAGAACTCGGTGGCACTCCTCCCACCGGTCCTTACGAGCTAGCCATCGTGGTGACTCTGGGAGCGGAATCATGCCAAAGAATAAGAGAACGGCGGGGATGGCCTGCAGTCCCCATGGAACGCGGAAAGCAGCTGGACCTTTGATAAAGCTGCATCCGTATGATATGCTATTTGCAAAGTAAGTAATTTTCTTTTTTTTTTCCAACATGTGTATAAAAGGGGGTCGGCTGGTGATATCTTACTAGAACATGATGAGGATACCCCAAGTAATTGCCCACTGCTGGCATCCGACCAGACGGCCACGTTTGGTTGGGGGTGCAACTTCTGAGATATAGACTGGAACCTGAGCTGAGCAGATACCGACACTCAGACCGTTGATGACCCGGCCAACTATCAACATGGCAATATTCTGAGATGCACAAGTGATGACAGAGCCAATGATCCTAGTGAGGTCTTCTTAGCTGGCATGTTCATGAAGGAAACGCCAAATAAAAAGAGGGCATACCAGACGATTGCACCGACCATAATGGCCTTCTTTCGACCAAGGTGATCAGAGACGAAGCCAGATATCAACGCTCCCAGCCATGAGCCGCCAGCCATGGACGCAGTGATACCGCCCTGCACAGCAGGTCGGGGGCCACCGCACTGGCCCGGGCCGTATTGGTTAAAGTAGCATTTATACTGGTCGGTCCCTAGGATGGCTGACATCGACGAGATGTCGAAGCCGAAGAGGCCACCGCCAATGACGGCGACGGCAGCAATGACATATATGTTGCCAGTGTTGAACATGGTATCAAAAGAACGCTGCCTGCGCTATCCTCCTCAAGGATCGAGTAATGGTGATTTTATTAATAGGAAGATAAAAGGAAAGACCCCCTTGTGACGCAACATAGGCTAATCGTATGTTGACTCTCGCTCAACTCTACACAGAAACGAGAAGAGGAAGAGAAAGGAGAGAAAAGAAGAAAAGAAAGCGAGTAGGAGACCGAAAGGAACGGCCGGGACTATTTATGCAAGAAACCGCTGCGGGGGGGGCGCACAGTAGAAGCTTCCATGGGAACGGGCATCAGCTAAACCGCATGGCAAGCAAATACATCTCCATAACTATTTGTTCTATGACGATTGGCAGGCCTCTCAAGTCTGGCTCGGGCAGAGTTTCTTCTGCCTGCCTCCTACTGGCTCCCCACAAGCAGCATGGCTCATGGCGGCGACCTCCCCCGCAAACGCTCTCCTGATCACGCTGAGGGCAAGGCTTTTGTACCATGGTAGGACGAGGAACTGACAGCCTGTGTCGCGTGCTCATGTATCACTGCAGCAAATGCGAAAAGGGGGTGGGTATGAGCCGTCTGCGAATATGGTGTCTGCTTCGGATCCAATCTCGCTGCTACCAAATTATCTGCCATCATGGCTCCATTCCAACTGACCATACCACAAATTTCATGTCAAGAGAGTACTTACTTCCCTTTGGGCCGTTGTACCTCAACTTGCATGCCTCAGCAGGAAGAAGCAAAGAAAGTAATAAATTGGCCATGCCGCAGGATCGGCAGCTCTTGCAACCCTCCACTAGTCAATGCTTGCCTGTACGTACTCCGTTACTGCAGGAGTAGACTGTACCTCTGCCGCAACGAAGCCCCCTACGACTCGCAGAGTACCAGCAACCCTCTCATGCCTCTTGCGGCCAGCCGCCCCCTTGTCCTTATCCCCGGAAAACTAGAGACGAGAGAAAAGCTCCCATTCGCGGGAGCCGCAAAGTCGCCTGCACGGTGGCAAAGCTTCTGCTGCCCTCTGCCGTCATGGCCGCTGAAACCCTGAGATGTAACAGCTCCATCTTTTAAGGCCTTTCGTTCTTCCTGGCCCATTTAGCTTCTGACTTTCTCGATTCTTTCTTTTGCCGCCTGGGGGAGTGTCACCGGCTGGACGTTTGGTTCCAAAGTGGCAGTCCAGGAGGGTCGGAAAAACCCGAATGCATGGGCAAGAGGTGTATAGGTATGGATACTCGACCGCTTAAAATAAAATAACTAACAATTTGGGCTCCTAACCTAAGTATAGGCCGGGGTTGTCGGCCTGTCTAGTACGCATATAGAAAGGATGTGCAGTTCGATGCAGATGGAGAGATGGAGAAAGTGCCGAAGGATGAAATGATGGTGGGTTGATGTCACAGTGAGAAGCTGCCAAAACTACCAGCCCCTGTTATACTATACAGGTGACAGCCTCTTATGATTCTGGATCCTCCACTGGCCGCTCGAGTGAAGGAATTGCTAGAAAGCAGACAAGGAAAGGGATGTCTCCACCAAAAGACTTCATTTATGCTGACAAGGAGTAGACGCTCCGTACGAAGTACACCTGTAAAAAAATTCTGGCTTCTGGGTTGAATCGTTCTAATAAACCGTCTTGAAGCCAAAGATTACCATTAATGCTGTTTATCCTTCTATCCGCCCTAGTAATATCGTTGAGAACCATCAAACGCATGCCCTTTGTAGAATCACGTATAAAAATAAAACACTTAAAAGCAAAGGTAAACGGAGGGGAAGACAACAGCTACTCGACAAGAGTCCATTCAGCAAGCGCTTTGAAGCCCATCCCAACTCTGCCGACTCCCTGTTCATACTCTGCCATCGTCAATCCACGCAGGTCAGTTCGGGTCCCAAAGCTCGTCAACTCGAATATCATCAACTTCTGGCCCGCACAACCCAACGTCCTGCCGTCGGGAATGTCCAGATACCAGTAATCGCCACCTCCCCCAGCATTAGTACCGCGGACGTGGTTGAATGGGACAAACTTGTCTTCTCTACCGTCGAGTCCATGCGGAGCTAGGACGAAGAAGGATGCGGCTGTCTTACCACCGTGCTTAACGATAGACCAGTGCTCGCAGATGAGGGCGAACTGGAAATGTACAGAGCGTCCGGACACTTCTCTGATGGAGATGGACTTCATTTCAGGCTGAAGGGTATATTTTCCGATGCCGTGGTCTTCAACGGCATTATCGAACAGGGTAGGAGGGTCAGTAGGTATGTGCATCTGAGCCCTCAGGCCACCACCTATATATTCCTCCCAAGTGATGTTTGTACGCCCGTCTTCACGGTAAAAGTCAGACCCATTCTCTGGGTAATGGTCGAGTCCAAACTCGTCATTACACATGATAAAGTGTTTAGGTGAGAACTTTTGGACATAAGGCATATTCGCACCCTCAACATGTCCGGCTCCCCAGCAGCAATCAATTAGTTTCCACTGTCCATTATCAATGCGCACTACATTCCATGCATGGTTGCCTTCGTACGGGGGTATTGGTGCCCCGGGGGCAAGCGGTTTAAAACCATAGCCCGTCCCATGGCCGCTGATCACCTTGGCTTCTAAACCAGCATATTTTGCCAGCATTTCGAATAAGGATGCAAATCCAGCGCAAACGGCGAGCCCATGGGTGAACACATGGTCCGGGGACTGTGGCGTTCTTTTTCCTTGGAAGAAGCTTTCTACATCATACCGTACGTTGTGATGTAGCCATGTAAAGATCACACGTGCTTTATCCGTCGGTGATGGGAATGGAGATGTGAGTTGGGATGATAGCCAGGCCAAATCGTGCGACGGAAGAGATTGGCGAGGAAATCTAGCGGCGTGTGCATCGGCAGCAGAAAAGTCACGGCATTTAAAGCATATAGTTGATGCGTTGGTAGAGTTAGTTGTACTGCTACGAGCTGTAGAACAAATTTGGGGTTTTGAGCTTGTAGGTATGGGAGGCAGCTTTGGCCGCGATGCAAGAGGTATTGGAGGAGGGGCACGCGAAATCCTTTTGACGTTATCAAAACAACCTGTATTATCCTTGGCGGTTTCATTGGCAGTTTTGTTCAGGCTTGAGAATGAAACCTGCTTGATCTTTTGGAGGTCGGCTCCCTGAGGTGGTGGTGGAGGTAGCTTTCTCTGTGCAGTGGATGCCGACTCGACTCTCTCCAGCAGCGGCCGGTCTTGGAAATGCTGCGGCTGATGCACCTGTGGGAGAGGTGTCGAGTTCATACGAGGAGGAAGTTTCGGTTTCGCAGCCTTTGGTGGAGGAGGCGTAGCTGGAGCAATGATCTTATGGCCAGCCAATTGATTCCGTAACGCTGCTACATTTCCTTTCAGCCCTTGGGCGTCGGAAGCAGGCTGATGACTGATCTCTTCTTCTTTCCTTTCGCTACCAGCATCCTTGGTGTCTTTGGTTTTCCCTTTCCACGGTGTGACACAGGGCAGCTCGGTTTGATCCCACGCCGGGGCTCGAACACGGAAGACATTAGGTTTGGCTTCTGCGCTGGACGAGGTCGAAGATACGGATGCGCTCGAGGGAGTATATTCACTGGACGACCGACTGTAGTCTGATGGTGTTCTTGGAGGAAGCGCGGGTGGAACTGGAGACGACGCTGCTTGGCTCTTGTTCCTTGGTGGCAAGGGAGGGCCTGCTGCGACTGCCCTGCTTCCCTTGGACGGAGGAGGTGGAGGAGGCCTTTTCTGCCCAGTTCTGGTGACGACGGGAGGAGGGAGAACCTCCTTGCCTCGAATCATTTGCCCGAAACCCCTCCTCGATGGTGAGGAGTTACTGGTTTTCGTTGTGCGAACAGTGGGTGATGTGAGGCCAGAGTCAAACGAGTCATCGCAAGGTCGTTATATATATATATATATATATATATATATGGAGTGGACGGAGTTATCCCCTGTTCGAGTTGGACGGGACCAGTTTTGGGGGTATATTACAAGATGCCAGCGTCAAGTAATAATAAGTTGCTTAGCCCCACGTCATGTAAAGCCCACTTGCTGCGCCCAGCCCCAGATGCTCTGCCTCTGGCTGTTCGTGTTGGACGGCTTCGTGCATCTCGCTACCCTGAGATCCGTCCTCGTCCTTGTCTTTGCTTTTATTAGCTGATTGCGCACTGGAGTCGGGTTGGTTTGTTTCACATGTTATGTTACTTTTAGGCTCCATGCTCTTGCTAAAAAATATTAACCTTAAGTTAAGTAAGCAACAGGGGGCTGTTGTTGGAACTAGAAGTTTCTATTGGCCAGATAGAATCTTGATTTTATGATTGGCCAATAATAAGTGATTAAAGTCTTAATAAGCTTATATGGGAGCGGGAAGGCTTCTGCCTATTGGTCAATTTACTGGCGCGGCTCTGCTTCCCCAAAACGGAAGGCCTTGACGGTGTGCGAAGCAGAAAAAGAGGGCGAAGAAAGGAAGATATATGGATATATCAGTTAAAAGACTAGCTAAAACAGCTATAGCTAACCGGGATTGACGGCCGGAGTAGTTAATAGCCCAAGAGATAATACACCATCAAGAAAAGAACGACGTCACCAGACAGTGGTCTTGGATATTAAAACTGTTCAGACACCCCCAACACACGACGGAGAAACCACCAGCTCCGCCAACTCCCGCTCCCTCTCTCTCAGAGACTATTCGAAACGGCCATCTTCTCTTCAGCGTGGGACCATTGTAGCAAGACTCGTTTCGTCGATCGTAGTTGCTAGTCCGTTACATCATGGAGACATATATAGTCATCACTTTCATCAACACCTTGTCCTCGGATTAGACAGATTGGTACAGCAACAAAGGTTCACCAATATTCTCAATCTCAGGGATTGTGCATTTAAGGTCAAATGCTTTGCTGAGGACGATTTTAAATATCTTACAGAGCACAGTTAGCAGAGGACCTTATAATAAATTGAATAGCGCAAGAACCCACCTTTTGTACGTTGATACTGTGGCTGGTGCTACTAAATATTAAACTTGCCCTCATCGCCTTGGCAAACCGTTTGGCCTGTCAGGACTAATCAGCCTTCATTCTACATTTTGTAACCAAAAATTTCAAAAAGGTTAAAGGGTCTTACTTGTATTGATATTTCCTCCTGGTCTTCGCGGGGGAAATTGACAAAATGATCATATTTAGTTCCAACGAGGAAAGGTATGGCAGTCTTGTTGAATCCTCTCCCTTGTCGATACCACTCTTTGATAGAATTAAGTGTACTTTTCCGGGTGAGGTCGAACATGAACAAAATAGCCACTGCGTCGTTGCAGACAAGGGGTAACATGTTGACAAATTCTCGCTGTCCACCTAGATCCCAGATTGAAAAGGTGATTTCTGTGTTCCGGATTGAAATAGTCTTTTCCATAAAATTGACCCCTGGTTCCGTAGTGTTAGTGATCAGTGCTTCACGAGATTTGTCTCCTGCGGGGATGCCAACCTAAAGTCTGGATATAGTCCTCGTCCCAGCTACCCTCGACATACTTGACCATCAAGCTCGTCTTGCCAATCTGAGCGTCACCAACCATTCCAACTTTAATCACAACACTATTCTTGCTTGGTGCTGCCGATTGTTGCTGCTGCTGTTGTGTTTGCTGTTGATGCTGCTGCTGCTGTTGTTGCTGTTGCTGCCTTGGGTTTTGGTCGTGGTATTGCTGAGAGTATCCATATCTATCTCCGGAGTTCGACACCCCCGATCCTGGACGAGAGGCAGGCTGTGAGGGAAGTTGGTATTGTTGATAAGACATGGTGGGGGAGTTATGCCTTGACGCAGGTGAGAGATCGCTCTCATGTGTATGAAGCGCTGGTGCAGTTGACTGAACGTATTCGGGGGAGAACGACGAGTGGTGACTTTGCTGTCCGTTGCTATAGCCGTTATTGTACGTCTGTGAATAATTCGAGGGCGTCTCATCAATACGGGCGGGAATTTCTTGCTCCGGTGTTTGTGGAACCAAGTTCTCAGGGACTGGTGCGGGCTCAGGCTCTGGCGCGTGTTCTACAGTAGACGCAGGATCCTGTGCAGATATAGGTGTTGGCGCTGCTACAGGTTCAGATTCAGCCGGGGGAGGCGGTTGGTCAGTATCTGCTGCTGCTACTGCTGCTGCTGTTGTTGATGTTGTTGTTGTCTCCGTGGGTTGTGTCACAGTGGGATCGTCTTCCACCTGGAGCTTGTCAACCTCTTTCGTCAACGTATCCATCTCCACGCCTGGGCTCAAAAGCAGCCCTCACAGTGTATCAAGAGATGGTATCACAAGAATTGTCAGGCTGGGAGGACGGGCATAAATAGACCCAAGGTCTCTCGCGTGATGAAAGGCTCGTCCGTTCTCGACAAGTACGTCCGTTTCTACTTGGTTTCGGCGTTGAATGAAAGGACTGCGCATGCAGGAAGTACGAGGGGAAGCCCCTGGGTGCGAAAGGAATGCCACTCCGGCGTATAGAAAGCCTACCGGGCGTCTTCTTCTTAGTTCTCCTTAGCCAGGGGAGCTTAAGGGAGAGCTCAAGGTTTAGGCGCGTAGACTCGAGGCAGCCGCGGTAGTGTCGGTCAAGGGGCTATCAAGCGACTGAAGGCCGGGTCTCAGGTCGAAACGAGGTAACCTGGCTCCCGAATAAAGAAAAAAGAGAAATACTGCTGCAACTCGCCGTTTAGCTGTCTAACTGCGGTTCTTCGTGAACGTTTCCCGTCTATCAAAAAGGCGAAGTTCATCCAAAAGCGAGAACCAACAGACGCAAGCTGGGATTGGCCCAAAAGAAGACTAGCGCGGGCCCGCATTTGCACCCAAACATGTGGGAATTCGAAAAGAAAAAAAAAAAATAATAAAGATTTTTTTTTTTATCGATAACACAAGACGAAGCAGTGATTTTCTTCCACCCCTCGACTGCAGCATTGCACCCTGGAATCGTGTTGCTTCCCTTGAATTGAGCAAACGATAGACACAATCCACCATGCCGAAGCGTTCAGTAGAGGCGGATGAGCCTCAAGGGGCCCTGAAAGCTGGCGACCGGCCGATGGAAGATGCCCCGCCGGACGAGATGGGAGAGTTTGAAGATGAATTTGAAGACGAGTTCGAGAGCGAAGATGAGGTCCTAGAAGCTGGAGTTGATGGCCGACCAGATGCAGAGCGTGAAGCTGAAGAGCAAAGGGGTATGTGGTTGCCCTAGAAGCCTGGGTTCTGCGGTGTGCATACCAATCTGTTTCTTTGATTCCCCTTCCCCCTCCTCGGGCCTCTGTCTCTCCTCTGTTGCGTCTAGAATGGTGTAATGACTAACGGATCGTTTCTTCATCTACAGATGCAATGGAAGTGGACAAACAGACATTCATCCCAGGCAGAACGAAGCTGGCTCCTGGGGAGACTCTATCACCCGACCCCTCAACTTACGATATGCTTCATACTCTCAGCACACCCTGGCCGTGTCTATCATTCGACATTGTTAGAGATAGCTTGGGTGATAATCGAAAATTATACCCTGCAACCGTGTATGCAGTTGCTGGTACACAAGCAGACTCTAGAAGGGCGAAGGAAAACGAGCTTATGGTACTTAAATTAAGCGGGCTAAGCAGAATGGAACGCGAACGTAACGAGGATTCGGACGACGAATCAGACTCGGACGATGATTCCTCTTCAGATCCTATACTCGAGTCAAAGTCGATCCCTCTCAATTCCACAACTAACCGGATTCGGTCACATCAGACACCACATGCCTCCGGAGACCCCACAAAGCCTCCTCAGACCCTTGCAGCATGCATGTTAGAGAATACACAGATTGTTATCCATGATGTGTCGCAGCATCTAGCCAGTTTTGACAATCCAGGCTTGATAATTCCTCCATCGGCGGCCAAACCACTGTCCACGCTACGAATGCATAAATCAGAAGGATATGCACTCGACTGGTCTCCTCTTTACCCCCTAGGGAAGCTGCTTACAGGTGACAATGATGGCCTAATATACGTCACAACTCGGTCTGAGGGTGGTGGGTGGGTTACCGATTCCCGGCCATTTGTCGGACATTCGTCATCCGTCGAAGAAATTCAATGGTCACCCAACGAGAAGAATGTGTTTGCATCTGCCAGCAGCGATGGAACAGTGAAAGTGTGGGATGTCCGGTCTAAATCTCGAAAGCCAGCAGTTGACGTGAAGATCTCAAATACAGACATTAATGTGATGAGTTGGTCTAAGCAGACTTTCCACCTCCTCGCTACGGGTGCCGATGATGGCCAGTGGGGTGTTTGGGATTTGAGGCAGTGGAAACCTGAACCTTCGAATACCGGTTCTTCTCAGATTAAGGCAGAGGCGGTTGCTTCATTCGATTTCCATACAGAGCCAATTACCAGTATTGAATGGCATCCAACGGACGACAGCGTTGTTGCTGTGAGCTCCGCGGACAACACCCTTACACTCTGGGATCTTGCAGTAGAGCTGGATGATGAGGAGTCTCGAGAAGAAGCCGGTTTAGCTGATGTTCCATCTCAACTACTGTTCGTACATTATATGGAGATGGTGAAGGAGTTACATTGGCAGGAGCAGATGCCGGGTACAATTATGGCTACTGGAGGTAATGGTTTTGGGTAAGTTGTTTATTTCCTTCCATAGCTTCGTTTGCACTAATCAACTAACTTTCTATACAGTGTCTTTAAAACTATCAGCGTTTAAGATCCATGGTGTACTATCCATAGCGAGCAAAAAAAGAGAGCACTGTTCTAGTCTTTGTATTAACTAGTCCAGGCTAATGATTCATGAAGGAGAATAAAAAAAAGCTAGAAGAACTGTATTAAATAAAAGGGCATGTCCAATATGATTATATGCCCAGAAGTTATTTTTCCCACCTAGAGGATTTACTTACAGTCTTTATAGTTGATACCCTCGAAACCTTTTCCAGCAATAATATTTCACTGTCTATCTACTTTTTGTTGAGAGTCATAGTGATAAAAGGCCAAGTTCCTTCCATATAAACTCAAAATAAGGTTGATGGTGAGTGAGCCTTTACTGTTTGACTGACAAGTCTATCAGTCGCTACCATGGATATATACACAATAAACTTCTAGCAAATGGCAGTGACAGCCAAACAATCAAAACATAACTAGATGGGATGCAGTGACGTTATACCGAGAGACTATCACACATAGCGTTAATTCCTTGTTATATTTTGTCACTTGAGGCCACTATGGACTATGCTTTATCAAGATCAACTCGCCTTACGCTATCTGCTATCTACTTACGTTCTTCTTCATCGGCGATAAACGGGTAGGACTCTCTAATCCTTCAGGTACTGGCTATTCGACCCCTTCCAGGAGCCCTTGAGGAAAACAAAAATAAGTTGCTCAGGGATATCATAACCACCAAACAGCATCCTACCAATCTACCGCCGAATCCCTCAAACCATGCGTGATCCAAACCAGATTGCTTCAAAAGAGCAAGTCAAGGAGCTAGGCGCCAAAGATCAAAAGAACAGCGTCTCCGAAAATTCTATCCAAACGAACAATGAAAACCCATCATCAAATCTATCAGTTGATATATGCGTTGAGGCAATGGGGAGAATCAGCATGGAAACACCGCCGACTTCGCATCAAATCTCAGACGCAGCTTCTACTCAAAATCATGGTATCACCAATATCCCGCCAGAAGAGCTACCAAGCCACCCGCCATGTCAAGCTCGACTGCCATTTCGTCGCTATGTTTCAGCACCTGCAGTTCTTCGGAATAGAATACAGGTGACACAGCATCAAGTGGAGGTGTCGAGGTCGTCGTTCACACTTGCGGATATTCTCTCGAAGGCAAACTGTCGAGCACAAAAACCATTTCTGGTGAGAAAAGTACGGGCTCGGGCAGCACTGTCTATGAGGCCAATTCCTCCTGTTGTTCGTACCGGGTGGGAGACTGTTGATAAAAGCGTCAGTTTAGCCGAGATTCCTGAGATACTCGCCCAAGACAAAACCGAAGGGGTGGAGGAGATGCTGCACCTTCGAGGAGGATGCGGCAGCTGGATGGGAAAGAAGGGCAATATGCGTCGATTGGAGGATGATGAAGAGCTCCCGCCAATGATATGGTGGTTATCCGGGGGTAAACCTGGCCATTCCCTTCCTACAAGCTCTAAGCTTAGATGGTGGAAAGCAAAGAGCAAAGGACAATGGCGGACAGGACAAAGTAGGGGATACCTTCAAGAACTCGCTTTTGTACTGTCAGATGGGAGGCTCTGCAGAAATGAGCCTGGGCAAAGGGAGAGCGAAAAGCATATGGAGCAGGGAAAGAAGTAACGAACTGGAGCCAACCGACAATGTAGCTGTGGAAACAATAGCACCAGCGGAAGAATGACTTAGTTTTTGGAGTGCAAGATACCTATACAGTATTTGGACCTCGAGAAGAATGTAATTACCATGTTTAACTTATTCCTCAACTGAGAGCGTTTAGTTACCTGCTTAATCAAAGGGTCGCCATGCTGGATCGGCTAGCTGACTATCTTGACGGGCCTAATAGCTAGTTCATTTCCATTTGTAAACCCCAGTAATTAGATAAATAATGCTATTCCGATTTCTGGCCTCTGTTCTAAGTCTCCAGAAAATACGCTGGCGAGAATCTAAAGGTGTATTACATGACCGGGCCTACAGAAGCGTTTGTAAAACTTCTGTTCTGGCTAATCAAATTATAATTTCCTCTAGATCAATAGTCTTAGTATTAATGCATTATCGGCTTCTGGGGGTTGCTCCATATTTCCAACCTAGGCGGAGAAAGCTAGAAGGGCGTAAGTAAAAGTCAAGAGATATTAAGCAGGGGTGGATCTGATCATCAGTATGCGAGTTTCGAGCAACGTAGAGTGCCAAGGGTAAATCTGAAGCTACAGTTTTCCATAGGAGATTTGCAAGTATCTTTGGGGCCTCTTCTTGCCTACGCTCTCTCAAAAATAGACGTGTATCCTTCAAGTCTGTGTAGCATTTTATTTATGCACAAAATCAAGACTAAGGTTGTAGAACAACGTAGTCAAATGCGAGGGTTATTGTATCCAGGCCCCTTAACTAGCGTAATATAACTAATAACATTTGGCCTTGAGGGCGGAGTCTGATATTTAAGCCACATGCACGAAGGTAAGCCTGCTAGCAAAGGCCTAAAATTCTTGATTCAATACTTCGCGAAGCCTGTACTTTCTATCTTCTACTTAAAATTTGTCTATATAGGGCTGACAATCTTCCCCAAGCCTAACGATATTGGTGATATCAGTCATAATCATCAGATCATGTGCGCAGCTTCGGTTGGGTAAACTTTTGAAGGGTGGAAAGACACTCTGTGCATGATTGGCAGAACATATGCATCAAAAATGTCAGTCTCTGCCTATCCCTGTCCAGCTGTCATGCACGACATGCAGGAGGACATCGACAATCAATTCCAATTCGTTGATGAAATTTGGGAAGATGAGTTTTTGTTTGTTCAAGGATTGAAAGTTGGGGGTTCGTTGCGGAGGACGACCGATTCAGACTTCACGGTACTCTCCAGGTCGAACGTTACTTGCTGTTCTACAGAGTACATAGTCACCGCGTGCTGATACGAGGACCTTGAGTGCTCTGTACATTTATCTAAAGGCCTCGAGGTGACACAATGCCAAAAGATAAGCCTGTAATCCAGAGGACTGGAAATAGAACGGGATCCAATGCGGGTGATATTCACACGTATTTTCATGTTACTTTTCCCTGACGGCCGAGTTTCTGACATGCATTCCATATATTTTGTCTTTCGTCTGTACGCTCAACGAGCCACTGAGATGATGAGGTGGCGCCGACCTCTCGTATTGGTGGCCTCTCTGGCTGCATATCTAGTTATCCCAACAAGCTGGGCTGCTTCTTCCGTAGTAATATTAAGGCCTCCTTTATGCGTCTGGATGACCAGGGACAACAACCGCCCAAGATAGGCCCTTCTTGTTGGCAGAGAGTTATCGAGAAGCTGGGTTCAAACGGCTTACCATGAACCTTCCTAACCCTGCTGGCCTGGGCAGACGATTTTCCCTGCATCTTGATAGGCAGGACCATGCTTCCTGCGTGAACTATAAAGTCTGCCTGGTTTACAATGGTGAACCGCGGACTGTCCCTGATGATCTCCGTTTGGACGCCTCCTGTATGAGAGGACTGCATGCGCTGACTTGTACCGAATAGAAAGAGTACAGCTCTGAAGAATATCGAAAAAGAAAGCAAGAGTGATACTCAGCAGGAAGAGAGAAACAAAAAGTTCGACTGTCGAAGACGCTTTGGCCGAGGTCGCAGATGACGTAATTCCGTCCTTGCTTAGCTCCATACACGCCGCTAGTCCGCTTTGGGATGCCAACACATGACCAGTCTCATTCCTAAAGCAGACTAGCTTCCCGCTTACCAATGCCGCCGCTAGTCCATAATGGGCTAGGGTTGAAGTTTGCTGTAACGTCACGGCAATGTATCATGACACTGCACGATCGGTAATACGGTGAAATACCGGGAAACGTCGAGGTTCAGATTCAACATTGTTCCTTTTTATTTATTTATTTTTTTTATTTTTATTTTTATTTTTTTTTTATTTTTTGTTGAATCGTCAACTATCCAATATCAAAGATCAGCGGTGTCAATGCTCGAGAGCTTGGTGATGCCACTGTTGGAGCAGATGGTTTGAATGCCCAGGCCTTGGCTAGTCGAAAGCCGAGGTTGCACTGTGAGAGCTTCTTGTCCGTGGAGGAGAGATATGGCTTTGACGACGCATGTTGAAGTACAGCTGTTGGGAATTGTGGCCACGGCAGTTTAATGAGGCGTACTGATAGCTACTCCGCAGGAGCATAGGCCGCTTGGGTGCACTATAGCTATAGCTCTGCACTGGCTCCAAACATGGTGATAGGTTGTTCCGCTGAATGATGATTACTCGGAAATCCGATCGCAGTACTCACTATACCGTGATCAGTATAACTTGGCAGCATATCGAGCTAGTCAAGCCCGAACCAAAGGAGGTCCCCAGAATTGTATCCATAGGGAAAAGGCTGGACGTCGAGTCCTTGGTCACCTTCACTTTCTTGCTACATCAGCCGTCTCCAATTCCTCTTTCCTGATCCTGAGATTAAGAACCCGTCTGGCCAAGAGAGTTTCACGGCTCCTCAGCTTCTGGATGCTGTATCATCTCATCGTGATGGAAGACAGAGATTGATACCCAAGTGCATTTGGTTGTCTGCAGACAGTTTGAAGGATCCACTGCGCCCCCAGACTCCACGCGATGGCAGCTCATGTTGAATTTGTGGGGAAGAAGCCGTCAGGGGCCATCTTAAGACTTCGGGAAAGGCTCGTGTTGGCCGCACTGCCATCAAAATCCGGAGTTCAGGGGAAACGACTGGATGGTTGCGTGTGCCGAGGTTTTCTGTGCTCGTCTATTCCAGTTCTGTGGGCCTGCGAACACGAAGTAAGTACTTCATATAAATAACTAGCCCAAATTTCAGAACTCAGACATTACCTGCCCGTTCTCCGTTTTAAAATATTCCCTCTCCGTGTATTTGTTTGTATTTCCTGCACATGGTAGCCGCTGATTGTTCTCTGTTGTCCAACTCGTTGTGCATGTATCTTAAGGTGGTGGACAAGAGAAGAAAATCATTAACTATACAAGCAAAATGTCGAGACAGCGGATGTAACTTCCCAGGATGTACCGGATAAATGGGGTTGGGTTGATCCGATTTCTTTGATACTCGGACAAGAAGGTGGGCAATTGGAAACGGCTGAAGACCAGGACGTGATCTTCTCTTCCATCAAGAGATCCGACATCAAGACTGCATGAACATGAACTGTCTGTGGAACGGAACACGACTTCCATGCCGCTTCCGCCCAGATGGAAACCCTGATGCCTTGTGGCTAGCAACTCCAGCGAAGAGACCGAAGTCTAGGTCCATGGACGCAACGCAGCGCGGTCTGGAATGGTTAAGCTGGTTGTATCTCTCTTTCTTATCATCGGAGCAAGCGGCGATCTACACCACTATGTCCAACAATGAAATATCTCTCTACACGGGCTTGCAGCGGGCCACCAGACTTCTCTTTGGTTCCTCGCAGGATCGCCTCGGAGCCCCGAAGGCTGAACTTGCATGCTGCAACTTCGACATGAGTTAGGAATATGCAAGCCAGGACGCTCGATCCCCCTCGGCTTTAGCGGATGGATCAACAGAGCCCGTCTTGCATCACTACTCCTGCTGAATATCCCTCCGTCTGCCGCCTGCACATATTTTCTTCTCTCGACAGAATTCTATGGCAACCTCTCGCTCCCATGGCATGCATTGTGGCTGTGACCTTGTCGTCGAGAGCGGAGTCATTATTACCGCCCGTTACACCTGCAGCACTCCGTACCCTGATCTGTATTGTGTGTACAGAGTACTGCGACAGCTCGATGTGCTACATATAAATATCTGTAGTATGGTAGAGTAGAGTCTCGACAACAGTAACCCGTAGGCATGTAGCCGTACGACTACCTTGCCCTCCATCGTCTGCTTCTCTCTCTCTCTCTCTCTCTCTTTATAGACTGTAGATTCTCTCCATCCGCCTCCTGGTACCCCGGCAGGGGAAGCTTCCAGGAACAATTTGCTTATATAAGTAAAGTAAACCCAACTCATGTATTGATGTAATGTGACCGTGTGTAAAAGTACACAGTCAATACACGCTGTTCCGCATTGAGTAACTTGGACGACATCGCCTTGACGACATCGTTCGAAATCGCTGAGCAACACACTCGGTCATGGTGACTTGATATATCCTCCATAATAGCAGTTAACGGTCACAGTGGGATGCCCGGGTGTCATGGATCTCATGGATTGACAACAGCAGCTTGGTTTGGGCGCGTAATCTAACGGACCAGGCTAAGGAAATACTAGTACGAGCAACCCCAGTCTCGGTGTGGAACGACGCTAACATGATACAGGGGAACCGCTGGAGAAAGTATACCGTCGTTCCATGTAAGACGATGCGAGCGCCGCCACCAATAATAATATACTTAAGCCTCAAGGCCGAATACCAGCACAGCCAGAACGAAGGACAAGGTCTGCAGCAGAGCAGAGTGGCAGAGTTGTAGCAGCAGCATCATCTGAGTGTCAGCAAAGAGCAGCAGCAGACACGGAAGCAAAAGAGAAGAAATAGCGCGAACAACAGGACGACAACTGGACGCTGATCTAGCATTGTTGGACGGTCTGCTTTCGACCTCAGCCGAAGGCCATATCGCAATTACACTCACTGCTACTCGCTTTCCCCCCTCTCCCTTTCTTCTGCTTTACGCTGACATCTCATACATTTCATCTCCTGCGTTGGCGTCGCTGAAACACAACACGCTGTGTGCAGTATCTATCTCACCTCTCGCGGGCAATTGAAACGATTCATACCAGACGTTGGCAGTCCTCCTGCTTACTGCTCTTGCCGCCCAAGTCTTCTCGCAAGGGTTCATTTTCGACCCTTCCTCTCGTCCACCAGACATAGGTCAAACAAACCTTTAGCACATACGACCATCTCTCGCACACCGCACAATCTCCCCGCCAGCGAATGAACGTCCTTTCAACGCATGCGATCCATTCATAGCTTGTATCCGCCGCAGCGACTCTGCTAGCCATCCTTACCGCTGTTTTTACAAGACATAGTACTTCGATATCAATTCCCCCCTAGCCTCCGGTATCAGCCTCCCTGGTCTTGTACATCGAAGCTGAGCAACTACATCGCCCACCATATGACGCATAACAACAGTCCTTGATTAGCTTCCGCTGGATTAATCGGACGACGTGCTCTCCCCTTTCCTTGAGATACTAGGCGGGGGTCTAGGGGAACAGTTTCCGGCCTGGTGTGGCTATACCTAGTCGTTGTTTGAGACCTTCAGGCTCTTCGGCATTTTACTGGCTGCTATCTTTACTTGTGTGAGTTGCGTCTTGTCTCTAACCACAACGGCCCCAATTCCACGTATGTGCAATCTTACTCACCTTTGTCTTGGTGGATCTGTGTTTTCGGATATCTTTGCGGCGCCCATTCTATTCTTCATGTTTCTGTTGCTATCACTTACATTTGCGCCAATGCCCGAGGTTAATATGGCTGACTTCTTCACTTTCATCTTATGTGATGTTACAGACATCCTTGTGTGACCCGTCAAAGTCCCTGTTCCGGTTAACTACACGTCAATAGCCTTTCCTACATGTCAACTGTCCCGTATCTACCGTCAACTCGGTATTTCATCCAACTCCCCTATATTAACCCAGCATTCCTAACCTAAGCCACCTCTTTGCCTTCGCGCATTCCAATATTATTGACGAGAACGATTAAGATCAAGATTGAATTTCTCACGATATCCAAATTTACCATGATGGCCGATCATATTACTCTCAATAACGAGCCAAGTCAGGACCTGACGGCGATTAATGAAGTTATGCAGAATGGTCCTGGTAAGGGTTACATTGCGGCATCCCATCGTTTGTTGCTTTTGCCCGAACGGTGCTTATCATGATTGCAGTATCCCGTCCAGCCGATCAGATCTCTGTTCATAAGAATCAACAGAAAGCGCCCAACCCAGATGTGCCTCCTCCGAAAACAGATAAACCTCGTCCGCATGTATGTGTGACCTGTACGAGGTCATTTGCGCGTCTGGAGCATTTGAAGCGTCATGAACGATCTCACACAAAGGAGAAGCCCTTTGAATGTCCGGATTGCACGAGATGCTTTGCTCGAAGAGATCTACTGTTGAGGCATCAGCAAAAACTTCATATGGCTACCACGCCAGCATCGCGCCCAAGAAATGTTAGAAGGGAAAGTATGAGCAGCTCAACGCGAGTGCGGAAAAACTCAATAGTTGGGGGCTCCAATACCATGAGGCCTAGGGCCAACACTATCAGTCACGTCGAAGGAGCAGCTGTGGGAATGTTTGCGTCTACAAATGCTGCCTCCAGACCTGCCCAACCAGGCCATACCCATCATCCCAGTCTTGCAGGCCTCCCAAATCTTCCGAATTTTGACTATCGCTCCAGTAGTAGCTCTTTGAATGGGCTATCAAAACTGGATACCGCAGCTCTCACTAATGAATATCCCGATGCTCTTCGCACTGCACCAGTTTACGGGAGCTTCGATGTCCCCTTTGGTATGGGTGACGCAATGATGGGCCAGGGAAGTACAATTAACCCTGCACAGCTGCATTTTGCAGGCTCACCGCATGGCTTTGCCGATTCCCCTGCATCCCCCTTCTCACATAATTTTTCAAATATGACGGCTACACAGAGTACACTTGAAGATGACCTTAAATTCGAATGGCTGAATGGTCTCGATAACGCCGTGGCATTCGCACCCAACGACTCCGCAATTGATGGCTCATCGCCATCTGCCATGAGTACAGGAAGTCAAAGTGGGCTCAGTGAAGCAATCCTCGATGCCGCCAACCAAGCTGCCACAACATCCGCTGGTAGCACAACCTGGCCCGCCACACTACAATCCCAAGCTCAAAGCCAATCACAACAATACGCTTTGGACTTCGCCAGTCTTACATTTCCTGAGTTTGCTGCACCTCCCGATACTGTGTCCCCTAAGTCTCTTCTCTCACATGGACATGCTTCTAATAATTCTTTCTCGACATCTACTTCTCTGGCGTCAATGAATGGACCCGTGCTTTCGGGAGCCCCTACCAGTACGTTCCATATTTCATCCGTGGGTGGAACAAATGGCCTTCAGTCCTTTGGATCTGGCTATAAACAAACTTCTCAACCAGCCTACTTGAGTTCTATCACTGATTCAACGCGACAGGCTTTGATGGGGACTTTACAGCAGCCTTCGGGTTTCAATAACCGCCGATTCTCGCAACACTCCCTTAGTGCCTCGCCTATGAGCCCTTCAAGCCCCGGGAACATGTTAGGAAACTCCCAACATGCCTGCAATCTACCTAGTACATACGATCTTCAGCGATATGTCTCTGCTTATGTTACATATTTTCATCCACATTTACCGTTCCTCCACATTCCAACCTTGGATTTCACTGCTCTTGAATATTCAGGGAAACCTATATCTTCGGGCACTGCTGGCAATATTGCACTCGGGGGTGGATGTCTTATCCTCTCCATGGCCGCGATTGGTGCCCTCTATGAGTATGATTCAGCCACATCAAAGGAGCTTTTCGAGTCCGCCAAGAAGATGATTCAGCTCTATCTTGAGGAAAGACGGAGAGCTGATATGTCCGCTGCTATCAACCGCTCCAACTACAACCGTGATAATTCGCTTCATAATACTCCACTTTGGCTTGTGCAAGCGATGTTACTTAATGTTATTTACGGTCATAACTGCGATGACAAAACAGCAGTTGATATTGCTAGCACTCATTGCGCGGCCCTTATTAGCCTAGCCCGAGCTGCTGAATTAACCCAGTACCATCCGCCCGAGTCTCTGCCTGCTGACCAACTTGGGTACAATTCTTCCTCTAGCGATTTGTTAGACCCCAATATGGAGACATGGATGAGACAACACACAGAGATCTCCAATGAAAGGAAAGAATGGCTAAAGTGGAAAGTCGTTGAGGAAAGAAAGAGAACGCTTTATGCCATATTTACTCTTTCCAGCTTGTTGGTTTCTACATACAACCACTCTCCTGCTCTTACGAATTCCGAAATCCATCTTACTTTGCCTTGTGAAGAACAACTTTGGGCAGCCGGATCTCCCGAGGCTTGGAAGGCCATGGGAGGTGCTGAGAACACATTTATTGAATTCTCCACGGCCCTTAAGTCTCTTCTTGCTGCGGGCCAGACTCCATCCCAAAACCAATACGGGTCAACCATCCAAGCAGACGGATCTCTCTCTGGTGAATTGCGGCCAAGTACCTTCGGATGCCTGATATTAATCCATGCTTTGCATAACTATGTTTGGGAAACACGACAGCTACATTTGGGTAAACAATGGTCAAATCAAGAGACCGAAGCAATGCATGTACACATCGAACCCGCAATCAGAGCCTGGCAACGAGCCTGGAGTAGTAACCCTACGCACAGTCTAGAACGACCAAACCCATTTGGCGCCGGCCCGTTATCTGCGGACAGCATACCACTATTGGATCTGGCTTATGTTCGATTATACGTAAACCTTGGCCGGTCGAAGGAAGCCTTTTGGCAACGAGATTGGAGCAATATGGCGGATGAACTTACCAAAGCGGTCCAATCCGTATCGCTTTCTAACAGTAACCCCGAGTCAGAATTCTCACTCTCAACCAATGATGACGCGATCTCAGCTCAAATGTTAGAATCCCTTGCAGATTACGGAGTTGCAGACCTCACAATATCAGGCTCTTCAAATGATGATCTCTCCTTACTTGCCACTGGCGGACAAAACAACATGCAAGCATCCAGAAGTGAGCGCCTTCTTCGCAAAGCTGCCTTCTATGCCGCCGATTCTATTTCGATGTCGAATGAATGGGGAAATACCTTTGCTGAGTTCACTTCCCGTGATCTACCAATCCAAAACGCCATATGTTTATTCGATTCAGCACAAGTATTAGCGGAATGGGCTACCGCAGTTCAAGAGCGTATTGGACCATTCCTTGGAATTCTAGGCCAAGACCATGTTGATTTCAATGAAGTTCCAGCGACAGTGTTACTAGAGGAGGAGGATCGCAATCTAATGCGGAAGATCCAGGATATCTTGAACAATGTCGAGAATAAAATGAAGAATATGATGTCTCATCTTGGCACAATAGGATCAGAATCATGGAATCATCTGCCTAGTCTGGTTGATGGCGGTTATGGAACGAAAATTGTTCTCTCGGCTGCCTTTTTGCTAAACAAGGCCGGTGTCTGGCCAGGTAAGCGGACTTTTATAACCTTGCTTATAATTACAGGAGCCTGCTAACACAATATCCATCCCTAGTTATTAAACTGATGTCGAATGCACTAGAAGCTCAAGGGCAGAATATGAAATTGAGAGCTCGGAATTCCTGTTCGGGATAGGCATTGGAATTCGCATCTTCCATAGCATGTCTTGCAAGATGATACCAGTTGGTCGTTTCACTTTCAAATATTAACCGCATTGGCCTCAATACCTCAATTTCGTCTGGCACACATCAGGGGCGAAATTTTTAGTGGTGACCCTATACACAATTCACATCACCAGTGAGTGAATCCAATGGATATCATGAAGGCCTCTGAAGATTCACAAACGTTTTCACGGCTTCGATGGTATATCACAGACAGCGTCTACCTGAAACAGAAAATGCTCAGCGCAATGGATACTCTTCAACAACAACAGAAAAGAAAAGACAAAAGACAAAATGATAAAGAAACAGTTCGGTTCAGTCATTTCCTCTCCTTCGTTTGTTCTCCGATGATGTATAGACCCCTTCAACCCAATTGCTATTGATTGATCAGCTTTCACTTGAGTTTACCTACTGAAACTATACGATGACTGGCTGTGAGTTTGTTTTCAAAATACGTCTGACGTGCCGTTCACGATTTATGTTCAGAAATTTCTCGGTGTTCACTTGTTTCAGAGACTATACCTTTATGATCGCCTCTTCCATGTTACGGCTGACCTCTCGAGAATATGGGCTGGCGTTTGGTTCGGTTGCATTCGTTGCTTTGCTGGAGTTGAATGCGTGCTCAGTAACCATTTGATCAGTTTGTTTGATATATTACCTTGTTATTGGCATGAGATTCTTTGCTGAGTGAAACCTATATATTTTTTAATGCGTGTCTGGCATCTTTACGTTTACTTAAAATCCAGTTTGATTTCGTATATTCATGTCGCTTTCCGTGCTTTGCCATGTTCGAGAGATTCAACCTTTCATTATCATTACTGACTATGTACATTGTTCCATGTATATGATTCCTGGTCACCTTTCTGAATTATCAATTTACTACTCCTGAGAATAATTTTGTTCGCCGAGTTTGGCCAGGCAAGAAGGCAACGACGGATTGGAATAAACGAGTGGGTAAAGTTCTTCTCCAACGGTCTTCATGCCTCAATATTTCTGTCCTTAAGTTGACTGTTCATTTTCTACCAAAACTTCTGCTTCTCACCCCCCTGATGAGATGAAAGTGGCTGGCTACTGGGGTGTTAATGTGGCAATTTGATAAAACAACGTTGATTTTCTACTATATGTAGTCGTGGATTGACCAATCTGTCTAGAAACGCTAAATAACAATCCTCTCAAAAGAGTATTTGCCAACAGCCTTGTGCTTATTGTGAGCAATCTCTCTCCCACTTCTGGATCGGATTTCGCCGGTGGATTTATATACTTTCTTTTTGGACAGTTCATCGTTGTTAACCCCGGACTGAGGGCCACTTATTTTGAGAGAGAGTGGCAACATCTTCGAATCACTTCCTTCCAAAGCAGCCGAATCCTCAGGGACGTCATAAACTAGGATACGAGCTCCGTGATGATACTCTTTTCGCTTGAGTTTTGCACTATGCGTCTTCGATGGTGTGCCATTACCAATGGCACGCTGAGATTTGGATGCGGCAGCCGAGTGCTGGACAGAAGTTTCACAGCACCGTATAAATTCTCGTAGTATCCCTTTCAAATAGGTAGCTTCGTCAATAGCAGTAAGAGTGGCTGCAACTTCACTCTTCATATCTGCAATAAGGGATGCTTCGCTTCCTGCAGCGCCCGCAAATCCAGCTGCTGATATCCATCCACTTGGCCCAACAGCGTCAATACAGGCAGTAAGCAGATCAACGATTACGGAGAGAGACAAAGACGGAAATTTGGAATTAGCAAAGGCTGCCGGGGGTACTTCCGTGAAGCGGGAAGTATGGCCGCCGGTGGCAAGGGAATAACGGAGGTGATGGATGATTGAAAGAACATCGGTATTCGACAGCGTAGCTCGGATAGATTTGGTAACATAGCTCAACGAATGCGAATGCAATTTGTTGAGGGCCAAATTCAAGCCTGTGATTGCATTCACAAGAATTAGGCTTGGAGTTGGTACTTCTTTGTTATCTGTTGTGCTGGTTGCGTTGTCTGGGGACTCGACATGGGCAGCCTCCGCAACCGACTTTTGAGAAGACTCAGAGACATTTGACTGTTGACGAGCAACATTGAGCAGTTCACAAAGGGCATGTGCCAGTTCCGTGGCCTCTAGGTACCCAGGTCCCCCCAGCAATGTTAACAATAACTTCATAGATGGGTCGTAAGAAGTCAGAGCCTTGATTAAAGCGCCAGGTGGGATTTTGGATAGACTGTGAGGGCCGTTAGAATGCCGCAAAGCATTTTCGATATTAGCGACATTTAATTGCTTTGACTTGACAAGCCACTTAAACGTCATTGGGGGGATCAGCACCGCAATAAGTTTGACTGCCGCTGAGTCGTTGGTCGGCCTGTCGGCGATTGTCTTGAGTTTAAACATTCTCGTTAGAATGAATTTTATGTTTTCTGGATCAATGAATGCGCCACCCGGTGGAATGCTGTCGCCTTTATCTTTAGAAGATTCTGACTTGCCCCAAAGTTTTGCCTTAACAACAGCATCAAACGTGGATCGATTTGTCACGGAAGCAAGCTCCTTCTTCAACTCATTCAACTGATCAGTCGGCCGTTCTTCTGAAAGGACATTTTCCATAGTTGGCCCTTTGATTGCCAACGTCTTCTTCTCACTAGTTCCTGATGTAATTCCCTTTCCTATAGAATCGATCAAAAGGCTCCTTCTCGGCCGTTTTCTAGATACGTGTCGTTCATTGTGAATAGAGGCGAGGTCAAAGCTGCAGAGACTGCTGCCGTATGCTGCCACCAAGACATCAAGTTTAGAAAAGTGGGATATAAATTCCAAAGAGCTCGTAGCATCCTGTTTTTTACTTGATGCGGACTTGGAAACTTCGGCCAATGGCAGCGATGCCTGGAGTGATTGATAATGCGTATCATAAACAGAGAGCGTAGATTTACCACCGGCAATGATAGAGTGGGAGGATATGCGCATGATAGAGGAAAAAGTTTCGTCCTCTATTATGACACACGATGACACCTTAGGAGAAAATTGGGTAATATCGAAGCTTATGAATCCGGATTTGGATGATAGAGACAGTTCGCCAGGAACAAAGTTGGCACTCCAGTGGTAGTTATGAGCGGTCAATAAGTCCTGGCTTGGATGCACTGGTAGGTTCAATGTCATTAGATGCTTCAGAGGCTCGGGGGCTTGGAGTTGAAATTTGCCAGTATGAGACTGGGCAGAAATCGAATAGAATATAACCTGTACATCGTTGAGTTGAAACGCCCCAGAAGTGGTATGTGCTACCAAAACCAAGATGGTGGAATTGCTAGGATCTGTTCCAAATCCATCGCCCAGGACAGACGCTACTACATCCTCACGCTTGCGGAAAAGGAATTTGCGTGCGTCCTCGAAGCCCACGGTAAAACAAGCTGCAAGCTCACGGGAAGACCATGTGCTTTCCGAACGAATGGTCCATCTTTCTGTCTTTAAATCAAAAGAAAGCCTTCTTATCCGGCCGTCCTGATGTACAACGATGACATCAAAGGTATCAGAGTCCTTCTCAGATGGACTGTCCGTAGGGATTGTGCCCACAAAAATGGGTCTGCTGGCAGTGTCTTTAATGGGGAAAGAAGCGGTAGATATATTTGGCGTGCTTCTGCCGGAAACCATCTCATCCACGAAACATTTGATTTCCATTCCTGAAGTTTCTACCGCGCAGTATGTCTGTCTCTTGATCCCTGAGTTTCCTGGGAGCTTCTGCCGTATAGAGCATGGCGGACATGAATGTGATGCCTGAGGCGGAATTGCATAGGAAGCTACCAATTTCGGGAATTGAGCCTAAAAGACTGTGAGCTTTCAACATCGCAGCTTTGAGCTTAACACATGGAACCAACTCACATTGTATATATTGACTCCCTCGCCATCGATGGCAGCTGTGATTTCATGCCGCTTGCGCTTCTTCGAACCCTGGATGCCATAGGCCTCTCCGAACTGGATTTTCCCACCGGCATTGGCCAGCGGCCGTGGGAGCTGGGCTAACAGAGACGGTGCCGGTAGAGACATGGTCACTTATGCCCACTGCCCACAGGTTAATACCAGGTTTGTCAAGTGTTTCTATCAACGCCTTTCAACCTCACAACCTTCTAACTTTTTCTTTCGCTTTTTTTCTTTTTTTGCAATCCAAAATTTTTGAGTTTCGGCGGCGGCAGGATAAAGGTTCCTCCGGTCGAGCCGCATTATTACGTAATTGGAAGAGTCGACGCGCGCGTTAAAGAAGAACGCGATGGAGGCGAAAGCGTGACGACGGGAGGTCGATGAGCTCCTGGTTGAACTGTGTCTCCATCGGCAAAGTGAAGCAGCAGTGACGATGCAGCGGACGGAGAAAACCAGGTAGTCATGGGCTTGGTCTGCTGTCTATGTCGATTACTGCCTTACATATAGCTTGGTGGATGTGTCGATGACGCTCAATATGGTACGAAGGGCGGTTGAGCAACAAACGCTTCTTCCGTTCTTCAGTAAAAGTACGGTATGCTCGGGGATAGGTGGTTTGCATGTATTTGGCTGACATTGTTTGTTTTTTAGATGAGAGCATCACTCCACCTATCCAGCCAGAACCTCCCCGACCAAAAGAGGGACATCAACCTCCTGGACGTGTGCCCGAGAATGCCTCTTTGGTAAATCTGTATGGAAATTCGTCGTCCGATGGGGATGCCTCCACCCAAGCTGTATCCCAGCTTCCTGAGATAAACGATTTGAATGACGCTGAGGAGGCGACAGGCCATCGGAGGAAGCGATGCAAGATAGCAGAGCATGGCCCTGTTAACATGAGCGCTGTGGTGTCGTCAAATGCTTTTCCCAATATGCAACCACCAGCTCCCTCCGTTATATCGCCGACTGATACCCTCTCTAAGGTGCAAGAGACACATGACTGCGAATCGAGCACTTCGACTGGCTTGAGATTAGAAAACCGAACCCAGGCTGCACCAGATAAGAAGCAAGAGAGAGGGAAGAAGCTGTTGCATTTGCAATTAGACCCGACATTACTCAGCGCTTTCCCACCAGGCGAAAGCACTGAGCACAGCCAAACTCGCCAAAATACAAGAAGGAAGTCCTCTCGTCTCAATACTGTTGCAAAATTTGTCAACCGAGTTAAAATTGCAAAGATTGCATATAATCCGAATGATCAGTCAAAACAAAATGTTGGGCAACTTATTGATGATATCATGAATGGCCGCACCACATACTTGGAGTTAAAACGGCAAGCCGTGCAACCAAAGAGTGGAATCCGTACAAGACCAACTTCTACGGGTCCGCCTAAACCTACTCATCCTTTCTTCCTGTCAAAGGGCCAACAGAAAGCCTCCAATAAACCGCTTCAGCAGTCAAATACGCAGCAATCCAATGCTTTAAACAACTCTACGCTTCCACAAGCGTCAACTGAACCAAAACCCGAAAGTTCCGCCTCGATCCCACGAATCTTCCCTCCTCTCTCCTTTCCCTCTGTGAGCCAAAAGCAGAAGGCCCATGGGAATAGGGAGCCTCTTGATCCTATCTGGCCACCTCGGGACATGGTGCACAACCGTGGCCCCATTGAGCCTATTTGCGCTGCAACTAATATAACGTTTGAAAAGCGAAAAGCAAAGCAATCGACTGTTTCGGTGTCTGATGCCGAAAGTGTTCTCACAACAATCTGCCTACCCCTCACGGAGTCAAACTCCAATACTCCCAAGCGACAACGGTCAAAAGCTCTACGGCGCCCAAAGAGGCACGTTCTTAAGTGCAGCGAGTTTAAAAGATCCGTTATTGAGAAACTTGCAGTATGCAACCTTGAGCAGGGAGGGCAGACTCAGCTGGATACTTTACCTCAAACTGCACATCCGGCCCTTGTAAAACTTGCATCATCCTTGGATACTACCACAAGCTCCTTTGACAGGGGTGAATACGACGATACCCCATGGCCTCAAAAATACGCCCCCAAAACGGCTGCCGAAGTTCTTCTGCTAGGCTCTGAGACATCTATCTTGCGAAGTTGGCTACAACACCACCAAGTGTCGGCGGTCGATACAGGGCTATGCACAAGCAGCCCACGACAAACACCTGAGAATAAGGCAGTGCGGAAAAGGAAGCGAAAAAAGCCTAAAGACTTAGATGGTTTTATTGTTTCGAGTGAAGATGAAGATAGTGTCATGAGTGAACTTCAGAATTCTGAGGACGAGTTGGCGGGAGGAGTTACGATCCCCGTGAAAAGATCAATGGTTAGATCTAACGATTTTGGAACTGCATCGGCCAAACGGCCGATGGCAAATACGATACTCCTCAGCGGACCACCAGGGTGTGGGAAAACGGCGGCTGTCTACGCTGTAGCTGGAGAATTGGGATTTGAGGTGTTTGAAATCAATGCTGGGACACGAAGGGGTGCGCGGGACATAATCGAGAGAGTCGGTGATATGACCCAAAATCACCTTGTTCAACTCCTTGCCAAGACAGATAGTGAATCGGACCAGGTTAGCTCATTGGCTCTTGGTAATGAAAAAGGCCCCAAACAAAGCACTATGGCAAGCTTCTTTGCAAAGAAAAGCACGCCAAAGCCCACCAATGCTGATTCGATGAAAAAATCGCCAAAAGCGGAAAGTAAGGAAGTGCCAAAGCCCCATATAAACCAAAAGCAGTCTTTGATATTGCTTGAAGAAGTTGATATCCTGTTTAATGAAGATAAACAATTTTGGACTGGGGTACTTGCACTGATCAGTCAATCCAAAAGGCCGATTATCATGACGTGCACGGATGAAGATCTTCTTCCACTAGATACCATGTCTCTTCATGCTATTTTACGGCTTCAGCCACCGCCCAGTGACCTCGCAGTAGATTATATACTATTGCTCTGTGCAAATGAGGGCCATCTGCTAGACCGCAAAGCTGTATCAGACCTGTACCTTGCTTTAGGGAGAGACCTTCGAGCAACCATCATGTGGCTGAGCTTTTGGTGCCAAATGGGAGTAGGTAGTCGAAAATCAGGGCTTGACTGGATAGTGGCTGCGGAAGCCTTGGATTTACGGGACTCTAGTGACTTGTATAGGACGATAAGTTCTGATACCTACATGGAAGGTATGGGATGGTATAGTGCAGACACTGTCGTTGGCGAGCAAGATCACCTAGAGCTTCGACAGCAGCTGTTGACTGAAGGCATCGAGCAATGGGATATTGGGTTGATGGATTGGCTCGAAATTGGGAATGGTCGAATTAGCGGCGGATGCTTTGGACCAGTCGACAGCTTGGAGCAAATGGATTTAGCAGCCGATGTCAGGAGCTGCCTAGATATAATCTGTGACGAAGGATATCATGGGATCAAGGTGGGTTTATTATTGAGTAAATCACAGAATGCGAGGTTTATATGATGCTGACGGTAAACCTTCAGCGCCCACTCGATCCATCCATGCCGCCAATTCCCGAGAAACATAGGCTAGATTACATCGAGGGATACCAGCTGCTTCAGTCAGATCACCGCACGGAGTTCAACCGGCTATCTGCAAAGATAGGTGCAACGCTGAGCACACTTGCGGAGAATATCCTCGGTCCTGCCGAGATATGCATAGGAGAACAGGATGATGTGATAGAACACGTCCTTGAACGGACAGCTCCCCAGAGACCGAAACAGCTTCACAAGACTGCGTTCCAAGATGCCTTCCAAGCCATCATTGACCCGCCCGATTACTCCACCCTAGTCTCCAATATCCGACCTCTTTCATTTGAACATGGCACGTCTGTCATTGCTGAGGATGTCGCGCCGTATATCCGCCATATTATTCTCTTTGAGATGTACCTTGAGCAATACCGGCTGAGGCTCGGCGGCCTTTCCCCGCAGAACGGACCACCAGGCAAGCGTGCAAGGACGACACGAGCAAGCAGAGCGGCCGTTGAAGGAGCTGACAAGGCCAGCATCAGGCGAGATCGGTGGTTCCCTGGCCGAATCATCCCTGAGCAGATCATCGCCACCGGGGGCAAAGGCTGGGAGAGTATCCTACAATACCCTCAAACTGATGATCTAGCAGAGGTACGGGCAGTGTTCGCTCAGGCCGGACAGCCGCTTTGTCCTGCGCCAGCCGTTCCTTGCGAAGATGGAGCATAAGATGAGATTTGAGCTGTAACTATCTACGACTTTGTATATTGACGAACCTAGAAATATGAATTGAGACCAAACAATAGCCTTTAAAGCAACATAACCCTTCATTCCCTGTATAGTAACGAAGACAGCGTCCTTGGCTTCGATGTTCGAGCATAACAACAGTTGCCATCAAGCTCCAGCTGGCTGCTGCTAGCCAACTGGCCAGTTATCAAATCACCTACATGGTTAGTTGGTAGTTAACTAGTCAGTCCAACGGCGACAGCTTCCTGGTCGCAACCAAAATCCCAACCTCGTCAACACCAACAACGCCGGCTAAACCGTCCGTCTTCTGCTCGCCCACAGCCCGACGGCAGCAAGGTAACACACGCCGGTTCTACCGCCTGCCCTGCGTGTCTGTGAGGGTCTTCAGCCCAAAAATCTTCAGCTCCATTCGCGCGAAGAGCCTCAGTGGCGGTGTTCATAAGCTACTTAAGCTTGATCCTAGCTAACCACCTACCCGCTGCATCATCGACCTGCATCTCACAAGCATCCCTTCTCTGGTGCCGCCGGAAGAAAGATCTTCATATTCCTTAGCTACCTGTCACCGTCCGACAGCCGGAAGCCCGTGAGGTCTGGCGCTCTGAGGCCCCTGTAAATAAATACCAGCTACCTTCGAACCTACGCGACCGCCCTTCGCAGCCTTCCAATGTCGCTCTTCGGCTCCTCTCCCGAGGACTCTCCGCTGGCCAGCAAGGCAGCGCAACGTTCATCATCCTCGTCGAGAGTGAAATCAAGCCTGTTTGCGGACGATCCCTCCTCGCTGTTTGGAGCAGACGAGGGCTTCTCGTCCCACAGCAACAGCAATAAGAATAACAGCAACAGCAATTCCAGAGGCGTGGCTGACAACGAGGACAACAACGACAACGGATATTCATCGCCCTGGGATATGCCTACACCAAGGAAATCTGGCTCGAGACAGCAGATTGTCAAGACCCTCCTACCCTCGACGGAAGTCCCCGAGACCTACGTAGATGCGTTTGACGCGCTGGCTGGTGCTGGGGGAGGTGCCGGCGGGGTCATCAGTGCTGAGAACGTGAAAAGCCTTCTCGGAAGCACGCATTTGAGCTCCTCGGAGCAGACGGGGATCCTTAATCTGGTGACGAACAATGGAGCTCAGCAGAGCCTGGAGAGGAGTGAGTTTAATGTCCTTCTGGCGCTTGTAGGGCTGGCGCAGGAGGGTGAAGATGTTACTCTGGACAGCGTCGACGAGCGCAGGAAGAGTAAGTTGAAATTCTCCATCCATATCCCGCTGTTATTTCCCAAGAACTACACTAATATATATTATTTGATACTGGTTTAGGACTGCCGGAACCTAATATTCCTTATATCACTCGTATACAGACTGGAAATGCGGAAAACGGAACGGCTGCTCAACAATCTATGCAAGAACACACTGTCCAGATCCCACAAACACGCCGTAGACTACGACAGGATTCATTTGGCCCAGAAGCAGACCCCTGGGGAAGCCCAGTAAACCGTCAGCCGGCCCACCGCCCCAACCCAGGTGCAACGAATGGGTTTTCTTCTACTCATGAAGCTCCCGAACCAGAGGCAATGCCAAAGCCCAATACCCAGATTGAACCTCGGAATTTTGCAAGCACAAGATCGAACGAGTCGACCGGTGCGCCCGCGAGCGTTGGCTCTGGATGGGGAGGTGGTGGATTTGGGAACCCGTCGTCCGCAAGTGGATTTGGAAATTATGATCAGGGCGCATTGGGTGCTGGGTTTGGCCAATCCGACAGCGGACAGGCCAACGCCAGCCGTAATGACCTATCTAGATCATTGGGTGGTGGTCAAGTAAGCAATTCGGGAATGGAGGATGTTATCACCATCCAAATGCTTCCTGAGAAGGAGGGCATGTTCCTATTCCAGCACCGCAACTACGAAGTCAAGTCCGCGCGCAAGGCTACCTCCGTGATCCGAAGGTATAGTGACTTTGTCTGGCTGGTGGACTGCCTTCAGAAGAAGTTTCCCTTCCGGCAGATCCCGTTACTCCCTCCCAAGAGGGTTGCAGGTACGTTGAACAGGTGGAAAGCTTACCTTAAAAATGCTCACATATACTTTTTTCTAAAGTCAATGGCACTCACCTATCAGCGGATTCGAATTCCTTTTTGGATAAACGTCGCAGAGGCCTCGTCCGCTTTGCTAATGCTCTTGTGCGTCATCCGGTATTGAACCAGGAGCAGCTCGTTGTGATGTTCTTCACTGTTCCCACTGTAAGTCTATATTCCCGATTAAATGTGTTCTATGCGTTAGTAACTGAGTGTCTAGGAATTGGCTGTTTGGCGTAAACAAGCCTCCATTTCCGTACAAGAGGAATTTACGGATAAGCCCCTTCCTCCGGATCTGGAAGATTCTCTGCCGTCTAACTTGACAGATACCTTTGACACTGTCCGTTCGGGTGTCCGCCGCTCAGCTGACATCTACATTAACCTATGCCTCCTGATGGACAGGCTTGTAAAACGCCACCAAGGCCTAGCCGCAGAGCAATTCCGGGTTTCGAGGGCACTCCACGCCCTGACCGAGAGCACGATGGACACATATGCTGCTGACACGGGTGATGTTCCCCTGTTAAACAATGGCATCAATGCGACTGCCAATCACTTGCAAACAAGTCAAGGCCTGTTAGAAGACGAAGCAAGGGCTTGGGACCAGGGAGTCCTCGAGGACCTGAAGGCCCAGCGCGACTGCCTAGTCGCTATGCGAGACGTGTTCGATCGGAGAGATCGCTTTGCAAAGGATAACATCCCCCAACTCGAACGCCGCATTGAGAACAACGAGAAGAAGCTTCAGGCCATCCGCGCCAAACCCGAGGAGGCGGTTAAACCTGGGGAAGCGAAGAAGGTTGAAGACGCCATTATCAAGGTATATTCCGTGCCTGTGGTTCCCCTGGACGTCTGTTTCGTCTAATGACTACGACTAAGGAACTAATTGTTTTGAATAGGACAAGGAGTCTATTGTCCAGCAGCATGCTCGCGGGGTCTTTATCAAGGAGTGTATCCGTGACGAGATACTAATTTTCCAACGGAGCCAGTACCGCATCAGCCTCCTGCACCAAGACTGGAGTCAGGAGAGAGTCAAATATGCAGAGCTTCAGGCTGACAACTGGCGAGCCCTGACCGATGTTGTCGAAGGCATGCCTACCTCCGATTAACAGTCGCGTTTACGGAGTACTCTTCGCCCCTTAACCCCTTTCCCCCGGGACACGCCATGTCTCCATTTATTACACGTGTTTAGAAAGCCCCCCTTTCTCCCCAGCTACATTCGGAGTTGGAATAGTAGTGGTTTATGGAACCGCTGTTCCAGTGCATCAGCGATCAGTTTTGAGTAATTTCTAATCCTTTCCCTTTGTCGAAGACATGTTCCATTTGATATATACCCCTGTGCCACTCTGGATTTTGCAGAAAGAGACCTGTCAACCTGTCAGTTTATAATATTTTCCCCCTGATATAATAATAAAAATACACAAATCCCACTTTTCGCCTTTTTATTTTTTTTTCCCTTTTTCCCCCTTCCTTTTGCTCTTTTCTTTTTCTGATTCTGGGAGTGATGGTGCTGCGAACTGTTGGATTAACATTAATGCTTATTGGATAGTAGTTCGTCAGAATCAGCCTGGTCGTTAATGTGCAATTTGGCTTTGTGGGTATCATCCGTAGCCGTTGGAGAAGCCGTTAGGCTTTTGTTTGCTTGACTAGATTCCCGAGCCATGATTAAACCTCGCCCAGAGCAGAGTCAAAATTCTAGCTCCCTCATAGCTTAAATAGGCTCCGTTTGAGAAAACAGGATCTCGACGGAGCTGTCGACATCCTTATCTAACGGGGAGAACCTTGGGGCAACCCTTAAACAGAGGAGGGAGTTAGATATCTGGTTTGACCTCTCCGGGAACAAAACATTTTTTGAAGTGCCGAGCTGGGACTTCTCCATCCCTCTCCCCGGTTTGATAGGCGGTCTCATAACTGCTACCATCCTGTCCATCCAGGCACCCTTTTGTCTGATCATGCGAATCTTAAAACACGAACCTGGATGCCTGGACTGAGCCTACTGAACCTTCTCCACGAGCTGGAAGATCCTCACCATCAGATATATGGAAGGGACCGCATGATAAGCGACTTCGGATCCAGTACGGGTGAAGATCACGCTGACTGGCCGACATCTCATGCATTATTTTCATGCTCCATGACCTACAAGGGAGGGGGGGGGGGGGGGGGTTTACAACTTCCCGTGTCCAGTCATAGGCGAGCATCAGTTTCGCTTCCGCTCCTGCATAAACCCATCCTGAGTCACAGATCCGACATGACGGGAAGACGAACGAATGGGTGGAGCGAAGAGTCCCCCCCAAGTGACGTGGTCGGGGGATAGCTACCCATCCATGTCGCCTGGCCAGCCAGGATGCTGTCAGTACGGAGTATGCAAGAGAAGGAGAAGGCCTAGGTCCTTTCCACTCTCGTTCTCTCACACTAACAACCTAACTAGCCTTTTAACTCCCGCCGTTCGCGCGTGTGGCGAGGATAGCGAAAACGCAAGGGAGCCAATGACATCTAGCGCGAGAGACGATTCCGTGTTTGAAGCTGAAGCTTCCTGTGGCCCTAGACGTCGCACAGCAGCCTCACGGCCGTCAAAGCGCCCTGCTTTTCATGGTCGAAATATTGCAGGGAAACACCGCTCTTGGTCTCACTGAAGGATGGGCGTACGGAATATATACGGGGAATGTAAGATGAGTGTCTGAGGAGAGATAAGCAGCGAACAGTGCTGGAGACAAGCTTTTAAGGATTTTTATTGGCAGCCGACAATCCCAGCAGAAGAGGATCTCCTCTCAAACGACGGTACTGTTTTGTCTCAATCAATGCTTGTAATGCGGGCGATCCCAGGCTGTTCCCAGTCCCTTAGCGACTGTCGATTGTTGCTTGTCGTTGCTTGTTTGTTGCTTGTCGTCCCGTCGACGTCGTTCGATGTTGATGATGATGATGTTTTTTTTCTTTTCTGCCGTTTTTTCGCCCGGCCTCCACGTGACCTCTCTTGGCATTCCGCTCCATGCCAAGACATTCCCGGTCAGTGCGTTTTTTCTTATTTTTATTCTTATTTTTATTTTCTTATTTTTATTTTCTGTTTCTGCTTCTGCTCGATCGAGTAACAAGAACGACCGATGACCGACGGCCGGCTTCAACGCTGCTACAAGTCAAGTCGACTGCTTGCCACACAGCTTGACCCGGCCCTCTGCTGACGACGCTGACAGGGTGAGATGGATTGCCGAGTGGCTGCATGAAAGGGAAAAAAACAGAAACAGAGATCGGCCCGATTATCATCAAAAGCAGGTGGATGGGGTCCCTAGTCAAGCGTGCAGAAACTTTGCCGGTGGATACGCCAGCGACAGCCCTGGGAGGATTGAAACCAAGCCAAATTCTCGTGGAGGTTCCTTGCTCGGTTCTCATCCGTGGCGAATCTCCTCGGGTTTAAATAGCTGTGCCATCGCCCCTCCTTGCCCTGCCGCCAATAGCTCCGATTCGAAGGAACACAGGAAGCGGAGGGAAGAGAGCAACTGCCGGCATCTGCTCTCAACCAGCCTTTCACACATCTGCTTCCGAGCTCAATACCCTCTGCCCACCGCGGGTGCGGGACTATAGCTTGAGGCTATGGTAAGATCAAGAGCTACCCTTGGATACATAACGTTTTGGCAGTCTCTGGTGGACGTCTCTATTTAATCGGAAGTCATCGGAAGTGGTTAGGGGGTTGAACGATATTACCTGTTAGCCGGAGAATATCAAAAGAAGACGGACACCATCCCAACAACCATCAACTATATTTTCCCACTGCATATTCTCCGTTTTGCCTGGCTGGTTTCAGGCCCGTTGACTGGCTAGAAGCTTTCCTCGTTTATTTCTCCGTCATGGCGTGGGACCACCTCGATTTCGACAAGCCACATTTGGCATACATGATCCTTGGCGGGTTCACAAGCCTTTTCATGCTGTGCTCCCTGTTTGTGAAGGAGAAGCTCTATATTGGAGAAGCAACCGTTGCCACGTTGTGTGGTGTTATTTTCGGTCCACACGCCGCAAACCTTTTCAACCCGATATCGTGGGGGAACGTCGACAAGCTTACCCTCGAGTGTTCACGTATCGTCCTGGTCGTGCAATGTTTCGCCGTCGGTGTCGAACTGCCCAAGTCCTACATGGAGAGGCATTGGAGATCCGTCATCATGTTGCTATTACCCATCATGACTATCGGATGGCTGGTGACCAGTCTTTTCATCTGGTGGATGGTTGAGCCATTGTCCTGGCTGGAGAGCTTAATTTGCGCCGCATGCGTTACAGCCACCGACCCCGTACTGGCGTCCTCCGTCGTCGGTAAGGGCAAGTTTGCGAAACGAGTGCCCAAGCATCTCCGAGATGTCCTCTCCGCGGAGTCCGGATGCAACGACGGCATGGCTTTCCCTTTCATCTATCTCTCCTTATATCTGATGGCCTACCGTCCAGACAGTGCCAAGGTCGCCGAGCACTGGATAGTGGTAACTATCCTGTATGAGTGTATCTTTGGCGCCATCTTCGGCTTCCTTATCGGCTACGCTGGTCGTCACGCCATCAAATTTGCCGAATCCAAAAAGCTGATTGACCGAGAGAGTTTCCTTGTCTTCTACTTCGTTCTCGCCCTTTTCTGTGCCGGTGCTGGTAGTTCACTGGGTATGGACGATCTCCTGATCGGGTTTTCTGCTGGCATTGGATTCAGTAATGACGGCTGGTTCACCGAAAAAACTGAAGAATCTCATGTTTCCAACGTCATTGATCTGTTGCTTAACCTTGCTTATTTCGTCTACTTCGGTGCTATCATCCCCTGGGAACAGTACAACCTACCAGACCTAGGCTTGGTTCCGTGGCGCTTGGTCATACTTGCAATTCTAGTCATTTGTTTCCGCCGAATCCCAGCCATGCTTATGATGAAGCCGTTTATTCCAGACGTTAAAACATGGCGAGAAGCTTTGTTCGCAGGCCACTTTGGCCCAATTGGTGTCGGTGCCATATTTGCCTGTATTTTGGCACGAGCTGAACTTGAGACGCACAGTACTCAGCCGCTGTCAGAGCTCCCTAACCCAGGAACTAAGGACTATATGATCATATATGTGATCTGGCCTATTACCACATTCTTGGTCATCACTTCTATCATAGTCCATGGCTCCTCCATCGCCGTATTCACCTTGGGTAAACATATCAACACTTTAACCTTGACAATGTCTTATACCCAGGCCCACGAGGATGGGCCATCCTGGATGAACCGCCTCCCCAGGATCCAGTCTACATCAAAGACGTCCCTCTCTATGAGAAAGGACTCCTGGGAAACGATGGAGAAACCAGAATTTCCCCCCGGGACACTGGGACCCATTGGAGTCCCAGGAAATCTGCTAAGGCGACAGAGGGATGATGATCCCTATAGTACACCAGCTAGCCGTGCATCGAGCCTAAGACCTAGCCGCAGACGTAAACAAGGAGTCCAGGGAGCTGGCGGACCGATCAGCCAGTCTGCTATTACTCCCCAGCGAAGGCCTGAGGGAGAATTACAAGTCAGCAAACCTCCAACTCCTGAAGCGGAGGCCTCCGAGGATACAAGGGGGCGTCGACAGCTTTCTGAAGGAGGGCAACCCACTTCTCCACGAGCTGAGGTTTACCAGGAGGGAGACAATATCATTGTTGAAGATGAAGAAGGGAATGTACTTGAGCCCGACAGAGTTGTGAAAGAGAAAAGCAGCGAGGCCAGCAAACCAGCCAGTATAGAACCTAAGGGAGGAATTATGCAGAAACTCTTCCCCGCCTGGGCTGGCTTTGGCAAGACCCAAAAGGATGAATCTCATCCCCAAGTCAACCGTGCACGCCGCTCTGCTCGAGCATATCAATTTGCCAACACCATTATTGTCGAGGATGAAGACGGAGAAGTCATTAAGAAATACACTATCCCTTCGTCCCCCAAGAAGGAAACTGGAGCTGGGGCTGCTGGTACTGAAGAGGAACAACCTAAGTTGCTACGTCGTATCACCAAGCTTGGTACTTGGACCGGCGATGGTGCTGGCGAGTCTGCCGCAGCTGCAGCAAAAAAAGCTGAGGAGGAAGATGCAGGCATCCGATTCACTGTACCTGTTTCTGGGGATGTTGATGATCACTTGAGAGGCCGCAGAATGAGTAAACAAGACTTCATCAACCAAATGCAACATCTCGGGCCCAAGTCACCCAGTGATGGCTCCTCAAAGTTCAGTTACATCTTCCGACGTGATGGCAATCGAGGACGAGCCAACCCTCACCGCAGCATGCCCATTAGCGGCCCCCATGGTGGAGGTGCTGAGGGCATGCCGTCCCCCGAGGAGATATCAGAAATGTTAGCACAATACACTGGTCCTGAGGGCTCAGCTGCCGATAAACAACGCCACAAACCATCAGACCCAGAATCCCGAGGATCATCTCTCAGTCGCCATGACTCCGAGGACGATGGCACCGAACGTATTCCGCCTGCCCATCGCCGTGCGATTGCCGCAGGGCAGCAGCCGCCAGACCTACATTTCCCAACTGTACCTTCCGCTCGTAGCAGCAAACGTGTTTCGAAGCTCGATGATGATATAGAAACCCCCGCAGAACGGAAACGCCGTCTTGCTGCTCTCGGTGCATACCGCAGCCCGTCAATGCAGCGTGAATCCGACAGCGAGGACGATGGAGAGCCTCGTGTAGTCAAGGGAAAGGTCCAATTTGCAGACGGAACCAAACCTGCAAAGAGAAAGTCTCCCGTGCAGGCTAATTTCTCGTTGTCCACTGGTGTTACCTCACCAGATCTACCTTCTTCTCCTCCACCCGTTTATGCTCCTGAGAGTAACCCTTTCTCTGATGATGGCAACGCTCCCGACTCTACGGGCCAAAGTACCAACGAAAGGGTTGGCAATGGCAACGGAAACAACGGCCGAGAAAACACTCCTAGGAACGGTTCCAAGTCCAAGATTTCGTGGGGAGGTGAGATAGGTCGTTGAATGACTTAACATCGTTTAACCACGATGTAATCGTCCATCCCCATCAGTTTTCCCGTCTTGCTTGCTCTTCTGCTCTCTCTGTCTTTTCTTTTCTTTTCTTTCCTTCTTTTTTTTTTTTTTTTTTTTTTTTTTTTGGGTTTAATTTCCCCCTCCTTTTCCATTCTCTCTGTCGTTTTTGTCATTTCTGATTTACTCGTTTTATTTTACATCAGTTTGCGTGTCCATGGACACCTACTAGTTATAACTAGACTAAATAGCGCTGTGCTGCTGTTTGTTACGAGCGTCTTTGATGTCCCTATTTCAGTTACCCTATGGGCACTGATCGGTCTATATATTGCGGTTGTTAGGTATGCACATTAATAGAGGGAGCCTTAGTGGGCCCCAGCAGCAATGAAGATTGTTATGCTTTCTCGATATAGTCGAAGAGAATAGATAATCAAAAATTACTATGATTTATCTTCAGACAGAACTACCTAAATGGCATTAAAAATGATAATATTGTTATCGAAGAAGTATATAGATGACACCGAACCAAATGCTGGTCGAGGGATATCACAAGGGGGAAAAAGTAGTCGGAAGATTGAAAGAAAGAAGCTAATGAAGTAGATAAGAAACCCGCTGTTTACCCTTCCACTACGCGATGCAGGAAGAGTAGTTATACCATGTTGTTTTTGGTGCAATCCATAAACCGATCCAAACCGATATTTTCCTATAAAACTCCGCCAGGCAATTGTATGGAATTTTGTTGTGGAGGTTGAGATCTTAAACTGGCGCTTGGTTGGCCACCGGAACCTCCCGAGGGTAGCCCACCTAGAGTGATGGATGTGTTGTTATTCGTACTAGGGTCAAAGGCACTGCCGCTGGGAGGGAAGCCAATTGTAGTTCCGCTGCTGGTATATATACCTGGGACCTGCCCGTCTACCATCTGTGTCTGCCGTCGAAGCATAAACATTGGTTTCCGTCCGTCTTTATCAAGCTGTTTGAATAAAATGAGGGGCTTTTCTTCGAGCGCTAGGCATCGTTCTTGGTCGCCGTAGACAATATATAGGGCATATAGCCTCCAGTCTTCATGGATGTTATATTTCTTAAGAGCAGCTGGAAGAACTTTATAGCAAGGATCGTCCATTGAGACACGGAAGGATTTGAATATCTCGACACTGGGTCCAGAGTCTGAAGAATTTTGCGCGTTGCTAGATGATTGATTCCCACCGCCACCAGATCCCCCATTCCTGGAAGTGGATATGGCAGGATGGTCTTGCCGACTTGAAGAGTTTGAGGTTTGGTTGTTACCGGACCGATCTTGTCTTTGTCCTTGTGAATCTTCAGAGTGATCGTAAGCGGTACGGTTGTTGGTGGAGGATGGAGGGTCTCGGGAATACGACCGTGATGCAAGAGTTTGTTGAGTGTAGAAACTGTTCGGAGAAGTGGGTGATGGCATGCCCTTAGGAGAGGGCTGGCCACCTGTCATGGAGGCTGTGAGATGAGAAGATGCTGCCATAGCAGCTGCTGAAGGATCAAGGGTGGATGAATCTGCGAATGCCCTTCCTTCAGGTATAGCCTGTGGTATATGAGTAGGGGAGTTGGTCTTTGGAGTTGAACCGCCGGCAAAAAGCTTCCTAGATATTGTTCGAGTGAGGCCACTTCCAGCTTTCTCTTGGCCGAGGAATGAAGGTGAAGTAGCAGGGTCGTGTGTATATGATTCAGATAGGGCGGCGGTGGATCCACCATAGGATACTGTCGAAGGGGGTTGATACGGTAAGGGCGCTGATTTATCCTTTGCGATTTTAAAGACTGGCAGCAATTCTTCACGCAGTCTTCGGTAGTCATCTGCGAGCTTTCGTAGCTCGGCTTCCGCGGCCATGAGTCTGTCATCTCGCCGTCTGATGGATTGTATGAGGAGGGCAATGTCATCTTGAGTAGCTGCATCTTTTGTGCTACTCTTATCCGCCGCTGTTAAGATGAGTTAGCAGGGAGCATGATATATATGTATAGCTGGAAAGGGACTGGACATACATAGAGGGACATAGTGGTCAGGGTCTATAGGTACGCCTTGCTTCACTTTGGCCTCATATACATTTTTCAGGATGGTCAATCGATGCCCGACACTGGATATGCCGAGTTCCTTTAGTTCATCATGTTTTAGAGCTATGAGGGCCTCTCCGACTATTTCGTTTTCTATAATGGCACGTTAAAACAATAGGTTGTTAGCTCTTGTCCTTTCCAGATAGTCAGAATTGGTCTCGGTACATACCCAGAAACGCTTCACGATACTGTAGCAGACCCAGACTGCCGACGAACTTGGCACACTCCTCCGCTGTCCAATCGGTTATGACAGCCTTGGGTGAGATACGATCATCCGTCTTCCCATATGTAGGAGTGTTCTCAGTCGAAGGGCCTTCAGAGTCTGTAGGAGAGGCCTCGGAGTCCTCGGCAAGGTGGGGTGATATCACTACACTTCGCTCATACTCATCATCTGCGTCCGAGTCGCCTGGGTAGGCGTCGGCAAAGGCCATTGCTGCGCAATCGTCTTGTCTTGTTTGACCACCCGTCGTCAACTGATGTCTTCGACGTTGATGGAGCACCGTCCAAGCGGTATAGACAGCCTCGATAACACACGGCTCGTCAAGCCCCAGCTGTTAGCCAGTGAAGACCCAGCACTCAGTAGGACACTTTCTGGAAGGTTGTTGAGGAAACACGGAAGGGAGATATAGACGGTGGACGTCGTAGCTGTGGGCTCTCGTGGTTGAAGGGCGGGCGGGCGTTGGGTTTCGAGGGAAATCGCAGGGTTGTTGTACCAAGGGCTCTAGAGCCGACGAGATGAGACAGGCCAAGTGGGAGAACAAACGCTGTCGATTGTCGGTTGTCGCTCCTAGGCTAGCAGCTAGTCTTCCTGTTACTGTTTATTTTTTTCCTCGCTGGCTATGTCGCGAGACGTTCCAGGGCGAGGCCAGGGAAATGAAGTTATCGAGGGTGGGTATAGATAGGGCGGGTAAGGCGAGTTGTGAGTTAACTAGTGTTGTTAGCTTGCCCAAGCAGAAGCCGTGTAAGCACGGAGCGTCCACGTCCACGTCCACGAGCCAGCAGCGGGCCCCAGCAGGCGTCTTCTGCGGTCTTCTTTTGCTTCTCGTCGCTTTCTCGTCGCTTCAGTGGCTTTTCTGTCCTTTGCTTCTGTGATTTCGAGGTCGTCGAAGTCGCTTTTTTGTCGCTTTTGCTGCGGTTTTGTGTTTCCGAAAGAGGAAAGTCACGTGGGAATAGATATCGTAATATTGGGTACAAGACGGTAACGCCCTCGACCCTTTTGGGAATAGCGGTAATTTGCTAGGTTATGTAAGTTGATTAGATAAGTCGCAAACTTATTTCCTTTTTGGGAACGACATTGACATTCTATCACAGAAGTAAAAGTAAAAAGCAAGAAGAAGGAAGAGAAAAGACGAGACGAAGGAGATAAAAAATATAGAGGACTGGAGTGGTTGATGGAGGATGAAGACAAAGGGAAGCTTGGTAGGTGCTTACTATCAACGGTCGGGTGTCACTGATATACTCCGTAGCCTTGTGGTTACATGGCACAGGCTGGTCACAGCTAGTATACCTCCGAGGATGTGCAATTGGGCAGGATCGAACCGGTGCTGTCAAGGGGCAGATTGTCTTAGAAGCCACTAATGGGCATCGGCGACACTGACGCTGGTCTGTATTCTCTCCGCGGCCGATATGTAGGTCTGCATGTCTGCATGTATGTGTGTCTATCTCTGCAGTGAGGCTAAGTCCGGCACAGCCCGAACCACAACTTGGTCCATGTGACTCGACAGTGCGATGTTCCCAGCGCTGGCTTCCCCAAAAGCAACAACACACGACTCAGACTGTTGCAGCTGTGGCTCGGTCAGCATACTACATGACATGTAAACAGCAGCTGAGCAGCACCCCACTATACCTGTTTATACAAATACCACTAGTTACCTGTCCCTTCACCCGTCTATAGACCACTGACTTTCTGCGCACACAGTAGCCGGTGGACACTCTCCCATGTAGATATATAGACAAAAGACGTATGGGGTAAGATGTAAGTACAATTAAAGACCCCTGCAGCGGCAAAGCCTAAAAGTTTAATCCTCGGGCCTTGGCAAAATGACATCCGACTTTCTTTTCTCGCCCGGCGAAGCTCGTCTTTCGCTGGTCAACAAGAGCGACAACTTGAATCTTTGCATTGGAGCAGGCTTCTGGCCCCGTTAGTCCATGCGAAGAAGAGGTGACTCGGCCCGCCGGTCGTGATACATAGGGCCTGCCGGAAGACAACACTTGGAAATATTTATTTTACTCTGGTGGTGGGTAGTATCGTCATTGATACCTGGCGCATTCAGAAGCTGTCATTCATTGAACTTGCTGAATGGGAGCCATGACTGCGATAACACAATAGAAAGGCAAGAAGCTTATTTCCTCCGATGGTTGAGCTGTGTTCTATGGTACTATTAAATGACACCGCCATCTGTTATTCTATCTGCTGATGTGTTCGCTGCCCCAGATTTATCATCCCCCAGCGCGCATGATCCCGACGCAGCATACATAACTGAGCCTCAAACATACTGTTCTCATCTCACTCCCACCGACGCTCCTCTCCTATAATACCTGCTCTGCCAACGGTATATTATGACCAGCATCACGGAACAACGTAACGACCAGATGGCGAATTCCCCCGAACAAACAGACCAACTAATGGACTATCTACTGGCTACACACAAACTGGAAGACCTACAGGCCTCTCTTCTAAATTCGCTGTCTACCTGCGGCTGGACCGAACGGGTACGCAACCTTGCCTTTGAACTTTTTCGAACAGAAGACCACAGTCGCTTTGAAGATGTGGTGGACACCATCGTCAACATGGCTACCTCGGGCAGTGGGGCAGGCTCGTGCTCGCCTTCTCTAGGGAAAAGAAAACGAGACGGAGAAGAAGATTCAAAACTGGCCAACGGAGCCGTGAAGAATGGCAAACGTGTAAAACCGAACCCTACCACAAGCACCGCCAACGGAGCCGGAGAAGTGACGGTGAAGAAGGAGGCTGCGGAGGGTAGCAACTCCATAGCTGATAGTGGCCCACTAGCTTCATATGGTAGCAGTGCATCAGATATCGCGGCGCACTACAACGTTCAGATTCCCGAACGAGCTGTGAACAGCGGCGTTAAATTCCTACAGGATTCGATGCATGAGTTGTTTAGCTCCGATACTGAGGACCAACCGAACGGCACCCGGGGCCATGACCCAGAGAGTGACGATGATATACCAATTGCAAGGAAAGAAATGAAGAAAAAGGCCAGCGACCAGCCCAAGACCAACGGTCATCCTTTACCGAAAAGCAATACCTGAAGCTAGCAGGCATCATCTCATCTTGCTGCTTAACTCTCTATTTTTTCTAATGGGCGTATCCAGGGTCAATGGCGCTGCATGATACATCGTTTTATGCTTTTACTTTTCCTTTTTCACGTTTTTCAACCCTCATATCCTCCCTTTTAATATGGAATGTGGACTCTGTTCGGTGGGGGGAGGGGGCAACGATAGAAGGTGGCTTTCAATATTCTGGCTTGTTTCATTTACATGGGAATTCATCTTTCGTTTTATTTGTGTTTCATGTTGCGTGTATGTACAGGTATGGCATGTGGCATTTAAACAGGCTGGCGCGTTAACGGCGTGCTCTTGTGTTCTTCGAGACTCCTCTGATCCTTGATGGTAAATCCTCTATATTACTTCGTCCTCGTAGAAGTTGATTAGTCATCTGGCGGTGATACACTTTAGCGCCCTCCCCTTGTCATCGGCGCCTCTGGCTAGGCTCCAGCGCTGCGTGGTCATTTCGTCCTGCTTGGGACGCCCGGTCCAGCGCTTTCCAGCGCCTTCCAAGCTCGCTCACCGCCAGTTGCTGATTGGCTGGCGGTACTGCAGCCGATTATTAATGTACTGCTATCACACCCGCCGCCAGGTCACGAGACTCCTCGGAATCGCTGCTGACTCAGCTGCCCCAAGCTTTGCCGCCGTCTTTATCGCCAACAAAGCCGATCTCAGCAAGAAACAACAACAACCGCAAACCACCATCATCACCATCAAGCGGTGTCTTTTTCCTCTTCCTCTTCTTCTCAACTCCTACCGCTTACCATTCTTACTCTTTGCCTCTCTAGAAGAAGGTCTTTCGCAGAAACAACGTGGTAAGCTTCAAATCTCGTTGCCTATTACTTGACTTGTTAGCTAACCTCCCACCAGCAGACTAGCTCTGACCCAGAGCTTCCGAGGCCGTTTTTCCACTGTCACATAGATTTTCAATTTCGATCACAGTACTCTCAGGATGTCTCACGATCCAGAGCACAAGCCTAAGGCTAACTTGAAGTGAGTCGGCTGTTTGTTGACATATTCATGGTTAATGAGGTCCAATCTAACATCTGGCCTTCTTCCGTTGATAGTGACCCTTCAGGTGCCGAAAAACATGAGGTAAGCTCTCGGATATATTCGTTCTGAATATTCAGCGTCCTAACCCCATAAATAGGAGCTTGACACTTCGACTGCTATCCTCAAGAAGAAGAAGAAGCCAAACTCATTAATGTGAGTAATATATCGGTAACCCATTTACCTGCTGGGAGAAATACAGAGCTCAGCTCTAACTCATTTTCAGTGTCACTGATGCCGTCAACGATGACAACTCTGTTATTGCACTTTCAAACAACACCATGGAGACTCTCCAACTCTTCCGTGGTGACACCGTCCTAGTAAAGGGCAAGATGCGGAGAGATACTGTCTTGATCGTACTGGCAGATGATGATCTCGATGATGGCAGTGTTCGTCTCAACAGAGTTGTACGACATAACCTAAGGGTTAAGCATGGAGACGTCGTCACTGTTCACCCTTGCCCAGATATCAAATACGTATGTTGATGTTCGGCATCTATAAAGTGAACAGGGACAAACACTGATATGACTTCCAACAGGCTAAACGTATTGCCGTTCTACCCATTGCTGATACCGTCGAAGGCCTCACCGGGTCCTTGTTTGACGTTTTCCTTGCTCCATACTTCCGCGAGGCCTACCGGCCAGTCCGACAAGGTGACCTCTTCACCGTCCGTGGTGGTATGAGACAGGTTGAATTCAAAGTGGTGGAGGTCGACCCCCCAGAATACGGCATCGTCGCCCAAGACACTGTCATCCACTGTGAGGGTGAGCCAATCCAGCGAGAAGATGAGGAGGGTAACCTCAACGATGTTGGATATGACGACATTGGTGGATGCAGAAAGCAAATGGCTCAGATTCGTGAGCTTGTTGAACTGCCACTTCGTCACCCCCAACTCTTCAAGTCAATCGGTATCAAACCTCCTCGAGGTATTCTCATGTTTGGTCCTCCCGGGACAGGTAAAACTCTGATGGCCCGTGCCGTTGCCAATGAGACTGGTGCTTTCTTCTTCCTCATCAACGGTCCCGAGATTATGTCAAAGATGGCCGGTGAATCTGAATCCAACTTGCGAAAGGCTTTCGAAGAAGCTGAGAAGAACTCTCCCGCTATCATTTTCATTGACGAGATTGATTCCATTGCTCCTAAGCGTGAGAAGACAAACGGGGAAGTTGAGCGTCGCGTTGTTTCCCAGCTCTTGACTCTCATGGATGGCATGAAGGCTCGTTCAAACATCGTTGTTATGGCTGCCACCAACCGTCCTAACTCCATTGACCCTGCACTCCGACGTTTCGGCCGTTTCGATCGTGAAGTCGATATTGGCATTCCTGACCCAACTGGTCGTCTTGAGATTCTTCAAATCCACACTAAGAACATGAAGCTTGGTGAGGATGTTGATCTTGAATCAATTGCTGCCGAAACCCACGGTTATGTTGGCTCTGATATTGCATCCCTCTGCTCTGAAGCCGCTATGCAGCAGATCCGTGAAAAGATGGACCTCATTGATCTTGATGAAGACACTATCGATGCCGAAGTTCTTGATTCTCTTGGTGTCACAATGGAAAACTTCCGCTTTGCCCTTGGTGTTTCCAACCCATCTGCCCTTCGCGAAGTTGCCGTCGTCGAGGTTCCAAACGTTCGCTGGGACGATATCGGTGGTCTCGAGGAGGTCAAGCGCGAGCTTATCGAGAGCGTCCAGTACCCAGTCGACCATCCCGAGAAGTTCCTCAAGTTTGGTCTTTCCCCATCAAAGGGTGTCCTTTTCTACGGACCTCCTGGTACTGGTAAAACGCTACTTGCCAAGGCTGTTGCAAACGAGTGCGCTGCCAACTTCATCTCTGTTAAGGGACCTGAGCTGTTGAGCATGTGGTTCGGTGAATCTGAGAGCAATATCCGCGATATTTTCGACAAGGCCCGTGCTGCAGCTCCTTGTGTTGTTTTCCTTGACGAACTGGATTCTATTGCCAAGTCCCGAGGTGCTTCCTCTGGAGATGCCGGCGGTGCTTCTGACCGTGTTGTTAACCAGCTGCTCACGGAGATGGACGGAATGACTTCAAAGAAGAACGTTTTCGTCATCGGCGCCACTAACCGACCTGAGCAGCTTGACAATGCTCTCTGCCGTCCCGGTCGTCTCGACACACTCGTCTACGTCCCCCTACCCAACGAGCCAGAGCGTACTGCTATCCTCAAGGCCCAGCTCCGCAAGACCCCGGTTGCCAGCGATGTGGACCTTGCCTACATAGCCTCCAAGACTCATGGCTTCTCTGGTGCGGACCTTGGATTCGTTACTCAACGTGCTGTCAAGTTGGCCATCAAGGAGTCCATTGCAACTGCTATTCGAAGAACCAAAGAGCGTGAAGCAGCAGGTGAAGATGCGATGGAGGACGATATTGACGACGAGGATCCAGTTCCTGAACTCACCAAGGCTCACTTTGAGGAAGCCATGAAGGATGCTCGACGCTCCGTCACCGACACCGAGATCCGACGATACGAAGCCTTTGCGCAGAGCATGAAGAACACTGGCAGCAACTTTTTCAAGTTCCCTACTGATGGAATTAGTGCCGGTGAGACCGGATTTGGTGATGCTGGAAACGACGACAGCCTTTATGACTAAAATGTAACCGGGGTTTGTTGTCCCTCTAGCTTTATCCAACTTTGACTCATGTTCTTTATTCTCATTTGGTATCTGGTTGCCCGAAAAAGCAGCGTTACTCAAAGGATTCCTTTAATCGCAAGAGGAGTAGGAGAACCAGGGGGTTTTGTGGTTTGTTCGAGATTGGACCCGCGGTCTCCATGCTTTTACTACATACATCTCATAGTGCCTTGACGTTCTATCCGTTTACCTAGTTGCCCCTTGAATGTCAACATAAAGATTTCATAATGGTATATGACTTATGAACAGTCTTTCAATTCTACGTAGACTATCTTGCGAGGTTTTCCGCAACACCACTGTATCGAGATTCAGGGGTATCGACTAAGAGCCAACAACCAACTCTCAATATGGACAGGCACCTATTAAACAACCGCTTTTGCTGGAAGAAGCAGTGAGTTTTCTAGTGAGAACTGATTGCTCCTTCTATTCAATCTGTTTGTTTTAGAGCCGCTCTTGTTAGTTGAACCAACGGATCTCGTAGCTTCCATTGTCCCAGTGAAAATATCACGGGGATTATAGAATCGACAAGGTAGCTCCAGTTACTAGAAAGCAACGATATCAAAGCCGCCCATGGGGATTGTCTCCTATTGAGTACCGATCCTTATCCAGGGTCTGGTATCTTCTGCCATCTATGGCGCCCTAGAAATGAGGCCCTTATATATAGGGGCCAGGCGACCTGCACCAAGGTGCCGTCTTCTTCACTGTAAGGAGTATCCAAGGCATATACACAGCTGCAGGAGGAGCACACTTGTCAAAAGGAGAACTGCTAAGGAAGGAAAAATAGAAATGCCTATGAAAGCCTGTCAAAGCCAATATGGCAAGTTTTCCTACCTCTCGAGGCTCCTAGCTTCTGCAAACAACTTGCTCCCCCCTAATCCATACAACGCAGCAAACAAGATCATTGACTATTGCTTGAACAAGGGTGCAAAGGAAGAACACTCAACAACACCCAAGTCGTCAGGTCCTCCACAGATCCTTTCTCATTTGATGTGGACCATGGGCGGCGGGCTGGGAGTTAGCCGGCTGGTAGCACTGGACCACTACCCCCGAGAGTATCGTCGAGCTCTCAGAAACACTCTAAGCCAGCAGCAGCTCACAGCCTACTGCAAAGAGACAATACCACTGTTTGTCTTCGGGCCTCTCATGTTGCCGTCCTTCCTGAAGAGCATGACGGACGCAGACGCACATATGGATCAGGCCCAGTACATGAGCCAGGGGAGTCTCCTGGGCCACAAGCTGTACTTGTTTGATGGGAGCGAGCTTCCCCTGGTAATGCCCTCGAGTGAACCAGGGGACTATGTGGATGGAATGTTGATATTCAACCTCACGGCTGCGCGACGAGGTTGGATACACGAGCTCGAAGCATCGAACGAGGTAGAGATGAGGAATGTGCGTGTAGAGATTGTGCTGGATGACGGCAGCCTATCTACCCTAGACGCGGCAGCCTTTGTGTGGACTGGAAGGGAGAATATTGGCATTACCCCGGCTTCGGCAACCCAGTGGAGGATCGATAAGTTTCTTGCAAGCCCCTGGTATGAGCGGACCACAACCGGATATGAATCATGCTAGGTCTGAACAGGAGACTTTGGACTGGGTTGTTAGACCAGGTAAGCCCTCCAACAATAGTCCTCCTGTGAAATATAGATGACATGTGCTAATCAACTTCTAGTGGCTGATAATATCAAAGGGAGGAAAGATCTGAAACTAGAGTCACTAGAGTTTTGGGTATCTTTGGGAATCACTTTCATGTATTTGGCAGTCCCTAAGATATAGATAAACCCCTTTTTATCCTAATATCAACTGGCATTATCTCAACAGGGCCTTTCCGTCTGAACTTCACCAAACCCCCTCTTCTAAGCACAAAGCCAGAGGTATCATAATACTTTATGCTAAAACCACCTTGAATCCAGCTTTTGAGCCTAGACAAGGCAGTATGTACTTCTGTAGTCTGTCTATGGAGTGTCTTTGAGGCTGCAGGGTAGCAGGTAGCAAGTCCAATAGACCCGCCCCTTTCCTGTGAACCATATCTGCTCTGCCTTCCCATATCAAAGGCACCACTAGAAGTGCAGACAGGCATGAGCATAGATAGTTATAGATAGTCATAGAGACAAAGCCACAGACATAGAGACCGAGAAAGACAGAATGCGCAGCATGAAGAGGACGTCCTGCTGGCGACTAAGCAGACGCCGAGCAGGCACTTCTTTTTCTCCTTTTGTTTTCTTTTCTTTCTTCTTCTTGTCTTCTTTTTGTCTTCTGAGCCTGCAGACTTCTCTTCTTTCACTTGCCAGGCAAACTGCTGGATGAAGCTGTGACTCTCCTCTGCCTTCAAGCTGCACCATCAGAGCCGGTCGAGCTCTTGCTTCTACGAAAGGTACGGATGGCATCCACGGAGGCCGAGTCTCAAGTCCCCTCAGGGACCACAGAAGAGCGCTCGAGCTGACCAGATTGATAGACAGACGCCGTTTTATTGACTCGAGACGCCCAAGAGATACTAGAAAATCTCCATATTCAAGGTGAGTCAGGGCCGTCTTTCTCCCTGTCTGTCACACAACCAACCCGCAGAATTGGTATAGTGGTGCTGGCTGCTGACGGTGACAGGGTATCATCGAGACTGACTTCATAGAATCAATTCAGTCACCAAGGGTCCAGAATTGACCCAAAAAAAAAGGTATGTCCTGAAGTCCGTTGATGCCTGTTTGACTTAAGTTAACGCAAAAGCAGTTGATAAGATGAGCGCTGCAAACTTTGACTGGGGGTTGGTCGATATTATGGCCGAGGTGGACGACGTAGTCCTCCACCAACCCAATCAACCATGGCCTGACAGTGCTTTTGTGCTGGGAGGCGGGATGTTTGCGAGTGATGCCAATCTTTTCGGTGTCTTCAATACCCGAGAGCACATAATCGAGGAGTTATCGAGGCTCTTGCAGCAAATCCAGTCCCTGCGTGTTCAATCACGTCTGCTGTTGGAACAGCCTGTCCCTGTCGGGTTTTTAGACGTTGTTGCAGCTCAGCTTATTCCCCAATGGACAGCACGGGACATGCCATCTCCTATTAGGCAGCTCGTCGAAACCGTGTCATATCAGGCTGCCAGCATCGGCATTCTGAATCTCCCCTTTCCAACACGTGAAGCCATCTATAGGTTGGTGCTCGATACCAATTACACGATGAAACAATCCATCCACCCCGACTGGGTAACCGCAGAGGTCATTGACGACACGGCGTCTTCGGATATCCAAACCGCATGGATCTGGTCAAGATGCCCACGCGTCACGAAATATAATATTCATCCTGCAATTCTGCGAGTTAGCCGCCAGATTTATCATGAGACGGTCATGGTCCTGGGCCGCCAGAACCTGTGGGTTGTTGTAAGCACATCGGATACTCAGATTGCTCAAGGCTTGACGGAGATGGGCGCCGCCCTCCCCATTCCGGCTGATTGGAGGGGCCTTGGCCTGCCTGGATACTCTCCGTACGTTTACCATGTGCCAATTGAGATGCATGTCGAAGAAAACCCAAACGTTGCCTTGGCTGAGCAGCAGTTTTTTGTCATGGCCCTGGACTGCGTGTGGGACCTGGTCGCCTTAATGATTTCATACAGCAGCATCCCTTGGTCCCTGACTGTCCGGATCAATGAGACCTCTTTCTTTAGTCATCAGCAGAAGCTCGACTGCATCGCCCGAATTGTCGATATGCTGGAGCCGCTAAGACTCCTCGGGGAAGACGACTACTCCCGCACTGTGACCTTTTGGTTCCAGAACCGTATTGCTGGCGATAGGGCGATCCGCCTGAACCGCCTGCAAAACAGATTCAGCACTATCGAGCTGATCGGTATGCTGCGGGAGTACCTGGACCCGTTCAATGCGAATCTTTGGCAAATCAACTGGGCCAAGGAAGACCTTAAGATGGCCGAATGGGGCTTTTTCTTTATCCATGCCATGAACAAGTACGGCGCCAACGAGCAATATGGACGGCTGTGGAGAGACACCCTGTGCATCGGCCACGCCCGTCTCATGATTATCCGCCTGGCGCAGGGTAAGCTGGTCCTGGCCAAGCACCATGCCCAGCGCGCCAACGAAGTGGCTGAGTTGCATCAAGCGACGCTCTGGTGGTGCAAGGCCCTGATAAGCCGTATCACTGGGTGGGAGGATGAAATTCCCAACAGAGACACCATCAACGAAGCTCTTCGCGCCATCTGGTGCCTGTGCTGGAACGAGCGCAAGAGTTGGTTCCATCTGCTGTGGCAGCATTATAAAGATGCTGAGCATGAAGCACACGGGACCATCGCGTACGCCGTCTGCCTGCTCGAGGGTATCAGATTGATCCTGGCCAACACAAACGAAGCCAACGACTTGAAGAAGCAGGCGAAGTTATTCAACAACCTCATGTGTGTTCAGGGGGCAGGTTTGAACGATGGCTGCACTCCAGAGCAGAGAGATTATCACAATCTCACGACGCGAAGCGTGATAAATGACAGCAGGCTGCCAGACAGTGTCCAACAACAGAGCATAGAGGAAGGTGTGATGCTTTGGCGTCTCATCGAGGGAGCTTAGCTTCAATATTGGCCAAATTTTGGTTGAAGTTTGAAAACCTTTGAGATCTCAAAATTCGAATTGAACAATCAATACTTCGGAATCTAACGACTGGAATGAATGAACAGCAGCACCCAAGGGAGAGAGATTGAGAAAACGAGAAACGACAAAAAAAATATGAAATAGCCAGAAAAGCACAAAAAAAGGAGGTGTTTTCTTCAGTTAGTTCAGGTAGTTAAGTAGGTAGAGAGAGAGAGAGAGAGAGAGAATGATACAGTCGAGCTGCATACCTTGATCTGATTTTTGGTAGAAGTAGTAGATACAAGATGTCACTCGAAAGCTCAGAGACTCCAATATCTTATCGATCAGAAGGCATTGACAGCTCTTATTGACCGGCTGCAGAAAGGTATCAAGCAAATGCTCACATTCACGGCCCTTGCAACAATACAGGAGGACAATATCAAGCAGGCTAGGGGGCCTCCCCCGAACTCCAGCAACCACAGGCAAAGACAAAAACGAGAGGCAATCAAGCGAGCTCAAAGACCTTCTGCTCTTGATTCTGGCCCTGAGCAAGGGACGCGGGACGGGGAAGCTGCCCGCTGTCGATCTCCGAGATGGCTACTGAGCCGCGGGCGTGCTCGACGCTGTTGGCCCAGCTGGAGCAGTGCGCCATCCTCTCCTGGTGCCGCAGCGACGGCGACGCCAGCGACGGCGAGGTGGCCGAGATCGAGGTCGCCGTCTCGGATCCCATGCGCCTCTGCTCGTCGATGTCGGCCTTGAACAGCAGCCGGTCGACCAGCACCGCGTGCGCCCGCCGCAGCGTCTTCTTCACGAAGCCCGTCGCCAGGACGTTGCAGCGCATGTTGACGTCCTCGCGCAGGTACAGCCCTTCCCGGGGGGCGCCGGGGATGCCCAGCTCGACGGTCTCGCGAGGCTCGCCGGGCATGTTGCCGCCGACGCTCCATTTCTCCTGGATGTCGAGGCCGGTGGGCGCATAGACGTGCGTCTGCAGGCCGCCGGGCAGGTCGTGGAAGCAGGCCTTGTACGAGACGTTGCCGGACAGCAGGCCGCCGGGCAAATACTGCACGCGGTCCGTCAGCTCGTACCAGACGCAGTGGAATTCGTCGGCCGGCGCATGGGACGGTGGCGAGCAGCGCTTGAAGTCGATGACCAGGGGGTTCAGCTTGATCATCTCGCTGTGTTCGTGGAGGGTGCGCACCACCATCTCGCGGGTGATGTACGACGGCAGCGGCGTGACGGAGGTGAAGACGCTGCGCTTGTACATCTTGCTGGGCTGGGTCGAGTTACAGGCAGGCAGGCAGGCCGGGGTAGCCGGTCGACGGACTGGCTGACGGGTTATACGGGTTGGACGATGATCTACGGAGTACGGGAGGTCTCTTTTTTTTTTATTATCTGGATGGGAGGCCTGGGTGGACGGGAGGTTGCTTTGCTTCCTGTCAGCCGCAGCCTTGTCCGCCGCTGGTGGCTTGGTAGTCTTTCTTCTCCTCGACAGACGCTGGATAGAACGCATCCAGACTCAAGAGACGGCCAGAGAGCATCGAGAAAGGTCGGGCGGGATCCCTCGGCATGCTTATGGAGGGATAGCAGCTATATCAGGGCGGATATCAGACGGTTTGCCGGACGGGATAACAGCCAGGCCGGCAGTGTCACTACGAACGAACACAGTGACTACGAACGAACACTGCTCGGACAGAGAACAGCCCGAGATGTGAGCATTCCGCACACGATGCAACAGTGACCTCTCCGGAGCGAGGACAGAGAGGCATGTTTCACCTCTGTTGAGGCCAGTGGAAGACGCCGCCGGAGATCTCGCGGACCTGGGCAGTGTCTAGTGCAGAAGATGTGTCTCTTTCCAACTGGAAGAACCTCCCAGGATACGCCCCTTTGTGCCCTTTACGGCGGTCGAACTGGTCTGGCTGGGCATATCGCCATCTGGACGGACGCAGATCCAGCTTTTTACTCCATACGCCATGGCCAGCGCTGTCAATAATTAATACGAGAAAATGGAGGATGCCAAAGAGTGGAAAGTCAAAATACCAACTGTGAACTGCTTATTTTTGGGTCGAATCTAAGACATCAATCGTGTTTTGCAAAGGGGATGTCACCGCTGTCTGCTGAGAGCCCTGCTGGATATAAAAGACTGGCTGCCCTGCTGTTGAGCCGGTAGATTCCCCCAGATCAGCATCCAAATCTGCATCCAACTACTATTTTCACGCACGGCTTCACTAGTTACAGCAGTCCCCACTATCAACTTCCAAAAGAGCCGTCAAAATGCGTTTCTCCAGCATCATCTTCTCTGTCCTCTCCCTCGTTGCCTTCTCCCAGGCCGCTGAGTGCCCTGCCGGAACCCAGCCCGACTGCTGCCAGAACATCAACGAGAACAAAGTCGGCTACTACTGTGAGTGGACTTGATGAATCATTGTATACCTAGGCGTATTCAATGACTGACAAAGAAATAGGTGCTCAGCCAGGTGCTACCTACTGCCAGGAGCCCGGCCAGTCTCTCATTCCGGTCTGCTGCAAGAGCTACAGCAACGTAAGTCACCCTCAGCTGAGGCTCACAAATGGATACCAAGGTGAATTAACTGGGATATGCAGACTCCACGCGGCTACACCGGCTCCGAGTGCACCAAGCTTTGAATTGGCACTATGAGTTATATATAGACATGTTATATAATATATATATATATATATGAATAATAAATATTTACCCTTAATCTTTACAAACATAACCGAGATTAAAAAAGTTCTATTCCTCCAGAAAGAAAACCCCCAAGTAACCAGTGTGTCAAGCCAAATGTGTCTATCAAGTAGAAAGCCATAGATCATGAATCCCCCAAGCGCCGGCCGTGAGACTGAGAACTCCCACCAGACTGGCCGGGACCCCTATTCCGCCGTCCACGCTCCAATGCAGACATAGCGGCAGCCATGCAAGGTTGTTGACCATGCTCTTCCTCCACGCCTTGACCTTTGCAGCCATCTTGACAGCTTCTTCCTTGGTCTTCTCGCGGACTCCCTTCTCAACTTCTCCAAGGTCTTTCCTTGCACCCGCTTGACTCTTCTGTCCTTCAGCAGCAGCAGCAATGTGGCTCTCCCGCGCCAGCCGGACAAATTCAAGAAGCACATGCACCAGCCACGCCCTGACACTCCAAAGGGACCACTTGGACAGACTGCCCCATCGTTCGACGGTGCGCTTGCTGAGAACCCCCTTGGAGGCCAGGAAGGCTACGTTTTCAAGAAGCTGGAAGAGCACGCAGGCGAGCACCTGGCCGTACGCAATGGCTCGCAGCACGGGATCTGCCGGTGGTGATTTGTATGTCGAGGAGCCCCAGGCCCAGAGCGGGAGGAGGCCGAGCAGCCGCAGCGAAGTGCGTGTCTCTGATACCAGGGATGCGAGAGCCAGCAGATGCGGGTGTGACGAAGCTGCCGCAGCAGCAGTACCGCCGGCGACCTTGGAGGGAGGAGAGGCAGCTGGTTTCCTTCCGAGGGCTGCGAGAGCCAGTTGGTTCAGTCTGCGTGAATGCGTGAGGGCGTATTGCAGGATATGCGCCGAGTAGCCAACGGTAGCAAACGCCCGTTCGGTCCCATGCGCGCTGGATATGAATCTGCATCCTCTGTTAGCAGCAATCCAGTCCCCCAATGGCCAGACGAGGAAGACACTCACTTGTTCAGACGCAGGATGGTCGAGTCCACGGCTGCCAGCGCAGAGGGCGGCTTCTTCGACTTCTTCTCGGCCTCGACGGGCTGCGGCGCGATGTCCACCAGCACCGTCGACTCCGTCAGGCTCTCCTCCATCGTGTCTGCTTCTTGCTTCTTGACCGGCAGGCAGCGAGCAAGCAGTAGTAAATAACTAGTACCCCGTAATCGACGGTAGAAAGGGGGAAGTTCTCCGGGATTTAAATCGTGGCCGAGCAAAAGGCGCAACCTTTCTCCGCCAGTTTCAGCCGAGGCCCGATTCTCTAGTTAGTTAACTCGTTAGTTATGGCTGCGTATCAAAGTCGCTGGAGATCAATTGATTCTGAATATTCGTGCATTAAATAGCTATCAGACCAAAATATATACAGCCAAACAGCCCACGCCGGCTTCAGTTTTGCGTCTCTTCTGTGATCTCGTCTTCCGCTCCGGGTCTGTCTGCGTCCTTGTCTGGCTGCTCGTCCGGCGTAGAGGCAGTCTCCTGGTCGAGAGATGCAGATGGCAAGCGGTGTTCAGCGCAGAACTTGGGCATCCGGACCAGTCGAGGCCGTCTCGCTGGTTGACAGGGGCGTTCCGGCGTCTTTGGCCTCTCTGGTGTCTTTGGCCTCTCGGGCTGGTCGTGGTCCTGGCCGTCCCTGCGGTTGAGCCGCCCGTAGACGAGGTCTGACCAGCAGTCCTTCCAGGCATCGGCCATGGATGATGGCATTGATACCCCCTGGCCGGGCCCCTCGTCGTTCCCGGGGAGCTCCGGGCGAGGGAGCGGCCGCCTGATCTCGCTCATGGGGATGTCGAAGATGCTGGCTGGCTGGCCGATGGCAGCTTTCTGGAGCAGCAGCTCGTTGTTCTCGCTGCACAGTCCGTTCAGGCTCTGCCATGCTCTCTCGTGGTGGCTCGGCCGGCAGCGAAGGCAGTATACCTTGTGGCATTCCGGGACGACGGGCCCGTCGTGCTCGCTGATGATGTCGTTGATTCTGTCGCTGATGCTGTTGCTGGAGCCCCTTGCTGGCGCTGCGATACCCGGCGGCGGCCGCAGTGGTATGCCGTACCATGCAAGCATGTCTGCCTCTGCCTCTGCCAGCTCGCGCTCTTCCGCCTGGCGCGTTGCCTCCGTGCGCATGCCCTCGAGGACGGACGCCCGCTGCTGCTTGAGCGTCGCGACCTCCTCCTCGGTGTAGTGGCCGTCCGCGATGGCCTTGCGCATCCAGTCGTTCAGGGGCAGCTCAAACTCCTGCTGCTGCAACGCCTCGGACGACAAGTCGGAGCCCGTCTCTGCCAGGCCGCGGATGAAGCCGTCGCTGAGAGTCCGATCCTGGTCTTCGGCGCAGACATATACCCAGCGCCTCCTTTTGCCGAAGCCGCAGCGTGCGCACCAGAATCTGTTGTCAGTGTCAAGGACGCGGGCGGTGCAGACATGCGTGCAATCCGCCCGCCAATAGCCTCGTGAACTGCGTCTGAGGCCCATCTACTCTCTTTCGTCTCGATCGGCTCTGGGTTCTCGTTTATATATATATATATATATATATATATCTTTGTCCTTTGCGGTAGTTCTTTTGTACGGGAAGGGATAGACCTGCTGAGCTGCTGCAGTGAAGCCACGGGGGATAAGAAAAAGACGGCCAGGAAGGAGGCAATACTTAAGGCTCCTGCTGGCTATGACGATTACGATGTTGATTATAATAGCCCTATGCCCTGATGGCTATGACGATGGGGAGAAGAAGTCTGCGTATAACTTTTTGGTGGAAGTGCAAACATGGGGCGAGACTTTGCCTTTCCACAGTGATTTTGTTCTATTTGATATTTTATGCCTAATATGGAATTTATGAAGGTAATAAAGCTCTCCTGTATCTCTTGATAACCCCTAATATAAGAATATACAAGGTGATTCTACCTCTGGACATGTATCATACTTAGCAGCAGCATAGCGGAGCCGCAGCAATACAGCTTCTTTCCCCTATTTCTCCTCTGCTATCCTGCATCCTCTTTTTCTACTGCTGTCGCCGTCATCGCCATCTGTCGTCTTCGTCTTCCTCTCGTTTTCTATATCTCTTCTTGCATCTTGGTCGCCTTTCCCCGAGAATCGCCCAATCGGGTAATCAACTGCAGCTTCAACTTTTCCTTTTCGAGCCTTTTCGACTTTACCTTAAATACTTTATTTCGACGACCTTCATCAACTTCATCAACTTCATCAACGACATCGCCATCGCCATCGCCGCCGTCTCTATCTACTCCGTATACTTAGTAGTGATCCCTGCCAACCTCGGCTGGACCACAACAAACAAACGCTAGCTCCAGCCCAGCCGGCTCGACGAACGCGACAAAACAGCCTGAAAAACATCACCTCGTCCCCTCCGCCCGGCCGTCCATAAAACCAGCCGCCATCGTCCGCTCGCACCAGCCAGAGACATCTCGCCTGTCCCGCCGCTGCTCTCCTCCTCGCCCTGCCGTCGCCTCGCCCAATTCATCGCCTTCTCTCCCGCTCGCTCGTCCTGCCGTTGTTGTTGCTGCTGTTGCTGCTGTTGCTGCTATCCCCTGGCCCAGCCTTCCAGTAACCATGACGACCTCCGTCAAGTTCGAGAAGGATACCGTCCGCACTGCCGGCACCGCCGCTACCAAGGCCAGCGAGGACCTCGTTCATGCGGTCGGTGAACGGCTGACTGGCGGCAAGTCTCAGAATGGCTACCTCGCCGTATGTCGTCTCTCCCGTTATTGTCGTTATTGCTGCTGTCGCGGTGGCTGGCATGGACTGCACGGCTAACATCTGTCCAGGCATACCTCAAGGAGCTCCAGTCGAACCCGCTGCGAACCAAGATGATCACCTCTGGTGCTCTCTTCGGCATCCAGGAACTGCTCGCCTCGTGGATTGCGCATGACCGCAGCAAGCATGGCCACTACCTCAACTCCCGCATCCCCAAGATGTCACTCTACGGCGCCTTCATCAGCGCGCCGCTCGGCCACCTGCTCGTCGGCATCCTACAGAAGATCTTTGCCGGACGCACCAGCCTCAAGGCAAAGGTCCTCCAGATCCTCGTCAGCAACCTCGTTGTACGTTTTCCACCCCCAGTGTTTACTCTACTACTCCTTGTTTACGGGCCCGGCGCCTAACTAACGACAACGACAACTACAGGTCTCTCCCATCCAGAACGTGATCTATCTCACCTCAATGGCCATCATTGCAGGCGCCCGAACCTTCCATCAGGTCCGCGCCACCGTCAAGGCCGGCTTCATGCCCGTCATGAAGGTCAGCTGGATCGTCTCGCCGCTCTCCCTGGCCTTTGCCCAGCAGTTCCTCCCAGAACACACCTGGGTCCCCTTCTTCAACGTTATCGGTTTCATTATCGGAACCTACATCAACGCTCACACCAAGAAGAAGAGACTGGAAGCTCTCAAGCGCAAGGTTTGTGTCTCTCTTCCCAGCTTACATACCACATCATACTGACGGTAAAACTATAGCAATACGGCTCCGGAAAGAGCTCAACCGGCCGCCCAGAAGATTACCCACCACCACGACGCGACTACTAACTCTAGTTTTCTCCAAGGTACACTAACAAAAGGCCCACAGGAACTACCTAGAGACTAGAAAAAAAAAAAAAAAATAAACCCATCTGAAATCTCGCCTGCCGTGTATATTCTCTGCATCGCGGAGTTCCGCCCTATTTATCCGCGCCAATCAATATATCGACCCTATATTTCCAGGATAGATTTTCAGCCCGCGATATCCTCCTCCTTGATCACGCCTCCCCTTCCGCCTCCTTTCCTTTGTTATACGGCCTTTTGATTTTTCTCGTTGCTTTGGATCCCCCCGTTGATTCCTTTTTTGACTGTTCATTCTCCCTCGATTCTCTGCAGATTGGTGGACTCCAGTGGCAACCTGCAACAAAACAAGCTGAAAAAAAATTACAACATTTCTCCTCGAATGTTGAAGCTTACTTCACACCCAATGCTTCGTCTCTGTTTTGTTCGGTCCGATCCCTCCCTCTCTGTTGCCCCTTTGAGCCACTTCTTTTGCTTCTCATGTACCTCTATATATGCCCGGTCCCGACTTAATTCTACGTGATATTGAATGAATTTCTGTTTTCCTTCCCTACGTAGCACTCCAAGGCTTATCTGGAACTATCTAGAATAATTGCTTGGTGATCGTGATACCCGTTTCTCCCGCTAACTGACCTGGCGTTGAACCCTTTGATATGCTAACGTCCAGCAAGTTTGCGCGACTCCGGCCAACGCTCTTGCTGTGTAACCAAAACAACCCAACCGTCCGTCTCTACTCCCCGAAATCAATGGCTAGAAGACCCTGAAAGCAGCCAACCGGCCATCGCGTCCCAGCATGCCCAGCTCGTTCCTGACTCCATGACGTGGTTCTTTGCTTATGGACGTTTGTTTCCGTTCGAGGGTTGACGTTAACCGTGAGACAAGAGGCCAGACGTCGCCTTGAAGATGGCAAACCTGACGTCAATGTTTGGATCAGGCATCTCTCTTATCTACTGAAGTCAGTCAAGCTATCAGTGGTGGTCATTTTCCCCGTGTTCCCATGGACAAACTATGATGGATGCATATTCAAAATTGACCATCTGCCAAATACCCCGGGTATGGTGGCTACCAGCAATAAGAACATCATGGTCCCCCAACATAATTATACATCATTACTATCAAATATCAAACATCATGCTGGACAACCTTGGGCAGACCCTTTGCATTGGTGTCCAAGCGGTCCGCTCCGTGTGACATCAAACATGGAGCCCCAACATTAGCATTAACGGATGATGCAACCATGAATGCACTTCTGCCCTGGAAAGAGCCATATTATTTAAACAGCTAGCCTCGCATTTTCTACTCTCATACAGGATAGACAGACTCTTACCAAGTTTATCTCGTGGAAACTTCATTATATCAGACCCTGGCGACTCTAATATATCATGTCTCCACATCCAAAGTGCATCTGTCGTACCTATCCTGAAGCGTCTGAGGAAAAGTCCGGCTGCGGATTAAGAGCGTTGAAGGCATCTTCTCTCCAAAGCATAGGAATCAGCGAAGTCCTAGCAACAAAACTAGCCCTTGATGCACTCGAGAGTTTCCGCGCTCCACATCTAGAAACGCCTCGTTGCCCCTTGCATGGTTACAAATATCTCCCCTTCAGGCTGTTCAACACTCTCGACTCACATCTTTTCCGCGGCGTGCTTAAAGATCAAGTCTACCTCAGATGGTCGAATATTCTACCCTCTCGCGTCCACGGGTTGACCAGTAAGCCAGGCTCACGAGACAACAGAATCACAATCGATCTCCAATATGCCTTGATAGAGGACAGCTCTGCCGAAGGAATCATATCCGTTCTCATACACCATATGGCTCACGCATACTTCCTCGCTTGCTGTGGACCGCCCAGCTTGGGCAAGAACCGTTCGGAAAGACAGAATCTCGGCCATGATCTAGCTTATAGCACCCTGGTATATAAAATTATGGATGTCTTTCAACCTCGAGGTTTCAATAGGATGCCAAACTTGTTCCTTTTCGATCGTGCTCGGCACCATCTGAATGATCAGCATCAGCTCTGTCGCGCGGAACGAACAGTGGCTCACTTGGCCGAACCCGGTAAATGCTGTACCTACCAATCGACGGATTTCTTAGACAGGAAAACATGCCGTGATCATACCTTAACTTTGAAGGAGTTACACTTGAAGTATGGGCGTGATGGAAAGTCAGACCTCGGGGATCCATAGTAAGTTAAGTATTCCTCGTTGTAAAATATACATACTAATCTTGTATACTTCAGTCCGAAATCACACTATATCCATGTTGTTGACCTTGTGAAACAGAGATTTACACCAGTATTGCGCAGTCAATATCGGTATCGACCAAAGGACTATATTGAACTACACTATGAGAACTATGCTGTGCCGTTCCTGCGCTCTGACCTGAGAAAGGACTGCTCCCTAGCTTCTAAGATATCAGAGGACGTTAACTTCCTGAACATACCAGCCCCGTCTCATCAGATATTCTGCGCCTTTTACTCATACCTCCTAAATGGCGACTACCCCCCAGAATTGGTCAAAATTACATCTCCTTATATCACAGCGAGAAATGCCGAAGGGCCTCCACTGATACTGACTTATGTGCCTGAACTTGAGAACTTCCTCGCTACTGATATCAGGATGTTCAGTTTAGCAAGCATGTTGGATTTCTCGGACCTAAGGGACAGTGCTATGCACAGAATGCATTCTCTGAGCGAAACGCATGCCAATCCAATATCCATCCTTCAGGAAATATACAACAGTCCAACCAGGAATGATGATGACAGAGATAGATTGCGACGATGGGTGCTGGAGTTCCTTCCCAAGGGCGGCAAGGAGCGTGGATTCACCAACATAGACGTCCTGCAAACAGGTCAGTGGAGTGATAGTCTTGCGAAGCTACGGAAGGAAAACGGCCTGTTCAATATGGACTATTCAACTGCATTCGAAAGTTTGGTTCTGGAAAAGGCATCGGCTTATATAAATGCATACAATGAGGCGAGTCGAGCAAATGGGCACGCTGCAGGTAACCCAAGCGAGAACTTCAACATAGGAACATTATCCTCTGAGGAATTGGAACTGCTCCGTCAAGTTCATCCTCAGATGTCAAAGCTCTACGAAACAGCCGTTGCCTCAACACAGAAACAAGCACCTGGGCCCAAGATGGAGAAACAGACGAATAATGATTGCGGATCTGAGCATTGTTTCTGTCATGTCAACCAACAGAACCGCCATCATCCTCACCGACACCAACAGCAGCAGCAGCAGCAGCAGGAAGAGGACCAAGATTCTGATACTTCCTGCTCTCAGTGTCCCTGCTTCTACTGTGTACCTTTTTTGAACGAGCCGAATACACTTAGGCAAGCCCCAACCCCCCAGCATTGTTTGAACGTTACCACCCCCCTACTCTTCTCACCAAGCCCCCAGACCACATGCAGCCCTATAAATTTTATACCAGTTTCCACCCACCACAGATTTAGATGAGGAGAGAGAGCAGTACAGTTTGGGCATATTTTTGTTTGCAGCTGTATGGCGTATGTAACACGACCTCCGGTGAGCTACTAAAATTGTTTGCTTCTGCTTTAGTTATACTGATTTTTTTTTTTTTTTTTTTTTTTTTGGTTTGTTCCGTTGGAGGGATAGGCCGCAGTTACAGATGAAGTTTTTATGTAGTTATTGCGAGCATGTTTATTTTGCGAGCTATCGTTGAACTATTCTTCAAAGAGCGATTCTATGGAATGCAATCCACGCCGACTGAGCGGGCAAATAACAAGATGTTGTTCCATCAAAACGATAGAGCCGTATGGAAAATTCAAAATAAAGGCGGAATATAATGGCGAATGTCCAAATCGATGTAGCACACATAGCAATCCAAACTATACCCATCATTGCTGCATTGCCGTCGCTCCCTGCTTCTCTTTAACAAAGGCAACAAAATCATCGATAGCTCCCGGCCAAGCAGCATCAGGGCTCCACCAACTCATGGACTCATCCTCCATGGTTTTGCGCATCAAAACCTCTGTTTGCTCCCATAGATCCTTATTGATTGGGCGCTTATGTTTAGTTTCAATAAATTCGATCCACCATTTCAGCCATGGCACGGACTTGGTCTCCCATGCAACGCCGCCATTCTCTGAGGTGAAGAAAAGCTGCCACTGTTCAACAGCAAGTTCTATGTTAACATTGCGCTGGCCTTGCATTCGACACAATAAGAATGTATAGCGATATACTCGTCGGAAGTAATTTGGGTCATCCAATAACAGTTTGCGTAGGCCATTCGCATAAGAGGCTTGTTTCTCAATGGTATCACACCTAGAAAGCTGTGAGTATATAAGAGCTGAATACAAGGGTTCCAGGGAAGCAAACTCAGTAGTTCCTCTCCATCCTTCGACAAACCCTTCTCGGGTAAATTCTCCCATGGATGGAGAACGTAATAGCTCGGCTACGGCAAGACAGGCGACCTCATCTAACCTGACCTGAAGGTCACCAAAGTACTTCATAGCCCCATTGATTCCAATTTCATCAGGGCTGTCAGGGTCATCTGGGATCTCCATTAGTACAGTGAGGAAACAAAATCATGGGTGGCTCTTTTACCTCGGTACTTGTCAAATATCTTGTTCACCGCAGCGGTTTTCTCCTGTGCTGTTCCTGACTGTCCGTTCTGGAAGTAGCTGCATTCATATATTTGGTTAGCTTGAGGTTTATTATGTGTTAATATCATTATAATGTAAATCATGGTAGATATGGGGAGCAAAATGATTTATTGGTAGGTATAACAATTCATGATGCTGCCAGGTAGAATGCCCCATAACATTGGTATGAAATTTGCAAGAATTGGAGAAAAGACTCTTAAATCCTGCCAGCCGCTTGTGACAAGCAAACAATCCCCTTCGCCATTACTGTGGACGCCTAAAAAATGCGTAGGATGCTGGACCTAACTATCTGGTATAGATCCTAAATGTCTGAGGGGCAGTTGAGGGGTAACAGGAACAACATGGATGAAAAGTGGTAGGGTAGTAGTAGTTAAGGGGAGCGATAAAGCTGCAGAGAGACATACTCATCGATAGCTTGGTCTACTTTCCAACCATTTGCTTTCAGACACTGATATCATTTACAGTCAGTTATAGTCAGCATACAGCATACGCCGGGTGTTGGAGGCTTCTAATTTGAGACCAGGACCGAAAGTACACGCGCAGGGTAAGCTGGTTGATGCTGTACCTTTGTAGCAACGCTGTCTTTTGCACCAGTAACGCTCACAAACTGCGCTATAGTACTTTTCTGGCTCGAGCTTGGAGGCATGTCTAGTGGGTATCAGAGGGGATGCAAATTGGTTCGTGAGATCCTTTTTCGAGATAGATAGGGCTACAATAACGTGGTGTAGCTCCAAATGTAGGGGTCGCGTTTCTTCTTCCGTTTCCTTCTCCGTTTCTCGCTTCCTTTTTCTTCTATGCTGATTTTATTTACTTTGAAGAGTAAAAAGAAAGAGAGAGAATCAGAAAACGCACGGACGTTACGGTGATGATGAACTGTGTCACATGACACAAATTTGAAGTGGGAATAAGCTTAACTAGTTAAATAGATTACATAAGTTATTCTATAGAAGGAAGGTGCGGATCGGGCATCTAATAAATGAATATTTGTATCCCTCGATATTGATAATATCTATACAAAATAAAATAAAATAGAATCCAGGGGTATATGCCATGAATGATAGCAAGAAAACTCGGATGGCAAGGAGATTAAATGCTTGGAGATACAAATTGTAGGATGAGGAGCTTAACTGTTTCGGCTTGGGGGCGCCAGTACTCAAGAGCCATAAAAACTAAAAGCTAGCAGGACAATATTTTCAACAGATAGATCGCTTTTAAAAGTACAAGCCGTATATCACGATAGAACTCCGGTAGCGCAAAAACACCAGTGCCAATATGTACCCGTTAAATAAAGAGCTGAAGCGTCGGTTATGTGGTGAAAAGGGTATCCTCCTGAAGCAAATTGTTAATAAGTGCCTATGAGGCAGTACTTTGCAGAAATCAAATCTCACCTCTCTCAGATATTCACCAATGTCCCCTTGTCTAAATGCCACAACTCCAGTTGGATCTAGCTTTCGAGCCTCCATAGTCGAGCGAGCAGTTACCCCAAAGCCCTATAAGAGAACCATGAATTAGCAAGCCGAAATATATATACTCGATTTATGCACATATCAGGCATGCAGAATGGGCATGGGCATGGGCATGGGGGTATGGGTATATAAGACTCACAAGAGGGGTATCGTCCATTGACAAAACAACCACTCCCTGATGCTCCGGGCAATCTTCGCTCCATCTGCCAACGTGTGCTTTCACAATGTTTCCACCATACAGAAAAGGCATCTCTCCATTAGGCTTGATCCATAGCTTATATCTGGCATGTGGTGCAATAACATCCAATGCTGTGATGTGCAATCTGAATTTTCCAGTCTTTGTAAATTTACCGAGACAGGTTCCTATTGATAGCAGGTTGGGTCTCGCAATGGACGTCGCAAGATTCGCTACCGAGAGTCGGAGGTAGTAGACCCTAGAGCCATGGAGTCTAAAAACGTATCGATCATCTGCAGACTCGTCGCCAGAAGCGGTGGGAGGTGCGATGAGATGGTTAAGAGAACGCCCGGTGTAATTCGCTAGCTTTGTGAAGAGCGTCTGAGTCTCGGACTCCGTGAGAGGGCGCATGGTTTAATATTCGTTAACCTTCAACTCTAATAGAAAAATTTCCCTGGCCTCTTCTTCCCTCGTGTGACTTCAATGGTTGGTGTTTTGGCAGCTGTCAATATATCTGCTGTCGCAAGAATACCTTTATCGATAGTTGAAATTTTAGAGTTTGAAATCTTGGCAAAACTTTTCATGCCGTGAAATTTTATTTACTTACTTTTGACCGGCCTTGAAAATTGCATCAATTGATGAAATATTCAATCGCCTTTCAATGACAAATCATGACAGCTAGTGTTTCCGTAAAGAGGAGACGGCTGAGCCCGTCAGATGATTCTTCGTATCTGAAAAGCAAATTCTACAGCCAGGCTGCACAATGGGACCTCGAACAAGACTACGAGCGAAGACCGCGGAAGACGAAGAAGGGCAAGGAAAAGAAGCGGCTGCCGATAAAGACACAGGATGGGACTTTGGAGCATCTAGAGGAAGATGAGAGACCTGAGGAAAGCTCAGAGAGTGAAGTTTTTTCGTCTGAGGTGGAAGATGGTGAACCTGCTACGATGGCCCAAGCAGTTCCTGCGCCAGTATCTGTGCCTCCCAAGGTCCAGATATTGGAAGCAAAAGAAACCCTGGCACGAATAGCATCACTGATAAACGAAGAACCTGAGGAGCACATGGAGCTTTTTAAGAAGCTAACGGAGATGACAGCATCTGCGTCACTTCCAGCCGTGAAGAAACTTGCCCTAGCCACACAGGCAGCCGTTTACAAAGACGTTATTCCCGGCTATCGGATACGGCCACTAGAAGGCGAAGAGCTAACTGCAAAGGTTTCCAAGGAAGTGAAGCAACTCCGCGCGTTTGAACAATCCCTTCTCTCTGGTTATCGAGAATATGTGCAGCAGCTGGCCACACTTTCTCGAGCAAAGCAAGGGAGCGATACATACAACTCTGGCTTGAAGAGCTTATCCATCAATTGTGCTTGCAGTCTACTGACTTCTGTGCCGCATTTCAATTTTCGTGGGGAATTGCTGAAAATTCTGGTTGGACAGCTAGGGCGCCGACAGATAGATGCAGATTTTGTCAAGTGTCGTGAAACTATAGAGGAGGTATTCTCCAAGGACGACGACGGCACCATCTCGCTGGAAGCTGTCACTTTATTGTCAAAGACAATCAAAGCAAAAGAATTTAGAATCCGACCAAGCGTCCTGGATACGTTCCTTCATTTGCGACTACTCTCAGAATTCTCGTCCAAAGGCTCTAAGGATGCAATCGATAAAGAAGCAGACGAGAACAACAATGGAAAGAAGCCAAAGCAAAAACGAGAGTTTCGAACCAAAAAGGAACGAAAATTGATGAAAGAACGAAAGCTTGTGGAAAAGGATATGAAGGAGGCTGATGCTCTAGTAAGCCATGAACATCGGGATAAGATGCAAGCAGAAACGCTGAAGCTAGTATTCACCACATACTTCCGCACACTCAAAACACGCAACCCTGAACTTGTGGGGGCTGTTTTAGAAGGGCTTGCCAAATTTTCCCATCTAATTAATCAAGACTTCTTTGGAGACTTGCTGGAAGTTCTTAGAGATTTGATCTCACGATATACCAACTCCAATGTCAAAGAGAATGAGGACAGACGTGACGATGAGGATTATGACGATGAAGACGGATTTAGGATGAAGGATACTCGAAACGCTACTCGAGATACTCTCCTTTGTTCAACAACTGCATTCGCACTTCTTGAAGGCCAAGATGCCAGCAAAGCAGCCTCTTCCCTTCATTTGGATCTAAGCTTCTTTATAGGGAACATTTACCGTTCGCTACACGACTTGTCCTTGAATCCAGACATCGAATTCCACCCCAGCAAATCACTCCGCCTACCTGAGCCAAATCCTTACAATGACAATCAAAACGTCAGTAATCCGGGCCCAGATAGCACCGTCCTAGCAAAAAAAGTCGACTTTCAGACCCCTACTGTGCTCCTTATCCGGTGTCTACAATCAATATTAACTGCAAAAGCCAACAAAGCTCCGCCTCCCATCCGTATAGCAGGGTTTACCAAGCGGCTCATGTCTTCTGCACTTCAACTGCCAGAAAAGTCAGCAATAGCAATTTTGTCACTTCTTACTCGTGCAGCGAAGCTACATGGGCGGAAAATAGCACCCCTATGGAATACGGAAGAGCGGAAAGGTGACGGAGTCTATGACCCCAATGCGGATGATGTGGAAAGGAGCAATGTTTTTGCCGCAACCATATGGGAAGGCGAATTGTTACGACTACACTATTGTCCACAGGTTCGGGATGCTGCGAAGGATGTTGAAAAAGCCATAGCGGCTGTAAAATAAACTTGCAATAAAAAATAATAAATCGAACAATATCCCAAACCTACGCCATTAATGCTTGCTTGCAGTATTTAGTCCGTGTGTCGGATTTCCTGAGATATGGGTCGCTGTATCAAGCAGACATAGCCTGGAGCCGTTAAGATTTACCTGGTATGCCTGCCACCTTGCACATATTATATTTCCATTTGAATCGGTGCAGATCTGCCACAGTGAGTAGGGCATGCAGTGTACATCCTATCGTCAGGTGTATGAAGCAGAAGAATCTCTAGATGAAATGGCTTTATATCCCTGAAACCGCCTAGATGCTCGTAAAGACCACACTGATTGATTAGCCATTGGAAATTAGAACCTAAATCAGTGGGTGGTTTGCTTACCTCTGACAATTATCCAGGTAGCAAATATACGGCATCACTGCGAAAGACCGTCCTCATTGAAAGCGTACGGAAACGGTTAACCAGTTGGCGCAACGCCGTTCAATTTCCCTTCCCGTCCGCATAGGCCTTTCGGTACCAGTTTGAAGTTCCGCTCCATCCGCCATTGTTGAAGCTTGCATCTCGCCGCGAAGAAACACGTTGTCGACTGGATTGTCGGTTTCGCGGCACCACCTGGGAGCCTTGGGAGGGTAACATAGCTGTCTGCGGTTCAGTAGGAGAATGTAGCGGGTTCGGCGTCATGTCTAGATGTGGTGAATATCCGGCGTGCTGTTGTTGACTGGGAGCACGTCGTCGATTTGGACCACCATGCTGGACATCGCGAACAGGTCCGCTGCTATGGGGCTTGCTGCCGCGATGGTGTAGGTGCTTGGCTGGGGGCTGGCTGCCGCTAGAGTTACTGCGCAGCATATTGGCAGGCCCTTGATAACCTGCCAAAGGCAAGCCCCCATAGTACTGTAATTGGCCACCTAACCTCGCTTCGAGGGCAGCAACTCTACCATTGAGCTGATGGATATGATTTGTATTTGCTCTTGTCTCCACTTGCAGCGCCCTGATTTCGTTCGTTAGCCTCTGAAGGCTTCTCAAGATGGCATCGGTGTTGGCTACTTGTACCATCGAGATCTGTTCGAAACGGGCATTGATCACATCACCATCGTGAGAGCGATTTGCTGCAGGCTCAGTTGGCATCATTGCTGGCAACACTGCCGCCACTGTCCCTCCACATGTCCCATGGATACTAGGAATAACGGGCGCCTGAACATGCTCGGGACTCCCACATGTTGAATGAGGGCCCCGTTGGGTGGCTGTAAGTAGTGGCTCACCCAAGACAATGCCGTCGGTATTTGACTTGCGACGGACATCGCAGTTCATGCGCCCAGATACCCCGTTAGTATTCATCTCCAACACCGAGAAATCGGGGGCCGATGATACCTTCCGCAGACCTGGTTGACTTTCTCGTTCTGTTGGAACCGGCAGCGCTTGATATAGCTTTTGCATACTATAAGCGTCTGGCTGAACGAGAGGTGCAGATTTGGGTGGGACACAGCTTGATTCACTATCCTTCAGCCTAGGATAATAAATATTCACTTCACTGTGAGTTTGCTGAGGGGAACTGGGTGCAGAACACTGGATAGTTGTTCTACCGCCGCTCCGATCCTTGTCATTTGTCGCTCCTGGATGGGTTTCTGACCTCGACCAGTCTCTCACATTGAACTGGTCCATGAGCTTGGTAAGGATGGCTGGCCGCTCTCTCGACACCTCCCTATATCTCCTCTGGACGGGTTTTTGTGTAGCTGGGGCAGCAGACAGGGGGTGGAGATGAGCTCTTGGTGGTGCTGTTGCGTACCTCGGTCTTGTCCCATGCAAAGGCCACTGTGGAAATACAGGTGCTTGAGAATGGGAGAGATCTGGCAGACGGCGCTTTTGGATTGTCAAAGTGGCTGGAAGGGCAATCAATATATGTACATAAGTCAAAGGGAAGCCTCATGGATTTGCATAAAGAAACCCTACGGGGATGTTTCAACATACAAGGACAACCAAAGGATGGGCTGAAGTCCTTTGCTTCTGCTGGCCTGGCTGGAGTAGGGGGATATTTAGGCTCAAGATTAGGAACCACAGATAGGTCTTCCTCCTGAACTCTGCCTTTAGAGCTAGCAACTAGATTCACAGTTCAATACATTAGAATTCACTGTTTTAGCTTGTTCTTTGTAGAAGGTCTGATATCAACATACTAGGATAGACAACTGGCCGGACTTCTGTTTCACTCACTGGCGGGAAAACAGCAGGGGCCGGGAATCTCTTTTCGCCTGTGTTTCTGGCTTGTCTGAGGCAGCCAAAGCTTGGAAGTTCCGGAGCTAAGTAAGGATATATATTAGCATAAATTCAATGCTTTGTTCTAAGTAGAAAATGCTAAGCTGAAAACAAGACATCCAACAGTCCTTTAACAGATGCTGGTTTTTATGCGTTAATGCTAGGGGAGAGGTAGATAGATAGATCAGACTGGATTTGCTATATCTTTCTATTACTATCATTTTTGACTTACCAGTAAGGTCACCCTGACAGAACGCGTAGCTTGATGACCTAGGGAGACGGACCAAGGCAGGCCTAGGGGTTCGTAGCTCTGGAGGATCTGATGAAGTCTGATATGAGCCTCTTCCTTCCATCTTAGAACTATCCAAGTGAACCAGAGCTGAAGACTGTAAGAGGCAAAATGCAAGGCAAGGTTGCTTTATAGTAAGGAGAAGACCAAAGGATTGACGCTGTTAGCAGCCAAGAAGGGAGTAACTGGTATCAAGAAAATAGGCTGGTGAGAGAAAGGGAGGTGAGGATGTTTTGGTCTTCCAACATATTTATATTGTGGGGCCCTGAAGAGACGGGCTTTACTACCAAAGATGTCCTCCTTCTTCTGGCGCTAGTGAGCTGGTAACCAGGGGCTAAATAGCCGTTTTAATAGAGCAAAGGGCCTTAGACGGCACCAAACATGTTCACCTTAGCCTCACTCTATATCCTTTTAAACCTATAGAGAGGACTGGTTGCCAAATATATCACATATATTAAGGCAGAGTACCAGTAACCTATGCCTCTATAAATCTCAGAAATAATAGTAAAGTGAAGGATAGCTATACCCTTAAGACATTCCCAGGCAAATTTACTCTCGAGCGTAGGGTATCATATAGAGGGCAAGAGGACAAGGTATCAGGAAGATGTTTTAAATATTCAATATGTAGAACAAGAAGTTCTAGAAAAAAGGGATACGGAATATAATGGTTCTTGATTTAGCTAAAGTAGACTTTCACCATTCTCCAGGAGGTAAGAAGAGTTAAAAGCCCAAATTCATACATCACAGAAATAATCATCACAGGATTCATTAACAAGGGAGGATATCATGGGGCAATTCTGCGAGTACATATGAAAACGCGAACAAAGAAAAAAGCAACAAATGGAAATAAGATAGAAATGCTTAAAATTAAGAGGCCTTTCAAACAATTATTGTAGTAGCTAATAAGCCACTGCAATATATTGAAAATGCATATTTGTTCAATAGATCAGGGTATGCAAGAGTGTTGGACCAGGCATGTATTAAGCGGTGGTGTCGCGACGACGGAATCCAAAGAGGCTTCCAAAAAAGTTGACGAAGATAGTGCGCCATATATACTTGAGGAAGTTATCTCGGCGCTGAGATGTCAGTGAAGTGATAGATTTGTTGCCGGTCGGAGGACGAGTCTCTTCAGAAACTCCATTGGTTTTCGTGCCGTTGGTCTTGGTTCCATTAGTCGTGGCGGCAGTGGAAGCGTTAGCATGGGCAGTAGCAGCGCTGGAACTTGGCTCAATATCAGCAGATGCGGATGTCTCGGGGGTAGCCTTCTTGGATTCCTCATCGGCAATGACTTTGCCATTGGCAGTCTCTTGAGCATCATCCTTCCCAACAGGAGATTCCTTAACTTGCTCAGGAAGCGATGTATTTTCTATGGTTGTGCCCTTATCATTTTCTTCTGTCGCATGGGCCTTCGAGGTAGATTCAGCGGTAGCAGGTTCTTCTTGCATAGGACCATTTTTAGTGCCATTGGAGGACTCATCATTTACACCAACCTTTGAATCCTCCTTGGCCATAACGTTATTGATATGTTCGGAATCATCAACAGTTCCTTTCTTACTGATAAGCGATTCCGTACCCTCAGGAGTATCATCAGCGGCAGTCTTCTTATCAGTAGTTTCCCCAGATTCAAAGGCTTTCTTTGCCAAGAAAGCGGCCCCAGGAATCACAGCAGCTGCTCCGAGAGCAGCAGCTATTGTAGCACCATTAGTTTTGTGAGCATCCTCTTGCCCTTCGGTCTTGCTGGTAGAAGATTCTTTTGGCTGATCCTCCTCGACCTTGGCATGATCCGTCACAAAATCAGGTTTGGCTTCAGTTGATTGAAGCTTCCCTTGTAAGCCAGCCTCTTGAATAGAGTCTGCTGAAACGTTGGGTAACTCTGCTTTAGGGTCGTTTTTACCTTCCGGAGAGGTGCTACCAACAAGCTGTTCGTCTAAAATAGCTTCTTTAGTGACCTCATCCTTGTTGGTAGGCACTTCAGGTTCATTATCGGCAACAGATTCTGCCGGGTTGTTGGTTGTCCCTTCTGACGCACTGCCAGTGCCAGTAGGCTCAGGTACGTTTTCAGGAACAGTTGTGTTTTCTTCAATATTATGTGTGACAGCCTCAGTTGTAGCGCACTTATCGGGATTACCGGGAGTCTCAGTGTCGTTTGGCGCCTCTGGTGAGGCAGCGAGGGTAGTTACAGCCTCCGAAGTAGGAATCTCGGGTTTCTCAGCTTCAACTGTGGCATTCTCCTTTTCAGTGTCCTGTGAAACAACAGGAGTCTCAGCGGCCTCTGGTAACACGTCCTTTTCTTCGATGGTGGTCACATCAGCGGTCTCAGTCTTGTGAGCTTCATCTTCAGTAGCCTCAGGTTCCGGTGCTGGAGTCTCGTCCGCAACCGGGTCCGCTGCAACAGTCTCCGGTGCAGATTCAGCCTCAACTGTCTCTTCCACAGCAACAGGCGCCTCTTCGACAGCTTCTTCGGCTTGCTTGTTATCGACTTTGACGCCATGGTCCAAGCTCTTTTCCGCTTCGGATTTAACTTCTTCCCCAGTTGCAGTGACGTCATTCTGAACGTCCTTGGGAGCCTCTTCCACATTGACAACAGCTTCTGCGTCTTGCTTTTGCTCTTCAGGCACATCAATTGGCGCATCTACAGCAGCATCTTCAACTTGGGCTTGGACGTCGGCTTCCTTGCTAGCATCCCCGACAACGGCGGTCTCAACATGAACTTCCTTAGGTTCCTCGCTAACATCGGGCTCTCTAGGCCCTTCCGAAGCTACGGGAGCCGGTTTATCAGAAGGCTCGTCCGCTACTTGACTCGTCGATGATTCGGTGGTAGCAGCCACTTCATCCTTTGTGGATTCGCTGGGAAGATCGATTTCCTTGCTTTTGGTTTCAGTGGCAGCAGGAATTGGTGCATCGTCACCAGTAGCTTCCGGCTCAGCAAGCTTTTGTTCTTCCGGCTTATTTGTTTGTTCGCCAGCGGCTTCAACTTCTTTTCCTGGGACACTTGTATCCTCCTCTTTAGAGTCACTATTTTCAGAATCCTTTTGGATAGCTGCTGCAGGTTCTTCAGCAAGGGGCGCTAGTTCCTCAGTGGCAGGCTCCTTCAATTCGGATACTTTGGTCTCTCCTTCCACTTGGGGTTCCGGAGCGGGAGTACAGCTCTGAGCCACCTGACCTGCTTCCTCTTCTGAGAGCTCTGGATTAGCTTGAGATTTGACGTTCTGAAGTGCTTCAACACCTGCGATGTTAGCAATAACGGGTACCTCAGACGCCTCTTTAGTCTCATCTTCTGTCTTAGAAGGGACCTCCTTGACCGGATCTTCTTCCGCAACAGGCTGAGCTCCAGGAGCAGACACTGGGACAGGATCGGCCTTGTCTTCAGTTTCCTCCTTCTTCTCGGTGGGATGCGAATCCCGATTGACTTCAGGTTCGAGGGTGTCCTTGCTTTCTGAGACAACAGCCTCATCCTCAACCGTCGGAGCGTTGCAATCAGCTGGCGCAGAATCATCGGCAGGCAAGTCTTTGACTTCCTCGATAGAAGCGATATCTTGATGTTCGTTTACTGGGGCTTCATCAGCCGCAACAGCAATTTCGGCGTTTGGCCCCGGGGCAGGTTCTTGTGACTCCTCTTTGGTGTTGTCCTTGAGTACCTCCGGAGCTGATTCCTCCACCGGCTTATCATCCGTTGTGGTCTCTGCCTCCTTCACTACTGGGGCATCGTCCTCCGTTGACTTCAAATCTTCAACTGGCTGAGAGGCATCCTTATCTGGTTCTTCGTTAGCGGTATCCGCTTCCTTACTGGTTTCGTCAACCCCCCCAGTAACATCTTCAACCTCATTGGTAGCTACGGGTGCGGGAACGGGCTCTGTTTTCTCTTCTGCTTCATCCTTGGCTTCCTCGGGCATTGGGACTGATAAGGGGGGCTCTTCTTTCTTTGCATTTTCAGTAGTTCCGTCGTCCTTTTCGGTGGAGGTTTCTTTCGACACCTCGGCCTCGTTTTCCGGTGCCTCAATGACCGGCTCCGGCTCCTTTGAGGAAGGAACTTCACTATCTTCAGTGGAGACAACTTTGTCGGGTGCACCGGGCATCACCTCAGGTTCAGTATCTACAGGACCTCCTTGTGTCTCAAGTCCATCAACTGTCGAGTTTTCGGTTGCGTCTGTATCACGCTTTGATTCGGTCAATGTTGATTCCGACTCCGGTGCACTTTCTTTTGGCTTTTCAGGAGTAGCCTCCGGTTCGTTGGAGCTCTTCTCTTGTTCTTCATTACCCACCGCGGGCTTCTCGGAGACTGGTCCAGGGGCGTCATCGGGAGCAATCTCCTTACCGACGATATCCTTGGAGACTATGAGCTCTTTGGGCTCTTCGACAGAAGCCTCTGCCTCGCGTACAGCGGCTACTTCAGAGTCAGCTTTTACAGCATCTGGAACTGGTTCAGGCTCGGCTGCCGGTAGTTCCTTGGTTTCGTCTTCTGTGGCAACAAGATCTGCGTCCTTATCTGAAACCTTTTCCTCCTGAGGTAATTCCACGTTCTCTGGCTCGATAGAAACCGGTTCTTCTTTGGTAGCCAGGGTATCTTCCTTTATAGCTTCCGGGGATGGTGCTACCTTTTCAACCGCAGGTATGGAAATAGATTCAGCTATCTCTTCGGCCTTCACTGGGGTTTTCTCTAGCTCAGCCGCTGGTTCTTCCTTGTTTTTCTCTTCAGAAACAGCCTCTGGTTCAATGACAGTTGGTTCTTCAACTACCATAGAGGGCACGGGATTGGCAGTCTCTTCAATTGAACCATTTGCCTTCTCGACAACCGGCTCTTCAGCATGGGCAGGGACAGCGTCTTTCTTGGTGGTTTCTGGCAGGTTGTCCTCTTTAGTCGAGCCCTCGGTAGGCTCAATAGCCGGAGCCTCGGGCGCAACTTCAGCTTCGAGAACTTCGTTTTCCGGCTCGGCTGGAACAGTTTTTAGATCTCCAGCAGTATTGTCCTTAGGCTCCTCAACCGTGGTTTCAGACTCGGGGACAAGAAGGGTTTCAACTTTGTCATTGGATTCTTCCTTGCTAGTCTCAGCTGGGTCGATTACTTCGACTACATCGACTTTCTCAGAGAGTTCCTTCTTCGTTTCTAGGCTATTCTGAGAATCTTCTGCTCGAGATTCTGATTCCTTGGACTCTTCCGGGAGTTCCTTGCTTGTAGGCTCTAGCATTGTATTTTCAGGCTTGTCAGACGAAGACTGTTCCTGCTTCATTTCGGTGGTATCGACAGACACAGTCTTTTCGCTATCCGGGACAATATTTTCCTTGGACAATTTTTCGTCACTCTTCTCCTCAGAGATGTTTCCTTTTGAAGCTGAAGCTTCGGGAGCGTCCAACTGGTTGTCTGTCTGTCTCTCCACTTCTGGAGCGGTTTCTCCTACCACATTAACGGGAACTTCCTTGTCAGACTTGTCAACAACAGCGACGTCTACCGGTATGTCTTCCATGATTTTAGCCTTTTCTTCGGTATCATCTTCTTCTTGGGCTGGTTCCTTCAATTTGGTGCCATTGGGTGTATCGTTTGTTTGTTGGGAGCTTTCGGTTGCGGAGGTGGAGGAGGTATCGTTTACGACAAGGACATTATTGCAAATTCCATCATCATTGACCACTAAATATTCATAACAGGTCAGTCACCCTAAGCATCAGAATTGGGAGATATGTCGTTATGTGGAGTGAATGAAGTTTGACTTACCTGTCTCAACGTCGTTGTCACAGAACCAAGAATCTTCATCCGTACCCAGACGGAATTTATACTGGTATTTGCCCTCTGGTAGCTCAAATTTCTTTGAAAACTCGTACTCCTCGACCTGCGTAGAGCTGTCTTCGGTAGTTGGTGCGTCTTTCGAACTTAGAAGCTGAGGTGTGAGCTCCACAGGCTCCCATGCCGGTTCGGTAAAGCATGCGGCCACAAAGACAGCTGGAGTTTTGCTCGGTCGACGGATTGCAATGGTGACGGTGCGTTTAACGGCTTCAGTCATGGCTAGAGAGTTGGCTGTTTTTCCTCTTCCAGTCGCTGGTTGTTGCTGTTGATTGCCGATGGTGGTTGAAATGCTAGTTCTAGTATCGTAAACTCGTAAAGTCGTGGCCGTGGGAATTGTTTCGAAGCCCTGCAGAGATGAAGCTAGCTAGATAATAGCCGAAGGTGATATACAAAGCTGCAGAAAAAATAAAATAAAATAAAAGGCAGAGACAGGTTTCCGCAAACGAATTACAACACAAAGCACAGGGGAGAAAAGGGACAAAAGCTCGAAATATCACGACTATGCCCCCAAAGACAACGAGGGTATCAAGAATCAAGACGAAAAAGAGACAGGGGGAAAAACAAACAGAGCAGAGCAAAGGGAAAACTTTTGGGGTAAATGTCAAATTATGAGAAAGGCCTTCGAAGGTATGGCTGTCCTGCTTATTTCTTTCCCTTGACAAACTAGAGGGGAGGGCACACAGAGGAGGGGAGTTGCAGAGATGGGCAAATATGCAAGAAGGAGTCTTTCTTTTCTCTCTTCCCAGGGGGGCTTGATGCAATGTTTATTGGTTTTGGAGGCAGACGAGGATGATCATAAGCAAAATGGCTTGCTTGCCGTGCATTCAGAGAAGAAGAAAAGAAAAGAGAAAAGGCAGGGAGTCAAAGCCCAAAAAGCAATATAGCATTCAACTACTTACGACGTACACTACTAAAGGGGAGGGGGGAGAGTCATCAAATTTTTCTGCTTCTTCTCTCTCTCTCTGCTTCCGTCAAAAGCAAAAGCCTGGCAGGATGAAGAACGACCCCATCGAGCCTGAACCGGCTAGCGCTGCAGACTTGTTGTCAGAGTGATGAGCCGGCTAACTTACTAGCTAGTCAAATAACAAGAGAGTCGAAAGAGGGTTTGTCTGCATCCCTGCGCTTTTATGGCGTTTTGACAGAGCTCATTTGCTGCAGCTCACGGCTTGGTTCAACCGCCTCTTTGCTTTTTCCTTCCCTTCCCTTAGCAGGCTCCATATTATTTCGACACCAGCTGTCGACTTGTGGTGTGTGCTGCACCATGGCGGCCTAACCGGACAGATCGCAAGCACCTCAGGCATGCAGGAGGCAAGGCATGGCGATACAAGTTGGGCAGGAAAGGATATTCCCACCTCCGTATAATAGTCTCCAGGGGAAAAAGAAACTGAAAAAAGGGACAAAGATGCCATTGTTTGTTGCTCGTCTCGCTCCTGTATCGCTCACGGTTATTTGGGATGAAGTCGAGAAATCCACCGGTTGGAAAATTGGTGGGGTCATGTGACCACATGTGAGTGGACCCTTAATGTCTATTTTTTTCCCTCTTGCTAAGCGGTTGCTAATTAGCAGCAGATCATGTTCATATCCGAGGTTCGGGGATGAGAAATACGAAGACGTTGCTGGCCATGGTCAATTCACATATAGAAATGAGCGAGAGGGTACTCCATACTCCGTATGTCAAAGATATCCTCCCAAAAGTCGATACCATTGTACAGAAGGATATGCTCTCTGGCGAGTGGTTAGTTAAAAAGAGAGAAAGGAGTGACACGAAGTCTGGGACCTTCAGCGCCTAGGCAGACCAAGATAAGCGATTGCGAATGCCCCACCGAACTCTGGTTTTAGCGGTGAGGGAAAACAGCTTGAAATGGTGGGGTTGCAAGACAAGCTGTGCACGTTTGAGGGCTCCTCGTACAAGATGGACTATGAGCTCCAAGCAAGCATGCATAAAATATACTGAGATCCTTGAGACCTTTTACCTGGTAGCTTTCCATGGGTCTCACCTAGAAATTGGATATTCCCTATGAAAGAAACCTGATATACATACTACGCCTTGGCGAGGTCTTCAAATAGTGCTGACAGGATTCAGATCATGTACCTGCCGGTGGTGGCCAAACTTTTGCATGAAATGGTAAGCTAATGGTAAGCTAATGGTAAGCGCCATTTTGACTCCTTGCTTTGAGTGTTATAATACTGACCAAATAGCCAAACCGGACGGGGCATTTACCCCTTTGATCACCCGAAGCACAGACTTTGTTCATACATGCAAGGCGATATCTCGAGCTGCCTAGAGACAAATAGGCTTTTCCTGCAAGGTTATGCATAATGATGTTCTTTATACTATAACGAGCCTATATGAGAGAGTATTCATCCCAATCAAGATATCCTTTTTTTTTCTGCTAGGTCTGAGACAACTCCCTTAAAACCTTTCCTACCAACTGGCGCCCTGGGTAACAGGAATTGAAGTCCTGGAGTTGGCGATAAAGGCACTAGGATGGTATTGACGTGTCCAAAGTTCGACTCAACTGAAGATGTGAGATAATCCCCTGCACTATGGACATAAGAAGGCGCATGATCTTTGTAGATATGTGAATGCCAGTCAGTACCTTGGAGGTGTTGGAGGTGTGGGGGGTGATATTACCGCACTTTGTGTGTATATCATTGAGGTATCTCGTCAAGATGAAGGCACACATCGCCCCTCCAAACCTTTAATGAAAGTTGAAATATATATTACTTCCATACTGAAAGAGAGAGCCATACCATACCCTCTTACTCTCCCGGTACGTATCACGTGGTATATTCTTGGCATGGAGGTAGGATCCTTGGGCTCGGATCTCGGGACGGAACGCTCCGAGGAACTTAATCGAATGCCAAGATGTAAACACAAATTCGTGGTTCAAGTCAGAATTTGTTTCCTGCAGCGGACAAACTCAAGCAACCGATCGAGGAGTGCGACACGATGGCTGCTGATCTCTGCTGAAGTGTTTGCATGACCAACGGAGAACTTTGTGCGAGATCTCCAGCTGTCGGGCCCCGCTTCACTTTTTGTTTCCCGGCCACGTTGAAAATAAAAATTTTCGTGGCTTGCAAAACAGTCGAGCGCGTTCTTCATCACAGTTCAATTCAATTCCCAGCGATACGGAGTATAGAAAGTGATGAGATTCCAGAAACAGGAGCCAGAAGCGGCATATTATATATATATACGAAGTGATAGCGCCATCTCTGCCAAAATACGCCCACACATTCATCAAGTCGTCATGAACATAAATGCGAACAGAACTGAGGGTTGATAAAATGGAACAAGACAAATGAACCAGAAACTGGTACCGGGGAAAAACAAAGGAAAGGAACTGTCAAAGGATTAAAATATTTCAAGATCTTCAAAATCCACCACTAACGAGTTGGGTGATGGGCTATTGTCATGAAAATATTGCCCGCCGTTTCTCGCCGCCCACATGGTGCTGGATATGGAGATATTTGCTGGTCGACAGGCGTAGACGCCAATATGCACGCTTTTGTCTTCAACTCCCCAGAAAAACCATGTTACTTCGCGCAGTTTCCGCCATGATTGGGCAGCTGAGCCTGGGCTATAACTGGATTCCTGGTCTGTAGAAAACGAGGATGGCGGGATTTGATACCATACCCAGAGAGAATGGCCAATGCGCTCTAGTTTGATTCGCAGAGATGTTATACTTGTTGGCTGATTGGGCGGCGCTAAGGGAGAGAGGCACCAGTCTGCTCCGTCTGATGTGGCGCTGACGGACGACGCATTGACGGTTCCCGCGGAGAACTCAAGTCCAGCCTTGACCCATTTACCTTGGCCCAAATTGAAGTCTGGATACGGAGGCGGTTGTGGTTGTTGTTGCTGCTGCTCCCCGGCATCGACTGAATTGTTGTTATTATCAAGATTGATAACTGTGGTTGGGACGAGCTCATTGCTGTTATTGGGCCTGAAAAGGTCGGTTAGCAGAAAGTTCCCTATTCTCCAAGGAATACAATTATGCCTTACTGGATCAGACGTGGTCCTGGGGGAGGGCCTGAAAATATAACTAAACCACCCTGGTCCCATTCCATCTCCCAATCCGCTGTGACTGTTACTTCAGCAAGGACGAATGGCCTTTGGAGAGACGTGTATAGTATTGGGGCTGTGGATGTTTCGCGGTCTGGTGGCTTGCGCCAAAGGTCTGTGTCTGGACGCGCTGCAAGGGAGAAATACTCCAGGCTTTCCGGTAACGTGTAACCGGATGGTACATTGAGCGCAGTGAATGCTGACGGGTTCGGAGGCATCTTGGCTTCCGATAAAAAAAATTTTTTTTTTTTTTTCAAAACTGGAGTGACCCGTGGGGTTGAGAATTCCCCGTTCTTGACACTCGAAGCTGCCCCGAGGGGGTCCTTCAGCAAGGTTATACGGCAAAACGTGAGACCGACTGGCGCCCGAACAAGTGTGTCTTTGTCCGATGTATTATACCCGCTCCCTCCTACCACAACTAGGTCTATATTTTCAACAATGTGTCTTTCGACTTAGCCCAAAGGATAATGCTTGGACAAAGAATACGACTTTCGCAGGGGGCTGGATAGAATGCGCGTGCGTGGTATATATGGGAGCCGTTGGAAATGGGGACACAGATTTAAATATATCGCACGAACCGGGAGGGCCTTCAGCCTCTGGTCGCGTGATGTTTCGAAGATTGGTAGAGAGTTGGCGAGGCTGGACTGGCGAAATGAAATAGGGCGCTGGGATGGTAAGCTCTTTCTAGCCGGGCGAGCCGTACAACTTATAGTAGATTAAGGGCAAAGAAGAAATGTGTGCAGAGGAAGCCAACTACCAGGAGAGGACTAGGGATTAATAGTCATCATTATCTCATGAAGGAGATGAAAAAGAAATTAAGCTAAGAGAAGAAGGTTCGTCAGTCTGGATATCCATGTTCAAGGAAGGGAGAGCTATCAGCCACCGATGGCGGATTTGTTGCCCTGGTCCAAAAGGCGGATGCTGTGGCTAAAAGACGTTTTTCACACCTCGACGAAGTAGCAGCAGATCAGGTCTTAGCTAGTGACCCACAAAGAAGGCGGCTTTGGTATGCGAGGTCCGTATATGCATGTGTATTCCCATTCACACTGTCGGCACACACACCCCCAGAAAAGGTATAATTATACGCCGGCTGGTCGGTTTTCTCGCTTGAGGGGGTACCACGTATAGTTACGGAAATATCACAACTGCCAGAGGGTTGCAGGTAGATCTCGACTATGCAGCAGGGGAGTTCCGCGCAGGATATGTAGGACCAGGACCGGGAACACACCCGAAGCCTTTATGCAGCTCGAAAAGCAAACAAATGAAAATAAAAATTGTTAAAAATAAAGATAAAAAGCAAAGTCTTCGGTAACGCGGTGAAAAGGCGAATGCTACAAAATATGTACGAAGGGTAAGTAGAGAATAGTTATGGACTCGGTCTGGTACTTATAACGTAGCATCAACTTGCACCCAAAAATTTGTTACATCCATCAGAGCCTTAAATTCAAGCGTTGGTGCGACAGCTGATGCAGCCAAACCATGATTCGGAGCTATGACACCCTCTAATATTGGTCAATCAGGGTTTGCATTTGGAATAATGCCATTCATTCATCTTTATTTAAAATTTGTGACCATTCGAAGAGGGTGGGTTAGCATCCATCTGGCCAGGCATGGTGTTGCATATTGTCAAGATATTCAGCAGCGCCGCCTCGCAAACTTTTACCATAAAAATGGATCGCAAGAACAGAGTTACAAAGTGTAGTCACCAATGGCAGGTCAGCATTTGTCAAGCTTAGGGCAGATATGCTCAGACGAAGGACGCCTGGAAGGATCCGCACATGACCAGAACTGCAAAAGCTCTTGTTAAGATTGACTTGGGGTAACTAAATTACTGAGGCGCTGTAGCTTCATGCATGATGAAGGGCTTCAGTGTCAAGTCTTGGCTCAGCTGGTATTCAAATTCCCAACAACGCCACCAAATCGACAAGATCGCGAGAGCTTGAGCCGGCCGATTACAATGTCGTATAGTATGAGAAAGGCATTAAGCAGGCGGCCGGGCCTATTGGTAACGGTAGGTTGGCAGACGAGATACTGGAAGAAGATTGCCACTGTTGATAAATTTGAAGGGATAAGAAGCTTAGCAAAAGCTGCAATGCCATTCGAAGCCTGGTGGAAAGGAGTTGATGCACATGAAAATTTTATCCCCACTCACACAGGATGCATGAAGCTTACCATGCCTTTGGTAATTCCGGGTGGCACACCAAGAAGATTTGGCTGTAATGGAGGAGCATTAAGCTTGGGCACGGGAGGGCTGTGACTCCTCCAGGCGATATTTTTCCCGAATAAATCGGGGAAAAAAAGGCGACATAACAGACACGTGCCGTTAGAAGACCAAGGCCATCGGTTGCTTGTTCGGAGAAGAGATCCGCTTGACACGCCACGTTAATATGGGCTGTATTTTATATCTAGGAAGTTAGGATGCTTGGCTGTTGCCCCAGAGGAGGTTCCAAAGACGATTTGATGCCATTCAAGGCTATGTCCAAAGAGATTGACAATATATAACCTCTTATTTGCCGCCCTTCCCCATGTTATCGTCTCTAGGATTCCGGATATCGGAAGGGGGTTGTCAAAGTAATTTGATGCGTTTTAATGACACGCCAATCAGGACGGAATCACATCAGAAGGCGTCGCCACAGGGTTGTCCCTCCCCTCCCTATTTTCTTCTTAACTCCCCCCACCGTTTTGTAAGAGGTAATGGGCAAAGTGAGCGTCCCTTCCGAGTAGATTTGCGAAATATTGAAGTTTTGCAGTCTCGGTCTAACAGATCAATGCTCATGCACCATCCATGCATGCATTTAGTTTCAGCGAAGCTAGTTACCAGGGTCAACTCTAACCTTGCCCAAGATAGCTCCACAAGCCGAGACCCCAGGTAACTGTGGCTTTCAGAGCAAATAATAAGAATAATGAGTAATTCATTCTTCAACCCATGCCATGGATCCCCCTGGTGCCCGATATTGCGAATATTATGTGATGCCCTGCATCCCTGCCGAAGGCGATTCAACCAAAGAAGCAACATGAAGAATACAGTGTAACACGGTGGCTGGCACGGTAAATACCGAAATATATTGCGTGTCTTCATCACACATGCGCGTTCAATGGTCAGTCAACATCTTCATAATCGTAAAATACGTCGATCACGAAAAAGGTTCCCTCTAGGACAAAAAGGTAGAGTTCCAAAATACAGGTTGTTATTAACTCTATCCTGGAGTTGTTCGTACATTCCTTGTTGGCCTTCCCTTTGGATTGGCTTCACTAACTAATGAGTTAGCGCGGCCCGAACCCGCTGTCAGGTGCCAAACTTTTCTAGTAAAACGGAGAGAGCGAGACAAGCTAGCGAAAACAGAGTCGCTATGACCGTGAACAAGGCTGAGTATCGTGATGAATAAGGATGGAGGGTTGTATTATGGAACTGCGATTGCTCAATTGACTCTTGAACAGGTGTCACCAATGCAATGATGGGCATTGGTGCTCACCAGGAACCCGCATCCTGCACTTAAGACGCAGTCTGTAAGACCAGGATAGGATGGGTGCTGCAGGAGACGAGGGACAGAATGCGACCTCGCGGCCATAACAGAGCCCACTCAAACGGGCCCTCGGCAACAGTTCGGCCTTGCAGGCCTTTGCTTCTTCCTTCCACGTCGAGGACGCAGGCCCTTGCTGGTGCAAACGAGCGACGGAGTTGAAGGTCGGACGTCAGAAGAGTCTCGAGCACGAGCCACCTCGACCCCGGTCAGCCCTATGTACAGCGCCCGACACTAGCCACCCACGTGATCATGTGGCTCCATAGAAGTTGTGGCGCAGTCAGTCACATTCAACGACATCAGACATTTCTTGTCTCTCTTTCCCATCTTCCTTTGCGCGTGTAGCTTCCTGTCTCTGGGGCGTTGTCTCATTTCGTCATAGAAAAAGAGCAAGGCCGAGGTCGATCCTCCGCTTTCTTCCGACAGGGAAAAGATGGTCTGCTCAAAGTGCCAAAAGAAGGTCGCGAAAACGGAGCTCGTCACGCCGGCAGTCAAGAAGAAGAGCGAGATGTATTATGGATCTCACTTAGGCTCTTCCGCTGGCGGCGGTGGCACCCGCGGTGGCGATAGTAAAAAGTCGTCAGCGACTCTAGGGAATACTGGTGTCTCAAAGGTATGATACGTATGCTTCCTGCTGTTTTTTTGTTTTTGTCATAACACGCACTCTCTTTTGTATACCCAAGGTTTTTCACAAGCAAAACATACTCGTTATATCTACGTACGCAGCGACGGCCTTCCCGATTATATACCAGGTCTCTAGCCCCCTGAGATCACTTTTCACCGTTAGATTTTCTTTAATGGACGCGCGGAACCTTGCCATGTCTATTGCCTCCCCTGTTCCCCTTGAAAAAAGAGGTTATTATCTTTATTATTTTTAGCAGTTCTTGTTTAACACATAAGCTAGCTTGCAAATGCTGTCCTTATCGTGGTTCGATAACGTGGAATTGGATACTGACTCTAAAGATAGAATAAGCTCCTCAGTAAGAAAGCCCAGAACCCGTACGCTGCATATTCAAGTTCTTGTGAGAGCTGCAGCTCGAAAACAAGCCAGGGATGGAAATACTGCCAGACGTGCAGCTATCGGAAACAGCGTAAGTTCCCTTCCATGTTATGTCTACCCTTTACGTGGTTTATTGTTGCATCCATAATATGGCTTTGCTGTAGGACTGACATTGAGCGTGCGTCTAGTATGCGCAATGTGTGGCAAGAGCTTGAATGCGTCTGGTGCATCAAAAGCCCAGCCAATTGTTCAGGGTCAAAAATTCAACTCGAAATAATTCAATTTGATATCTCTTGGTAAACACGTGGCAAGTAACTCAAACGAAAGGAATGGTGTTAACGGTGTTAATGGTGTTTGAACAGTCTTATGGTTGACTGGTGCCTTGACTTGAACAAAAGATTTGGTATATATTATAAAATAAACATAAACATTGACAGAATATCTGAAAGCCTTTTACATATCTAAAAGTACATCGGGTTTAGGAAGAACAAATGGTTACCAATGTGCATGATAACCCAAGGCTCTCCTTATCGTGTAAATGCAAGCAAGTATCGAAAAGTATAGAAGTATGGGTTTTGGGGGTGCAACACCGTTCGCCATGGGAGTAAAGTATGCAAACGAAACTTAATGACGGCATCACCTCTCTGGCAGCGCATTCTTAATCGCACTCCAGTATGGTAGCATCACGTGTTTCTGAATTTCCTCCTTGGAGAGCCATTTGAAGTCAACAACATCCTGCATATTCTCTGCGATATTGGCCTGACCAGCTAGGATCCTGCCCTTGAGAAGGAAAGTTTTCTCGCCTTTGAGTTCCACACCGGTCGCTGGATCGATAATCGGCTTGGTAAAGTTTTGGACATAATGGCTGATGGGGTGATAGCCAACAGTCCAGACGTTCATGTTGGGACCAGCAGATTGCAACAAACTACGTTCAGCTCCCTATTGACTTGAGAGTTAGATTTCACTTTTTGGTCTCCACTAAGAAAGAGTATTGTCACTGTTCAATGGTATCTTACCGCTCGAACGTTTTCCTTAGCGTTTAAGACGACGCTAGGGAACTTCCAGTAACCCTGTTTGACCTTAACTAACAAGTACAGCGTACGTTGCAAAGCTCGATCTAAGCTCTTCTCGTCACCGCTCTTATCTGCCTCCGTGATCCTTGGTAGCGGTTTTGGCACTTCATCGTGTATCGCGTCCCCGTCTGATTCTGAAAGAGAAAATCCTTCTGCATCGCGCACAAGAGCATCCACCTGGTTCTGTGGTTCAGACTCGGTTGCACCAACTAGCAGTTCATCGTTCCAAGCCGTCTCCGAATAGGCGTTGTATTTTCCTATATCTCTTGCGGGCGTCTGGCGGTCTTTAAATTTGCGTTTCCATTCTTCGTCCGTTGGGGTTCCGCGCTTAAAGTAGAAGTATCGTGTGAAAGGGAGGGCAAGACGCTCATTCAGTCGACGCTGGTAGAAATAGAATGACTTTTCGAAAGGAGTGAGGTCTCGTGTGATACGGGGTGCACGCGAGAGGATGATTCCAGCTTTGATCCTATATGGGAAATTTTGGGCAGTATCTGCAGCGGCGACCGGCGGTATGGCGCTGCTCGATGAAGCGGCATCTGAGGACACAGTTGCTGTAGCAAAGCTTCGACGGCCCAATGCCTCCTGGCAATTTCGGCAAACGCCTGAATCCAGCCTGGAATGTGATCCTAAAAGACTTGTCAATGACGTGCTAACAGGGAATTATAACGGGTGAACATACTGAGAAGCGAGGCTATCTGCCTTGCTCCATTATTTCCTGCTGCCATCTCCCCTTCCTGTGGCTATGCAGTAGCGCAATGCCTCCTATTCCTCCTTGTTCAAAAAGAGCTTGCTTGCTTCGTCCTTTTCTGCTCGAGTTTAGAAAAATCGTCCAGAGCGCATTTCAGGGCTTGGCGCGCTAGTGTCCACTGTCACGTGGTACACCATTCAGGCACATTTTTCTTCGACGTTCGACTTCAAATTTTCTTCTTCTTCCTCTTCATCTTCAATCTCACGGCACTTTCCTTATCATCAATTGCTTAAACTCCTACAAGTATTTGACCATTATATTAGTGCCTAGAATAACTTAACAAGTTGCAGTCTTTTTTCGCTAGCGGTACCTTCATTCTTTCAAGGTGTACAGTTAGATAGACCCTGCAAACAGACAGAAGCACTGCTCGATCTCATTGAAACCCAGGCTAGTGGGAAACGGAGATGTAATATCAAGAAGAGGAGTGGTTAGTAAGTGGCTGGGCAACACTGCCGTCGAGAAGCAGAGGAGACTTGGTCTTTCATAAGAGCTGCGAGACAAGCAAGGCCAAACTACCATGGTACTTACTCTGAGGAGAATTTGACATTGAAGTTCAACCTGGTGCAATTTGTGATTTACAACCTGATTAATGACATTTATTTCTCCTCAATAATACTGTGCGGTTTATGGTTTATAATGGTGGAAAAGGGAAATCAGGGAGGTTCACTGTCTAGACTAGCAACAGTATAAAATCAGATGTATATGCACGCTCATCATCTAACAAGTATGTATTCAAACTCAATTCCGGGGCTTCAAGAACGAGAAAGGGGGGAATATATAGTAGTGAAATGACATATGAACTGGATAAATAACAGTAGTATAATATGACCTTAGATATAGCTGACCTTAACGCCCATTCCAATAGTACCCCTGACCTTCTGCCAGCTGGCTCCGGTGACTTGACGAATGCGGTTTCGAACATCCGTTCTTCCCAACGCCATGAGAACGCCCAAAACAACAAGAAGGGATTTCAAGTATGATAGTGGGTTCGAGACAAGTGATCGAGATAGGTTCTTCATAAAGGTGACAAGTAGCTTCGCTAGTACTTTCATACGTGCAAGCACAAGAGGTTGCGGTTTCCCGGTGGTGCTCTTCTTCGTTTCTTTGACCGAAGATGGTTCTGATGGCTGGGTTTTCTTCAATGCTGGTTTAACAACTCGAGATTTCATAGGCGAATTCGGATTCGATTTTTCAATCCCATAGTCCACTTCACTGGTTGATCTTTTGTGGTTGCTCGTCGAATTCCCACCCGATGTTTCTTGTTGTTGTTTCTGCTTGTGTTCCCGCTCCTGTTTCTTCTTCTCTTCTTCAGCTCGTTGTCTTTCTTCGTCCTCTCGCTGTTTCCGCTGCCGCTCAAGTTCTTCTTCTTTCTCTTGTTGTATCTCAGCGGCCCGTTGTGCTCCCTTCTCCTTTTCTTCCAGTAGGTTATCCAAGGTCTGAATAAACGCCTCCTTTCTATCCTCATCTAAGGCTTCGCTGAGATTGATAAACTCCCGGGCGTATTCCCATTCCTCGTTTCGAGGAAGAACATGTAATGTGAACATCTCTAGCAGCTTGACTCGCACCGCTAGGTCCTTTGGAGTATCTGTTCCTGCAGCAGAGGCCATCCGCTGTTTCCTTTTACCAGAGGACATGTGCTGCATGTGCGCGGAGACATCTAGATCCGGCTGGCCGTAAGAGGATAGGTACGTCTCAAGTCGTTCTTGATTTAATTTCTGGGACGCCGAATGGTTCAAGAGAAGAGTAGCCCTGGAGATAACTAGTTAGAAACGATTGCATGAAGCAATACTAGCGGAGAACAGTTATCTTACAGGTTGTAGACAATGTCGGCGTCCACGGATCCTTCTCTTCCTTGGTACCCTAGGCTCACCACCGTCTCCCAAACCTCGCCTTCTCTGACCTTGGTTGCAATAGCTTTCCATTCCTTTTGGCCAAACTGTTCTCTCCCTTCCTCGGGCCCAAGGTCAACAATGGCACTTAGTATTGTGATGTATAGGTTCCATATTTTGATCTTCAGGTTTGCGGAAGCTGTTGCAACTGGTGCGAGCGGTGTTGAAGGACCGTCGCCCTCTGTGTTCTGCTGCCCATTTTCCTGGCTTCTCGACGGTGTAATGATCGGTGTAAGCAACGAGAGAGATTCTTGGAGTCTGCGAGTGAGGAAGAGCTGTGAAGCCTGCTTGTATACTTGTGATATTTGCTTGCTAGACATGGGGGAGGAGGTCGAGGAAGAAAGGTATGTTTGAGCTTCTTCGGTCATGATGAAGCTTTCCCGCGATCAAGCGCAAGACAAACAAATCCTGTATATCAACTGCAAACGCTGTCACGATGTGATGGAGCAGGAGAAGTCGGCCTGTTGCTGGTCGCTTTCTCGAGTCTTTTCGTTGCAGGTAAAAACGTAAAGCTTGCGATCGCCGAAAAGGGAAACATCCTCGGCTCGATGCTGCGATCACGAGACCCCAATCTTTCTCCAACTTTTTATTTTATTTTATTTTTGGCTTTGTTTATTGACGTCGAAAGAACAATCACAGCAGTTTGTTTCCTTCCGTCTGATGTTGAGCAAGGGAGTTTCAGGATGTTTGTGCTTTATCTACTCTGTACACCCAGGCTGTGACAGCTCTTACTAGGCATAGTGAAGAGCTGTAGCCTGGCCACTCACTGACTAGCTAGTTAACTAGTTAGCTAACTTACTGCTTGCCACAGAGAAAGCAGAAGGAAGCAGGACGGGACAGCACCAGGCGTCCTGTCTATCCTTGCCGCTGTCTTTTTCTTTCTTTTTATATAGGGCTCACTCACTACATGAATGTGAATATCTTTTGGTCAGACATCAGTAGTCTTCCTCTGTTCCTCTAGGGGGAGGGTTTTTTTCTATTTCTTTCCTTCTTTTTTCTTCTCTTTCTTAGATTTGATGATTGGCAGATGAAGCATAGAGGCGAGCATGGAGGTTACGAGGAATAACTTCTCCCGGCTTCTGCCACGGATGCTGCAGGACATAGGAGACTGTTCCTTCGTTGCCCTCGACTTCGAATTCTCAGGGATTTTCAACCAGAAGCTACGGCCTGCTTCGACCTATGTTGACGGTGACCTGAGCCTGCAGAAGCGGTACGAAGAAGTAAAGCAGGCTGCAGAGGAGTATCAGATCCTCCAGGTTGGCCTTACACTGGTGGTTGAGGATAGTCAAAATGGTTGGAGATATCCCTTCTATACCTGTATGAGAACTACGAGATGCAGCTGTGTGGACTAAGTCGTGATAGATACCTATTCGTTGCGGCCATATAACATCCCTCTCAGCCCAATTCTGGACCCAAGATTGGGTGTGGAGAGAAAATGGTGCTTTCAGAGCAGCGGTCAGTCCCAGATCTCGCCCACTACATCTAGGTATTAGACAATACTAAGTGGCATCGTCGTTTTCTTTAGCTCTGGCCTTCCTGATGAGCCATGGGTTTCGGGTAGAGTCAATATTTACAGATGGGGTTCCCTATATCTCGATGAAAGAGGAACAGGATGCAATGGACCGAGCGCATAAAGACAAGGACAAGTTGTCGAGATCCCTGATCAATCTCAATACATTGGCTCCGGGCCATGCACAATTCATTCGACAAGTCCGGCATAGTATCAGGGAGTGGATCGAGAAGCCCGCCCCAAAAGTGAGTGCAATCACCCTTATAAAGAGCACAAATATATAAATTCCAAACTAACCTACAATATTAGGATGCCTATCTGAATATACCAAAGCCCGCTGGTATGACCGCGGCTTACAAACTCCCACTGGAACTGGACAACTACCAGAAGCGGCTCGTGCACCAGATCGTTCAAAGTGAGTACCCAGGCTATGTGAGCATAGGCAAGAAATCTTTCATTCAGATACTCCCCTATGACAAGATGCGGGAGAATGTTTTTCTCCAAAAGAAGCTCCAGCGCACTCGTTGCAACATAGCTAGCCAGAAGGGCTTCAGCTGGGTCATCGAAGCTTTGATGGGGAGCGATCTTTCAAAGCTCGACTTGAGACTCCTCTGGAGGCCTGATGGCATGTTCACCGCAGCCGAGGGAAGTAAACTCACAAAGGAAAGTGAGGCTCTCCGGGAAAAGCTGAGGTCAGGGCCTCCTGTTTTAGTTGGACATAATCTGTTCACAGACCTTGTCAACTTTTACAAATGTTTCATTGGCGACCTGCCCAGTCGTGTGGAGGATTTCCAGCAAGCAATCAATGAGCTGTTCCCTTTGGTCATTGATACGAAGTACATGGCAACTACTGGGGGGGTATTACGAGACGCATCCTCAGCCCTGTCAACACTCATGGAAAACCTGGGTTCAAGGGTGGTGCCTAAATTTGGTATTTTGTTTCACTCAATGCACCTGCTTCTTCCTTCTTCTCGGAATCTAACGTTTTGTGCAAATGGTATAGAAACCCACCCAGATCACTCCTCGTACACCGTCAGTACCCCAATACACGAAGCGGGGTATGACAGCCTTATGACAGCCCAGATTTTCCTCAAGCTCGCAGTGCAACTCTATGAAACAAGCAGTTCGCGAGAGGCACTTGTCAGTCGAGCCAATGGGGACGCTACCGAGATTGACCTGATGGATTTATCGACCGAGCCAGATGAGCAAGGGAAGACAGAAAACACGACGCAACAAAAGCTCGTGTATGGCCATGCAACCAAATTTGACCTCCTGTTGGACATGGATGATGAAGAAAGCGGCGCTAGCTCTGTGGGCCCTTCCGAGCAAGACAGTCTTCTTGAGCAGAAAGTAATCGAAGGAAAGCTTCTACCACGGCTTGATGATGACTTTTGGAGCAAGTACATAAACAAGCTCAGGGTCTTTGGAACAACTGAGGAAGTGTGTGACCTGAGCGTACATCCTTTGAGCATTAATTAGAACATCAACTTTGAACGTGGAGAATCCTCCCTAAGCCGAATTTTTGGTGGTTGCTTCTGTGCCTTTTAATGCCGAGAATACCCTTCTCTCAATGAAGAACCGCTATATTTTTGTTTTTTGCTTATTGCAGGGATGCGCGCTTAATACTGGCTGTACCGTATCTTACCCGTATTCAGCCAACGTGTTAGCAAACCCAAGGTATCGTTTTATCCCAATGGCACGAACCCTTCAATACTTCAGAAGGAAGCAATTGGTTCTCTGAGGCCCACGTAACAATATTGGTTGTAAAAATGTGGTGCAGATTGCAGAAGATTTATTTGTCTGCTGCAAGGCTGCTGGTCTCGCGTTGGCAGAGGGATGCCCCGACAGATCCCTGTATGTCATTTGTATGGTTCAAATTTCCCTGAAGATCGGGATGCTGTCGGGCAAGCCGGCCGAAAGACGATCATCGCCGAAACATGCCGACTGACTCGCAATTATATCTGCGTTTCACTAAGTATGTAACAACCAAAAGGATATTCTTAGTCCGTGGAAAGTGCCGTGTGTGAACAAAAGGCCGGCTTATCACTGGATGCTGAAGCCGCCTCTCGCTTGACATGAACCAACGGGCTCAAGGATTGCCCTTTTGCCATGGCCATCTATTATTCCTTCTTGCTGTCTCTAAACAAGTTGCTTAGAAAGAAGTTCCTGGAGGGTAACGCCGGAGCTTACCTAAGCCCAGTTCCGATTTGTTCCTTCAGATCTTGGCACTCGGCAACGGAGAAAGTTCTTCCGGCTGCGGCAGCGACGGCCGGGGGACCTCAGCTGGAGGGCGAACCTCGGCTCTTTTTTTTGGCGGCGGAGACAAATCCTCCGAGTTGCCGCCGGCATTTGGCGAGAGAGACTCGCAGCAAGGAGCGCCGCCAAAGAGCCGGCATGTGAGTGTCACCTGCGCTGGGTGTTGCTGTCAAGATTGCATACTATGACGACAGCCATGGCTTGAGCCTCGGAAGGGAGTCCATAGACTGGAAGCCCATAGCGATGGGTGGGAGGAAGGGGAGCTGGTGATATAACACCTAGCATGCTGCAGATGTGCCTGAGAAATACCCGGTTCTTGCCCTGAAATAGTTACCTAACTAGCTCCAGGCATTTTTTTATCGATAAGGGGGAGGGATGAAGAAACTGATCGCATGGCCGCTCTGGAACTGGCTGCAGGCCAGGCATTTATAATCGCTTAATTTCTCTTTTTTGCTTGAGCCGTCCCTTGCTATCCCCTGCGGCTTCTCATACCCCTTCGTTTTTCCTCACTCCGTATATGTTCTCGCTGTTAGCCGTATGCGTATTGTAACAGCGGTGATGCGGGGAGTTTTCCGCTATACAGTTCCTGCCCCAAGCTCTCCTCCGCTCCACCATGTTGGGCGCTTGACCAGTAGTAAAATAAAGAAGATTAATATATCCCAGTCATCTCGTCTCATATGTAAACTCTCTTCACAACCTGCGTATTTTGCCCGTGACCCTTGTCGTGGGGTCCCTTGCCCGTTCCTCACACCGGGCGAGCAGACCCGCATGGGAGAGTGATCCTCGGCATTCTTTTGCGAGACCTTGCTGGTCCTTTTTCTACTCCGTCTTGTCCCTTTCGATTCAATTCACTCCTTGACTCATTGTTTTCTTCCTTTCTCGCGGGCTTGCTTCTCTATATACTCAATCGAGTCCAGTCAATCGGATTTCCAGTACGAGCAAACAAGTTACCATCGCCTCCCTCACAGTATTCCGCAATGGCTTCAAAAGATAAAAAGCAACAGCCGGCCACAGCGGCGGTTAATCTGATCGGTGAGCATTGAATGGGCTCGGTTGAGGCTGGGTGGTTGAAGATGCACAAAACAGACATGTCTGACTCTTGAATCTAATAGCCGGTGGTGGTGCTGGAATGATGGAAGCTCTCGTGTGCCATCCGCTCGGTAAGTTGTCACAGTGTCCAAATTTCTCACTCTGTTGCTTGATTCTTACTGACGGAAATGCCTAGATACCATCAAAGTACGAATGCAGCTTTCGAAGCGAGCACGAGCTCCGGGGGTAAGTTTGCTGACTTTTGATCATACTATGCACCGCGATAAAAGCTTGGTGCTAATTGCGCTCTTCAGGTCAAAGCTCGTGGGTTTCTTGCGACTGGACAAGAGATTGTGCGGCGAGAGACTGCTTTGGGACTGTATAAGGGTCTGGGAGCTGTTCTCAGTGGAATCATCCCAAAGATGGCTATCCGATTCACTTCGTATGGCTATTATAAGCAGTACTTAACAAATCCCGAGACTGGAAAACTCTCGAGTTCCGCCAATATGCTTGGTAAGTCGATAGACTGGAGCAATTGCAACAAGCCCCATGGCCCCTGCAGGAGTAGATTCCGTTCAACACTGACACAATTGGCTGTTTTTAGCTGGTCTGGCTGCTGGTGTAACCGAAGCTGTGGCCGTCGTCACACCCATGGAGGTTATAAAGATTCGCTTGCAGGCCCAGAGTCACAGTCTGGCAGATCCCCTCGATAAGCCAAAATACCGGAGTGCACCACACGCCTTGTTCACCGTGATAAGAGAAGAAGGTATTGGTGCCATATACCGCGGTGTCTCGTTGACCGCCCTCCGTCAGGGAACAAACCAGGCAGCCAACTTCACTGCCTACTCCGAACTGAAAAAGCTCCTCAAGGATTGGCAACCCCAGTACACCGAACTGCCGTCCTACCAGACTATGTGCATCGGTCTTATTTCTGGTGCCATGGGCCCCTTTTCCAATGCCCCGATTGACACCATCAAGACCAGACTGCAGAAGACGCCCGGAGAGCCTGGACAGTCCGCCATCTCCCGCATCACAGCCATATCAAAGGAGATGTTCAAACAAGAAGGTGCCAGAGCTTTCTACAAGGGTATCACTCCCCGAGTCATGAGAGTCGCCCCTGGACAGGCAGTCACCTTCACTGTGTACGAGTTCCTTAGGGAGAAGCTGGAGAAGAGCAACTGGTCCATCATGGGAGGAAAGTATGAAGAATAAACGACGAAAACCTCTTCAGGAGCGAAAATCCATCTCATAATCCTCAAAACCGCAGCCCATCGCTCTTCCGACCCTCCTTGTTATAAAACCTGAGCTTCTGCTTCCATGAACCGACACATAAACGCGCTCTGTGATATCCATGTCTTGCTCAAAGCGATCAACCCAGGCTTCATATTGGCTTTTTCATCTCCTGGGTATTGTTCTTTTCCCATCCCTGCGCTCGTTAGGGCCCAATGTACGCGTATTATCTTTTCTCTTTCTCCTTCTTTATGTCGTTTCCCCCTTCTGTTTGATGCGTTGCAGTCGGACGGTTTGGCTATGTTGAGACAGACTAGTAGTATATAGATTTCCGGGTCTGGATTTGGTGCATCAAAAGGCGGCCGTTCAAAAGGTTACATATAGATATGTTATATATATTATATATACATACACATATTAAACTTGAACTGTTCCAAGAATACCGCATATTACTTGGTAGTGGGAGCGTGTTAGTCTTGATAGGCGTGTTGTTGACGTTGACTAAAACGGGGGCGAGCGGTGGGGGAGTTTTTGCTGGGTGGCTCTTAGTTATCAGTTTGGCCGACCTCAGCTTGCAGGTGAGCCGCATGGGGAAGAAGACGCAACTCCAGCACAACTTCCACCACCAGCTCCGAGTAGCCATTATATCAAGATGCAGTCAGGCATATCAGGTAGGATGCTCGTTCTTGATGATTTATGCGGCGCTAACACTCTTAATAGTTTCTACGGAAGTTCATGACGCCTTCGCGGGCTTCCTATCTAACCCCTCGCTCTTCTGCCTGCCCATCACAATCACCGACGAGCAGCTTGTTCCCCTGCAACCCATTTCTTTCTCGCATGGAAGCAGCAGCGACGGTGATGATAACCGCCAGTTCTTTGCCTCGTTGCCGTCCCTCGCGGACCATCTACAGCCCAAGACTCCTATCTACCTCCTGCTCAGGCGGTCTCAGGAGCACGCGGAAACAGGCTTGATAGCCCTCTCATTCGTTCCCTCAAACAGTCCCGTACGCTCCAAGACACTTTTTGCAAGCACTCGAGCTGCACTTATTCGCGAACTGGGATCAGAGAAGTTTGCGGAAAATATATTCGCTACAGACGTCGAAGAGGTGCTTGATGAGGAGGAATGGAAAGAGAGGGAACTGGACCTGAATGCTAAGAGTGGTGCAGGTGGTGCGGGCGGTGATGACAGACGAGATGAACTCATGGGAGAACAAGAAAGGGAACTGAACGCTGTTAAAAGAGGTGAGAATGATGCCAGAGACATGTGGAAGCGCAGGATGGATATCGGTATTGGAGGAACTGTTAGTTCGGATGGAAATAAGGGTGGCCAGCTATCCGGAGCTGGAGCTTCTGAGAGCAGCACCCTATTTAAGACTGGAGATGGCGCCGAAGAAGCGTTACAGATCCTGGGCCAAGATGGGGCCGCCGTCTTCTTGGTAAGGCATTTCTTCCACATCGAGCTTGCAAATGGTTGTATATTTTCTCCAATTGAGTCTAACAATATACATGACAGGCTATTGATGTGAAAACAGAGACGTTGAACCTAGTGGGAACAGAGTCTAGCGTTGCGCCAGAATCTCTATCAGGGCACATCCCAGCCTCAGAACCACAGTACACCTTCTATCGCCATCCCGGCTCCTCCGAGTTGATCTTCATTTACACATGTCCTTCCGGTTCCTCCATCAAGCAGCGCATGTTGCACGCTAGTAGCCGTGCAGGATTGTTGGTGTGGGCAACGCGAAACGGCGTCTCTGTCAATCATAAGGTATGTTCCCTATTCTTCCCTCGTATTAGATTCCAATAGTAAGCGGGAATGGGCATATTCGAAAAGTAAGACGCTGATGTGGGTGATTTCCGTTAAACCAATATAGATCGAGGCATCCGGTGCAGATGAAATCACACCCGATAGACTGCAGGAGGAGATAAGCCCGCCTGTCCAAGAGGTCAAGAAAGCATTCGCCAGACCAAAGAGACCGGGTAAGAGGTAGGTATGTTTCGGTTCTTTCTTTTCTATCAAAAGAGTAGAAGACCCAGACGGACACAGTTGGCTGTATCATGAAGGGGTAGCTTTCGATAGCGTTAACTACCAGCCCAGACATAGCATAGATATTTGGACACAGCGTTCCCAGTGAAGTGTTCGTAGAATTTTCGGCCTCGTGGTTAGCAGCCAGGCGCAATGCGGCTGCCTCCAATCGTATCAAACTATCGCACCCCCACCACCGCCTGCCCCAGCACGATGTTGTTTCCGTTGGAAGAACAAATCGGTCCTCGAGCTGCCCAGGTTGATAATCTTCGGACACCCATCCCTATCCTTCTCCAGTCTGGTACATTCGAAACAGTAGAACGCGTCACTGATCCCTTCCCCGCCACATACAATGCATTTGTTCTGGAAGTTGCCAAAGGAGCATTCATCGCACACGCGCACCAAAGTCGTAGGCCGCACATAGGAGTCGCAGACGGGACATTTGCCGTCACATTTATCGCACAGGCGCCCGATAGCAATGCCGGTTTGCTTTCTGCACATAACGAGATCTGGGTGATGACGCGACATGATGGGAGGTTTGTGTATCTAACGGTAGGTGAGAGTGCCTTTCAACAGCTGTTTTCGTTGTCTGTTCTTCACAGCAGTTGTTTCTTTCTTTTCTCTTTTTTTTTATTTCGAAGTTGTTGTTGAGAAGCTTCCCGCCGCTTTTTGATTGATGACTAAGCTGATCCTCTCCATCTGCATGACGTCCTATCAAATTAGGCCAGAGAAAGCGTCAATCTATTATACCAGTCAGGCCAAAAGCCCATTTGGAAATTTCGTTATTTACCTTAAACCGAGCCCACAGTTTGTTTACTGAAAATAATTAACTACCTAGTTAACCACCCCAACCCTCCCTGTCGGTGTTAAGAAGTGCACGGAGAGCTAACGTTGCTGGTGGAGGCTTTGGCAGCGGTTCCCGGCTTCCAAGAAGAGATCGTCTATATTCCCTTGAACCACTCGTGTTCTAGTGCCCCACGCGCTGTTATTCTCTTCCCTGGGTTGAAATGTGTCATTCGACAGATTAGGTCCTTGAACGCTGGATCCACGCCTTTCCACAGAGCAAATGGCTTTCGAGGGTTCTCCTTGTTGAAACCATCACGGGTGATCTTGAAGACCTCAGCCCAGGGACTCTCTCTGATCAGTTCTAGAAACTCCTGGATGCTATCTTCATCTGCAAAGTATGATATCTGCCGTTCAATAACATGGGCTAATATTTCCTCTCCAGCACCAAGTTCACTCTCGTCAACTGAAAAGATAAGACGTCTGTGGACGGCGTATATGCACTAATTCATATTAACGAAGGCACACAGCTACTATAAGGGGACACATATACTTACCACGACTGCAAATGAGAAGATATCAGAGGGCGGGGTCATGGGACCCTCGGCGTGAGCTTCTGGACTACGCCACATCCAATTGCCTAACTGTCTCCCTGATATCCCACAGCCTGGCGGCACAATTGCGGCATCTTCAAGGTCGCCTAGTCGGACATCCGTGATAGAGCCATCGTCTTTTTGATCCACCAAGATGTTGTTTGCCTTGATATCTGTAAAGGTTAGCTTAACCGTTTAGAGATCAATGACAGGATGGAATACCGTTATGCATTATGTTATTATCATGCAATGCAGCAAGGCCCTGCAACGCATCTCTTAGAACTCGCTTGGTTATGTCTAATGGTAATTCTTTTTTGACAGGTAGATTCAAAAAGTCGGCCGTCAGGTATCTATAAACAAACATTGAGCGCTCGGCCATCGAATCTTGTGGTAGGCGGAGGTAAGAGCAGCCATCTACTTTTTGATAGACTTTCTGAAGGTACTCGAAATCGGGGACATTTTTAAGGACAAAATCCTCCTTTTCAGACCTATCAAACAAACAAGAGTTAGCTTCACGAAATGATGGATGCTTCGAGACATGTACACACTTAGCGAGATAAACATTCAAAGGCGAGTTCTCTTTGGCCTGGAGAACTCTTTCGATTGTATAGTGACGACCAGATTGGCCTATCAATTCTGTGCCAGTGGGGATTGTCTTGCCCATTCTGGCTGCTGGAGAAGCCGGCGTACTTGTGAAGCGGGTTTGTTGCCTGTTAGTTTTAGTTTGATGGCGGTAGAGGCTTGGAGTAAGTATACAGCTTCGAAGCGTCCTGTCGGCATGAAAGAAGGTCAACAAGATCCGTGGTCGAGACATGGGTGAATCTGCACTGGATGCTTGTTGCCGTTAGACGTCTTGGTTCTCTTACGGCGCAGAAGAATATTAATTGATTAACTAGTTAACTAGCCAATTAGTTAACCACGGAGCTTGGCCGTGGTCATTCTAGTTAACTGGTTACACCCACCAGCAAGCTCCAAAAGGTGAGAACTTATCCAAACATCACGTCATGGTTGATATAACTAGCTAATTTATACTGAGCTAGGGCAGAGTTCCATGACTAGTTATTGCCATTGGTTGAAAGTAGCGGCTGATTCTGAGATTATCCGCGCTTAGAATCAAAAGGGCGGCTTCATCCGTCTTGTTTAACTAGTTAGTTAGTTAGAATGACATCCCGCATTATGAAACGAAGGATAGTGGAATGCGCCTAAAGTTTACGATTCCAGAAAGGTTGGTTGGCTGTAGTCTAGCTGGCTGTTCGGTTTGACGCGCGAGCCGAGCCGACGTGAAGTTAACTTAAAGTGAGCCTCAGAATCTGTCTTCCGAGTTGACGAGATGGAAAAGCCCTTAGGCCCCAAAAAGATACGCATATATAATTGTAAATTTCGGATTTAGAATATTTCAAACCCCTTAATTCCTTTATGGGTAGATCGTCAAATATATAAATGGCAGACAAAAAACCCATTCAATGAACGGAGAGCCATGTTTAGAATCTATTCGACATGTATATGGATTGTTGACGGAGCGGGATTGTGCAGAGAAAGCCGGGATCGATTTGACGGTAGTATTACATGCAACTTGTCTCTAGTAACTAATGGAATTCAGATAAAAGTAAACAGCCGCCGTATTTCCAAAGGATTGAATGATATCCGTAACTGTCCTTCGCCGTGAGATAAACATCAAGTAATAGGGGATATGTCAACGGAGAAATCCAGAGTCTTTCCATTGCGCTATATATTTTGCAGCAAGGGCTGGATCGATAGGTTGAGCATTTGCCAAAGTTTGGGAATCTTTTCTGCTATTGTTGGTATCCAAAATTAGGCCACCACAAGACATCCGCCTGAAATGATCTCTGAAAAATTCTAGTAACATTTTGGCCGGGTTATTTGACTCTGTTGAACCAGTAAAATGATGAACTCGGCGCATCCACACGTCAAATGGAACAATGGAAGCACGTGGGATATCTAATGTATCAGCCAGAAGGCAAACTATCTCGCTCCACGGTTGTCGTATGGGATTTTCGATGTGGTAAATAGGTGATGGCATGGTGTCCGATAAGAGGAGGTCGCCAAGTGCCGCTGCAACTTCATCAACAGGGAGCCAGGATAATTCCTAGTATTTTATTAGTATACATTCATATTTGAAGCCCAAAGGAATCCATTCAGCCAATAACTCACCCCTTTAAGATCAGGCAGCGTCCGAAGTGTCTGTGACGACTTGACGAGGAATGAAAAATGCTCCACTGGATTCCAATATCCACTCTTTCTAGATCCCGAAATTTGCCCTATACGAACAGACATGGGTCGGAATCTTCCGGGCAGTTTATGAAGTGTTTGCTCCATAATCTTCTCACATACCAATTTGGCATCACCATAACCACTCGGAAGCACTGAGTCGACTTCCACTCTTTCCTCTGGCACTAGAACCTTATTAGTCTTCAAGGGATGGTAACCAACAGTTGCGATGGATGATATAAATTGGAACCCAGGAGTCACACTCTTCAAGTTTGATATTTCAACAGCCAGATCAATCAAATTCCTCATAAACTGGAATTGTGATTCAAATCCCTTGATTGGCCGCTTTATGCTCATTGGCCATGCTCCATGAACAATATGGGTAACCGAGTGCACCAAGTACTGGTACTCAGAATCTTGCAGCCCCAGCATCTCTTTCTCTCCTTGGGTTGCCATTACTTTCAGTTTTGACATAGATTTCTCATTCAGGAAGATACCCTTTCCCTCTAGTGACTGAACCTGACGCAATAGTGCATCCACGGTGTTTCGTCGGTTCAGGCACACAACTTCTCTGACTGTGGGAAGTCGTGCAAAGTGAGCAACAAGGTGAGATCCTAAGCTTCCAGTTGCTCCTGTGACCAGTACGCTATGTCCTTGCGGCGCTTCCGGAAGTATTGGTTCAGTGGCTGTCCCGGGTGCAGGAAATGAGGTTGAATATTCGCGCGTATATTTATCGACTATGGCCTGCCGAGCCACAAAGTCAGTTTCTTGACTCGGAGCATTGTTTGGGGTCATCGGCAAGCGGTCATACCTGGGTCCAGAAGTCAAAGCAATGATAAGTCGCTGGATACTTGTTTCAGGGCGAGCCCCCGTAGTCCAGTCCACATGGCCGTATCCAGCCAAGTGCATGGACTTCTCCCAGATGGATTGATGTGCTACTACATGTTTCCTTCCGTCGTTATAAAGCCACCAGCCCTCCAGGACTCCGAATACAACGTCAACCCAGTATAGAGTATCAGTCATTTCCAAAATCATTAAGAATCCGTCTGGCCTCAAAACCCGGTGGATCTGCTTGGTTGAATTAACCAGGTTATGCGTGGCATGGACACAGTTGGCCGCTATCACGATATGCTGGCTCTGGAGCAGTTCCGTAGCAGGCTCCTTCTCAATGTCATGAACACGAAATTTCATAAAAGTGTAATCTTTGAATCTCTTTCTCGCAGCTGCAACCAAAGATGCCGAGAGGTCCGTGAAAGTGTATTCAACTGGCATCTGAAGACTGGAGAGGAATGGAGCAAGGATTGCTGTGGTACCCCCCGTCCCCGCCCCCATTTCTAAGATTTTAAGAGGCCCTTTGTTAGTTGGAAGTTTCTGTATAAGACGGTGTATGAAATCTTCCATCTGCCTGAGCCACACCATATTTATGGGAGATTTGCCATAAAGACCAGAAACAAGGTCTCTTCCGTCTGAGGAGCCAAATATGAGCTGGACACCATCGCATTCGCCTGATAAACATTCCGCCAATTTAGACCCGATAAGATGAATAAGTTTGTGATCATTAGCGTGATCCGGATGATTGATTATCAGATCACGTAATAAAATGGTAGAGTGTTTGAGGGGCGGCGTGATGGCAGTTCTGGTGATTATAACATTTTCATCCACATCTACCAGTCGAGCCACCTTTTCGAGCATCATGTAGAGATAATTCACAAATTTATGGTGTTTTTGGAGATATGGAATTCGATCCAACCGTTCACCCTCTTTTGCCTTTTGAAGTGAGCATCCTAATTTCTCGAATGCCTCAGTTATATAGGCAATGCACAGCTCGGTTTGCTTGGGCAGCACATAATCGGCATAGTCTGCAAATTTATATTTGAATATAAATTCGTCTGTCAGCCTCTTTGATTCTTCAAAAGCATTGATAATTGTGTCAGGTGGAATATTTAGTATTTCATCTTCAGCAAGGCTGCCATTAACCTGAGGTCGACCGTTGGCGGTCTGGGCGTCTGTGATACCCATATCGATGGTACTCGTCGTTTCCGGCTTTGAAACCACATTATCGGCTATTTTGTAGCCTAGGGCTTCCTGGATGCATTTCATCAAACTCTTGAAGTCGGTTACTGCATTAAGCACTTCAGTGTCTAATGCGCACTTGAACACTGTCTCAATTTCCCGGGCCAGCTCCATACCCATCAATGAGTCAATACCGATATCAGAAAGAACAGTATCACTCTTAATTTCGTGAGTTTCTAGTCCAGAGACATTTGCGAGAAGATTCCTTATATCTTCAGAAACATCCTTGGGCGGCCCATTTCCGGGAGAGTCTGTTAGAGTTGTTCCAACTGGCGGCGGGGTAGAATAGGAAGCCTCAATATCAATTTCAGTGCCCACATGTGGCTGCATGTCTTTGGCTTCAGCCTTTTGGTTTCCAGGAGTGAGGTTGGTAAGCATTTTCCCTAAACTTCGCTTCGATACCCTCTTGTAGCCTATACCGAGGATAATTTCTAACAGCTCCCCATTTTGAGAATCAAATATGAATACGTCACTGAGGAACTCCTTATCGGAAGGGCAGCGATGAAGCGCAAGGACATTCCAAACATCCGGTCGTGAATCACCAGGGAGTAGCTTAGGTGAGCGAATCCATTGCTCGATTTTTGTCGAGATATACATTTCATTTTCTGATATATCGGTCATACAGTTGACAAAAATACCGGCGCATTGACAGAAAGAGTCTGCCAAGGGAGTATCAAGCCATGTCCGTCTGGTATATTTTTTCACCACTCTTCCTGCTGACTCGTTTCCTCTTCCAACAAGCTTCTGGACTCCTCGATAAATTTGGCCGTAATCCACGACTTCGGCAAATACTTTGTAAATGTTGCGTCCTTGTATAATATCACCGCTATCATCCCCATTCAGGAGCGACAGACAACGCTCATGCCCAGAAAGGCGTTCGTACCTGGCAAAATCATTGAGAAGTTGTATGTCCTGGTTGGATTTGAATCTAATCTTTCCAGAAACATGTAGCGTTGGAGTTTGTCTACCTCCAGTTGGTTCACCAATCATCCTAAATTCCCAAATGAGTGCGTCTGGATCTATGGCTTCCACATCCAGCCAGACACAGAGAGTTGGATCAAGACAGATTGGGACATGATTTTCAAGCCCTTGAAGTTGTGGTTGAAGGTTGTGCGAAAGATATTCTGGTTGCAGCTTTAGGAGAGCTTCAATAACAATATCCAGCTGAAGCGTGCTGGGACATAAAGGAGCAGCATGCGCAATAGTGTGACCAGCCACATACTCATGAAATTCGGTACTGGCAGTATTAATCTTGAATTGAGCGCTGCGTTTGTCATCTTTATTGTAGTTAACAAATTCCCAAAGCCCCAGGGGTTGCTCTTCTCGGGGTTGAGGCTCGCCCTGTCGTTTAAAAAGCGCTTCTTCTGGCTTTTTAAGAGTAACCCAGTGCTTCGTTTTGTCGAATTGATAAGGAGGGAGGAGTAACTGGTTATACTCAGAGGTTTGCAAAGAGTGATGGGGCCAAAATGTGACATTCAGTCTGTTTCTCCATAAGTTCATAGTAGCGTCAGCAAGGCTTTGCAATCCCCTGCCACTCGTGACATTTATACCCTGGAAATGAGAATCTGAAGGTAGGTTTAAAGCTCGGCCAGCCATTGTTGTGATTGTGGAGCTAAAGCCAGCTTCAAGCCAGATGGACGATGGATATCTGAGTGACAGCCTCTGCACAGCGTGGTTAAAATATACCGGGTATCTCATATGCTGTGCTATAAACTCTGTAACGAATGTGCCAGAAGAAGGTGGATGTTCGGTACACCTCTCAACTGGGATTCTACCTTCATTAAAGGTTAAACTTCTTCCTAAATGTTGGAGACATTCCACGAGAGGTTCAACAAGGGTCGAGTGATATGCATTTGTAACATTCAACTTTTTCCACTTCATTGATGAAAATACTGGAGTATTGACCAACAATTCCTCAATAACTTTTGCAGACTGAACTGGCCCGGCAATTGTAAAGCTCCGGGGTCCATTATAACAGGCAATAGTCACCTTCTGACTACCCTCTTGTAGCCTGTTTGCTTCGCTCAAAAGGTGCTGAACCTCCTGGATGTCGCCCTCAATAGCCATCATAAAGCCCTTGTCGGTGCCCCATAGATCTCGAACTAGACGCGCACGTCCTATAATCATTTTTGCTGCTTCGGTAAGGGATAGCACTCCAGAGACACAGAGAGCAGTGAGTTCTCCAAAGCTATGTCCAAGAAGTACAACCGGCTCAACCCCACATTCTATCCACGCCATAGCAGAAGCGTATTGAGTGGCAAAGAGCATGGTTTGAAGCTTAACAATGTCTTTCACTGGAGATTTCTGGAAAACATCTGGGAATAAACCATCTAGCCCAAGAGACATGATAATAGAATTGCACTGATCCATATATTTGCGAAATATTTTGCAAGTATCGTAGATCTCACGGTCCAGGCCAACAAAAGTCGATATTTGACCACCGAAGCACATAATAACGGATCGAATATCAACGGACTCCATTGATTCAATTTGGGAGACATCGTTCTCGAATACTTTAAGAGTGACTTCCAGTTCAGCCATCGAGCCAGAGCTTAGCAACAGTGCACGGCTAAGCATTCGATTTGATTGACGATAAAGGTTAAACGATAAGTCAGGGGCGGTGATGGTTTTTCCGAGGCATTTACTCGACTCCAAAAACTGACGGAATCGTGCAATATATCTCTGGATACTGCTATCATCATTTCCACAGAACCAAAAAGGGTATTTGATCCCTGAAGGGAAGGATGATCTGTGGGTTGTACTGCTTAATGCTTGCTCCGGGGGTTGAGTAACAATGAGTGAAGCATTGGAGCCTGATGCCCCATAATTGTTGATCAAGGCTGCTCGGAACTCTGTGTCCCATTTGGCTAAATTCGTAGGAATTTCCATGTTATCGGAAGGAGACCGCTTGATTGCAGGATTGATCTTGTTAAAGCTTGCTTGTGGCGGAATGGATCGCTCTTGAATCATTAGAAGAACTTTGATTAGCGAAACGATACCGGCAGCAGTTTCTGCATGTCCAACAAGGCCCTTAACCGAACCCAAGGAAAGTGTATCTGGACGGTTCTGGCCTCCGAATACCCTGAGAATACTTTCATACTCAGCCGGATCACCAACTGGAGTCCCCGTTCCATGTGCCTCAACGACTGAAATACGATTGGGATCAAGGCCGGCTTGCTTGGTCACATCGCGAAATAAGGTTGAAAGAGAATCGGCGTTAGGGACAGTTATCGGGGTGCAATTTTGATTCTGATATACAGCACTACTGGAGATGACGCCTAGGATTTGATCTCCGTCACCAAGGGCTGTTGAGAGCCTTTTGAGTACCACCGCACCAACTCCTTCCCCTCGACAATAACCGTCGGCATTTGCATCAAAAGGTTTGCAGTTGCCTGTGGGGCTGAGAAATGATGCACCGGCTAGATTTTGAAACCATAGGGGGCTTGTTAATATTGTCACACCACCAGCTATAGCAGCAGTACATTCACCACTAAGTATAGCTTTGCAAGCATGGTGAATAGCCACTGCTGAGGATGAGCAAGCAGAATCAATGGTAAGAGAAGGGCCGGTCCAGCCAAAGTAATGGCTTACTTTACCAGCGACAAAGCTCCTCAAATTCCCCGTTGCAGAGAACGCATTTGCTGGGTAACAGGCAATATTATGCTCGTAGTCCACACACCCGAGACCTATATAGCAGCCTATGTGCTTGTCCCGATCCGGAGACAAGAAATACCCTGACTGCTGGAGAGCCTGGTATGCAATTTGAAGCATCCATCGCTGCTGGGGGTCAGTTGATATCATTTCGCGAGGGCTTTTCCTAAAGAATTTGTGGTCGAAAGCATCGAAATCGGTTATAAAATTGCCGTACCATCTCCTTTTTGGGTCCAGTTCTCGCCAAAAAGTGCCAAAGTGGAAACGATCAGAGGGTGGTTCAGTATGTTGTGATTTTCCAGCGCGTAATATGTCCCAAAATTGTTCAACATCATCCGCTCCAGCTACTTTGCAAGCCATGCCAACAACAGCAATATCATTGTCATCTCGTACATGACTATGTGTTGCTTCCAAATGAGGATGGAGTTCGGCTGAAGGCAGCACTTCATCGAGGTTTGTTGCATTTATTAGATTTCGCCCGAGATTCCGCGCCATAGATGGTGGTACGCAGTTATCGTGACCAAAAAGAACCACTTGTGATTGAGACCCATTCGAATTTGAAGTGTAAGTAGCTGCAAAGGTACGATACCAATCGCATTGTTCGACCAATATGGATCTTAGAGCTAATTGATGGGGTTTCGTGTCTTTCGTAAAATCCGAATCTGATTCATGACCATGGTCTGAATGACCTGGTGATGAATGGTTTGAAAATTGTAACTCCGGATTCGAATCACACAGCTGAATAAGTAGTTCCACAGAGTCTTGATGTCCTTGGTAATGGAAATACCCTTGCAGGTTGAGCTCGGCAACTATCAAGCCCTCTTTTCTCATGAGATTAGCGAGTTTTCCCGCAATAACCTTGGTGCATGTAATCGTGGCTCGTTTCTCGTCATAAAGGACCGAGATATACGCCTGGAAGTTTCATAAATATTTATATATATATACCTTAAAAACTTAGGTTGATTATAACTTACCTGGGGAAACTGCTTTATAATTTCTAGCATCTTCACCTGAGATCTCAGAGAATTCCATGTAATAGATTGAGATATGGCCCCTCCTTCCGAGTTGCTTTCATTTTCAGAATCAACCAGGGCGCCAATGAGCATGGCAAGCCGTATTGCCGCAGCGCCATTGCGTCTAAACTCCTCCGGATTTGTAGAACTAGATACTGCGATGGCTGTCAGGAGGCCAGTACAAAGGCCGAGTGCTTCTGACTTGATATGGATAGGTGACTGAAAACAGTTGCCTGCCGGGTATGTAGGATCAATATGCTCCAGATATCTCCGGTACTGGGTTAAATGAGTGATGACAACAAGAGGCGTTAGGAGGATATTGGGGAGAGGAAATATTGCCTCTGTGGTGGTATTCTCCTTGATCCAGACAGCCAAGTTTTCCAGCAACTGTCCCCCAGGAAACTTTTGCATAAATGGAAGTTCTTTTGAGGCAGCATCCCACAACCCCGGAAGAGTTTCGATGACGTCCAGAATCCACTGATTATAAGGCACGCTAAAGAGCACAGCTTTCAGTTTACTGAAAGACTCTCCACGAAAGGCAAGTGCCTGGGGTCCAAATAGATGAATAGTAGGAGCCCTGGCGGGTGTTGACAATGTACCAACCATGACGAATGTTGGTAGCTCTGAAATGAGCCGGTGTTGAACTTGTGTGTTCGTACAACTTACGTCAAAATATTAATATATAGAAAGTGGAAGGTCAAAAAGGATGACGTTCCATTAAAGAAACGTCAGATGTAACGAGCGGAATGTTGTAAAGGTGCAGGTCTAAGCCTGTGATTTTTTGGGACCAATGGCATAGTTATCGCCGGCCGGTCCTGAGTATGCTGGCGGACCCGAATAGCTCTCAATAGCTGTGGCGGTAAGTGTATTCCAGGCAACTAAAAGAGGAGTTGATAAGCAAATTTATCTGCAAGGGGGTTAACCTGAGTAGCAGGACCTGAGTACAAAGACAGGGTGGTACACACTGATTTATATTTCCAAGCTTAGGCGAGATATGGCCAGTCATAATTGTATCTGTAGAAGAGACACGCTTGACGCATCTCCCTGGGTTTTCCACCTCACATTCCAAACTAGCAGCCATGGGTCATCTAGAATTGTTACCAGGCTTGCCGTCTCAACATACCTATGTATTGAGCCTCTCTATCCTTCTTCCTCTTGTTATCTTTCTTGTTATATCAGTTAAGTCATATTATCGCCTATCCCACATACCTGGGCCATTCTTTGCTAGATTCACGAATATTCCTCGATTACTCTGGGTAAAGAGTTTCAATGCCCATAGAATTCATATCGACCTGCACAAAAAATATGGCCCCATCGTACGTTTCGGCCCGAACATGGTGAGCGTAGGAGACCCAAGGGAAATAGGAACCATATACTCATTCAAGAAACCATGGCCAAAGGTGAGGGGAAAGAATAAGGGATCGATATGATGTTTTGACTTACAGCATAATAGTCAGATTTCTATCGCTCCCTATTGCTTAAGACGCGGAGTAAACCAGTCGAAGGAATATTTGCCACTCAGAATGAGGCAATCCACCGAGCATTGAAGCGTCCTATCTCTAATGTCTACTCAATGAGCCACCTGGTTTCATTTGAGCCTTACGTCGATACCGCCATGAAAGTATTCTGCGAGCAGCTTGAGAGTAGGTTTGCTAAGACCGAAAGTGGAAGTGGAAGTGGGAAAACTATTCCATGCGATTTTGGGCAGTGGTTGCAAATGTTCGCTTTTGATGTCATGGGAGAGTTAACATTCTCCCACCGGTTCGGCTTCATGGAGAAAGGAGAAGATATAGATGGAGTTATGGCGGAGCTTTGGAGCACTCTCCAAAAAACTGCCTTGGTGAGATCAGCCCAGTCCCCCAAAAGATATGTTAGAGAAATGAAACTCTAACATAAAAAAAAAAAAGGTGACACAAATGCCTTGGCTAGGGGATGTTTGGACAAATAACCCCATTTTACGCTTCTTCAGGAAGAATATTCAAAGTCCTGGAGTGATTTTTGCAATGCGCAGGGTTCAAGAAAGGCAAAAAATCGAAAAGGGTGAACTAAAGAAAGAATGGAAGATAAACAACAGAGACATGTTGTCACGTTTTATGGAAGTGGAAGCCAGCGATCCATCAGTCCCTCCGTTGTAAGTGAAGCTTTTGACCAAATAGTGATATTGGCTGACTGATATTGTGGGTGGCTCTCAAAAGTGCGCTCCTGGTATGGACTTCTTCAAATATTACTGCGGGCAGTGATAGCACGGCAATGTTCCTAAGAGCTATGTTCTATTATCTTTTGCATAATCCGAGTACCCTCAAGCGCCTGGTGGCAGAATTCGACGAGGCCGCTGAAGCAGGGAACCTCGAAGACCTTGCTGGATTTAGACAAGCCAAGGATCTTCCATACTTTAATGCATGTATTAATGAAGCAGGCCGCATGCATCCTCCACTTGGACTTCCTATGGAGAGGGTAATTCCTGCAGAAGGTGCTAATATCTGTGGCCAACGACTAGAAGGCGGAACCGTTGTTGGTATGAGTTCTTGGGTGACCCATCACCATGAACAAACATTTGGGGCAGATTGCAATAAGTGGCGACCAGAAAGATGGCTGTGCGAACCAGAGCAGGCAAAGTACATGGAAAAGTGTCTCCTCACGGTAAGCAGGAATATTGAGTACCTTTTTTACCCGTCATCAACCCTCAGCTTATTCAAGTTCTAGTTTGGTGCTGGCCATCGCAATTGTATCGGCAAGAATATTGCTCTGCTGGAAATTTATAAGGTCGTGCCGACATTATTAAGGCGTTTCCATGTAAGTGATAGGTCTCATATGGTATCTGAGGTAATCAGTCGCCCGGACTAAGTTCGCTTGCCTGCAAAATAGTTCGAGCTCCTCGACCCTGACGAGGGTGGTGATTGGGTTGTATTGAATCGGTGGTTCGTCACTCAACGTGGATTTAAAGTGCGGCTCAGGAGAAGAGTTTATCCGGAAAGCTAGTTTTATATCACGTGATATTTAAAAGGGGGGAAATGTTCAGAAAATGAAGTTATTACTTCGACCAAGCATTTTATAATTTCAGTCACTTTTGATTTATCTCTTTACGTTCTCATATTGACAATCCTTCATTTCCCCCTAGAATAAAACTTAATTAAATATATTACTCTCCGCGCATTCATATTGCCTGTGTTTGACCCTCTAAGTAAGTGCAGGATAATCGGTGGTACATACATATACTAAGAGAGGCACATTTCCTTCCCCACAACTTAATTACACCTTGTCCAGATCAGCTATACCTGGGTTTTTCTTTTGGGTGGCTGGTTTCAGCGAAACCCATTTCATACCCAGAGGCCCAATAATAGACACGCAAGCCAAAACGAGTGCAACTTTATATGCCTGTTGAAGGCCACTGTTGTAGGCTAACACCACTCTCGGAATATCCGCTGGGGGAATAATTTGCTTGAACTGGGTCGCACCCAGTGTGATCAATTGATGAGGATCTAAACCTGGGATTCCTGCCCTTCCCACACTAGTCACAAGCTCTGAGAGAAAAACGCTCTGTGCAACAGGGACAAAAATCGCTCCTCCCCCCAGTTGGGAGAATAACATGATTGCCATACCAGTACTCACTTCTTCAAGCGGCAGTGAAGTCTGTGCAGTCACAAATGGTTGTTGTAGACCAAATCCTGAACCAATAGCAAATACGAGCTGGTATCCTACCCACTGGCTAGGGTTTGAATCAACAGTTAACGTTGTCAGGAGGCCGGCCCCAATGGGCATCGTCATGCTAGAGAACCAGATCCAGGGCATGTAATAGCCAAATTTCGTAGTGAGAAGACCGGATATAATAATACCAATGGTATTAACCAAGATTAGTGGTAAATAATTTATGCCGGACCTGATCGGATTGGCGCCTTTTATAACCTGGAAGTACAGTGGGAGATAAAAGATAAAGATATTGAAAGCACCGCCTTGACAGATCGCAAAAAAGGCCGCAAATGCCATGTTTCTATTTTTCGCAATATGCGTTGGGATCGTTGCATTTTCGTCCTTCTGTATAATCTGAGCTAGGATAAATGTAGCCAACAGTATTGAGAATATCGTTAATAAGGCAACAACGAGACCCGACGACCATGGAGCAGTTGTTCCACCATACTGCAATGCTGTGAGAAGACAAGCTATGCTGGCAATAAAGGTGAAGGTGCCCACCAGATCTAGTCGCTTGATCGTCATGGCAACAGTCAAGTTCTGCCCACCAGCACTGGGTGGCAGCCGTTTGAGCGAAAGTGAGAGGATAAATGCTGAGGCTCCACCAAGAGGTAAATTCAAATAAAAAATCCACCTCCAGCTAGCCTTTTCTGCAAGTACTCCTCCTAATAAAGGGCCAACAACACTAGCAACCCCGTATACTGCGCCAATCATACTGGTGAATGTTGGGCGCCAACGAACAGGAGCGGTGTGGGCCATGATAGTCATGGCGCCACTCGTTATTCCAGCCGCACCAATACCTGCAACGGCACGACCGGTTATCATTGTTTCGCTTTTGGGGGCTATAGCTGCAACTAACGAGCCGAGTTCAAAGATGAAGAGGGCGCTCATAAAAACCCAGCGCAATGGGAAGATCTTGTACAGCTTGCCATAGAAGAGTTGAAAGGCACAATTCGTTAGGAGATAGACAGATCCATACCAGCCTACATGGCTTAACCGGCGAAAGTGGTCCGTGATTGGGGGTATAGCTGTCGCGATGATGGTGTCATCGAGAGCCTGGCAAAACACGGAAACCAGTAGCGAACTCAGGATTAAAAACAGCCTCAAGCCGGTAGTGCGAAACTCATTCTCCGAAGGAAATTCTTCCTCCAGCCTAAGCCTTTCACCGCCACCACCACCATTATCTTTTCTTTCCCCGTCCCTTGCATCCCTTAGGTTGTCGTCGTTAATGAACAGCTCGTCGTCGTTGACATGGGGCGCGTTGCCAAGAGCCGGGGCTTCGAAGCTAGTCATGCTTGAAACGAACTAAATACTTTTAGCCCCGTCTTGGTGAGCTTATTGCAACCTCGTCTCGTTATTCCGAATGCACTCCTAAACTCCTCGATTTCGGGCTGTAGGTCGTGGTATTATAACCGATGCTCTTGTATCACCTGGAGAACTGATGTTTTTACTTCTTTCAAGATGACCGATCGTGCCTATTGGATCTTTTCCTAGCAGTTGAAAAGATAGTTAGGCCAAAGTGGAGGGAAGGATTGATTCTTGGTATATGGAACTGGCAACGCCCTGAGGATGGCTAAAATGGGGAGCAACTTCGGATATGATGTTGGATATGCCTCTCGTGTACGCGCGTACCTGGCACAGATTATCATGAACACCTTCACGGTTTGCCTGGAGGGTAACAGCAATGGTGTCAAGAACCTAGGCATCGATCTCTTCATGCTACTGCGAGCACTGAGTCTACTATTCTGTGTCGCCTTTGTGCCGTTGAATGCTCGACCTTTTTCACTTACGGTCCCTCATATCTTCAAGTTTTCCCGCCCGTGCGATCATGTGTAAGCGGGAGCTGAGTATATCGGGGTTATCGTGCAGCGTGGCCTTAAATCCGGAAAGATTGCTCCAAGATACACCTTTCCGCTCCTCACAGTGTACAACAAGCTCATATATCATTTGCATCGTTCGCAGGAGCTGCCGTTTCATCTCGATTCTGTGCGCCAAAGTCACCAATTCCTCCAATAGGTAATTCAAGTTTGCCTAGCTACCGTAGTCCATCATGAGGCCGCAACCGCTTCAGCTGTGATTGTCATCGCGCAATGCCCTATGGGATACACGATTCGGTTTGAGTCTCGGTCGTGAAAAATCGCTATTCAGCAACGATTTTTGGTTTGAAGGATATATATCTTTCATTTTGTGGTTAGTAATAGTACGAAGGAGAAACTTCTTTTTTATGCTGGATTTCTTCTAGGAAAATACCCTACGGAAAGTGTCAATAGATGCACACAATTCTGGAGTAAGTCTTTGATATTCGTTACATACTTTTATTTTTACATTGATTCCCCCTCCGTCTTAATCGCAGGTCGGATACCATAAAATCTAACTTAAAACTTACTTAGAACGCCAGCCGTAGGGTAGCGGATGTTATCGTGGCATCCAAGGATGGCAAAAAACAGGCTCTGTACACTGGATAAAGCTGATATTTTAATCAGGGTACTAGTGGCCTGTGATAACCAGAAACACGTCTACTGACATTTGATCAAGAGATATGATGCTCTCGGAATCTTACCCTCATTTACTCCGTTCACACCAATACAATATATACTATGATCCTACGACCAAATCGTGAATACAGCCAGAGAACAGCATGTAATAGTGAGTTTAAGTTTATTTATTACCAACGTAGCGAATACTCTCAAGTTCTCCAGGATCTACCTGTTCTGCAATAACCATCAATATTCATCTCCCTCATGTTAATTCTCGCTAATTATCTTAACATCTACAGATGAATTTGAGGAAAAAAGAAATTCCAACACCTGCCCAACCTGATCCGACTGCATATGCTGCAAAATCATTGTACTTTTCCTGTTTTCCTTTGAAACCGTTCCCAGGATCTCTTCAATGGAAGGCATAGATGGATCGTGGTACGAACTATTGATAAGAAATGTCTCATTCTTCTCAATTGCGGCCTCTTCGTTGTGGTCGTAGTCATCTTCACCTCCATCCTCTTCATCAGCTTGCTCGCTTTTATCTAAGACAATCGAGCTCCCCGTTTTTCGAGTTACCGGATGACAGTCCAATGAATGTGAAGAAACTGATGGAGTATGTAAGTCACCTTCTCCCTCCATCTCTACCATTGTTGTTAATGACTCGAAGAAGGTATCAGCTATCCCCATGTGACTCTCACTCGCATTTTCGAACGAACTAGGGCCACAGCTGGCAGGGAACTCCATATCGTGATCATTCGGTTTCTCTTGATAGGGGTGGCTACTTGGAACTACATGCCACCCAGGTAGCTCCCCAGTGTCCCCGTGGAGTTGTGTACGATCATGCATAAAGGCCGATCCAGACGGAGAACTGAACATTTGATTAGGCTGTTCCATAAGGAGCGCGTCGAAATTACTACCATTGGCAATTCCCGGTCCAACTGAACAAATGGGAGAGTTATAGTGGATAATATCCCTCATAAAATCCATTGAGCCTGTTGTCCACCAATTAGTTGTATCGCGGTTCTCAGTCGCCTCAAGGGTAGTGCCATTTCTTCGACGCCGTGAAAACGAAGGCCTCTGGCGGTCCGAACCTGCTGCGGTACCGTTTTTTCTGTTTCTCTGGAGGATTGCGTGCCTATTTAAAAGCTGTAAAAAATTTGGCAAATGGCTTTTTATTTATACCCTTATCTCACCTGTTTTTGGCATCTGTGGCTGATCTTCCTTGGAGTATCTCATCCACGATCTTCCTCCAGTTGCGTCCTCCTCGTTCAACTGCGGCTAAGAGACGCTCATCTTCTTGCTCGCTCCATTCGCCATGGTTCAAATTGGGGTTAAGGAAATGCAACCAACGTTTAGCGCACTCTATTATGCCGCGTTAGCATCTAGACCATTCCTCCGAAAATGCTTAGTTTGGTCAAGGCATCTTCAGGAAATAGCTTAGGAGAACTAACGATCAGCATGTCGTGTTCCTACGACTTGCGCAACTTCCGTCCAGCTAAACTTCCGTCAGCCTGTCTCCTGATTCGAGTTTGGCACACCAACAGTTTAGTAACTAACACATTAGAATGGAGCAAAACCGCTTTATGAAGGCGTTGGTCCTCTTCCTGGCTCCATGGGCCTTTTTTTACCGGACCGTCCAATTTGATCCAACGTTTTCTGCAATCTAAGCCATACATTAGAGCTGAAAACTTTGTTGAGTCAAACCTCACCCAGGGGACGAGGTAACCTTTATTACTTCGACCGGGGAGCTTTTCAGCAATTGTTCGCCAATCTTTCGCCTTTCCATGCTCCGCTGTTTGATAATCATTATCAGTTAAATGCGTATCAGTGACTTACTCCCACTTCCTCTTGGTCATCAATCACTTACCTTGCCTGGCTACCTCACTCCGCAACACGTTGTCTTCCTTTTCGGACCACAGTTTTCGAGGTTTTAACTCTCGAATATTGTCCATATCCAAGGTAATGCTCAATATATTTTGCATTGGGTAAACGATTCTTGATACTTGAGAATGGACAAATGCCACACTCACATCGCTTCTCTTTTCTTCTAGAAGGGAGGGAAGCACAGATCTTGGCCATTCCATGTCTTCTATGGATGTTCTCTATTTAAGGCCATGTGGGCTGCTTTCCAGGTTTGCTGGAAAAAAATTTCGCCTTAACCCCTGACATGGAACTGCACCTATTAAGGACACTACAATTGCCTTCTTTGAAACCGCAATGGGTATTATCCATGTCGTCATTATCTCTCATGAGGAGAGCTACTGCTGCGTCAGTTCAGGTGATGACAATCAGATACTCTCAAAAGCTTGATATCAGATGAAAGCTGCCATGCTTCCTCTGTCCCGAGGCTTAATACATCTTACTTTAAGATCGTTATTTTTGTCCTTCCCTTTCTGGTAAGTTCAAAGAAGTAAGTAAGAATAGCTCCTTTTTTTTTTGCAATTCCCCTTCGTTCAACGTAACGCATGGTAACTGCAACGCTAAGAGTCCTTTACCCAGGCATGAAAAATAGAGTGCTGCTCATTTGCTACCGCATAGGCCTGGTAACAATCGTCCCGGCGGCCTCTTACAGAATCCAATTTAAGGCAAATAACTACTATGTTCAGCATTTCGGTTAGCAGTATTACTAATTTTCCTTTTGAATGGCCGCATTTCAACCTTTCAAAGGAGATACAACTAATACTATTATCCCGCGATTTTAAATTTATGTGCGCAAAGACACATTGACGTGCAGGCTTCTTCAACTTTAGGTACACCTCATTCTCCATGTGGTGAGCCTACTGGAACTTTTGACACTTCAACCCAATCGACTAAATCTCTGGAAATCGGTTTTAAATCCCTTTCCATCGGTCCACTTCTAAGCTCATAACAGCAGCACATAGACCTAACATCCTAGTTTCAATTGGGATGAATGGATTGGTTCGAAATAAGACGCTCTGCGAAGAGGGGTCATGGACCCGCCGGCCCGTTAACCCTCAGCCCTTTTCCATGGATCATTTACTTGTCCACAACATCTCTTGCCTCCTTCAGAATGCCGGACGGGGTTGACGGTCGAGATTGTGGATAATACTCAGGTCCCATGGAAGGTTACACCGCCTTCACTATGATGTTACTTCCTAGGAGATGTCTCGCTTCTTGACCTACCTAGTCATTTCATACTGCAAGTGGACGTGTAACGAGAATACGACATTCACATGAAGAACCGAGTGATATCCCGTCTAAGACCTAAAGAAAAATTGGGGTCGACATTCTAGAGCCTCATTTCGGGCTTGAGGTCAGAAGGCAAATAAGTGTCTTGGTTTCTCTGATGAACCGAATAAGTTAATCGTTGGAAGCCCAGGTAGAAAATAATTGACACCTATGTCCTAAAGGGCCCGGCTATTTTGGTGAAACAATGAAAACTATGTTTGTGAGTTATCGGCTGAACATCTGTGAGTTATATTTCGTTATCCTCCAGCAGCCAACTCACCAGGTGAAAGATAGCTCACCCACAATCCATCTGTCTCGAGATATAACTTGCATAGTATCACAGTCCACCCTGAATAGCGATAAAAATGACAAAAGGAAGCTTTTCAGGTGTCCCTACAGTCGACATATCTCCTTACCTCGCAGATCCCAAGTCCGATGCCGCCCGAAAAGTCATTGAAGATGTGAGGGAAGCTTGCATTTCGACCGGGTTCTTTCAAATCACTGGACATGGCATCTCCAAATCTCTGCAACAGAACATCTTCGATGCAGCACATTCCTTTTTTGCTTTGCCATTGGAAGAGAAAAAGAAGCTCAATGCTGCAAACTTCATTGGTCATAGAGGGTATGATGTGTTGGCCAGCCAGTCCTACGAAGAAGGCGTATTACCAGACTTGAAGGAGGTGAGAAGACCACGATGCTGCTTTGTGATCTATTTTGACCTTGTTGGTCATCGTTTTCTTATATAGCCCGTGCTATGCTGATAGGTGTTTAATAACCGGAACCTTCCTGCTGAAATTCCTTAACAATAGGGTTACTATGTAGGTAGCGACGTCCTGCCATCAAATCCTTTGTACGGTCGTTTCTTCATGGGCCAAAACGTTTGGCCCTCGACAGAATTACTGTCCACCATACAATTCCAGGAACCATGCGAGCGATACCACGAAAGCGTCCAACGTCTTGCCTTCAAGGTTCTGCAGCTAGTAGGAGATACAATGATACCCCACGGGCATAGCACCGTTGGTATGACAGAAAATATGCCAACTGTCCTGCACAATCTAATCAGGTTGGATAAAATTCCGGCATGTCCGCTTCGCCTTCTCCACTATCCCTCCGCCACTCGCAACGGAGGGAGTGTGACCGGCAAGCCACAGTATGGAGCATCGGCGCACACCGACTTTGGTGTAATCACCCTGCTCCTCCAAGACGACAATCGTGGCCTCGAAGTTCTGGTCGAAAAAGACGGAAAGCAGGTGTGGTGGCCCATTGACCCGAATCCTAGTGCCTACGTGGTCAATATAGGAGATATGATTAGCATGGTTACCAACGGCATTTATAAAAGCAGCATGCATCGCGTTGTATGCAAACGGCCAGAAAGAGAGAGATATAGCATTGTATTCTTCCTCGATGGCTGTCTAAACGCAAATCTGGAGCCAGTAGAGGGATTTGGGCACCCAGAAGAAGGCGTTGGATTCTCTCACAAAACGGTGGAACAGCATATGACTGAACGGTTATCGATGAGCTATGCGAAGGAGGGTAAGGATCCAAGGCATAACGAGGATACCTTCAGTGCATGAAAACGATGCCTCAATGAGACCACACCTCCAAGCCCGCTTTGCCCTGTCCAAATTGATGTTTTGCTTTATTTTCGGATCTGTTCCAGTCACGTCGAGATGTCTAATTTATTAATCTGCTTGAAATAGGTAATCATATGCTTCCCGCTATAAGTGTCCATACAGACCTGATGTATTTTCCATACAGTTGGCATGAACAGCTGGTTGTACGGAGTACTCCTGTCCGAATGTATCCATGAATCGATGTCGATGTCTTTGTGATGTAATTGGAGAACTTTAAATATGAGTTTGTTAGTTATATGATTATGTAATAGAAATCTTGGCTCTAGACCAAAAAAAAAAAAGGCTCCGCAACGGGGAGCGAGCAGAAGCTGGTCAGTCAACTCATATCATAGCATCTTGGATCTTGGAATACCATACCACTGCGAAATAACACAGCATTTACGTGACAGATCTCATTGAAGCTGTTACAGAGTACACATGGCAGAGAGGTAAGTGTCACATCCTCGGACTAGATTTATCGTTACGTGCTAGTTTGCTAATATATAAACACAGTTCAATCGCATCCGCCGTCGCGCTACCTGAACCCCCACAGTATCCCGGCCCAGAAGCTCTACCGAAGCGAAGACAGAGCATTTCAAGTAACAGCAGCAGTAAAAGGAGGCGGCTGAGTGCAGACGGGTTCTCCGAGCGTGCGAATCAGTCTACCCCGCCAAGTTCTTCGAATACTCAACGGTTGAACGGTTCGAGTGATGTGAAGGCAGCAGATAAACCCAAGCCAGGGAGGGACGAGGAGCGGAAACGTGGCCGTAGGCTTTTCGGTGCTCTACTTGGAACACTGTCTCAAAGTTCTTCTACGCCAGCGCAGAGAAAACGCTCAGAGATCGACAAGAAACAGCAAGCAAAGCTGGAGCTTCAGGATAAAGAATATAATGAGCTAACCAAAAAGAAATATGAAGATCTCCTGGCGTCGAGGAGGAAAGATCAAGTTTTGTATGATTCCCAGTCGGTATGTGAAAATCATGGATGTTGTTTGTTCTCATTAATGATACGGTTAACTCACAGCTTGCATAGGCCGAAATTCGTCACTCGAACAAGCTTGCAATGGCACACTTTCTCCGCACTGAAGCGGAACCACCATTGGTAAACCGCCTTCTCCTCTCATATTCATGTGTGACTTGACATAATTCAAGGTAATATTATTAACTCTTAATAGTATTATCGGCCGTGGTACCTTCGACCTCAAGACGAAACAAAGATCCAAAGCCAAATTGCGGAAGCAAAATCAAGTATAGAGAAGGAAAGAATGGATTCAAGTTCACGTTATAAGCAGCATGAGTCAACCATCCACGGGCGGGAAATTACCGTTGACAACCCCGATGATAACTCCGCTGAGGATAAGGCCACAAAAGATACCACAGACCTCATAGGACCTAATACTAACGAACCGCTCGAACAGACCAGTGAGGCTCCGCAACGAACCTTAATTGACACTACCCTTGTCCCCGTGCCTCCTGCAACCCAAGGACCAAGTGGACTTGATGAGGAACACTCCGGTGAGGTACTAATGGAAAATACTGAGGATGCTGTAATTTATTGACTGGTGGATTCTTCTTTCTCCTTATCCCTTCCACGTTCCTTGCGCTTTCTGCTGCTGAAGAAATAGGATATTCCGCCGTATGCCCTACTTATCTTCTTTATACTTTCCAGCTGTTACTCTCTTCTCCCTACCAGCGTCTTTCGCTGCACCTTTAACATTTTTCAAAGTATCATACCCATTGTTCTGGGTGAGATAATGGTTGCTTTCATACCGCGCATCTTCGGCAATCCCGAACGTGTAACCCGATGCCTCGACAGGTGCACATCTCGAAGAGTAATCCAAGTCGAACAGCTCTCGAAAGTGGCGTACAGTTAACGTCAAGCAAACAAAGTGACCCAGTTCATCAATAATCACTACCTAGGTATGCTTTGTCCCGCTTTTGTAGAAGTCGCGCCGATGTCTATATAGGACCTGCCGGCGGTTTAACCTCGGCTGACCTCCCCTCGTCCCAAGGCCGTTTGTAGAACGCGGGATCCACTCTTTCCGTAGTTCCGTTTAATCCAGGGGTATATAAAGACCGAAACCGCATCAACTATCAAACTGATAACAGACAACTTATATATAGGGGGGGTTATCGGAGAGAATCATCTTTGCAAACTTATATCTGCCCACCTGCAAGGGCCAGCAAGCCGCGGCTCTTGTCCGCGTATTCCACGTACAACAGACAGGATGCCGCTCGATAAGATACAAGTGCCGGCTGACCCGAGAATCAGGCATTGTTCTACGTTCGTCAACGGAACGACGTACGGTATGGCATCCCGATTTCATAAATGTTTGATCATTGCATCAATTCATCTATATAATCACCGTGTAGACCCTCGGAGCCACTGACAGCTGAATAGGGTACCTTCTTGCCACCCCTCCAGATGGCAAATATCGAGCAACAATCTTTTTGGTTCGTCTTTACCCATCAACTGCATTGTCCACAATCATAGTGTAACTAAAAATATCGAATATGTGCAGATCCATGGTTTCCCTGACCTTTCGATGGGTTGGAGATACCAAATTCCCACACTTCTCAATCTTGGTTTAAGAGTCGTGGCTCCAGACTGTATGGGCTATGGGCGGACTGTGTGTAATCTTTCGTCTCTTCATTGTATGATGTGACTTCTATTGACCATCTATAGGAAGCTCCAAAATTTAACACGGAGTCTGCCTGGCGCTATGGCTATAGGCAATGTGCTAAGGACATGAGAGAGCTTGCGCGCCAGCTGGGGGCCTCGAAAGTTATTCTTGGAGGGCATGATTGGTAAAGTCTTCATCTTTTGTTTGCAACCATCAAGTATGGCGTCAACTAATTCGTATCAGGGGTGGTGCCATTGTCTATCGCATTGCTCTCTATGAGCCAGACTTCGTTACCCACGTATTTTCAGTCTGTACCCCTTACTGGCCACCCTCGAAGCAATATCTATCACTTGAACAGATCATTGCAAAAATACCCTTCTTTGGCTATCAGGCCCAACTTGCCAATGGCGGATTAGAAGACATCATCCAGTCCAAGGAGGAAATTCGTCAATTTTTAAACGCCATGTATGGCGGAAGGACAACAGATGGCAAACCAGCAATAAGCATGGAAAAAGGAGTACTGCTTGAGAAACTGCCTGGCGTTCAGCCAACCCCTCTACTCAGTGATGAAGTAAGCATCCCACGCTTTCCTCCTCAGAAGGTATTTTTCAAGATCTAATTCAGTTTAACATAGGAAATGGATTACTATGTGAACGAGTTTTCAAGGACCGGCTTACATGGGCCAGGTGAACTATGACGCCCTCCTTTTGAAGACAAGTAGTACTCTAAGCTAATTTTTAATGAGTAGTGAGCTGGTATAGAACCCGTGAGCAAAACTGGAAGGACGAACTAGAGTTCTTGAACAGGTCTTTGGATATACCAGTCCTGTATATCTTAGCCACGAATGATACTGCACTTCGGCCAGAGCTTTCGCGGAATATGGAACGGAATATCAAACATTTGACTAGGGCTGAAGTTGTTGCTTCACACTGGGCTCTCTGGGAAAGACCTGAAGAATGCAATACGCATATTAAAAGCTGGATCGAAGGAGTGGTGTTTGGGAGGAAAGTGAAGCTCTAACAAAGGCTTACTATTACAGTGGGCATTGATTTTCCCAAAAAGAAGAATTTTATTACAGTTATATACATACTCGTGCGTGATTGACAATTACAACTCTTTTTCCATGTATAGAAACTTATCAAAAACATAACTGATGAGTTAGACGGCTGGCCCCCTCTATCTACTAATGTTCTAGGACGGTATACTTAAATTGTGCCCCAATCTTCTCAAGATTTTCGACGTACTCATCCTCCAGGGACGCAGGCGTAAGGTAGCCCCCCTTAATAGTTTGCCCAACCTTCTTGCTTCTAGATAGAATCCGGGCAGCCTCCGCGAGGAAAATTCCCGTAAGCTTATACGGGCATCCATCGTAACGGAACGAACCGAGCACTCTGATATTTTTCTTTCCGGGCTGATCCTGCTTAGCAGTAGCAATCCCCCTGTATTCGACTGAGAAACCCGATTTGGCATCCTCTTGTAGGCCTTCGCCAGGAGGGTAGAAATAACGTGATAGCACCCACCTGACTGGTGACAGTAACAGGACAAATGCTGTAACAATGAGAGCAAAGTGAAATGCAACGCCAGTAAGGGTATTGCGGGTTTTCATACTCTCCCAGAACCTAAATTTTTGGTTAAATAGTTGAGGCATTAAGGAACTGGTACGGTGGACAATTGCAGTATCGCATGCCTCACAGACACAGGTGGTACCAACTCCAATGTCTGGAACATAATGCACACCAAAGATGCGGCGAAGGATGGGGACTGATTTTGGCTGAGCCGGCTTCGAGACTGAGATTCTGTACGGGTCACCACTGCTGGAATCAAGGTTGTCAAAGAAGTCGATAATAGTTCTAAGGGTGCCACCACTGAACTTTCCCCTACAGGTCAGAGTTAGCAGCGATACCGCCTAGAGCTATCGCCAGCTAAACGTACTTTATGTGGTAAAGGGACATGTCTGTCTCATCCGTGACAACACCAAACTGATCCTTGATGGACTTTGCCATGAAGTAGGTAAGCAAGTCAGCTGGTGCGCTTTCTATACCATTCGCAGATATCAACTAGAATTCAGTTAGTTAAAATGAACCCCATTGAAAACAGAGCAATAATGCATAGGAGGCTCATACAATAGCGCCTGTAGACTTGGCGGTTTCGTGAAATTTCTTGACCATATCGCAAACCCAAGGCGCCTCTCCTGTCCTATATGGAAATTAATATCCAAAGAAGTAAAAACGGAAGAAATAAGGGGCTTCAGAGCCGTACACGTCAACATAGTGGGTACCGTTTTCAGCACAGGCCTTGACCACAGGGGTAGAGTGCTTGCGATATGGGCCTACGCAGTTGATGATAACCTTCGTTTTGCAGGCCAGATCCTTCAGTTCAGTGTCATTGAATTGAACCGAGAGGATTTCTATGCCAGGTTAGCATCAAATCCGTGGAAAATAGTTCAGTCTAATAGGTTAGGTGGATGTAGGCAGCCTTCGTTACCGTACCTGGAGCCTTGCGGTCATCGTTATACGTAAGTAGTTTGGCAGACAGGTCCTCCAGCTTCTTCGTAGAGCGGCCAGCAATTCCCCATGCGAGGTTGGTAGGAAGATTCTTGACAATGTGTTCGGCGCATAGCTTCCCCGTGTATCCGGTGGCTCCCAGGAGCACAATCTCAAGACTGCGGGGCGATGCCATCGTGATATTTGAAGTAGCTGTGGGCAAAGGCAGGGCGACAAAAAGACAACAAACAAGTTTTAAAGTGCTGGACACTATCCTTCCATGCCCTTGAGCAGCATTTTTTATCTTCTGGCCTGCTGCTCTCCCGCTTGTCTCGTCTGCATCCTTGCTTGTCGCCCCCTGGAAACCTGGGCCTTTCAAAACATCCAAAGTCGCCAAGCTTTATATCAGCTAAACCGAGGTATAATATCACGTGATATTACCTTATGGATCACGGGATCTCGCCAAGCCGGGCCTCGCGATCAGGTAAGCGAACACACACAAACGCCAAAGTAAGTGAGGGAGTAAAAAAAGAATTGCAACTTCAACTTCTCAATCATCACCTTTCGACTTTCGTTGCCGTTTCATCACATAACAAGCGCGACAAGATGACGAAGCGCACTAAGAGTACGTTAGAAGCACATAAAAATATTTCCCAGACTGTGTGATTGCTAACTAATTCCTGCAGAGGTCGGCGTTACCGGTAAATATGGTGTCAGGTACGATTTTGCAGTCCTCTCCCCGATGGTCGAAGCAGACAACGCAGAAACGAAGCTACTGCTCGAACGAAGAAGATGGAAGGAGATCGAAGGTTAACCTGGGTGAAATGATAGATACGGTGCCTCGCTCCGAAAGCAGGTGAAGAAGATGGAAGTCACCCAGCACGCCCGTTACATCTGCACATTCTGCGGCAAGAACAGCGTTAAGCGCACTGCTGTTGGTATCTGGGAGTGCCGTTCCTGCCGCAAGACCGTCGCCGGAGGTGCTTGGACTGTCTCGTAAGTTGATTTCCCGGCAGTGTTTTTCAATCATGGTCCGCCAGACTTGAAAACTGCCGCAAATCTCTTGATACTGGGGAAATGGAGGAGAGGGGGCAGACTGCTGACATGGAAATTTTTGCATGATATGTAGCACCGCTGCAGCTGCCACCACCAGATCAACCATCCGACGTCTACGAGAAATCGCTGAGGTATAAATTTGGGCTGGTACAATGGAGTTGCTATTTCTTTAGTTTTAATACATGGGGATTTTTTTTCTCTTGCACTTCCAAATCAAAAACCATGTGATGATGACGTCCTCAAACGGTCCCCCTCTCGCACTCTTTCCGAGCGAGTGAGGGAAAAGTACAAACAAAAAAAAAGAACGAAACCAATAGGATCGCATGAAAGGGTCGACTGCTTTTTATGTCTCTGTCGATAGCACGCACAAATGCCCAGGCTCAAGCTCACAAAACGAGGTCCGGCGAATATCGACTATTACCAATAGATGTTAACGCAATAAAAAGACAAATAAAAATCCTATTGATTCTCAATGGCCCGCGCCACCACCACGCTCCTGGCTTCTCCAGCTCTATCTTTCCTCTTTGGCGCTGACCATCCAGCAACGTTCACGTTTCTGCTGCTCTCAGTCCCGGGAGTAGTATCCTGTAGTCCTGCAGTGGCCAGGTCAGTCGCTGCCTTCGCCCAGCCTCCTTCACCTGCTTGCTAACTGTCCTGACTGTCTCACACTCCTCCGCTGTCTCCCTCCAGCCGTCCTAGCTGCCGGCCTCACCTGCGCCCTCCATCCCTCCAGGCTTATTAAGCCAATCCCAGTCAGGCGATGCTTACCTAACGTTGTCATGAGCCCAAGTCACGTTGCCGGCGCTATGCCCAACACGGCGTAGCGCGCCGTCTGCCCATGCTTCAAAAAGAACGGCCGGCTGGTTCGCCCCCCACAACTTTCTTTCCTCCTAACATCACAACCTCACTTCTCGCCTTGCTTGCCGCCGTGCTGCGTCGAGGAAAAGCTGCCCTCGCTCGCCAGCTGCTCTTCATGCCGTACTCCACGCCCGCAAGCTGTACTCCCGTCCCCTATCGCTGCTCCAGCAATGTCAGATACATGTATTGTGTGCTTAGGCGACCTTGGCGAAGGCGATGCCGCTGACGTCGTGCCAAGCCTACTCACTGCAACAAGCCAGCCGCCCAAGGAGAACACTGCCATTGAGACTGTTGAGATCGCCCATCTGCTTCCCTGTGGCCATAACCTGCATAATGAATGTCTGAAGCCCTGGGTTGAACGAGCAAACAGCTGTCCGATTTGCAGACAGAACTTCAATGTTGTCGAGTTGGTAACCAAAGTTGGAGGTACGCCCACTTGTTCCTATTCCATAGCAGCATTTTTTGATAGAACTATACTGACTGTAGTTTCGTTTGCAGGGCCTGCCATATCTTCATATGTCGTGGAAGACCGAGTCCAGGTCGCTGATATCGATCCGTCTATGCTTGGGGATGACTTGCTTGAATACACAGACGAGTTTCAGCCCTGTTCAATATGTGGTGACGATGACAACGAAGCTGTACTTCTGCTATGTGATGGGTGTGATATTGCATGTCATACCTACTGTCTGGGCTTAGATTCTGTCCCGTCTGGACCATGGTTTTGCATGCAATGCAATTCTCAACGTGTCCTTTCAACCCCAGTCCCTACCCCTTCTCTTCGTGTCTCCCGTCGACGCACCAGGGCAGATCAACTGAGGCATATCGCCAACACTCAGGTAAATGCTCTTCACTGGGCTCGAGTGTGGCAGTCCGTCTGGGACCAGCTTCATCTTGATCTTGATTTTCCGTTTGATGATGAAGAAGACAATGGAGTTGGCCGCACTCTACTCCAACGAAGACAAGAGGAGACGAATCTTAGAGAGTTTCGAGCCTGGCAACGACGAATCCGGGTTGCTGAACGTCAAGGCGGGTCGAGCAGGTTACGGGAAGCCGTTCCTGCTCTCCTCGAAATGCGCAGAGGCTGGCCATCGCGACCACGGCCGAGGATTCAAACTCCAGAACCAGAATCTATAGATGAAATCAGAGCTTGGAATGCCTTTGAGCGAGCAAACGCTGTCCAGGAAGGGACATCATGCAATAAAAGGAAACGAAAATCTCCTACTGCCTCTCCGGTGGAGCCCGAGCCCGCCCAGCCAGAAAGAAAGCTCAAACGACCACGAACAAAACGTCCAGAGGCTCTAGCAGATATCCTTGATCATGGAGGAGAATCATCAAGCCGAGGCAGTGGCAGATTACCCAATGGCGATGATCAGCCACTCAACAGTCACTCTCCCCCTTCAGGACCAAGCTTCCTTCAGTCCTTGCTCAAAGAAGTGGAAGAGTCGTCAACACCCAACATGCATACTGTCCCACTTCGACTAGCCTCATCTCCCTATAATCCCACAGAAATGAGCTCTTCTGGCCCCTCATCGCCCGCTCTCTCCCCTCTCTCCTCTAGCCGTTCCTCTTCTCGTCCATCGTCTACCACTCCACCACCGCGCTCTGTTGACTCCGCCCCAAGCGACTTAAACTTTTCCTCTCCAGAATTTTCCCCTTCCCGCTCTCCCGCTCCCACACGCAATGCATCATCAGAAGAAAGTTTACGGCGTTCTAGAAGGCGTATACCCGTTGGTCTTCAACCTTGCCATGACCTATCTTCCTCATCCCATCCTTTGCGATCTAATGAATCGTCACCTACACGTGGTTTATCTCTTTCCACCAAATCCCACCTCCAAAGGATGGTCAGCTCCGCCCTAAAGCCATATTATCGTCGGAAGGAAGTTTCCAAAGAAGAGTACACCGATATCAATCGCAGAATATCCCGTCTGCTTTATGACCAGGTCGATGCATCTGGTGCCCTTGACTCTGAAACCAAGTCAAAGCTCGCTATCATTGCCAGTGAAGAAGTCAACAAAGCCGTTTCTATGCTACGAGATCTCAGGACAAACGAAGCTAGTGACAGCAGTGGCGCTGGATCGGCGCTAACTTCGTCCTGATATCTGTCTAATAATGAATAATCTTGATGACCCAATGAAGAGCGAACGAATTCCGAATTCCTGCGCGATACGTGCCTTGTGAAAAAAAAAAAAAAAGAACGACTTTCGAACGTAATTCAAAATTCCGACATGTATTATTATACTGGCCTAATATGTTTAACGAGACAATTTTTTTTTTTTTTATTGTACTTTCAGATTCGTTTACCCTCAACTATCGGCGTTTTCTGGTCCGGTTTGTAAGGGTTATGTGATTCGCGGAGTATGAGCGTTACCCCGGAGTTGGTTTTCGATGCATTTGGTGATTGCACTATCGTTGGGGGATTGTGGGCTACTAGACTACAGGCGTGGAGGATGCATTTTCAACAGCTCAGAACAAGTCTTTATGTAGCAATATTAAAGGAAAGACGCTCTCATCCACCCATCAGCATTGACAGAACGACATCGCCGTTTAGTTGACCCTGCTTTTTCAAGTTGCTATGAACTTCCACTTCGACTTTGATTTCGACTGATCAGCATCTAACGTCCATGATATACCCAATGATGAAGAATTGCTGCTCTGGAACACGCTGTTCCATGCTAGGTACGTATATCATATTAAATTGATGCTCTATTGCTAATGTGGATATAACACCTAACTTGCAACGCATTTATTTGATCTATTGAATATCATTTCTTGTCGCCCAGTGTAGCAGTGTCTGTTCGCTGGCGATCGGAAGTTGTTACTTCAAAGAAAGTGTGAGACGGTAGCCCCCGAGGCTATACGGCATATATCTCCCGGCAGAGGGGCCTGCGCCTCGGTATCTGCACCAAGGCCAGTAAGACGCTCTATAAGAGCTGTGACCCCTTCATGATGCTCATCATGGAGATCTGCGACACAGTACAGAGCCGTCAATCCTTCCTGAGATATATCTGTGGCCTTTGCTCCGTGATCAAGCAGTAGATTAACGACTGTGAACATCTCCGCAATCCCTAATCTTTCTGTGAGGGCGAATAAAAGCGCTGTCCGGCCTGACAAAGACCTGTCATTGATACATGCTCCGTCTGCAAGTAGTCTCTCGATGATTCCTACCTGGTTCCTGTGGGCTGCCCTGTGGGGCAATGTCTCTCCGTAGAGAGTCGAAATGAAGATATCGGGCTATCTATGGTGTTCTAAGCAAGACTGGAAGAGCGAATACCGCCCCGTAGTATGCAAGTACATGCATTGGTGTCTCGCCCAATTTGTCTGTAACGAAGACTGAGGCTCCGTGCTGTAGTAGCATCTTAATAACGTCCGTGTTCAAGCGCTCGTCTGTTGGTCGAGGGCGACAGTGTTTCACCATTGCGCGAGCGATGGCTGTAGCGAACTCCTGGCACAAGCAGAACTTGAACTGCCCCAACAGTGTCGGGGGAGGAAGCGCTGATATGCAATGTAGTGTCACCTATTCGAGCTGATGGGGGCTTGCTGCTTGACGCTGTCTTTTTCCTCAGAAGAGAGGTGCAGAGCGGGTTATGGACTCTGACGAGCCATATTCAACTATAGCAGGTAAATTCTGATAGTTATTGCGGATGTTTCATGGCAGCGATCGGATTTAAAGGGGTAAACCATCCAATTCCCTAGCTAAGTCCGATTCTCAACCCGTGTATTCCGTTAACTATCACTAACTAACACAGCATATCCATAGTTAGAGCTTTGATACGCTATATTGATCCCGGCCATTAACTATGCATAAATTAAATTATAGGCTAGCCACTTCTCTGCAGACCTTCGTCTTCCTCAGACACGACATGTTGTCTCTCTCGGAGTAAAATGGACACGACCGTGACGTCATGGCAGCAGATCCGGAGTTCAATGGTCATCCTTGCTTCCAGCAGACCTATCAACGAACAACAGCCTGTGGGCTTATTGTTGGTTCCTACAGATAGATGTAGGCGCTTGCCTTTTTTCTAGGCCTCAAGCGAGAGAGATAGCCTTGCTCTTTCATCCGGCACGTTTTTGCCGCGAGCTTTATAATATACCCGCCCCAGCTACGGAAAGGAACCGGCAATCTGCTACGTTTCATATGCGGTATATGCATGATGAGTTCATCGTCTCGAGCCATGGGATCCTTTTTGCATTGGTTCGACTCCCTTGGGGGATCGCATCATCGTACTTAACCCCCATCGTGTTGATATGTCATGTCGGCATTGCAGCCGGTCATGACTGGGTGATCGGCTCCGGGCCTTCGTTTTGTTTAAGACCGACAACGGATTTGAAATCTGCTTTTAGGGGTATATATATGCGTGTATATATCCCATTGTTGAGCGGTTTTGGATATGAACCACCAGTTTCTCCCGAGTTGCCTACCATCCAGCTTGCTTCCTGAATTAACTACCGAGCCTGATATACGCGATTATTCTGTGTTGACCATGGCAGATCATACAGCTGCATCTCACTCAATGGACCCAGAAAAGGACGCCAATATCCCAGAGCTAGCCCAGAATAACAGCAACTTGCCAGAATCATCGCGTTTTCATGAACCCGACCTCGAAAAGGGGGAGTTGCCTGGATCCGCCCCCTCACCCCCTCTATCCTACGATGAGCCCAAGAAAAACCCCGATCTCGTGAATTGGGAGGGTCCCCATGACCCCGAGAACCCAAGGAACTTCAGTCGTATGAGGAAGTGGTACATCACTATGATGCTCTCTCTCTTAACCTTCTGCATCACTTTCTCGAGCAGTGTCTTCAGTCAAGCTACGGCAGTAACAGCAAAGATATACGGTGTATCTGTGGAGGTTACCACACTGGGTACCGCACTTATTGTACTGGTAGGTGAATAGGACATCTAAGTGCCCATTTAAACTTATACTAATGGTATACTGAAGGGGTTCGCTCTTGGGCCAATTATTTGGGGACCCCTTTCCGAAGTGTATGGTCGACGACTTCCTATGCTCGTCTGCTTCACCATTTCTGCCATATTCCAGATTCCCGTCGCAGTAGCACAAAACCTTGCAACCATCCTCATCTGCCGATTCTTGATCGGTGCCTTTGGCTCTGTGACTCTTGCAGTCGTCGGCGGTGCCTTGGTAGATCTCTGGGAGCCTGTTGACCGCGGTATTGCAGCCGCTGGTTTCTGCGCAGCCACCTTCTTGGGACCCATTGCTGGACCTATTATTGGTGGATTCATTGTCCCTTCACATCTCGGTTGGCGATGGACTAACTGGATTACTCTCATTCTTGATGCCGCAGTTGGTCTTGTGGCCTTATTCAGCCTCCCAGAGACTTTTGCTCCAGTTATCCTGCAAAACCGAGCAAAACGACTGCGATATGAGACTAAGAATTGGGCCCTCCACTCGACTCTTGACGAAAGTCCCTTGACAATCAACGATATCTTTCACAAATATCTGAGCCGTCCATTCGAGATGTTAATCCTAGAACCCATTCTTTCCCTAACAACTATCTATCTTTCTGTCGTCTACGGAATCCTCTACCTCTTCTTCTTTGCATATCCTATCTCATTTGGAGAAGTTCGAGGCTGGGAACACCCCGGTGTTGCTGCTCTACCCTTCATTGGCCTTTTGATCGGTATTCTACTTGGATGCGCCGTCCTTATCTACATCAGCAAACACCAATACGCTCAGAAACTCAGGGAGACTGGCAACCTAGTCCCAGAAGATCGCCTGCCACCCATGATATTTGCTGCCTTCACTCTCCCTGCTGGCTTGTTCTGGTTCGCCTGGACATCATCGCCTCATATCACCTGGGTCCCGCAAGTTATCGCCGGTGTTCCCATAGGCTTCGGGTTGATCATCATTTTCTTACAGGGGATAAACTATGTCGTCGACGTTTACCTTATATATGCCAACTCAGCACTAGCTGCCAACACTTTCATCCGAAGTTTGCTGGGAGCAGCCTTCCCTATGTTCGCTTCTCAAATGTACCACAACCTCGGAGTTGCATGGGCTAGCAGTGTATTAGCCTTCATCACTCTAGCTATGATTCCGGTTCCGATATTGTTCTATGTATACGGAGCTAGAATCAGAGCTATGAGCCGCTTCGTTCCAAAGGTGTGATGGTATGTATATTTAATTGCATTCATATCTCTCGTTTGTAGAATCAGTTACATCTAAAATTGGGAAGCTGTGGAGTTGTATAGTTATGCATATATGAAGGAGGCATTTTTAGATCAGATTTAGAGTATATAATATATTGAATTATCCTTATTTCAACATATCCTCTTCTACACCTCCTAGTCTTCATCCTGAGCTCAATATCAACTTGACCAAAATGTATCGAAGGAGGCCTGTCTGTTCACTTTTGAAACGATACCTCGGTGAAAGTCACCTATCACGTGACTAAAATAGGGTTTACGTAAGGCAAAACGCGCTCGCGCATCGAAATAACTATGAATTTACGACCTTGAGCAAGCCTGAACGGCCCATTACACGGGCAGAGCTCATATCTGTCATTTTATTGCTGGTGCCGAGTTGTCCAGCCTGTCGCAGTGAGCCGGTTCGAGTGTCTCACTTCTACATATTCAAATCCACGGTAACTGCGAAGAAAGCAGCCGACCACAAACAGCGCGGAGCTGGCTCTGAGGGCCGAACGTCCATGATCAAGATACACAACCTTCCCTATCACGACACACATCTTCAGGGGCCGCGCATAGGCAATTGTATATCCTCAGGTCATAAATAGTCTATCTGACACCATTCCAGGACTTGGTGACGGCCGGAAACCACATGCGATGCCTGCGCGCAGACGAACCCGTAAATCCGCTAAGGCGGCTCCGGTCGAGGAGGTAGAAGAGGCAGTGGAATCTGAGGAGCAGGAAGAGGAGGAGGAAGAAGAGGAAGAAGCACAATCTGACCAGGACAAGGGAGGCGGCTCGTTACATAAACTTCAGTTTAACCAGGCAATTTCATGGAAAACCGGGAAAGCTATTCCTGTTGCACATCTACTCCAAAGACTCGAGGAGCTAGGTTCAGAGCTACGAATGCTAGATCAAGAGGATATAGATCGAAACTCGTTGACAAAGGTCTCTCAGGAGCTAGCGGATGGACATCTCTTGGGGCATAGGGATAAAGGTGTTCGCGCGTGGACAGCCTGCTGCGTTGTGGACATATTGCGCCTGTGTGCTCCCAATGCGCCTTTCACCGTGAATCAATTAAAGGTACATACCCATTATTTCTTCTCATATTAGCTACTCTAGCTCACTCGAAATGGTAACCTAGGATATCTTCACATTGATTGTGACTTCAATTATACCAACGCTGGCAGACCCCTCCAACGCATATAATGATCAACATATATATGTTCTTTCCTCACTAGCAGACGTCAAGAGTATCGTGCTGCTTACAGATGTCCACGCTCCTGATACCCTGATCCTTCCTCTATTCTCTTCATGTTTCGATATTGTGTCGGGATCTTCCAAGGCGTCAACCGGGGAGGACCTAGCAAAAAATGTGGAATACGATATGACACGACTGCTTGCTCCAATCATTGATGAAGCGCCTAGTTTAGCGCCAGAAGTTATTGACGTGATCGTTGCGCAGTTCTTGCGCGTTGACCCTCGGGCTATTGACCATTCCTTGTCTACTTCCACTGGGAAGGGCAAAAAGGGAGCCACCGGCGTTGTCGATGCAAAGCAGGGAACGCTACTGCTGAAAGACTACCCCCCAGCTTATAACATGGCAAAAGCGATATGTAATGCTTGCCCAGAAAAATTAACCAGCTACATCAGCCAATACTTCAATAATGTCATCTTGGATGCTTCTGGCCCCTCCGGTATCAATGGGTTGAAAAATCGCCGCAATAGCTTGGACGAGTCTGAAGATGAGGGTGAAAATATCAAAGATCTTAACAAGGCTCATAGGCTGATACGGGAATTATGGCGAGCCTGCCCGGATGTACTGCAACATGTTATCCCACAGCTTGAGGCAGAGCTATCCGCAGATTCCATTTCCCTTCGCCTGCTGGCAACACAGACTATTGGTGACTTAGCAGCAGGAATTGGTGTTGCAGGCCCGCCTCCTGATCCATTATTGGATCCGGCTGCCTACCCTCGTCCTTCACTAAGTGATGATACAGAATCTGTCTCTCAAGTGAATGCTCTTTTGAATCCTCTATCACCCAAGCCATTCTCGCAATCCCACTCTTCAGCATATGAAAGCTTCCTATCTCGCCGCCAGGATAAGTCCCCTTCTGTACGAGCCTCATGGGCAACGGCAATTGGGAGGATACTCCTCACCTCAGCTGGAGGTACAGGTTTGAATACCGCAGAGTCAAATAATTTGATAGCCGGGCTCGCCAGGGCCCTAGGAGACGCCGACGAAAAGGTCCGGATTGCTGCTGTAGAGGCCCTCGCAAAATTTGGCTATAAGGATGTCATCAAGAAGCTTGGGTCTGACGGCGGCCTTTCTGAGCCTGACTCTCTTCTTTCAGTGCTAGCAGCGCGAGTTAAAGATAGGAAACATGCAGTACGTGAACAAGCAATGAACGTGCTAGGAAAAATGTGGGCAGTGGCATCTGGCGATATCGAAGCAAACAACGAGGAGGTTATGACCATTCTTAAAGATGCACCTTCGAAAATCTTCGACGCTTACTATACCAATGACCTCGATCTTCAAGTGCTTCTTGACCATGTCATCTACGAAGTGCTTTTGCCCCTTACTTATCCACCGATAAAGTCTAAGCAAGCCAAAGGCCAATCGCAGAAATCAAAGACTGCTAAGGGCAATCAGGAAGATGATGTAGACCCTGACTCCATACGTGCCCGTCGTATTCTCACATTGGTCAATGGACTAGATGAGAAATCAAAGAATGTATTCTTCGCTTTTCAGTCTCGACAGCTCAAAATGCGAGCCTTCATGGATTTTTATCTGACTGCATGCGAAGAATACAATGTAAGTCTCCTACGTCTCTAACTTGTATTCAATGGGTACTGACTAATATGCAATGTTAATAGGGAGGTGTTATGGATGATAATGAGGAAGCGGTCAAAAGTAAACTAACAAGAGTCATCGATCAGCTCTCTAAAATGCTCCCAGAGGCCTCACGGGCCTCTGCGGACCTGTGGAAGTTTGCAAAGATGCACGATAGGCGCAGCTACCAACTCATCCGATTTGCCATGGCCGCTGCAAGTGACTACCGGATTGTAGCGAGGGCTATACGAGAACTGTCCAACAGAATCTTGTCGAGTACATCCGCAACTACAACAATGCTTGAATCTTTGATCCCTCTGATTTACCGCAGCAGCTCCCTGATCTTCAACAGAAGCCACATACCCTGTATTATGACAATATCAAGGACCGATGAACATGGGCTAGGCAATATAGCGCATGAATTTCTACGTGAAACTTCGTCACAAAATCCAGAAGTTCTCGAAACTCATGTTCAAGAAATGTGCAAGGATCTAGAGTCGCAGGCTCCCAATGCGCAAAGAAGTGATGATCCTGCTGTCGAGGAAATCCTAAAGGCCTGTGCCGGGTTTGCTAAAAAGCTACCGGCAAAACTACCAACTCATAAGCAGTTCCAAGTAGCTCTAATAAATTATGCGATGTACAGCTCGTCCCCAGTTGCGGCAAAGTGCGCAGTTTCAATAATTATGGCAACTTCGGACAAGAAAGAGATGTATGCTCGGGACCTTGTCAAGAAGAGCGTGCAGAAATTCACTTACGGATCTAACCACTTCCTAACCAAACTGGCAGCTCTCTCTCAACTCACGCTTCTCGCATCCAATGAAGTTGACCGAGAAGAAGACGCCATTCTCAGGATTGCTACAGATCAGATCCTATTCAAAAATCGCAACCCAGATCCAAATCCTGGGTACTCATGGTCTGACGAAGCGGACGAGGAACTACAAGCTAAGGAGTGGGCTTTGAAAATACTTGTGAATCGAGTGCGCTCTAGAGAATACTCTGATGATGATGAAGAATTCAGACAATATGCAGACTCGGTCTATGCTATTTTAAATACTCTCATTGAGAAAAACGGAGAGCTTTCGAAGACTGAAGATACCCCTTGGTCACAAAGGTCCAGGCTTCGTTTGATGGCTGCTAAATTAGTTGTCAAGCTTTGTGCCTCAAAATCAGTTTGTGACCGAATGTTCACGCCTCAGAATTTTAATGCCATTGCGCTAGTGACTCAAGACCCTCTGCTCGAAGTAAGGCGAGGCTTTATCGGCCAAGTTAAAAAGCGACTCGTTCAGACACCAAATCTCAACCCCCGGTGGTACCTCATTACATTCCTCGTCGCGTTTGAACCAAATGGAAACCTTTACGATAGTACACTTACATGGATACGATCAAGAGCGTCCTTCTTTTCCCGCCGACCAAGCAGTTCCGCCGCTGGCTCAGACCAGCAATCATCCCAAACGACTATGGAAGCTCTATTTGCTCGTCTTCTCTCCCTCCTTGCCCACCACCCCGACTACCCACCTGAAGGGTCCGATGAAATGACAATTGAGGAGGATCTAGTTAGTTTCTGCCGATATATCCTTTTCTACCTCTCTGCAGTCGCCAATGAAAACAACCTCTCCTTGATTTTCCACATTGCCCAGCGCGTCAAGCAAGCGCAGGACGCAATCTCAGACCCCGAAGCATCCCCAATAATGTCCGCCCGACTACATACCCTTTCAGATCTATCCCAAGCCCTCATCCGCAGGTTCGCAGAATGTTACTCTCAACAACACAAAATTGGTGGCAGTGGCAGCAGTGGGGTAGCCAATATACTTCAGACGTTCCCAGGAAAGATGCGACTCCCCAGCAGTCTATTTGCAAATATACCGAGCCACGAAGAGGCTCAATCAACAGCTGAGAAGAACTTCCTGCCTGAGGTGGTTGAAAATAGGCTAGACCGGGTTGTTCGACGGTTCATGAAACCGAAGACCATGAATGCAAGCTCTGTGGCCGGAAAAAAGCGGAAGATTGACTACAAGTCGAGTGCCAAACCAACTGCAGACGATGACGATGACAACGCATATGAGAATGGAGGATCTTCGAAGAAGCAGCGAAAGGAGAAAAAGCAAACATCATCCCGAACCGTTCCTATTCGCAGGAAGTCTACGGCGGGT